GTAAAACCCAAAACCACCCCCCCCCCCCCAATTTGTGCGTTTCCTGTGCCCCTTTGGGGTTACCCGGCGGTTTTCCTTTTCCCCCCAGGCCCCCCCCCCCCCCCCCCCCCCTTTTTTTTTTTTTCTTTTTTTTTCTTTTTTTTTTCTTTTTATCTACCTATGTATCTGAGCCCACTCCCACGAATGAAATCACCATCCTACTAATTCCAGGCTAGGTTAGGTACCTCTTAGTCCTACACGCCCTCCCCTCCCTTCGACTTAGTATGCCTAGCCGCAAGTGCGCTTCGCTCCCCCCCCCTCGTTTTGCGCGTCTAACAGGTTCAGCAAGGAAAACTCCACTCGAGCTGTTACAGCGGCGTCTGATGGGTTACATGAAACGGCACAGATGGGTGTTATATGTCTTGCCGGTGGCGATATAGATTACGTTGCTGGCTCTGAGATATACATACTTGCCCCGGCTCCAAAGTCGTCTCTCGCATACCCCTGAAGACAGACAGGTTAGGTAGGTAGGTACTATGTCTACCTCTCCTGATTGATGTATACCAACAGCTAGCTCTCTCCCTGCTGTCGTGTTACAGCGCCTCGTCGACAGGACAGGACAGGACAGGACAGGACAGGACAGGACAGGACAGGATAGGTAGTAGACACGTAGTATCTTCAAACAGTCAGCCCCGACACGAACCTCTCTCCCTATCTCTCTTTCTCTCGTATCCTAGCTAGCTAGCTAGTAGCTGGGTAATTCGTAGATTGGGTCTATCAGACTGCAAATTGAAGGCTCTATGAGCTATAATTACGAATATTTGTCATAATAACTTGAATCTATTCTAGTCTATCGTCCACTGGCAGCCTCGAGGATATCTCGTGTTTCAGCAGTTCATGAGGGAATGGGGGATCACGCATACTCCCTAACCCTACTAAAAATATTACCCATAGGTACCTGAGATCTGCTATCACACGGTTAGTAGGACTAATAAAAGCTACATACCTATATGTCAGAGTATATGTGAATATAGACTTTGCCTGGGCGAATCATGTGCGGCTTAGGACCTGCGTCTGGGACTAGAACTCTCCACCAGCCTCTTATCAAACCCCAATTCGAGGCTATTCCAAGCGGCGCTAGTTGTGGTAACACTGCTCGGAACTACCCGCCCGCTCCCCGCCCGCTCTAACATAACGGGTGTGTCCTTTCCCCCCTGAGATACGGTCTCCTGCAGAACGTTAAAACTAGCGTAGACATTCTTGTGGAGTAGAAGATGGGGTCGACTTCGAGGAGGGCTGCAGTGTCATGAAACTTAGGGGGCTGCGTTCTCGACATTGCTCTTACGAGCTCCTATGGATCTTCGGATAACCTTCCGAGAACGGCTCCTCGTACCATCTTCCAAGCCATCATCTATCTGTCTTGTAGCACCATGCCGGTGTGAGTGGAGAGCGAAGCCTCCTGATCCGAACAGTGTTCATTCTCACGACGGGCGGGAGATGTGAAAGAATAGAACACGTCTATGCATACCAACTTAGAATAGTATGACAAATGATCAGAGTGATAGAATAGAACACGACAACTGCCATCTCCAAGACCTCGAAATAGAGTCAACTCTCTGAGAGAGTGATACTCTTGGGGGGCGGTACTCCTCACAGCATATGTCCCCGCGAACAAAGAGCGACGTTGGGATATACTAGGGCACAGCCGCGTTCTAGCCGGCAGCTATCATCTTTAGACTAGTATAAATCCACAGTCTATTGAGCCGACAAGGGGCACACTATACGACGGGATTAGCATGTAAGAATCTAGATAGGCGCGTTCTCGATTGAGCGAGGCTAAGTCCATCTCGATATAGTGTAGCCGACGACGTGAATGCAAGGTACGACGCAAGTAAGCAGGAACCAACACTGGGCTTGGTATGGTATCCCACGATCACGATGCCAACGAATAGTCGGTATGGGATATATCATGTAGCACATAGTTAGGGTTAGGTAGACGGGATTCCAAAGACCTGCATATACTCAAGTATAGATGATATTAAGACGACGATCTCGGGTCGTGATCGCGGATGTCGCGGACCCGAGGAGCAGAGAAGAAGGAAATGTTAAACTTGATATGACGGAGGGGTAAGAGAGGCGCCTTTTTGGACGAGTTAGATTCGTCACCGGCCGCATTTCTCGCCTACGAAGGAGCCGCTCCAAGTGCCACGCGACCGCTAAGAATCCCGCAGGGCAGAGAGGCGCTTGTGAGGTCACACACGAGCCCGGGATGCTGCTATACCGGTGTTGTACGGCATGACATGATATGGTGTGGTATGGCAATGCATTCAATGATATGGGATGGTATAGTTAGTACGGATTACCTACATTGTTTCCGAAAGCAGTCGGTGGTAACTGAGACAACGCATGAGATCAAAAAACCAAACCTCGTGTACGAGAAAAGACGATGCCAATTTAGTCGCCGGCGCTCACAGCAGCGTGGCTCAGACGAACCGGATGCGGAATGCAGTAGGAGAGCGAACACACGAAGCTATTCCCTAAAGTACCTAGGTTGGAGATATCTATTTTGGCTACCGGATTGGCGGGCTCGGAGTAAGTTGATGTGGTTATGGTGTGAGATTCAGAGAATAGAAAGGTCAAATTGAGATGGTGGGTAGTTTGAATACCTACCTAGACTTAATGCAAGATGCAAGAAGTACATATCTAAGCGGTGTTTGTACTATGTATGTGAGTAAATGTGTATCGAGTTGCATAAGGTAAGATAGTGCGGTAGTTGCGGTAGTTGCGTTAGTTGCGTTTAGTTGGTAGAATTCAGGTACCTAAAAGTTTGTAGGTAAATCTGGATGGTAGACGCAGTAGCCGGTCCTATAAATAGCCTTAAGCGCCGGGACTAAGTCTATTATGGTTAAGATTACCTTACATAAACTGCTCCAAAAAGGGCTATGAACGCATGTATACATAGTAGTACGAGGTAGGTAGCACTACCTATAGTACCTAGCCTTAAGTAATATGTGCGTGGTATGATGTATACATTTCATGTATGTAATAAGGTTTACTACCTAATGTAGCTGGTAGGGCTAGAGGCTAAGGCTGGCTGGCTGCAGAATCGATAGTGCCGTAAGTGCTGCTGTAAGGTAAGCGTGCGGACGTACGCGGGGAAGGGGGAACATGAAACTTTCACTTTCAGGTACTTTTTTACTTTTGCATCTTTTACCTACATCATCAAATATCATTCTTTCATATTCTCTGCACATATTCGGCTTCAGGTAACCCCAAAAGACATATACCGTCTATTTTGATCTATATGACAGATATAGCTTTAGGAGGTACATGTCTTTTACTTATACCCATGTCTAGACTCTACTATACACATACCTGGGTATTTATAAGGTAATGTATATAGGTAGGTAAGTACCTAATCTATCTTGGGTGTCTTGGGGTTACTTGGCAGTATATCGCATCTAGCCTAGCTTGGCTCAATTAGGTATGCGAGTGTTTTATCTCATGTTTGTCTTGGAGCAGCACACCACTTCCAAAAATGGTCTGCTTATGAACTACTGTATCTACGACATGCGTCGAAAAAAAAAAAAGAAAACGTGGGAGCCCTGTTGTGTAAGACTATTGCCATTGACATTGTACAATCCAACACAGATTTCTAAACTATTTACATAACAAATCCTGCTATACGTCCTACGACGCTGTCTATCTACGTAAGTGTGGTAAACGCTATCAAGATTGTCAGCCGAGGGGAAAAAAAAGATAAGGAAAATACGTCTTTCTTCTTTGCGTGCTTCCATGTTCCATGCATGTCATCATCTCGGCAAGTATTATAGCGAAGCTTGTTCTCGGACCCCGACGGGACGGATAGGTGAGGTTAGGTTAGGTAAGGTAAGGTACCTCTACTCAGTTTCACCCCCAACTCCCGTCTCACTTGACGAAGAAAGCAGAGACCACCTGTTCCCGTCGTTGCTTTTTAGACCCCATTCAACCTTATCGAGTCTTCGGAATCGCAACCGGTAGCGTCAAACAGTCGCCACATCTAAATACAAATGATGATGAAACATATCGAAGCAGATCTTTGGGACGTCTAGCCTAGTCTACTTTAGGTACTCGATATTCCTTCGCTCGATTAGTTATGTTGCATTGGTTAGATAATCTATATTTTGCTTTCTGGCTTACCATGTACCACACCTCGAAGCCCACAGGTGTTGGTATGTGACCCATTCTAATTCCTAACCTCTTCTTGGTGACGTCTGTTAGTTATAAATAGAAATCACAACTGTGTCCAATTAGGGATCGTGAGTGCCTCCAAGCCCCCTTTTGAGGTACAGGTACTTCCTAGACCCCGGCGAACCACGGGTCGAGCTGGAAACAACAGACCAATAAAAACCCCTGAATCCGACCTGAAGGATTCGACCAGCATGAGCATGCCCCCGCTCCCTTCTCCCTTCTCGTCTTACGGCGGGCCGTGCTGCAAAGCTTAGGTGCTTCTGACATTGTAACGTGAATATACCTACCTAACCTAAGGTACATAGTAAACTGAACGCATAAGGAAACAGTATGATACCGTAAATTACCTAAAGAAAGGAACGGGAGCAGACGGGGAGTAAAAACACGTCTTGTATTCTCTAGCTAATAAAACCCGAGTGGATAGGGACAGGAACCCCTGTGCCGTTAGCAAGCCGGTACCTATAAGTTGAACCGTGTGTGTGCAGCAGCGTGGGGAAGGGAAACTCTGAAAAGACCAGAAGAATTCCAACCCATCATTATTACTATTTACCTCTAGGTATGTAGTGCATTTTATATTGCAATTAAGTACATGATGTACCTATGCTAACTACCTAGGTACCTACATATGAATATTTTTGGGTTATACCGGCTGAAGAGAGCTGAAGAGGAAATCTTACGAGGCTAGGTTTTATGTGCGTTTTGTCCTTGTCTTCACAAGTTAGCTGCTTATTCAGTATTAATTATGTAACATAGGTACTTAGGTACTTACATAGTAAGTTAATAGAGTAATTCCAAGGTTATTCTCTTCTGGATATTCTATCGTCAATAATAAACCTCTATCTTCTTTTTTTTTTCTTCTTTTCTTTTTTTTCGCATCGAGTAAAAGCGACAAACTGACCGTCTGGGGCCGGATCTTCCGGTGAGGATCTGCGTCTTAGTATCAGAAATCTTCGCAACCCTCGCAACCCTCGCAACCTATGTCACGGTAGTACAATGAATGGCAGGAACGTGTTTAGGTTGTCGATACCTGTTGTGAAACCCTGGCGGTGCTGGCTGGCTGTGAGTACACCGTTTGCTAGCTGCGCCCCCCTTGGTTTGTATCGCGCCAATTGTAAGTGCTGTAAGTGCAAAGTGCAGGCGCTGTCAGATTATGTCGAATTGTATTGTACAATACATCACCACTTATAGCCTATGGTACATTGATTTTAGGTATATATCCGCAGGTGTTACATGTACTTTACATGTATAGGTACTTTGGTCTCGTTTCCGGCAGGCATACATATTACATGTACCTACCTAAGGCAGTCTGTCTGTTTGTTGCCTCGAAACCAACAGCCGCCTAGAGGTTCCCCAGAAAATATCCAAAGCAATCAACTACCAACTACCTACTGTAACTCACTTACTCACCTAACAAATACTATGCAGCCAACAGAGGTTTCATTGACAGAAACGGCGGCAAGAACGGAAAAAAAGAAAAAGAAAAATTGAATTCTTCATTAAGAAAAATCTCTCGTCATAGTATTTGTCACGCAAAGTCCGGTCGATCTCATTTATGCCAAGTCCTCAAAAAGAAAGAAAAAAAAAATCGTTCTCCCATTTTGGTCCTCACGCGCGTGTGTGTGAGTGCAGTGTTGTATTTTGTACGATACTGATGTTACCCTTGTCTTGGTCGTTTAAGGATCCCTTTTCTGCTAATTATGGCGCGCTCCTTGCCGCGACCCGACCTACCGGGTACAGCGCGATACAAGAAAGCGTATTGTACAGAACATTGCCTTATGTGCAAAGCCAGGTACGTTATAATGCTTACCTACCTACTTACTTATGTATGGCCTATGATACATAGGCTAGGTAGGTAGTCAGCAAAATATGCTACGGCGTGTGCTTTACCGGTAGAGGACCGTCAGGAGCAATGCCAATAACAATGACAACGGCCATTGACTGACCGACGGCGTTCCCCTCGTTCTGACAACTTTCACAACTATCTTTAATATATCAAACTCGAGAATCGCAGCAACGAACCTACCTAGGGTTAGTATTAGGGATTATTCATACGCATTGCCGAACTAGAGACCGCTAGAGATCGCGTAGTCTCTACATATCGCATCATTACAACTTACAGGCACCGCACCGTGTATATACGCACGTACGATGCATCATCCCCCGTAAATAGTATCCAAATGAGCCACCACAATCGTTAGGACTAGTACCTTGCATGTCGCGCGACCTCATCCACCCCGGGACCCATGCAGCCTACTATGTACGCAGCCTATGCAGCCCATGCAGCCCATGATCCACCGTCAGCTGGAAACAGGGGTGCCTTACACACTACGACCTACACGTACATGTAGGTACATGGCTAGGCAGGCTGGGTCAGAGAATCCGTCCACATGGCCGTGACCGGTGTCGACGTTCTTTCCTCTCTCTGTGCGTGTGTGCTATTCTCTTGTCTTCCTCTATGCTTGCTTGTGTTGCCCTTTCGGCCCTTTAGTATCTCAATATAGCAATGCAGCTCAGCCTGCTTCTTGCTTCGCTATTGGTATTTCCCGTTTCATCACAGACGGAGATGCTATACACCGGACCTATCTCTCGAACCAACTTGAATACTGCCGCCAGTTAGAAGGCTGAGATCTATCTAGCCTTGCCCTTCTTTACAGATCCACCCCTCCCTAAATCCAGTCTTACCCTTTGTGACTATTTCCATCTCTATATACTCTTTATTTATCCAAACCTGCAGGGCTGTGCGTGGTTTCCAATTTGAGCCATGACTAGCTTGCATTTTATCATGGATATGGGCAACGAAGAAGACCCTCAGATAAATAAGAACGACGGCGGCTCCATCCCATCGGGGCCATCTAGTAGTCAAGATCCTTCCCGTGCGGCAACGTCGAGTCATGAGAAGTACAGAGATCAAGACGATAGACTAGCTTCAGCCCCAACCAGACGGCGTGGTCCTACAGGTCGTTCATCTAAATCTACAGCTACCGCTTCTTCGCCGTCGACATCATCATCATCAATACCAAGGCCGGCGCTTATGAGCAGGCAGAGCACTACGAGTTCAGAGCTAATGGATCCCACTACGTACGGAGGTCACGCCCAAGGCTCGTCATCAGGAGGAGGAAGTATGGCGTCTTCCAGTATGCCTACGAGGCCGATGGGTAATATTCCGGGAGAGGGAGGTATGCCGGTGAAATTAACTCCCATCACCGGCCGTGTCAGCAGAGCGAAGAAAGGCGTTCCGGTTCATACCTGCGACATATGCAAACCGCCCAAGGTGAGCGGATTTTCCTCAGAATCTTGCGGAAGGCTAGAGAGGTGGGCTGACCATGATGACAAATTAGACATTCACGAGAGCGGAACACCTTAGGTAAGTAAACTTGGTGACGGATATTGTTGATGTCGTTGAAATGCGAATCACTAAACGCCAACTTTGCAGACGCCACCAATTGAGCCACAGGACGCCCGGATTCCCATGTACTTTTCCCGGTTGTGACAAGGCATTTCACAGAGCCGACTTGCTCGCTCGCCATACCCAGAGACAGTAAGTGGGCAGTGGTATAACAGGCAATACCGCCAGGTACAAGAAGCTAACTGGAATCCAGTGACCATGACGACAAGGCGTCATCGGGGGGCATGAGCCGGCCGCCATCTGCGGGCACGTTGGAGGATCCAAACTCTGGGCTAAGTTACATGACCCATAGTCACTCATCGATGGATGGGGGCCTAGGTTCCCGGCCGGGAATGCCTGGCCCGTCCGATAATTCCTCTGGCACCTCCTATCCCGGCAGTATGTCAACGCACTATCAGATGAGTGGCCAAGGTAATACCAGTGGAGGGAACTCCATGTCCCCGTCACAGCACCCTGGCCGCGGTGATAGCTATCAAAATTCGCCCAACGCTCCAAACCATACCTATGTGCTATCCGGGTTGATTAACAATCAGACCCCGAGTATTGGGGGCTCCCCAATAGCACCAGGTGCTGATCGCTTCTTTGGGCTAGACATCCAACCACGTACATCTTCTCCCTACCCTACCATGTTCATGGACCCTGCGATCTTACCCCATACGTTGCCCAGCTTGACAATACCTGACAACAGTATTCCTCCAGGTCTTGTTCATGCTAGTCATGATGGTTCGCCTTGGCCATCTTCTGCTTCAGAAAGTAATTACTCTACACCCTCAGATATCAGCCACAGGAGGAACATGAACGCCCAAGCGGGATACGAATCGCCAATATCGTCAGACTGGCCTCTCAGTTATCACAGCATGCAAAGCCCAGGCGGCGGCCTCGAGGTTGCCACCACGGCCTCTTTCTTTGGGTCGGCCTTCTCTTCAATGGCGCCGAACATGGATCAAACGCTGAACTTGTCGGTACCATTTTCAGACGAACAGTCCTTCGTCGATCAACAATATCCATCCTATTCTTCAGTTCGTAGTCCGACCCCACCGACTATCTCACTGTCCGCTCAATCGAATGAACATTTAGTCACCCTTACAGCCCCATCAATTCCCGACGCAGCGTCGGCAGGAGCTCGCCAGAAGGGTTCGACGATGCTCCTGGGACCACTCCAGGGGACAGCCTTTCTAACAGCGAGCGCCCTGCCGCTGCACGTCCGGAACGTCATCCCGAAGTACCTACAAGCGTACTGGAAGAGCTTCGACACACTCGCTCCAGTGGTTCACCGCAAAAGCGTTGAAACAGCTGCCGACGAGGTTTTGCGTTGCGCCATGGCTGCCGTGGGCGCGCAGTATCTCCAAGGCAAGGATGATCGTATAAGAGCAAACGAGTTGCATGAATTCGCCTGGAAGGAGGTCAAAACCGTACGTCAAACACCTATGAGATATCTATCTGAAGAAGTAACCGCTAAATCGAAAGCTGCAGCGTACGAAGTGGAACCTTCAAGTCATGCAGACGATCATCCTTTGCGAGTTTTACGCACGGTTCCGTGGACGGAGTGTCCTCCGACACCCCTCGGAGTCCTTCCAGTCGCTATACTCTCGGGTGAGTTCTCAATCTCTTTCTCCTTCTACTCTTGTTGATTCTCTCATACACTCTGCTTTTCAGGATTCTCTTTTTAGTTTTGTTATGTCTTCTCCTAATGGCCGATGGTATCCATACTCAACATGTTCTTCCTTACAGATGGCCAACCACCAGATGCCGGACAAATTTCTTTTTTCTGCCTCAACACGAAACGAACGATGGAACGAATGGATTGATAATGAGTCACGACGACGACTCTTGGCCGCTTGCTTTGTTTTGGATGCGCACACATCTTTGTACTATCAACAGCATGTAATACAACAATTTCCTATGTCGACATTCTCTATCCCCCTAATTCGACCTACCGAAGATCTCTGGGCCGCGCCATCATCAGAAGCATGGGAGGCCCTTCTCGATACGAAACCAGCCAACGCGGGACCTCTAAGTTATTCTGGTGAACCTCCTACGGCGGAACAGGTGATGAACGCGCGATATCTCGACCGTGCTATATTTCTAACCTCGGAGGCTCTTCGCCTGCCTAAGCGATCTAACCCCTCAGTACTGGACCTTTCGGTGGAAGTTGACTTGACTTGTACCGAGCAAATGAGTAGACTCTTCCCGGGATCTGCTGTTGGAAATACTTATCTAGCGTTGCACTATACGCCTCTACATGACCTGCTCGCAGTTAGCGGCGACACCTGGCTCTTCTCGAGGAAGGTGGCATCTCCACAAGTCTTTCAACAGCATAAGAAGCGGTTACAACAATGGTGCGGTAGCCCCTACGCCGGCGCTGCCGCTGGATTTGCCGCCAAGGCGCTGCTAGCCTTTCTCGATGGTACCGAGTCGCGCAATTATAATACACTAAATACTGCGGTTTCTTCAGAGCTAGAAGAGGAAGAAGATGCCATGGACTTGGACAAGAGCTGGAACATGCTGGATATTTCAGATTACTGGGCGGTACACGTTTGCGCTCTCATCTGCTGGGCGCTGGGTCACCGGTCGATGGTCAGGAATAACGGCGCCTTCTCTGGTTCCGGATCGGACTGCAGTTCTCCTCGCTACGACCAAAACAACGATAACAACGGTTCTAATGCTAATGCCGGGGAAGCGGAGGAGCGGGAAGCTATACGGTGGCTGAAAAGGGTAGCCGGGCTGAGTGCCGCGGACTTAGCAGTTGGGGCGCGAAGCCAGAGGGAGTCGATGGGTGTCATTAGCATGGTCCGACGAAGGCTTGAAGACGAGGCCGTCGGTACGAAGAGCCGCCTGTTGGTCGATGCCGTGGGGACGCTCAAGAAACTCGAGGAACGTGTTGGTTATAAGTGGTTCTGAGGATCGAATTATAAGGGGAATAAAACCGAATCAAACACCAAAAAATACAAGGGAAACAGAGGGAAGTCTAGGGATATAAACCCGATGGGAAAGAATGGTTGTTGTATTTTTTTTCCTTATATTTTCCCCTTCACTCTTGTTTTATTTCTTCCTGTCTTTTCATTTCTTGTATTATTATTATATTTTCTCTTTTATTTTCTTCCCCTGAACATCTTGCCCCTTCCAATTCTCTGCTTGGACTATTTTTTCTTCCAGATTTCTATACTTTTTCCTATTCCCTATATGCTCACCTGTTTGTCTTTTCCTGCTTTGCTTTTCTAACTTTTTTTTCTTTTTTTTCCTTCTTTACTCTGACGTTCTCTTGAATCGCGCGCGCCTTGTATATTATAGAACTTTGCAGCCGGAGGGATAGCCACAGAGATACACTTGTACCATTAAAAAAACACGCATTGTAAGGAAAGATAAAAAAACAAAACAAGAATGAGCTGGGGAGGGACCTGGGGTTAAGGAGTCTACTTACTACACCTGCACTGCACTACACCTTGGAGGCGTTGGAGGAGGAGGTTGGGTTTGAACAACCATTTTCAATTATCTACGGTGGTTGGACGAATTCCATAAGCTTTTCAATCGCATTTTTTTTTCTTTTTGCCCAAGCGGAATTGCTCACACATGCTGTACCACACTCAGACCGATCACGACGGGTAACGAATGTATTGTACTCTTAGACAGATTTTGGAATGTGTGTTGGGTTTTGTAGCGGATAGTTTATGACAATAGAAAGAATACGGATCTATCATTTCGAACTTCGAAGTCGATTATGAAATGCGCTTAAGATATTATGACTTTTTGATATAGTTGTTCATAATTAATATAGCGATACTTACCTAGGTACCTAGCTGATAAGGATATGTAGTGTACTATGTATAGCAGTGCGTTGGTTCGTTCGTGTATCTAGATTGCAGGTCTTGGCTCGGTGGACTCGGACATAAGCGCCAATTAATGATGGTTATTCGAAGGATTGGGAACTGGGGCTTTAGTACATAAGGAAAACAGAAAAAAAAAAGGCCTTTGGTTCTCACATGTGATCGGGCGGGTTCAACAAGTACCTAACCTAACCTACTGCGGTTTATGTAAGAGGTACCTAACAATGTATACTTAACATAAAGGCATGCACAAACAATATCGAAATGTGCAGAGGTCTCCTAAGTTCAATAGGTGATTCCGGATACGGCGAAAGAGGCTTGCTTGAGTGGCAATCTGATCTTAATTTGTTTGAAATTATACGGAGTCTTATCTGTTTTTACTATAAGGCTAGGTACCTATGTACCCAGTAAGTGCCTCATTATAAGGGAAATACGAGTTGAGGCGTAAGATAAAGATGTAAAATTTGAAAATTTAACTCCAAGATATTGTCATCAAAAAGGTCGGGTAAACCTGTTGCTCTCGATATTGATGCGATGATAACGCAATATGAGGTATCAATGTATCCGGTACCTGACGTTATCAATGCGTGCGGTAGGCGAGCCGGGGCGAGGTGTAAAGGTGGAGCTAGGTAATCTCACCGTGCAGATTATGACTACAGGTGCTAGCCTACTAGGAGTGTTAGGGGTGGCTAGGACCTCAGCAGCAATCCTCAGCAAATTCCCCTAGCAAATCGATAGATCGGACTTTATCTGACTTTATTAGGCTAGGCTGCTAATAATTACTTACATTTGCTGCGGGCCGGTGCTAAAGCTCGAAAAAGGTTGAAGTTGACAGGTCTTTCCACGCTTTTTCTCTTTCATCATCTTCGGAGCTCAGCCCTAGATAGTAAAAGACCTTCAAATCTTTCCCTTCGAATTTGCCTTCTATTGACACCAACCCAAAGAAAAAAGAAGCCCAGTATCGCTTAATCTTATAGGTCCTATCCAGAAAGTTTATCGATAATGGGGACTTTCCTGTTCAAATGGTAAGTAAAGCAAAGCGAAGCGACGAAGAAGGCGACACCTTTCTTTTTTTTCGTGTCGACCCATGCCCGCGCCTGTATATCCACACAAGCTGCTGCTGGCGTCCTACAACTGGTCACCCGAACATCTATCTCTCCTTCACCGTCTTCTTGCGACCAGCTTTCCCAACATCTCAACAGTCTCACGTCCGATAAAAGAAAAATTGATGTAGAAGAGCTTCGCTGATATTGATCGCTTTTATCTGATTAGGGAGCATCCCGCCTCCGAGGTCTACGTGACCGGCACATTCGACGATTGGAAAAAGACGGAGAAGCTTGAAAAAGTTAACGATCATTTCGAGAAGACGGTAACACTTCCAGACGCATCGTCCAAGATATTTTATAAGGTTCGTCGCGACTTATCCCTTTTCAGATTCTAGCGATATTTGTCGTTTGAATCTATCCACCTATCCTTTCATTCATATTTCTATTCGGATTGTTGTTACCTGCCTTATACTCGCTTCGATGCAAAGAGCACAAGGTTGTTCTTGGGGATCGCAAGATGACTGGTCGACTTTGCGCAATAATCAATGCTTGCGACAAGGGATAACATAGCGCCAAATGCCCCCTACGCGCGCATTCTATGGCTAAAGATATTCGTTCAATCCCTTTCTTGAGCGAATTGAACTACTAGTTTGGCTGGCTGGTTGGCTGGCTCCGCTCATGCTGGCTAGATTCACTATCATGTATTGGCTGTTGGAGTGCGAATTCGCTGGATCCCTCCCCGCCCTCGTGCGTGGGCGGCCGATGCAAAACATTTACCTCCGTGAACCACTTATGACGCAAGGCCGACTTCGAATGCGACAAAGCAAGGCGGGCTCAACGCTGATAGGTCAATTGTACTAGAGTGGTATATTCCAACCACGGATCTAGCCTTAGCGTTGTGATTTACTGCCATGGGGGCAGTTGATGGGGATTTAGGTGCAAGCATTCTCTGCCTTCATCACGGCCGCCGTTGCCATTGTTCAAAATTTTCCAAGGTCTTGTGACACTTTTTTGGTCTTAGCCTGGAAATTTAGACGTTACTCCTCATCAAGTAACTTCTAAGTAACAGGTAGCAAGCGCACGGCAGGCACAGGCGACTTGCATTGTGGAACCCCAACAGCGTCATCCCCGACAGAATTGGTCCTATCCGGTTGTTTTCTGAGTGGGAGCCTTGTCCCTGAACGCCTGACGCAGCTGCCGTAGGACCTTTAGCTACCTCCTAGGCAGATTAAGGTAGTTTACAGCTGCCAATTTTTCGGGTCCTGCGGCATCTTGCATTAGGTGGAATTGTCATTGTTGAGCTGCCTCCAACTTTCACGCGGAAAATCCTCTTTGTTTTTCTTATCTTCCACCACCTTCTCTCTCTTTTTTTTATTCCTTCGCAACGTTGCATCCCCGCCCCGAAATATACCACGAGGCGCGCCATTCAACTTCTAACCTAACCTTTACATACCGACTCTGAGCTAACTATTCACCTTTTTTCTACAGTTTGTCGTCGACGGCAACTGGGTTACCGACCACACCGCACCGAAAGAAGTGGACGAGAGTGGCAACGAGAATAACATCTTAACGCCCGACCGTATTACTGTTGAGATTCCCTCAACAGCTGCCATCATGAGCACCGTCACGCCAGATTCTACAACCGCTGCTTTGGCCGCAGATGTGCCATTGGAGAAGAAGAACGAAGATTTGCCTGGCACTTTCCCTGAGACCCCCGCCGCGGAGCTCGACAAGGGTGGTGATTTCGGTGTAAATCCTCTGCCAGCTGCCGCAGGCGCTGTCAATCCTATCAAGCTCGCTCCGGGTGAGAAGATCCTCGAAGGTCTCGCCGCCAATGGCACCGCCGACCAAGTCAAGCTAGACCCGGAGTCGTACGAGAAGAGTGACACTATTCCAGGTAAGTCTCATTATTGCTCCTGCATGAAGTATGTCGCGTCTAACATTCCCCGAAGGTGGTTTGCCTATTACCTTGAACTCCGCCGCGCCAGTGTCTACCACTGCTGTTTTGGCGGGAAGCGTCCCTCTCGAGCCCAAGGTTCCCGAGGTGGTGAAGGACAGCCAGGAGAAGGCTCATGTTGATCCCGAGGCCAGCGGCATCACAGAGGAGGTTAAGGAGAAGGCTGAAGTCGAGAGCGAGCTTTTGGAGAAGGTGAAGGAAGCGCCTACTACGTCCGAAGGCACCGCTGGTAAAGGCACGGAGAAGACGGAGGATGTCGTTACTCCTGGCGAAGCTGCTGCGTCTGTTGTTGCTGCAGCCACAGCAGCGGGCGCTGCCGCAGTCGCAGGTGCTATTACTGCCAAGGACGTTGCTGTCGAGAAGGCCACAGATGCCACTACATTAGCTCAAGCTTCTGTCGTTGAAGCAGCTGCGAAACTGCCCGATTCAGTCAAGGAGCAACTTCCCGAATCGGTCCAAAATGCCATTGGAAGCACGAACAAGGAGGAAACTCGCGAGGAAGTCTCCCCCGAGGTGCCTGCCGAGGTCAAGGAATCTATTATTGAAGCCAACGAAGCCCCCGAAGCCGCCGCAAACACGGAAGCAGTGGAGGAGAAGAAGGCCGTCGAAGCTGAATTATTGAAGGAGGTCAAGCCTGTCGAGCCTGAGAAGGAAGCCAAGAAGGAAGAAACACCAGCCGAGCCAGCAGAGTCAACAGAAGCTACGACGAAAGTTCCCGCCAGTTCTTCCGACAACAAGATACCACCAGCTCCGGAGTCGACTAATGCCAATGGACATCAAGAAGCCGCAAAGCCTCTTGAAATTAGACGAGTGCCAACTGAGCCCGCCGAACCCGCCGAGTCCACTGAGCCCGCCACCGCCGCTGCCTCAGCCGTGGAAACTACCGCAGCTGCTCCAGCTGCTCCAGAAACTGCGGCCCAGTCGACTGAGGCTACTTCTCCGAGCAAGCCAACAAACGGTGCTGCACCCGAGAAGAAAAAGAAGAGCAGACTTAGCACCATCTTTGGCAAGGTTAAAAGCAAGCTGTCTGGCAAATAGATGCTGCTAGCTTGATTTTTTCTTTTTGCTTTGGGTATTTATTTCGGCACTATTGTCAAACTCTCCGTTTCTTTTTGAAGCTTATGATTCCCCATCTTGCGTCGACTCGCTACCGGCAGGTGCCGATAGGGCAATGGTCACTATCACTTCCTTGTACATAATACTCGTTTACTCGACATTCCTCAACTGTCAACCCCGATAATACGTCACTTCCGATTTGCGAAAGGGCATCGTGCTGTTTTGGATGGTGCGGGTGGTCAAGTTCGTTGTTTTGAGTCAACTCCACTTTTTTCTTGATAGTAGTCCTTATTACGTTCCGACGAGTTCTTGTCGAACTAGGCGGCGTTTCGTCTTGTCTTTTTCTTCCTGTGTTGGCTCACGACTGATGCAATTCGTTTTTTCAACATGGAGAAGTCAAAGCCAGGCTGTTGGAGGGGTAGGCAAGGATCCGGAGTCGCAAAATGCCGTGGGGGGAGTTTGTGATTGGTAGCAGTTAGGTATCAGCCTCTGGCTGCGGAGGAAACTGGATTAATGGTTGGATAATCGAATAGGGCACGTCATAGGATGCAGAGACTGGTAGTTGAGATACGTAGAAGGAGCGGCTTAATAGACAAGTATCATAACTTGGTACACGTATGCTTTGTGATTGTAGGAAATAGTTTGCTCTGGTATTTTACTAGGTACTGACAGGACAGGGCATGCATTATGTACCTAGGTGATACCTTCATATGTCTCCTGAAAAGATTTCTAATCAGAAGTACCTAATTTAATCCAGATACCTAGGTACTTGAGGTACCACTTCTTCTGTTAACTGCTACCTTTTATGAGATTATTGTTCTGACTGTTTTAGTACAGATAGGTATGGAGGTAGGTAACAAACATTATGTGCAGGCTTAGGTGCTTTGTATAAGATTTATGAGATCGTATAGTGGATATAATAAGTAGCGCTAGCCTTGCTGACTGGCGCAGCGGCGGATTTCGGCAGCGTCGTCTCATACTTGGAGTGACATCGAATCGTCACTAAGCATTTCGCCCCGCCGTCTGGCCGTTGACTCCTTCCACTTCTTCCTTTCCCAAACCTTCCGGGGTCCGTCCAGTCTGGACCCCTCTAATTGCGAATTGCCAGCCAACTGTCAATCGAAATAAACACTTTTTATCGTAAAAGAGAGAATCTTTGGATTCTACTCACTAAAAATAGAGCAATCTATTTCAAGTTTATTAATTATTTTATCTCTCTTTATTTTTCTTTCCTTCTTTTTCCCCTTCTTCACTGGCGGCATAAGTTAGGCAAGTCATTTTTTTGCATGACGTCGGCAGACGTCTTGTCAACTTGCAGCTTTTGTTGCGCCGTGTTTTCTCTCAAACCTCGATAAGACGTGTTCGGCCTCAACAGCCATCGGCAGCATCATGAGCTCTAGCTCGTCAAACTTGGGAGGCAAATCCCTTTCTTCTCCGACGCTCTACACCCCTAACTCCCAACCCATCTCGGTCCCCGCGCCCAGCTTCGAAACCAATTCTCGACGTTCCGGTCTGTCGACTCCGTCGTTCCCGAATTCCGCTCCGAGAAAAGGACAAGGTTCGAGGAAACAGCACCGGAACCTGCGAAGGCCGCCGGATGAAGATGATGCCATGGCAGAGATGGTAAGTAGATACCGCGAGCTAACTGTATGCGTTCAATATGTGGTACCGTGTATAACTAACCTACCGTGATAGAGAGCTGTTCGAAATACTTCAAGCCGACGCGGCCAAACTTCCATCACCCATCTCCTGAATTACTCCGTCCCGACGCGTAGCCATCACGAATATCCTAGATCGAATCGCAGACATGCTACCTGGGGCACCGGTTCCGGCTACCATGCTGTTGATAAGGCGAGGTATGTTGATCAATCCCACTATACGAGCGATTGGTCGTTTATGCTTATAAATCCGTCCAGGTTTGTTCACGCCAATTATCGCTTCGTAGTCTCCCCTACCGGAGACTATTCCTCCCAGGCCGTGGATGCCGATAAGTATCTCGACTGGTCGGACGTGTTGCAAATCATAGCTTCCGCCGAATCTCAATCTACATCATGTCCGATCTGTCTGTCGGATCCCGTAGCCCCTCGCATGGCGCGCTGCGGTCACATATTCTGCCTACCGTGTCTATTGCGATTCATGAATTCGAGTAGCGATGACGAGCCGAGTCCCCGGAAAGAAGCGAAATGGAAGAAATGCCCCATATGCGAGGACTCGTTCCGCCTTTCCGAAGTCAAGCCTGTACGCTTCTATGCCGGCCAGGAGAATCCTCTACCGAGACCAGGGGAAGATGTCGTGCTAAGATTGATGGTACGAGATGCGGGTTCTACTTTGGCCCTGCCAAACGAAGGAGGCCAGGATGCTATTAATTTGGACGAAGAAATCCCATGGCACTTTGCGGCAAACGTTATCGATTACGCCAGGGTGATGAAAGGAACTAATGACTACGTGTTAGGGCAGTTTGAAAGAGAAAGAAACGATTTACGGGACCAGGCGCTGGCGGACGAGATGCAGTTTGGCCAAGAAGACGGAGGTTGGACGCAACGAGCTATTAAAGCCATCAACACCGCAGCAGACAAGTTTCGTGATGAACTGAGGGGAGAATCGTTACAACAGGTAGGTAATACCTCAAAGGCGAAACAACCAGCCAGCCAGAAATTTTATTTCTACACAGCGCCTCCGCACCTGTATCTATCGCCTCTCGATATTCGGATTTTAAAGACCAAATTTGGGGATTTCTCAAACTTCCCCTCGACACTACTTCCGCGTGTCGACCATATAACTACAGGCCATGTGGTAGATGACAACCTAAGAAAGCGGGCCAAGTACCTGGGACATCTTCCTCACGGCTGTGTTGTAAGCTTCCTAGAGTGCGATTGGACGGATATAGTGCCTGCAGACATTCTTGAGACGTTTTCCGACGATCTAGAGCGTCGGCGTAAGGCACATCGGGACAAGGCAGCACAAGAGGAACGCGAAAGGTTACAGGCAGAACGTCTAGAGGCGTCTGCTATTGGGCGTAGTGCCAGGCGGCACTTTGATCAAGCCAACCAGGATAAGTTCGAACCTGCTCCTACTATGAACTCGGAGGACTTCCAGCCACTTGGCGCTGCGGAGGGCACATCCCCACCAAATCCCCGACCGGGTTTCAGCCAGCTCGCAGACATGTCGACCAGCCCATCGACATCGAAGACAGTTTGGGGAACCCCAGCGATTCCCGTTTCACCTCAGTTAGGACCCTTGCCAGAGCGCGAAATCAATGACGGCTGGTTGAGAGACGATGAGCTTCTTGACGCCGCTGAGATAGCAATGCAGATGGAAGCACTGAGCATCGAACCAACGGGTGCCGGACCAAGCAATGGGCCTACCGGGGGCTCCGGCGGCAAGAAAAAGAAGCAGAAGAAGATTACATTGATGAGTACGAGCGGCCGTCGCGGCGGCTAGCCGTTTGGTACCGATTTTAATGGAACTGCCTGCTTTTTTATTATTATCATTGTTCTTTAGCCGGATTTGGGAGCGAAGGGGAATCATATGCGGGAGTATTCTTTCTCTAAACCTGTTCCTACATACGTTCCATATTACACCGACCTCGCTTTATTTATTCCAAAGGAAGGTGAGGAGCGAGGCGGTGTCGGCTGTGACCGAAGACCGAAGATTTAAGACTTATAAGCATGGGAGGCCGAAGCGGCTTAACTTTACTAACTATACTCAATATGACTTCGTGAGGCATTGTGATTTGTAGTAGCAAGTATATAATGTGGCGCGTATGAGTATGACACCTAGTAATTTATACTAATGGAGGATACTATATTATTAACAAGTACCTGAACTTTGAGTTGAATGACATGTTGAGGCAGTTAACTGTGAGTTAACTCACTGAATTTTACTTAAAGGTACCTACCTATAGTCCTAACAGTGACAGGAGATATGATATGATAACAGGTGTCAACACTTTCTTATCTATTATAAACTACCCCTTTGACCCCGCCGTGTTATCGTTATTGTTAGATCTCATCCCACCCTATCTCATACTACCTCAGTTATTAACTTTTATATATATTTTTGGTACTCAATATAGCCTATCGAGTTAACAGTCTGCAACTTGCCTCAAGCCAGCCAGCCGGCCAACCACCTAGATAAATAGACATACATTTGGCATATGATATAAATCACCTCAGCCTAACCAGGTACCTACCTACCTACCTACCTGACTAAAGGTTGGTCCAACCCAGTCCAAGTTAGGGGGAACGGTTTCAAACCAGTAAAAGGTACCTGGTAACGATGGAGACTGCCACCCCCACTGCCAGATCACCCGTGCCCGTGCCCGTACCCCTCCGCATCGTCCCGCCGCTCCTCAACTCGGCGAACCCGTGGGCGACGACGAAGGAGGACCTGCGGGCGCTGTACGAGTGCGCGTCGACGGGGGCCGTGACGACGCGGACGGCGACGTTGGACGGGTTCGGGCACGATGCGGCGCGGCATCGGTATGCGTTTTTCGATGGAGGGACGCATGCTGCCGTCGTTGGCGGGGTAGGGGGGGAAGAGGGGATGGGGGCGAGTCTGAATAATATGGGGTATAGCCCCGTGCCGCTGGACGAGTATCTCGCGTGGATCGAGGAGATAGTGTTATCGTCGGGGAAGAGCAAAAAGCAGAAGGAGAAGAAGGAGAAGAAGGAGAAGGTGTTTATCGTGTCGATCACGGGGTCCCCGGATGACGTCGCGGAGGGCTATCGCCGGATCGCGGCTTTAGCGGCGCGAATCGTCGACGGTGCTGGTGCTGATTATGATAAAGAGGGACAATACGTCCCCGTCCCCCTCGCCGTCGAGATCAACCTCAGCTGCCCGAACATACCCTCCGCCCCGCCGCCCGCGTACTCCGCCGCGGGGCTCGAGGCGTACCTTGAGGCGGTGGCACTTGCCGCTACTACTATTACTACTACTGCTGCTGTTGATCGCGGGGGATCCAAGGCGGAGCCGGGGAAGGGCAAGGTGGTCGGTGTGCCGTGGGGCGTTAAGATCCCGCCGTATACGCACGCCGGACAGTTCGAGATGCTTGTCGGTGCGCTGAAGGGTCTTGCCGCGCATACGAAGGCCGCTAGCGGTGGTGGGGATGATGATGATGACGGTCGGTGTCCGGTAGGGTTTGTCACGGCGACGAATACGCTTGGTTCGTGTCTGCTGCTGGACGGGACGGAGGGGAATAGCCCGGTGTTGGGCGGAGAAGGGGTTAGTGGGATTGGAGGGATGGCGGGGGCGCCGTGTAAGAGATCTCCTTTTCTCTCTCTCCTTTTTCATTTATGCTTTTTTTTTTTTTCCCCTTCTGGTCATCTCGTAGAGGAAGTAAATTCGTTTAGGTACCTGTTACCTACCTTAGGTACCTACCTAGTCTACTAACATTCCGCTGTAGTACATCCCTTGGCGTTAGGCAACGTGGCGACTCTGCGACGGATGCTAGATTCGTCGCCGGAAACTGCGTGCGTGCAGATAATAGGGGTTGGCGGCGTCTCGGATTCGGCTGGGTATAGGCGGATGAGGGACGTAGGGGCCGCGGCTGTAGGTGTGGGCACGGCGCTGGGGAAGAAAGGGGTTGGGGTATTTCGTGAGATTGAGGATGGGCTGAGGGTATCGGCGGGGGATGGGGATGGGGAGGCGGTAAAGTGGTGATGTGATATGATGATACTCAAAGTGGTCTATGATGAAACTGACAAAATCTATGCCAACTCATGTTCTAATGGGGTTTCAAGCCGACGTATTTTGCAACGAGCTACTCTTGAAAACGGGTTATTCCATCACGATGCCATATAATGAGAACCGTCAGTTCAAGGGACCGGTTTGTTTGTTTTCGAGGAAGAGCTGTGAAGAGACCTGGTCGTTGTAGACATCTTATAAGATACAGGTAGTTGTATTACATGTAACGCCTGAATTTAATAAAACAGCACGTCGAGTACATCATGAAATCAGGGGTAAAAAAAAGACAAAGAAAAAAAGAAAAAACCTATTCAGAAAAGGGGACACATCGCAGTATGCTAGGTGCGTATTAAACCCCCCCCCTCTCCTTCGCCTCCCTTCCCTTCCATTCCACCTCCTCTTCAACTTATCTGAGTACATCTTATTCGCAACAGCCTAGAAATTGTCATATATCGCCGTAATAATAGGAATACATATGAAAAGGACAAAAGGGGATCGACTGTCCTAATTCCATTTTTTTTTCTTTTTTCTTTTTTTTTTTTACTCGTAACTTTGGTGCTTTGAACGGAAGTGTAGGCGAGTGACAGTGACTGAGTGACTGAGCGAGCGACCCTATAGGAAATACGCAGCAACTCCTACGAGTGCGGCAAGCTTGCCCCCGGCGTGAATCACCATCTCGCCGGCGCCGTTGCCGCTACGGGTGGGCGAGGCGGTGCTCGTCGCCGAAGTGAAGTCGGCGCTTTTTACGCCCTCGCCAGTCGTGGTCGCCTCCGCGGACGAGGTAGCCGAGACGTCCTCGATGCTGATGGTGCGGTTGGCGGTCGCGGTGCCGTACAAGCTGGCGTCCGTGCTGTGCGGTCGGGCAGGGGGTGTTAGTAGTGAAGAAGGAAGGTGGGTGGTTTAATGCGAGAAAGAAAAAGGGGTAAGAAAAAAGGCGACACGATACGACAGGAATCGTCTTGCTACGTATAAGGCGGCGACGTAAACTCAAACTTACCAATAGAGATCTTTTGTTTGTTGGTAGCTCGACTCCCGGGGGTCGTTCGGACAGTTGTAGAAGCAGCTATTATAATAATGGAATCAGCATTCTTGGGCGTCTCGTTTTCTTATATGCAAAGATAAGGGAGGGCTTCGTACGTCATGATGGCAATATACTTGTCGCACAAGCATATATAATCGGTCGTCTCGCAAAGACTGACATAGCTCTCGGTCGTGAAGAGACAAGTGTCGAGGATATTCTGCGCGGCGCAAGCCGTCGTAGAAGTGGCCGTGGCATCGTCGTTGTCGTCTGCGCCCGCCAAGGCGGCAGCGGCAGCGAGGAACAAAATTCGGAACACGACAGGCTTCATGATGGTTGAGTATGAGAGACTGACTGGCTATGTGACGGACAGTTCGCGGAACTGGAAAGAAAGACTTAAGAGTATAATTTCACAGAGAGAGAAGAGAAGAAAATGGCTGTTTCACAACGGTAGACATCGCGATAAGACTGTGGGCGTATCTGTATGTATGCTGGCTAGAATATTGCCAAAGTGGTAAACACGGAAGAAAAAGGGGGTGCGCCTAGGTGGGAACTATAAGTTGCCCTCCTTCGGGCTGAAATATCTCAGCAAGAGGATGGGCAAGGCGTCCGATGTTGACACGATAGTTCGTCGGTGCATGGGTCCCCTCATATCTTCTCGAGCAGAGGGTTCTAAACCCCCTCCGTGGATTGGAGCTCAAATATGACTAACCTCGATTCTAGTTGGCGTAGCGAATTCCTCAAATGTTTCAAAGTTCAGATGAGTTACCAGTTACTATAAGGTTGTATGTATCTCCGCATTAGAGCCTAAGTTGGGCCATCTCACATGTTGAGTTTTGCGGTTAAAATAAGGTATTGAGTTGTTTTGAGGAGAGAATCGAGAACGTTGAACCTAAGAGGCTCGAGTTAATAGTGTGTTATCTATGTTACTACTATAACGTCAACATGATCTCGAATTTAATGATGAATATATATGGCAACTAGATAGACGGCCATATAGATCGAATGATGTATCTATGTTATAACAGACATGATACTGGAAAGCAAAAAGGGGGTATCTTAAACAATGGAAACAACCTGACAAACGACACAGTTTGCATTGGACTAGCTATAGATAGTGTGGAAAACATGGGACGGCGAACAAGTAATGAGACTCAACTTCGGCCGTACTCCCACACCAACACTACCTCATTCCCTTATAGAGTAGCATAATAAACTTTCTCGGGCCAATCCATAACCTTACTTTTCCCCATCTCCACCTCCATCGGTGTTTTAACTACGAAGATTGGGCTAGGCTCGATGTACCTTACATAGTAGATATGTGCGAGGCCGGTGAAGGATGTGAAAAACAGTCGGAGGCATAGGGGGAAAAGGAAAAAAAAAAAAAAAGGAGCTAAACATTCTCGACTTGCGAGAGCCTCGCCTCCAGCGCGGCATTGCGCGCCTCCAGATCCGCGATGCGCTCGCGCAGCTCCTCCGACTGCTCCTCGGCCTCCTCCTCGGCCTCGACGGAGAACTCGTCGACGATCTTGACGAAGCGCCACAGCCTGAGCACGACGATCAGCGACGCGATCTCCTCTGCCGTGTTGTGCTCGAGCAGGTCGATCGCGAACCCGACGACGATGACGAAGGCGTCGAAGCAGTGCAGCTTGCTCGAGAAGTACCTGGGTCGGCGGACATCCGACGCTTGTGATCAGTTTGCTAGGATCGCCGAAGGAAAGAAAAGGGGAAGAAGGTATCTAGGTAGGCACAGAGAGAGAGAGAAAGGGGGGGAAGAGGAAGCGAGAGGAAACTCACCGCCAACCGTCCGCAACAAAAGACAGCAGCAGCTCCAGCAGGAACACGCAGCTCAGAACCAGCTGGAAGATGTCCAGCGCGTGCCTCGTCGGCGCCACCCAGGCGTCGTGCTGGATGCCGAGCTCGCACGTGATCAGCGCGATGAAGATGTCGCTCAGGATGCCGGCGACGTCGAGGATGATGAGGGTCAGGACGAGCCGGTGCTTCGCGCGCGAGTTCACGAGGCGCGATATCGCCGCCCGGGTCTGCCGGTAGGCTGCTTTCCAGCTTTCCAGCGGTGATCCGTCGGGTTGCGAGCTCTCATTTTGTAGGTGGTTGTGATTTTGATGATGCGGGCCTATTGTTTTTTATAAACTTGTTGGCTTGTGATGAGAATAATTTGCGTATTAGGTAGGTATTGCTTATGGCTTTGACATCATAGCCTAGAAGTATAAATAGGTAGATAGGTAGATACATACATAAGGACGGACTCACCTAGAAGGGGAGCGTTGTCACTCATGGCTTATGATATTGTCTGGTTGCCGATGAGTTCCTATGTCACAGAAACACCCGAAGCAAACATATAAGAAAGACGACTGATTTTGTTGTTTACTATGTATAATAAAGTTAAGCAATTATTATTATCCCTGGCGTAACATGAGAAGTATGGAACTAGGTACCTAGGTTAGGTAGATGGTAGAAATGCACCTAACCCACCTAAACTAATCGGATATACCTCGGTAATCGAATTCCTGAAGCCCATCTTCAAGTATCCCTCTATCATTTCCCGAGGTCGTTTCAACACATACGGAAGTGTCTTGCGAAGAAGTCTAAACTCGAAGTCGAAGTTCAAGTTCAAGTTGATTTCCGCAATGTCAAGTTCAACCGTCTTACCACCTCCGACCTTAAGAGGGAAATCGGAACATAAAGTTACCTACCTGAGGTTAGGAGGTAGGTACACAATTTAATGTCGGACTTGGAATTAATAACTTCCTTGGCAGAACAAGGCAAAACCTCAATTGCCTTTCTCAAAAAAAAAGAAGTTGGACGTAAATACTTCCCAGTACGTAAACCATGCGAATGTATATAGCCCGCGGTATCATATGTACAATACGTCCCGTCACTCCTCGAACAAAGAGAGAGAGAGAGAGAGAGAGAGAGAGAAGATGCAGTGGTATATCGCCGCGCCGTCGGAAAATCCCCCTCCCTCTTGAGCATCTACTGTATCTTTCTTTGCCCTTCTTGCCCCTTCTCCAATCGCTTATTACCATCCTCTCCCGTGTCTACTTCCTGTACCACATCCTCGTGATCTTGGTCTTCCTCATCTTCCGCTGGAGCTGGAAGATGCCGTACATGAGGGCCTCGCTGGTAGGGGGGCAGCCGGGGACGTAGACGTCGACGGGGACGACGCGGTCGCAGCCGCGGACGACGCTGTAGCTGTAGTGGTAGTAGCCGCCGCCGTTGGCGCAGCTGCCCATGCTCACGACCCAGCGCGGCTCGGGCATCTGGTCGTACACCTGGCGCAGCGCCGGCGCCATCTTGTTCGTCAGCGTGCCCGCCACGATCATGATGTCCGACTGTCGCGGCGACGCTCGGAAGATGATCCCCAGACGGTCCTGATCGTACCGCGGCGTCGACACGTGCATCATCTCGACGGCGCAGCACGCCAGCCCGAACGTCATCGGCCAGAAGGACGATTGCCGCGCCCAGTTGGCGATCTGGTCGAGTGTGGTCCTAAGACGGGGGGAAAAAGAAAGTGGCGAGTTAGTCTTTTTTTTTTTTTATAAAAAAAAGGTTCCGTAGTATGGTAATTTTAAGAAATATTTGTTTCCCTTTTCGCCTCTTTCAACGGGGTGTCTGATGGGAATGGGGAGGCGAGGGTATGACGTACAGGGTGTATTGGATGACGCCCTTCGTGGGCTCTTGGCTGGGGAGAGGGATTTCCCTACGCGGGCGGTCTGCGAGGCTTGTAGAGCCGTGAGGCGTTACGGAGGTCGCATCTTTCTTAGAGGTGGTCGAGATAGCAGCTAGAGACTGGAGAGGAACGATACGAGGAGTCGGCTTCGCTGAATTATATATATGTTAATATGTTGTTAATATGTTTTGAGATCGATCAGATACGTTACGTACCTCTCAGAGCCAAGGTGGCCGCTCTTCGCGACGAAGACAACATCATTTCACTATTCGAAAGATTGATAAGGGAAGTTGTAAGGTTGAGTATAAGGTTGAGTGGAGAGGGGTGGCTATTATTAAAAAAAGATAAAACGAGATAACTCTAATTAATAAAAGTTGCTCTGGCGTCAATCCATCGATTGCAGGTGCATCTGCAATTGCGGACCTTCCGTCAATTGATCGTTAACCAAGAGCTTAACGTTTTTGCCGCAGGTTCGCTAATCAAGAAATGCTTCCATCCGACTGGCCGAACCTGTTCGGACTTCGCATATTCCGCTCCGGGACGACCCCCACCTCCAGCTCGAGGTTCCATGGGCCATACGTTAGGTACCTAGGTACCGGGGTACATAAGTGAGCTTTTGGCAATAGGTGTTGACACTTGACAGCCGTAATGATACAAAGTACAACAATATAAATCAAAAACAATTAAACCCGCCTACTAACAAATCAATGACTGATAGGATCATATATACAACCAGACATCTCTATGGAGCTCTGAAGGGGTATTCAGTAACGATACTAGCTAAATACCTACTAACGTACCTAAGCTTGAAAGTAAAGAATTTAACACGCTCTTTAGCGACTATTGTATGCTCACGGTTGACCTGATAAATGTACCTACCTATCAGGTACTCTTCTCATATCTGGGTTCTTCCTTAGCTGTCGACGCTACTAAAACTGGAAAACATTAAAGGAGCTACCTAGCTCCTAAGTAGGGGAGGTTGAGGTATAAGACATGGCTATAGCCTCACTTTATCAAGCCTTATTATCCCCTTACCCCTTACCCCTTAAAACCATCCCACGTGCACACATCGCTTCGTTCCGCTTCCTCTCCTCTACACCAAATGCAAGCGCTTCATGACCGCGAACGCGGCCTTGCGAGAGGGCCGCCACACGTGCTTTTTGCCGTCGTAGCGCGCGTAGGCCCACCCGATCGCCAGGCCCGCGAGGTGCTGGCCGTGCGCGAACTTCACGAGCGGTATCCCGAAGAACAACCCGCACGTCTCGAAGGCCACGAGCGCCAGCAGGAAGTTCTGCGCCGAGTAGCTCCCCGGCACGAACAGAATCCCGATCGACGCCTCCGGGTACAGGGCCGCCCACATCGCTAGAACTGGTAGGAAAAGAAGGTTTTGTTAGTAGTTGATTTTTTTTTTTTTGGATTTCTTCATAAAAAAATGAAAGATAAAAGATAAAAGTAAAAAATAGAATTTGGCAATAACTCGGGGGATGATGATGATAACTACATAGTTGTAACGTTTTAAAGGTAAGGTAGGTACCCGGGCAATGCGTGAAAATATATGTATAAGCAAATGTGATAGAGGTTAGATATGCACTTACAGGCCGAGATCACGCCGCTAGCCCCCATGTGCGGAACGAGGCGTCTGTACTGATAATTCCGCGAGGGCAGGATGGAAGAGATCTGGGAGCCGAGGGACGAGAGGATGCCGGCGGAGAGGTAGAAGGCGGCGAAGTGGCAGCCGTTGCCGGCGAACACGCGGGGCTCGCCGGCGACCTGGGGCGCGAACTGGAGGAGCACGAAGGTGTTGAGGCCGGCGTGCAGCAGGCCCGTGTGGCCGAACATCGACGTCAGCAGCGTGTAGTTGGGGCTGAAGCACGGCACGTGCCCGAAGTGCTGGATCAGCGCCATGTAGTGCGCCCCCAGCAGGCTGATGTTCAGCGCCGAGAACCCCAGCAGCACCTTCTCCGCGTCGTTGTACGCCGCGAGCACTTCGCCGAGCTGGCCCGGCGGGTAGTACTTCGACGGCGACGATGGCGACGAGCGGGAAGAGGAACGCCGCGAAGAATGCCCGCCGCGATGCTTGGCGATTTCCACGTCCTCGTACGACGCTTCTCTTACGTTTTTGAGAAGCCCTCTCCTCTTGAGGTCCCGGACGTCTCGATGGACGTCGTAGGCTGCGCATCCGAGAAAGATGGTGGCCGTGGCGGTTAGGGCCCACAGCGTCGGTCTCAGGACCGGGACGGGCGGGAGAAACTCCTTCGGGATATTAGGCTCGGTTCCATACGCGCGCCTCGAGGAACCGGCCCCGAATATGCGATTAGGCCTAGGTGGTCTAGGAGGTAATCTAGGTGGTGCAATTCTCCTAAGCTGTGCCCACAACATTGTCATTGTTAGAAGCCTTGGATGGTGCACAGCCTATCTAAATGTCTAGGAGATAGTGGCCATCAACAAGCCAAGTCCAGGTTTATGAATCCCGAGTTTGGCGCTCATTTGGGGTATAGAAAGAACTTTGTCGCGTGATGATGGCTTGGGATGTAGGAAGAAAGTATAGGGACTTCGGTTGGTGACGTTTAAAGGGAATGATTGATAGGCGTGGATAGGCGACGGTGACAGTTGTTTGCCAGCTGGAATTAATTAACCTTAGACAGTTGATCTCACCCCCTTAACTTGGATCCAACACATCTATCTGCTCTCATTTCATCCTACAGTAGGTACGATCACACGACAGTGAGTTAAATGAATTTAATTAATAAACCACGAATACGCTTAAAGCCGTTGGATATGTCTATAAGAAGAATCTCATCGTTTACATTCCTCCAGCTTCTTCAGCTGCTTATTTTCGCCGTCGAAATTCGCAGGATCCAACCAAGCCTCGAGCGCTTGTTTAACACCGGGCCACTCGTCGTCGACGATAGAGTACCACGTGGTATCTCTGCTGCGGCCTTTGGCAATAAAATGCTTCCTGAAGAGCCCCTCGTACGTGAATCCGAGACGCAAGGCCGCCCTCCGACTTGGCTCGTTGAGAGAGTTGCATTTCCATTCGTACCTTCGGTACCCTAGGTCCTCGAATGCGTGTCGCAACATTAGGTACTGCATATAAATAGTTAGTTATAAGTACCTAAGGTACTTACTTGATTCGCCCTTAGGATGGTGTTTAGGTGTTTTAAATAACCACTACGTACCATAGCCTCGGTAGCAGCGGGTGTGCGCTGCAGCTGCGGCGAGTACATGAGGTGACCGACCTCGATAGAGCGGTTCCCCGGGTCGATTCTCAGGTAACTAGCGATACCGACAACCGCATCATCCTCCTTACCATCATGTCCTGCTTCTGCGAGCTTCTTATTTGACAATATGGCATAAAAGACGGGATCTCGGCTAGTCTCCCTAGCTTTCAGAGTAGAGCGGAACGCGGCAATATCATCGTACGGCCCGTCAAACATGTAGTCCCAGAGATGCGCGTTGTCGGGCCCCGATATATGTGGATACAGCGGATCAGCGTGCGCTGCGGACAACCCGACTAGCGTCACATAACGGCCCGCCAACCTGGTATTCCGGGACGGACGTCGAGCTGGGTCGGTGCTAACGATTGCCCCTAGAGGGTTGGGAGCACGACTCGCCATGGTTGCAACCTAGTGTGCGAAAGAGAGGTCGGAGGGTTTAGCATGTACTTGAGAGTTGAAGCGATAAAATTATAAAGTTAGGTAATAGTTACAAATTAATACTTATTCAGGATGAGCGAATAGAGTGACTCAATTGCGTTATCGGCCGCTTCTTTTTTCTTACATTGCAGCAACCTCTTAACCGAACCGAACTGAGCTAGACGTATACTATGAAGATAGTCCAAGTATAAAATATTAATAAAATCAATTATAAAGCTACCTTACTATCTATTTCCCGGCTTTTTCTTTTACCGTTATATCATCCTTTATGTATAGTCTTACTTATTTTACTTATCAAGTTCTATAGAATGCATGTGACAAGTATAATACCCATAGTCAACCCTAACAGATTTATATATGACGAAACGAAACACTATGAAAAGACTATACTAGAATATACCTCCTATTCCCCTCCATATTATCCCACTCGCAGTTTTTGCCGTGTCCCTAAACGGAAAAAAAAAAGAATTCCTTGTTCTAAAAATCCCTTCCACACATTCGAAATATTATATAGGCACCTAGACAACCCTAGGTTTAATAGCATTTCTACATTTGCCGCCTCAGCTCATGCGCAACTCGTCCAAGTCCCCAGCACCCTAGCACATGGCATTGCAGTTGGCGTCGTAATGGCACGAGCCCCTATCCTTATTCGATTCATTTGCGCCGCACCCGTCTTCGATGATCATGTGGTTGCCTTTGGTTTTGCATTTGAGCTAAACAGTTAGCAAATCTAGATGCCTACGACCTTTTTTTTTTCTCTCTTTTTCTATCTGTCTTTATTATGATGCTTGATAGGTAGTAGGTAAGAGGTAGGTAGGTAGGTAGCGTTTACCTTGATCCCCTGCCCATCACAGCCGTAGGTGTAACCGTAGCACGGATAGGAGATTCTCCCGGTCCAGCACTTGCCGCCCGAAACCGAGGTGTCTCCCGGTAGCGCTGAAACCGTCGCTAGAGGCAAAGCGACGGAGAGGAAGAATACGGCAGCGGTCTTGAGCATCATGTTTGCTGGCGGTTAATGAAAGGTGCTGTCTTTGTAGAAGATATTACTACTCGTAGGTAAGTTCTGGTGAGATGGCTGCGTTCGATTTGGTTGCTTGATGAAAATAGCAAAGTTTAAGAATCCAACGTCAAGGCGAAACTTCACAACTCTTATACTTCCTCGCCCTTACTCGCACGCACAGTAAACTGAAAAGCTGCCAGGACGTTTTGCTCAAGGGATTGTGTTACGAATAGGGATATAAACACAATGCTGAGAATTTAATTTAACCCTCACAAAGTGTATTGCGTGAGGGCGACAGAATATGTGACTACTTCACTTGTAAGAACTCCTCCTGTATAACAGCTACTTGATATAATTCAACATGCGATCTTCATCTAATGTCTGAGCGCATTTAGATGTAAGATCAATCATGACAGGGTTATGTCGTGAAGCAGTTGTAGGGGAAGGCCGGATGTAAGGGTTGCTTGATTCACGGTGTGACTCCCGTCTCTACCATCCAATTCAGGTACCTAGTACCTAATGCAAAAGATTGTTTGCTATGTATGGTCAATGGATATTAATTCCGCAAGGCTATATGATTAAGAGGTGTATGAATGATATATTAGTTGAGAATATTAAGGAGTAGCCATGAGAAATTTTAAACTAGGAGACATAGACCTTCACAATTTATCTGGGGTAGTATAGGTACTAAATCGGCAAAGGAGAAGTAAATCGTCATATAAACCTCATATCAGAGGGATGAATATTTCCGAATGATAAGGGGCCATATTCGTGTTATACCATTAAAAAATCGAGGTGACCACTAGAATATTGTGGGCGCGTATAGTGAGAGGTAGAGGTCCAACAACGTTTATAGTGACAACATCTATTCATCCCTGCTATCTACATAGGACTTGAGAGATAATAGTCGCTAGAAGTAGGGGTATCCTTTGACAACAATTCCAAGCATTGCTAACTTGAGCCTTTGTGATATCCCAAGGGAACTAAGTAGCTAGGTAGTCTCAGATAGTAAATGATGGCGATTTCGAGTTGAATTATCGTAGAAGTCTTCGGTGAGTTTCAAGAGAGAATGTTAAATCCCTACATGAATCATAACTACCAGGGACGTGCTTGTTCAGCTGAGTTGACAACAGGAGTATGCTAACAGGTAGGTGAATAGGAGTTGCGCGACCCTGATAGTCAATTACGGCTTAAAAAGTTTGCTGGACAATGCACTATGGCATCTATATCTAATGAAAGAGGATGTAAGCTTGCCTATGGTTACAGTTACACAACAATGAAGTTTCTAAAGCGAGGTAACAAAATCATTGTCCTTCTAGAGCCTCCGAGGGTACAATTGTGTTGATACTCAACAGCCAAATACTAACACCGGATACCTAAATTGATAGAGCACAGCGCTTCAGAGCAAAAATGGATTGTATACGAACGATAGTAAACAGCACATATGTGCGGATTCCCCTATGAGTATATATGTGTGATATATCGAAGCTTTCATTCCGATTGAGAATATCCAAGACATAGAAACAACAGTTTTCTTACCTTTTCGGATACCATCAAAAATACGATTATTCATTAATCTATCAACACACCTACACAGATAACTCAAAAAGCTAAACCTCAAGTTATACGTTATAAAAGGAAAAATGGCGGCTAGAGACCCCAAAAGTTCTCGTACAGGCATGCGCACTAGGCGGGAGATGTATATGATCTCGACCTACATCAAACTCTTGCGAGATGAAGGGTACGACAACAGGGACATCTGGGTCATGATTCACGAGTACGAGAGGGGCAAAGGAAGAACCACAGGCTTAGCGGAACAAGTCGCCAAGGAAGTGGGCATAGATCCAGCACCACCCGGCTGGAAAGTAAAAAGACGTCAGGAGCCTCTCAAATTGTACAAGAACCCGGAAGCTGCTGAGCCGGTGCGAGTCCGGTTCAAGGAAGTAGAAGAACCTGCTCCGCAACCTAGGAGGAATGTCCGCATCCGGGAACCAGCCCCGGAGCCTCCTCCATCGCCACCACGACCACCAAGGTACGTGGAATCAAACCTAGAGCCGTTGCACGTGGCACCACGGAGGCTAGGGTCTGATGTTCCAAAAATTCGGAATCAACCGCAAACACTTGAGCAAGCTTTGCAAACGCGTATACAGCGACGTGCCTTCAGGAAGGCCAATAGGAAGAGATACTGGGAACTAGGAGGAAGATATGGACATCCCCAATTTCCTCGCTACAGACAGTTCCCTACAGGGGAGGAGAAACAGGCTATAACGACTTCTGAGAAACGTATGCGGCGACATGCCGAACGATATCGGAGAAACCCCCACGCCATGCGCACAATACGAAGTCAAGATAAGCCTCAAAACGAACCACCTAACCCAGGTGACTCAACTTCCAATCCAATACCTCCATTGTCTTCGAATCCGCCAGTTCATCGGCCTGACATCACAGGGATGCCCAGAAGTGCCCTTATCAGAATAATTGAGTTACTTCCATCTGAATCGCAGATTAGGCTTGCCCTCGCTATCCCCGGTACCTTCCAGTCGCCGACTGCCGTAAATGTATTCACCCTCGACGCGGAGCGCCAGATGAAATATCTCCGGCGTCTACGCCGGCATATGAGGGGTGGGCCACAGGTGACACTTCCATTACTTTCGGAAGCAATCCATGACACCAGCTTGGATGTAAATGATATCAGCCAGATACTCGACGGGTATGCCGCCCACAGTGGAGATGTCCTCAACGATATGTATTTGCACAGAGGTTTTCCTCCGCCGCTCGTGGCTGCGATTTATGCCTCTAGAGCAGATTTGGTCAGCGAACTCATTAACAGGGGTGCTGATATTAGGATGACATGGCCGGACTACGTGCCGGTCAACGGACCGGATGACGTACCGGAGATGCTCGAAAGTGAACGTTTGCGTCGTTGCCCAATGAGAGTAGCTCACAATAGATGCCGGGCACCGCATGGATTCCCCAGAACATATACTGACTGCCCTAGCCTCATTCATCACGCTATTTACGTACATGGAGTAAGATATTATTCACAAATGACCGACGGGAGCCCTCCTGGAAGTGAAGAAAATGAAAGAAACCGCGTGCGAAGAGATAACACCGAAGATACGGTTGCAGTTATGGCATTTTGCGAGAGACTACATCGGCTCGACCAGAGGGGGACTGATAGTGCCATTGCGAAAGGTCTTGAAGCGTTAATCGAGACTGGTCTTTATAGAGCCATTGGTTACCTAGTTGACCAGATGGTCAAAGACATACATGTCGACGAGTCAAGCCGAATGAAAGCCCTCAACAGCCTCCTTATGGATTTTGCTTTAGAAGAGATTGACACGACCGGCAAAAGTGATGGAGCTTGTCGCGAAGATCGCGACCGCCGCGATGACCTGATGCGCCACTTAGTAGCGCACGGCGCCAGAATTGATACAAGACATGCACTTGATGTTGCTGCAGTTGATGGGGTCCATGGGCACAGCTTCTTAGTTATCTTGGGGGAAATTGCTCGAATCAATCCTAACGACAATGATGAGATGTACCGTTATCTTGCCAACGCAAAGCAAAGTGACAATACGCGAATTTTCACTGTTCGGTTATCTCGGATGATGAGCGGCCGCGTAGGAGATCAGGCCCGGTTGCTTTACGCAACGATTCGAGACGGTGCCCTCCGAACTTATGAATGTCTTATTGCAAACAAGACCGCGGTGGCCTCTAGACAAGCTATGTATATGGCAATTGAACGGGATGATCTCAACATTCTCGGTCAACTCATGGCTTTACCCGACAAGCCGAGTGCCGATAAGGATGCTCCTCCTAATGATGGGTTTGTTGGGCCTGTTTATAATGCTATTGGGAAACCTGATGATCCCGCTGATTTAATTGCACGGCAAGGACGCAACATCCTAGAGGCTGCGTTGGTTATGCGGAAGTTTGATGTGGCCCATTTCCTTATTCAGAAGGGCTTCCCGACGGCAATTGACAAGGCTGTGCTGGAACGCGTCCAGCTCGGTGCTCAAGAACTTGCCAAATCAATAGAGCCGATGACCGCTGAGGCTCTAAAGGCAGCAGGCGAACCCCCGCTTGATTCCGGACGTATATTACCAATCATGACAGGAAGTGCCGGTGACGCTGAGGCAGAAAGGACGTATAATGAGATGGTTGAATCCTTCAAAGCGCTTGTAAGCATACTCAACAAGGCCAACGACAAGGCCAACGACAAGGTCAACGGCAAAGTGCTCGAAATAGCGGTTGTGGGTGCTGGGCCGCGCGGGACTAGTGTTCTGGAGCGTATGTGCGCGTCTGTAGCAGAGATTATACCCGCGGGTACAGAGCTTATAATCCATGTGATCACCCCGTGCCCAGCGGGAGCTGGTAAACTCTGGCGTACGGATCTGCCGACAACTTTAATAACGGGTACCATTGCATCGGAGATGACCTTGTACACCGACGGTACCGTGAAATGTCAAGGGCCGATACGCCCAGGGCCAACTTTATATGAATGGGTGCAGTCTAACAGGCCGGAACATGGACTGGGTCCTGATGACTACGTTCCCCGTGCTCTGTATGGCGAGTACCTGAGTTGGGGCTTCAACCAAATGCTAGCTCATCCTACGGACAACGTAAGGATCGTAATGCATGAGGCCCGGGCAACCAACCTCGAAGAAGGACCAGATGGGCGCGAGCTTCTTTCGCTTTCCAATGGTGAAAGGTTACCTGGCATTTCTGCAGTAATTCTTGCCGAGGAACACCTGCCAGTACACCCAACGCCGGAGGAGGAACAGATCAGGGCGTATGCTGAGAAGGCGGGTTTGACTTATATCGCACCTTCAATGCCTCACGACGTTGAACTCTCTGTAGTCAAAGCCGGTGAACCGGTCCTCATGCGTGGTCTCGGTTTCGCTTTTATGGACTATGTAACACTTCTTACTCTGGGTCGCGGTGGTCGCTTCGAAACCGTGGGCACTAATCTTCAATACATTCCCTCGGGTAACGAACCGCGTATATATGCTGGCTCGCCTCAGGGTATGCCGTACCTTGCCCTTGGTGATAACAAGAAGACGGCCGCCGACTACCATGAACCCTTTATTTTCAACGACGAGGTGGTCGATCTCCTCCGTGAACGCGCCAACTTGGGACATAGTTTGGATTTCAACATTGATATATGGCCTCTGATGGTGAAGGAAGTAGAGATGGCGTACTATGATAGTTTGCTTGGAGGTGGCGAAGAATTCAGTAATGAGTTCCGAGAGGCGTTTATCGACACCCAACCCTCAACCGATGAGGAAAGCCAAGTCCTTAACGATTTCGAATTCCCTGCTGATGACCGCTTACGTTGGGAAGAATTTGCATATCCATATCGATCGAAAACCTTTGCGTCGCCGGATGAGTGGCAAAAGTGGCTATTAGAACATCTACACGACGATGTCACGCAGGCCGAATTTGGGAACACCGAGAGTCCTGTTAAGGCGGCTGCTTGTGCACTTTATGACTTGGGCGATAAGTTACGAGAGCTTATAAGCCAGGCAAGACTTACAGAAGAATCGCGTCGGATTATTCACAATGATTTTGCTCCGCTCTACGCGTTTATATGTAGAGGCCCGACTCGACTACAGGCCCTCCAGCTGATAGCGCTGATCAAGGCGAATATAGTAACTATCGTTGGTCCAGAGTTAGAGGTACGGTACGGGCCGAATAGCTGGACTGTAGACTCCCCCCATATTCCGGGCTCGCAAGTAAGTGTGACGACTCTCATAGAAGCGCGTGTACCATCGGCGGATGTAAGACGAACCGGTGATGAGCTCCTATGGAATATGTTTAAGAATAAGGAGTGCCGTCTTCATACTATGGACGGCTACGAATCCGGAGGTCTAGATGTGACTCCACGACCGTTCAATATAATTGACGCGCAGGGAGTTGCTCATCCAAGGCGCTTTGCTCTCGGTGTACCTACCGACGGTGCCGAATGGCTGAATACCACAGCGCCTAAACCGGGTAGGAATTCAAGCACACTCTTAGACAGTGACGCCGTTGCCCGAGCCGCGCTAGCCATAGCAGCTTCTTAAGAACCCACCCTCAAAGGCGATGTAAATTGGGCTTGTCAGTTGCGGTGCATTCATTGACATTGTAGACCAGGTAAGTTTTGGAGAGTTCGTGCCTAGAAAGTCATGAAGTCGTAAAGTCATAAAATCAAAGAAAGTAAGGTTAGGATTAACTAGTAATTACCTAGGTACATTCTATAATAGATAGGTTGTAAGTCGATAATAAAACACCACTTACCTAAACTGTACGACTCGGATTTTATTGTTGCTCTCCTTTTGTCCTGAGTTGCCGAGTCTCTTCAATTTGATTGGACCGACATGATGAAAATGGATGAAAAGGGAGGCCTCAAAAAGGGTACTTTCCTAAACAGGTAACTAGGTAGTTATAATTCGAAGTATCAAAGTATGTATCGAAGTATCAGGTAAGCGATAAGAAATGATTATGCAAGAACGATAATCTAAGCCACAATGACATATGACATCGTGACGACGCACAAGAGGCTCAGCCGTTGTTTGTTGTCTCACATTGAAGTTACAACTTCCAATTTGTTGTAGAATACATAAAACATGTATTTCTACGACTAGCTAGGGTAATTGTTGGTAATGGCTCCATTGCCTCGTAATGTTCTTCGGACCCGCTTCAACCCGCGATCGATCGATTCGATATCCTTTCGATATCCCTTCGGGCGCCGAGACAACCCGTCGAAACCAAACGTATTCAACACCCCTTCTAACCTTGCGAATATCTTCTCTCTTACATATTCGATTAGGTAGTTATGATTTTATGAGTTACGCTTTTCCAGCAGCGTTTCGTAATGTCGATACGAATAGCATTCGACAACCCGCCCGAGTTCTATACGAATCTCGACTTCATTAGCGGTCGAGTGATCTTGCTCTTACACCGGCACGAAACCATTGGCAACGTCATCGTCAAACTCGAGGGGGAGTCGCATACAGCCTTAACCCTACCACCGCCGGCCGATCGCGACGACTACTATCGACACCGTCCCCCAGGAACCGGAATTGGCAATGTTGTTACCGAGAATCACAAAATTCTGTATCGCGTGTTCCAGGCCTACTCTGATGACGGCACTGGGATACCGTTGCAACCCGGCCAGCATGAGTTTAAGTTCAACTTCAAGGTACCGCTCAACAACATCTGCCATGATGGAAAGGCGATGGGCAGCCTGTTGGGCCTGGGCGGTCTAGGGAGTGGGTTTCGTACTATGGACGGCACAAAGCAGCTCATGCTCCAGCACATCAAAGCTACTTTACCGCCCTCGCTCACAGGCTTCCCACAGGAGGCTGAGATACGTTACTATATAAAAGTTACTATACAACGGCCTGGGTTTTTCAAAGAGAATTGGCGACACCAGGTCGGCTTCAAGTTCTTACCCGTCGAACCTCCCCGACCACCGAAAACCAGCCAGGAGGCTTTCGCCCGAAGGCCCTTTACTTTTAAACCGCGCTCCTTAACCCACCAGAGGAAATCCTTCTTCGCTAGTAGATCGTCAACAACAAGCCCGCTGGAAGATCCCTCCCAGATGCCGCCTTCGATTGAGATGTCAGCGCGCATACCATTTCCCAGCATCATAACGTGTAACGAACCTCTACCCTTACGACTAATCGCGCGGAAGCTGGCGCCGACAACGTCGCGGGACCAACAGGTGTACTTAACAGCACTCGAAGTAATTCTGGTTGGCTACACGCATGTACGGGTGCAAAATCTATTGAACACCGAACGAACGACATGGGTTATCGTCTCCGCGCCGCAAATGTCCCCTCCCATCGCGCTCTTCGAAAACCCCGCGCACCCCGTCGACGCCGAATTCGAGATCCCCCCCACCCTCTGGAAAACCCGCCGCCTCCCCAACACCGTCGCGCCCTCCTTCCGCACATGCAACCTCGCGCGCCGCTACGAGATCGAGATCACCCTTACGCTAAGCTGGGGCCTCCCCACCCCTTCCACGAACCCCTTCGTAACCCAAAAGCAGCTCCCGCAGTCCATCACCCTGCCCCTGAAGCTCTCCAAGATCGACGTGTTTTCGGGGATTTCCCCCCCGCGCGAACTATTAAATTCCGTCATCACCAACACTATCACCACCACTACTACTACGGGCCCTGCGCGCCCTCCTCAACTACCCCAAAGACCAACACCTCAACAGCAGCAACAGCTGCGCCCGCCCGTCGACCCGCTGTACCCCCCGCAGCTGGGCACCGCGTCCGCGGCCATGTACGACGACGCGCCGCCCAGCTACGACGAGGCGATGGCGGACCAGCTCGCCGGGCCGTCGGCGCGGCCTGCGTATAGCGGTGTTACAGCCGAGAATTCGCCAAGTACGATGCCGCCTGAGAAGTCGTGACCATGGGTGGTGGTGGTGCTGCCGTTGTATACCTAATGCATATAAAAATATATACATACCTACCTAAGCTAAGGTAAATATTTCATATTATGGATATGCGAGCATCGCGCTGTGTACCTATTATAGATGAGGGATGAAAGATGTAAGGGCAAAGCTGGAATTCTGGGAGGTGCATTACACGGGAAAATAGCGAGGCGCTGAGCGAGCAATGTACGATGAGTGATACCCCCCTTCCCTCCCATCGGAAGTTATTGTTGGGTTGGCTTGCGTGATGTACTACATACGAATGATTACATTTTGTTCACTGTTGCGTTTCATGGTATATATATGTATTGGCGCATGGTAAATAGAGTGGCATGGGTAAAAGGGTAGATGGGTACGGGTATGGGAGGTTGATATCGGTTACTATAAATTTAATTGATAATATGACTCCCTTCAAGATTATATGTTATGTGATATAGTGATATGTGAGGTAACTTTGAACATTTCATTAGTTAATTAATATATATGATGTTCCACTTTTTAATTGCAAAAGCCGGGTAAGAGTCAATGTGCGAATCTTACGCAAACACAAAAGGAGTTAGGGCAGCATTTAAAACCGATCAATTATCTTGTCCCAATGCTTCTTCCTATTTCACGCAGAAAATGCCAGCATGCTATTTACATATGTACCTTACCTAGGTGTCTAATTCGCCCCATCTTGAACAATCATTACCCAGGAGCACCAGAGCTAAGGGGGACCGACCATATGCAGAGTCATCTTATATCTCTCCAAGGTAGGGAAGCTTTTCCCCCTGAGAGGAAAGTATGGGGCCGTGTCTGTCCGCACTTCCCCGCGTCGCTCGGGTCTTCCCCAGAACCCAGAACTTGTCTAGATTGTCTGATTATATCTGTCCACCTTTTACTTATTTCTTCGAACGTTCCCCCCCTTTTCTCTCTCATTTATAGGTTCTTCTCCTTGAGGATGTTCTTCAAGCGCTTCTCAACCGCGTCCAAGTATTCGCTCGTAGTAACGTGATCCTCGCGGGCCGTCTTGCCGCATGCGAGCGCCAAGTCCTTGGTCATGATGCCGTCAATGTCAACGGTGTCAACGCACGCCTTCTCGAGGCTTTCTGCGTAGGCCATCAATTCAGGGGTGTCGTCTAGCTTTCCGCGCTGCGAAAGACCTCGGGTCCACGCGAAAATGCTGGCGATCGGGTTTGTCGAGGTCTCACGACCTTTCTGGTATTCGCGGTAGTGTCGTGTGACCGTGCCGTGCGCAGCTTCGGATTCGAACGTGTTGCCGTCGGGGGTGATGAGGACCGAAGTCATAAGACCAAGAGAGCCGAAACCCTGGGCCACAATATCGGATTGGACATCGCCGTCGTAGTCTGGTAAAGTGTTATTCTATGCTTTTTCTTTTCTTTTTCTTTTTCTTAGACGGTACGATTGAAGAAATACTTACTCTTTAGCGCCATGATGTAACCGCCGGTACTCTTGATCATTTGAGCGACCATGTCATCAATCAGACGGTGCTCGTACCAAATTCCCTTGGCCTCGAATTCCTTCTTGTACTCAGTCTCGTACAGCTCCTGGAAGATATCCCTGAACCTGCCGTCGTACTTCTTAAGGATGGTGTTCTTGGTGCTCATGTACAGGGGTAAAACCTTGTCAAGAGCTAGCTTGAAGCTGGCATGCGCGAAACCCCTGATGCTCTCAGTAGTGTTGTACTGTGTCTGTGCGACACCGCCGCCCTCCTTGAACTGGAAGACCTCAATCTCCTCGGGCTCACCACCCTCGGGGGTATATACCATGCTCAATTTACCGGGACCCGGGATGACTTTGTCCTTAGCTCGGTACTGGTCGCCGAAGGCGTGACGACCGATGATGATGGGTTTCTTCCATCCTTGCACTAATCGCGGGATACGGGGGATGACAATAGGCTCGCGGAAGACGGTACCACCGAGAGCGTTGCGAATCGTACCGTTAGGGGAAAGCCACACTATTAAAAAGTAAGGTTAGTTACCTATACCAGGGGCAGGGGTTTGGATGTATAGGATCTAATGGACGTTATATAGTGCGGGGCTGAATATGGAGGGCTGATATGCGGGTTGACGTATAGAATGACGAATGCATGTGAAAGTGCATATAAAAGTGCAAGCTTACTCTGCTTTAGGTTGAATTCCTTCACACGGGCCTCGTCGGGGGTGATGGTGGCGCACTTGATACCAACCGAGTACTTCTTAATGGCCTCGGCAGCGTCAAGGGTGACTTGGTCGTTGGTCTCGTCACGGTACTCCAATCCTAAGTCGTAGTACTTTATATCGATATCAAGATAAGGGAAGATGAATTTATCTTTGATGACCTTCCAGATAACCCTTGTCATCTCATCACCATCGAGCTCCACGACGGGATTCTTAACCTTGATCTTCTGGGCAGCCATGTTCAATCTGGTTTGGTGGAAAAGCGCCACCGGCACTACCGGTTTAACTGTGATTGGGGACGATCTAATAAACGGCCTCGCCGATCTGTAAAAGACGGACGGCCGAATGCAACGGGCCGCGGATGAAAAGGTTGCGCTCATGGTGAATATGAGACTCTCGGCGCATACGATTTATAGGTGAACGAATAAGGTACGGCACGGACGTCGGGAATGACGGCGTGGCTATTAGGGTAGAAGCTAAGACTAAGGGTTAGAAAGCCGAGGGGAAAAAAGGAGAAGCAAAAAACAAGAAAAGCTTAGGGACAAAACTCAAAGACGAGGCGATTCGGCTAACCTTAAGATGGGTCCCGGGGCTGAGGAACGTTTTGCGTAATGGGACGGGCTTGAAGTTTAAATAACTGACGAAAATGATGCCACAATGCCGATGTTTTGTTGGAGAATTCCGGGAGGTACCTCCTACCTCATATACCGCATTACCTACACATTACACGTTTTGCGTGGTGGTTGCCGTATTACGCAGGGTCGTATGGATACCAAAGGCAAAAATTCAAAGATGAGGGGAATTCACCAATCATAGCTTGCCGTTAGGTGGTACCTGGTCCCCCACATTTTGCCGATTCGCGGAGAAGGGAGATGCATACATTTCGTACATGAGCATGTACTACCTCGTATGTATGTACCCTACCCGGTCTGCCGGTTTAGGCACATCATAAGACATGGGCAGGTGGGTATCTAACGTATGATTAAGTAAGATTTATTTCCGTAGGAACATTTCAAACATCAGCAGGTTAGAGCTAGGTATTAAACCGCTACATTACCAAAACTTAAAAGGTACCTAAGAACGACGTCAACTTCAGGGTTGACGTAGCTATCTCCACCTATAAGGACCGTGCTGTGACAGCTATAAGGAATACAGGTTTACGCCGGCGCTTTATATTCCATCGAGACTTCTTGATGTCAACTCACAGCATATTACATTGCTCCTACAATGCTAAATTCCAAATAGATCCCTATTTGTTGCCCTAAGCCATTGTTGGGGCAGTTCTCGGCCGCAGACAACAACCAGAAGCAATATCGAGTCGCAAAGAATAGGAATAGCTTCCAAAACTCTCCCGGCAACATTCAAAGACGCAGTTACCGTTACAAGGAAACTGGGCTTACTGTTCCTCGGGATACGCAGTCTCTGTATCGTACAAGATGATAACGGGGACTGAGAACAAGAATAGAACCAGATGGAGAACGTTTATGGGATCGCCGAGTTAGTATAAGCTGCTTCCGTTGCTATCTCATTGGGGCCTTACAACCCTTTGGGTAAGCAATATCGAGACATCATATACCCGAAGGAGGCTTGCTATTTAGTCAGATGAACTTGTGGCCCTTTCGGCTGTAGCTTCTAGGTTCCATTCCTACTACGGCGGCACTTATACTCATGAGTAAAGTATCCCACAAGTGCAATCGACGGCTTCAAAGAGAGAGCGAGATTTCCGGGACCCGATCGGCTGTTTACTGTTGGCTGGATATGCCGCTCGCTCCTTATAGTTTGATAATAAACGATGCCACAGGAAGGGCAGAAGTTTGCGCTAGGATGATATACGTCGAGGGAAAGGATTCCTTCCAATGGCAGTGAAAGACGTTTTTAATGAATATAATAGGCTGATACCGTGCCCCTCGCCGAAATAGTTGGGCGATTTCGAACGCCTTGGGCTTACTTGCTGACCCTCAGGAAGGTTATCCCTTAAATGGGTTTCCGCACAGAAAACTCGCAAAGCCACCCTAATATAAGACTGGGTTATATGTTAGATATATGAACAGTCTAAAGTGCCATCGAAATGAATTTTCCCCTATATTCGATACTTAGGAACCAGTTGACCTAATGAAGAAAGGGTTTGTGTAGAGCTGACCGAGTGCAACCCATTCTATTTAATGGTCATTTCAACTCCAAGAGTTGTCGTGAAGGAAACCAATGTAAAAATTGGAATACAAAAAGAAGGTAATACAACCATCCAGACACATACTTTGATGAATGATTTATTCTGGCTCTTGATTTCTGCTATGGTAGTTGAATCTAGATTTCGAGGAAATAGCCGTCCTACAATTGATTCTCCATTGTTCTTGGATTCTGCAGTTTGGTTCGTTTTCGTCCTTGAAAGTCTTTAGGGAGTGTTTATGCGAGCTTCAGAGGTATAGAAGAGATAGGTAGTGCACTCACTAATAAAAACCCAAACTAGTACACCTAAGACCAGCCCATATCAAGTCAAAAAAAGCATATTAAAGGGTTTTCCAAAAGTTCTAAACGAGCAGTACAAGCTAGCTCGTAAAGAAAGCCCATGTCACCACATTTACCCCGTGGGAGAATATCAAGTCCCCTCCACAAGAACTAGGAGGTCTATTGCGAAGACGATCTCCGCTGGAGTTATCGTACTCTGGATTGAGTTGCAGACTGTGGCCACGAAATGTGCGATGTGCAACCAATAGGTATTTGTAAGTTTGACTTTACGGTCTAGAGCGAGGCTGATGAATGAACCCATGGTCTGCGTATAAAGCCGATCCTAACACCAATTCCATAGAGATCTACATTGCCATCGGCTATGCACTCGGTGTCTTTTTTAAATTAAACCAGAGTTCGTGGAAAGAAAGTTGGGAGACAGATGCATAGAAAAGAGGCAGAGGCAAATAATGCTTAATACAATCTAGTCAGAGTATAGAATTGTCGACTATAAGATGTTTTGTCTAGTTCAACACTTCAAGATATCATTGACGCCTTCCTGACTACATGTTAACTACGACAGGACGCTCTACTTGTATTAATAACGCGAGCGAAGAGTTAGAGGCTAAAAGCGACGCAGTTTAACTGTAGGAGACTGAAACAAGTCACTCATCACTGGGCTTCAACCACATATTAATACACCGACCAGTAATACGTACAAACACCTACGAACGCATTTTCTCCTTGAATAATTCTCACCACCTTCTGGTCATAACTGATACCTGCCTAAGTACCTAACCTAAAAGGTAAGAAATAGGATTTTCTTCGCAGCTGAAGTCTGTGGGGATCCTTTAGGTATGTATAAGAGCAAGACATATATCCCCCAGGAACATTCTCATTTAGGCATATCAGATCAGACGCTTCGTTCAATAAATTGTTTAAACCATACCCCCCTCCGTTACGTTAGCCTCGTCGAAATCAAACCCATTACGACATCTTTCAGCTCTAGGCGTTTGTGCCTCCTGCTGCATCGGGATATATCGCAGGTAGTTGTAACGTCTACTCTGGGCATACCAGAGCCTATCTGTCGTCTTATTTTCCGCATTCGTAAACATACTTCGAAATATAGCTTTTTCAAAACCCGAGGGCCAATTAAAGGTAGAGTGGAGAGTATTCCCGCTCTACTTCATCACAACAGGTTGCCTGCATCCGGGGGGCTTACCGATGACAATTTCTCAACAATCCGGCTCGTGTCCGGTATTCGAGGTACCCAAGCGTTATATGCCGCCTAGTGGTGAAGTTCCGTAGTCGTAGCCGATGATTACCTACCTCTTCAACCAACCGAGAGCGGTGACGAGCTTCGAGTATGTATCCCTCTTTAACTAGGTACCTACCTACCTAGGTATGATCTGCTTTCCTGATCGGATGAAGAGTACATACATAAAACATGCCTGAGAACTCTGACCTATACGAAGCCTTTTTTTTTTTTTTAAAAAAAAAGAAAAAAAAAACAAACTCTCGGCGAGCACTAGGAATACGATTGTAACGTCTTCAAAAATTTCGGAGTATTTCATTGTGTCTCCTAATATCCAACTCTTTTGATGCGAGTTGTCAGGAGTCTCATTGGAACAAAGGGGTTATTCCGTATATAACTTTGGCTTCAAAGCAACTGTAGTTAGAGTTCCTTGCGGAACAACGAAGTTGTTTTACCTACTGTATGCTCTGCGACGTGACAGTTGTATTGTATCATGATATTGGGTACTTTCGGTCATTGCCCCAAGATAAAACAGGCAATCAAATCCTCTGCTACACTGCGAATGTGCGAATGTACCTCCTGAAATTGACAGGGCTATCTGTGCCGAGAATTACTGGGTTTACTCTTTCAAAACAATGCAAGCCATGTTCTCGGTAAGGGTTCTCCTATACCTGCTCCTTGAATTTCGCGAGTTGTGACAAATAGTCACCGTAGGGGTACCTATTGCTAGGACATCTATTTATAGAAACGCGCAACTCGGCCCGTCATTGGAGATGCAAAACATGGGGAAGTGGTTTATACACTATCTAGCAGTCATATCTTCCCGGACCACGCTTGCCAAGAACGATAGCATCATCATCTAGGTATCCTTTCCTAAATTTGACGAATCTTTTTCCTTTCCTGGCTTTAAAAAGGAAGAGAAGAAGATCAAGCGCTAGGTCCAAGAGCTTCATTGTCGCTGGAATAATGATATTTGATACATAGTACAGTGAAGATCGCCCGATGCGATCAAGAATAGAAATTATTATAAGACCTCGTACATAAGAAGCAATCATAGAATAATGATCCGTAGAATTTGAGTTGTCGAGTTCGACAAGACTGTTATTATGTTACTAATAGATTAACAACTTTTGGTTCGAAACATATTCCCTGCATGCTGTCTCTATACCCTTGTACTTCTAGGCTTCGGTTAGATATTTGCGTTTGTAAGTGTTGCCAGAATATCGATGGTCCGGAGTTTAGATAACATGCAAGCGAAATTCCCAAAACTAAACAAACAGTTCCCATTAGGATACATGTCCTTCTTTTTTTTTTTTTTTTTTTTTGGTGATTCTCGACTTTTCGCTCTAAAGTTTACCTATGTTTTTTTTAGTATTTGAAATAGACAAGCAGGGGGGATGCAGTCATGGGTAAACACGCCGCTCGGGCACAGAAGATAGCCAGATCCTGATAAGGCACGGGAAATGCATACCCGATTGTTATGTGGCAAGAATGAATTTCTTTTCTTTTCGGCTTCACCATCCCAACATCTTATTTATGAAAATCTCAAAATCTGACTTTCTTTATAAGAAAAGATAGGAGGTACCCAACCTACCTACCTATGTATAGGCTATCTAAAAGGTCATCGGGTCACCATGAGGCTCCCGCTTGATGCAACGTACGGATCCATACCTAAGTACTTTGTTTTCTATTTTTAGTAGATGATGTGGTCTTAAGTGGTTCAGTGGATGAATCGTAACTTTTTAGGTTGCTTAGGCCCTAAAGCCTTAGTGGTATCCATAACCTTAGTGCAAGATACAAATGAGAAGATACAATGCATTAGTGTAACTTACGTACGGAATACTTCCATTAAGGCAGCCACGAAAGTAAGCGCGAGCCCTGGAGGTAACACCAACTGGTTCGCTTCTTTGACTTCCATGTGTTCAACTTTCAACTTTCAACTTTCTTCCATATAACTCTTTTCTACATAGTATGCAAGTGCCACGATGCGCTACCCCCTATCCCTTACTTCACCTACTTTGTGATTTGTGTTTTTTAAATGGTGTAAGGCTGGGCTATGTATGGTTCGACGTCCCAAAATGATGGGTTCTTCATTACCCCAGCTAGCCCATCGCCTGGATAGCCCTAGGCCCCTAGCATCATCAGTGCATCCTCCTTCTGTAGTGAAGGCAAGGGGGGAGAGATCTCAATGCTTAATACGCGTCCGTTCTCGAGGAGCAGGCTTGCAGTTCTCTGTTAGTTCCTGTTCGTCGTGCTCCGTTGATTTAGTACTGTTTCTGAGCTATCAATGATTATAGATTCGCAAACTCTACTAAGGAAGCCATGTGTGATATTCGAAGAAGTCTATGCTTTAAGTCAAAAACAGACAGACAGCAGCGATGGATTTTACATATATAACATCGTCAACATTATCGTGTTATTGGTGCAGCGGATAAGCACCGTATCCGTCCACTACCCGCTTTGCTACATGCAACCCACGTCAGTTCGAACCTGGCTCCTCTCCTGGGTTCTATCCGCAGTCGATCCCCTGCGGTGAGTGGACGAAAAGCGAAAGAAAGCAGCATTCTACCCTAAAAGCTATCTTGTTGTTGGTAATCCCAGCACTGTGCAGCTTTGTACTAAAGTGTTTGCTATCGCTTTTTTTTCTTTTCTTTTTTTTCCGCATCATCAACTTGACCGGTTCCGTCTAGGTCCTTCGCCTTAATCGTGCCTTAACACCAGGTAGTAAAGGAGCAACAAATTCGGGCATGGTGCCTACGTAAATGTAGATCAGCGGTCGTGGAGAATCGTGATGAGGTGCCCATTTTTCTACCATCAACATTCTCAGCTTGGCGTAATCAGAAGGAATTTATTACCAGCAGCGGACCAACATTTGCTAATTCCCCCCTCAGCCACCGGTACCGCCTCCACAGACGTTGAAGGAAATAGAATCACAAGATATCTCCGAAGAACATATAACGAGGTTGCCATTGCAGTAGCCAACTTCCCTTTTCAACCCCCTGGTACTCTCGAACACTGTAACGGCCGGCGACACGTTCGCATCTTGGCCATTCGATCACAGTATGCAACCTAGAACGGAAGTTGGTATGGAACATGAAGCTCGCAATTCCACCGCAGCTAATCTAGAGGAACCGGGACCCCTGCGCCGCACAAGATTCAAAGAAATGTTAGGTGGTTCCCTTCCGACGGCGCTTTTCAAAAGCAATTCTTTCTCCCGGATTCATGGCAGTTACGACGAGATCAGAGAAGACTACCAGGACGCCCCGCCACATCGCGAGATGGAGCATCGCGACAGTGATACGGAGAACTACCCGATGGATACGGTAAACACACGCGAAGTCCCAGAGGAGAGCGGTGCAAGCTCTGATGATGCTAGCGACATCGATCTAGACGATCTCGCTGCACGATACGGTACATATGGGATTCGCCTTTTTTTGGCCTAGGATTTTTAAAGCTAACCGCTTCTTTAGCGCGCCCGCCACTCGATTGTTACTCGAGGCGGGATGTATACATCAAGCATTGGAGCTGGGAATATATCATTCTGGTCTTACTGTCGTTATATTCTACACTCCTAAGTGGATTATGGTTTGTTACCTCTATTTACCAGCCGCGATATGGGAGAGGGATATCTTCTAGTGACGGGTGGAAAATGGCGCCCTCGACGGCCACCCTTGTTTGTACATTGATCGCGAAGACCATCGAAATATCTTTTGTCACAGTTTACGTTGCTCTTCTCGGTCAAGTCTTATCTCGAAGGGCTTTCATTAAAAAGGCAAAGGGTGTTACTCTCGCTGAGATGACAATGCGTAATTGGGTCATTGTAAGTAAAACATTGAGCACATCTAACGTTTTGGCTGTTTGTTAATACCAACTAATGAGTTCAGCAACCGGGCTCTTTGCTTACTTATTGGGCAGGAGTCCCCCATGCTGCGATGACCCTGTTGGGTGTCGTAAGTCTTCTTGCCACTCTATGCTCCCTGTTTTATACTACGGCGTCGGATGCCATGGTAAGCCCTAAGCTTATGTTTGGCCGATGGGAGAATCGCGAGTTGGAGGGTCTGGTTAAAGCTTCCTATGCGAATCCTTTCTACGTTCGCAAAGCTTGCTCGACCCCCATTGACCTCAATATGGACCCGAATAGTTCGGCGCCCTCTTGTCTCGACGTTCAGTACTCCGGCCAGTCTTACCATAACTTGCTTACCTTCATGCATGTTACATCACACCCCCTCAGTGCCATTACTCTTGAACTAACTCCTATACCAGGACGGAATGGCAAACCATCCACGATGAGAAGACTTCGCCGCTGGATAGACTCGCTGTAAGACCTGTGGGAAAGCATAGTCTATTCGACAATACAACAATGGTATCAACCTGGATCGAGACTGAATTTGGAAACCCGGAATCCAGCTTAAAAGCCCACGGCAGGATTATCAACAACGTCACACTCGCGATGCCACACGCAGGCGTCTACTTAGCAGCGACAGACCCGCGCAACGATATATTGCAACCTGATGATCTGGCAGGTGTTGGTGAATACTCAATCCGGGCCAGCGTTGTTTCACCTGTAGTCAATGTCATGTGTGTCAATATTGCTCATGACGAGTTGGCACCCCTTGTGTACTCTACTTGGCCTGACGCCCGATTGGAGGATACTGAGATACCCGGGCAGAGAATCGGCGTAGAAGACTGGTTCAACGATGTGCCGCCTCCGACTGATGATGAATGGCTCAACAAGACTGTAGTTGATGATATTTTTCGATGGGGTGCCAAGTATCACCGTCGACCACCTGTCTTCCAAATGGTTAGAATTCTCTCCCCTCCGCTTCCATGGCCCTTAGTTTGTATGACGGATCTTCGTGGACTAACATCTAATAGTTCCCGATTGACTACAACATGATCACCAATACTTCGGTCGCCAGATCGGAATCTTTGTACGTGCTGGCCAAGTCAGGTCTTGTTACTGACTATACACTCTGTGAGATGCGGTCATGGGTGACGCCCAAGTGCTCTACCCGGTTCGACGTATCTGGCATATCCGGTGGCTTCATGGGAGCGCACTGCGAGGATCCTCAAGATGCTGATTCGTACGCCGCCGCATCGGGCAACAAGGATGTTAAAAATCCTCCTGAGCCGTCCGGCGACTGGAGGAACTTGGCTGAGCAGTGGCGCCTTTCTATGGATCTTAATGGTGGCGTGCAGAACAATAACGCGAGCAATGCACGTATCATGACGAATTTCATATTACGCGAGGCCGCGCTTGACCCGTTCTTGCCCTCCATGGCTGAAGCCCTGGCAGTGCTGTCCTCGTCGACTCTCGTCGCTGCATCTCTTGGATCGACGTACCGTGTGGACTGGATTTATCCCGAGGTTGAGATGCATCCAGGTGTCTACGAGTCCTTCAAGGCGTCCATGCGCACCCAACAATACACGTCTTCTCACGTGCAATCTTGGCAGGGCGTATTCTACGCCGTACTAGGCACGGTCTTCGCGATCAATGTGGCATGCCTGCTCTATCTCGTCTTCTTCCGCCAAGGGCTCGTAACCGACTACACCGAGCCTCAAAACCTATTCAGTGTCGCCGTAAACTCCCCTCCTAGCACCGCGCTGTCGGGGAGCTGCGGCCATGGCCCCGAGGTCGCGGGACTGGTAGTGCCGTGGCGCGTGAACTACTCGGCTGCTGCGAACCACTATTTCTTCGAAGAGGTGAGCGATAACAAGAAATCTCAGATTAAAGACAACCGCGCCAGCATGACGAGCGGTTCGGATCTGATATCAGCGCACGAAGGACAGCTCAAGGGGAAAAACTACGAACATTACAAACGGCTGAGGGAAAGCAAGTCTTGGTTGTAGAAAGGGATTTTTGGAATGTCCTGTTCGAAAAGAACTAAAGACATAACTGTCGGACTAAGTTATCTACATGCATGGCGCTGCACCTTACTTACATATTCACAATTCTGGCATAGCGGTGGCGTTTAAGGGGGATCTTGGGGGCGGCGATACCATTCGGGAGATAGAGAAGCAATCTTCTCCCAATTTGCTTGCTCAAAACTACTGCGTTTCCGATAACATACATACACTGGGTTAGTTACCTTGGTAGGTTAGGAACTTAATCTGCCTACCTACTTTCTATTACATACGATTAGGTACCTAAGGTACATATTGCGAAGCACTCGAGTCAAGATAAATCACGGGGTCGAGACCAAATGTACATATAAATTCGGAGGACGAACAAATCCAAGATCTGATTGATGTATTATTGCATTTCAAGCCTTAACTGTTTTATTTTGAGCAACTAGGATGTTGAAATCCCGTGCATGATGTGACCGGAGCGTTGAGCTATATCCGTGAACAAAGAGCCCTAGATGGCTATGTTATGGTAGAAGAAACCACAACCGAAGAATAAAAGCGAGTTACAGGACCAAACCCCCTTATCCCCAAAGTTCAAAATTGTGTTTTAAGATAGCCCGATTCAGCACAAGCAGCTTAAAATCAAAACAGCTTATGCTCGAGCGTCATGTCGGACTCGGGCTCCAAGCCGACGCAAGCGCGGAAAATATTCGTGAGGGCGCTGCGCTGCTTGGCGAGGGCGTTGACGACGGGGGTCCCCGGCGGGGTGAGCGGGGCCTTGAGCATGTAGCTCAGGATGCTGAGGACGCTGTGGAAGCCGCGGAACTCGGAGGCCGGCTGCGAGGCGAGCTTCCAGCTGATGCGGGTCATCATCTCGGTCACGACGACGAGGTCGATGATCAGCGGGGAGGCGAGCAGGGAGTCCTCGCATACGTTGAAGATGCTACGAGGTGGAGATTAGTAAACTAGGTAGCTTAGGAAATAGGGTAGATAGGGAAATAAGGTAGGGCAAGGGGAAGGGGAAGGGGAAGGGGGATAGGATAAGAGAGAAAAAAAACTTACGAAATAGTCTGATGACCGCCGAGGAATATCTCCGCATAATACTCGTCCAGCGCACGCTTGTTGTCGCCGACAGCCGGCATGTACTTGATGACAACGGTGTGATCGGGGTGCTCGCCCTTGCTATAGAGGACGGAGTTGGCCTCGACCATGTCGTCGACGACGTTACTCTTGGAGATCTCCTTGGACCGGAACTGGCGCTGGGAGCTGAGGTTCTTGCCGTCGTTGTTGCCGAGGTGGTTGTAGCTCGCGATCGAGGTCAGCTTGATGCCCGCGTTGATCAGGAAGTCCACCAGCGCCGACTTCATCTTCGTCTGCCCGGACTTGAAGTCGTCCCCGCCGACGAACGCCCCGTGCCTCTCGGCCAGGTCGACGGCCCCGGGCACGAACGTGTTCTGCGGCGACCCGTTGATGAAGGGCGCCTTCTCGAGTATGCACGCTACGGCGAACACCGTCGACGGAGACACCTCCGCGTGCCCTTGCTCGATCGCTTGCAGCAGGTTGTCCGCCGTGTCGTTGACGCCCGGGAGGATGTCCGCGTAGCGCTCCGTGTTCGCGGTCCATTGCACGATGACCTTGTCTAGGCCGTGCTGCTGCTTAAAATCGCTTTTGATTCCAAGTTTTAGTAAAAGTACCTAATCTACCTAACTACTGCAAAGGGTTGGGTGTATATTAGGTTAGGTTAGGTAGGTAGGTATGTAATTAAAGCTTACCGGATATCCTGGCGGATCTTCTCGACGTGAGCCATAGAAGCCTTGTTCCCGGGGATCAGATTATCCGCTCGGTCCTCCTGGTTAGCGGCGATGAAGTCGGGGTAGTAAATGCTCGGCAGGGGAACCATCTGCGCGAGCTCCTTCCTGACCTGCGCCTTCAGGGTGGGTTCGAGCACGGCGGCGCGGTCCATGGCGTCCGCGAGGTTCATGCTGCTGATATCCCAACCGCCGATGACGAGGTCGTTGGGGTGGACCATGGGGAGGACGTCGTGGAACGGGATGTTGACTTCCTGCTTGGTGACGGGGTCCGTGCCGAGCTTCATCGTAGAGCCCATGATCACGGACCCGTAGTAGTTGGCGGCGCGAGGACCCTCGCGGGTCTCCCAGACTAGGCCCCGGCGATTGGCGATGATGCCGGCGGTCACGGTGGTACCGTTGTTACCACCCCAACCCACGAGCATCATGCCGACCTTCGGGACCTTGCGGTCGACTTTGAAGTCGTACACCGTCTCCTTGGGCGTGGCTAAGTATTTTCCGGCAGCATCCTTGGTGACGCTGGTAGTCCGGTAGGTATACTTGGATAGGATCTCCTTCTCGGTGTAGGTCACGTTGGGAGAGCTGACGGTGAAGAGCTCGCTGGACGGCGAAGAAGCCGAGTTATTGGCGCCGTTCGAGTTTCCGTTCCCGTACGTGGGCCCCGTGTCTGCTTCGGCGTGCGGTGCCATGGTGCGTGCGTTTTGTTACTGGCGGGTATGCCTTAATGTGTATTTTCGAGGTATCTAGGGCAACCCTTTACTGAGTAAAGGGCGAGTCCGCTGCGCTTCCGGGCGAAGCAGAGCAGCGGGCTCCGGCGTACGGGTGGTGAACGCTGCATAGCAAGTCAGAAAAGCCGAATTGAGGTAATAATTTGGACATTGCCGATTGGTAAAGTCGGTGAAGGGGTACTTACGAGTTAAGGAGATTGGAAAACGTCTTGACGGTCTGTGGTGATCGCTGCTCGGAAGCGCGATCGGCCGGTCAAGAGGGTTGAGTAAGAAGAGAGGGTAGATACGACTATGTCGTTGAACCGTCTCAAAATATTATCAACCGAGAAGAAATGTTGTCTTATAGAAGCAAAAGATCAAGAGATAGAGAGAGTTTAGAGCTCTGGAGGGGGCAGTAGCTCCAACTTAAGTAAAAGCAGCGGATGTGTCGGGAACTCTAGACAAGCCACTACTGCGGCTACGTAGTGGGCTAAGAAGGACAACGCATGCAAGAAGAGTCCAGAAAAGTGGCACGATATATGACAGGACAAATAGCTGATTCTACCGACAGATTTACACTTCACGATTACGATTCGTTGCAGTAGTTGGACAGCTCTTGTGGGTTTGGATGTCGTGTGCTCCCCGCCTAAACCCAACGTAAGGGATCCGAGGAACCCTTACGAATACGTAGCGGGGTAATTGATGGTATGATTGGTCAATGGGAGACGTCTTGTTGTCAATACTGGGCCGAGTTTAGGGCCAACGAGGAGCTTTCGACGTATAAAAAGATGCAAAAACTTAGCGATGTCGGGTCGCATTTTCTCTTATTTATGCCCCTTTTTTGGGGGCATCCTTCACTTTGTTTTGACATTGCTTTGCAGATGTGCCTTGCATTATCAACGGATGAGAATATCTCGCTCCCTTTGGCTGAAGGTAACCCCTATCACCTCGCAGGCTACACCAGCATGTAGCTGCTCATTTTCGTGCATCCAACCGAAGAAGTTATGGTACGACCGTAAAGAAAACGTGTCATAATTCAAAAATTTAGGTTCCCTACCTAATACTAATAGAATTTTTTTTAGCGGTCTTCTAGAATAGCGCTACTCGAAAAAGTAATGTGAGGGGATCTACCTTTGTCTTACATCACGGTGATGGAATTTGTATACCGAGATATTACACCTACTTAAAAACATGTGAACGAATCTAGATCTGGTTAATATATACAAACATTATGTGTGAAGGCACACACAGGGAGGTCGAATCATGTGAAGTAGAATGTGCGGCCAATTTTATCATGGAAAGGGGGGATACGCTAAATGTTCCTATTGGACACCGCCTATTGAGACAGACTCGATCTATCACAAGGGAACTGAGTCCTAGGAAAGAAGTCCTGTCTGTCTTACAACGGGAAACGTTAGGCATTTCGATAATAATACCTAAAACATTGACGGATTGCGAATTTCCAGTTTCTTCATAAGACAATTGGTTCATTAGGCACTCATACTTACCTAACCTAAGGTACCCTTTGTGAGGTTCGCATACATCTGTGTGGATCTTTTCGCGTTAATAAAAGCAAATCGTATAAAATAAGGCAGGCCACATTCCACAAAATCGGCACGTTGCATGCTATATAACATGTAGTATAAGTGAAGGGTTACCCACTTGTAGGATGCAGTATTGAGCCTCATTTCCGCATTCAAGGGTTCAATTCGGATATGAGAACAAGGCAAGAGTCTGCGCATCAGGTAATGATGCCTAGGAGGTATTTTTGCTATAGGGTACTAATAGGATTTTATACCGCGGTATTCCGTAGCATTCTCCTTTTCGTTGGCAATCAACCCATTGTTCTCGGTGCGAAGTAGGCTATAAAATTTCGTTGGACACAAGTCTTGGATCATTACTCCGTAGCGACCCAGGGGCCGAGAAAAGTCTCAAGAAACGCCGGGCGTCCACGGCCCAATGCAAGGCTCAATTGTGACAACTCGATTGCATAGAACTCAATCATACCTGACATAGGGGGCATCTTAGAGTCTCATTAGTCGCCGGAGATTTCTTCGCCTGTAGATTTAGCTTCTATGGCATTGGGATCGAAGACGACATCTAATAAGATCTATTTTCCTATTCGTTCATTAGATCATGAGCATTCATCTTGTCTGTCGCGAGTTAACGTCAAGTGACCTAGGTATGCTACGGCAGATCATGTTGTGACCTAAACCAGGCGGGGGGACAAGGGTCTTCGGCAGCAATGAGAGTGGCATAGGGCCGAGCGAACGAACCGCATAATATGGATAGACCTAGACGAGGAGGGCCACCGAGCGGTTGAATGCTTCACGTTTCGATAGACCAATGTGTAAAGCATCTAGGTTTGCGCCAATGCCGCGAGAGATATGGAGTATACACATCCTCTCTTGCTCTGGGTTGATATTAACTCAGATGACAGGACGATCAATGATTTTGATTTTGCGGAGAGATAGATATAGATCAGCCGCGCTAGAAGTGCAAGATCATAAGGGTCGCGATGTTGCACAGTAGCCAAATTTGCTGGGGGGACCCATGAGGTCCGCCATTCAGGCCATGGGATTGCCGATCAGAGATGCTAAGCAGTTAGCTAAGTGGTCAATGTGCAAATTGGACTAACAACTTTGGATAGTACTAGTTATATGTAGTTGGTTAGATGGAGAAATGACGTTCAAATCGTTGCCATACCTATCACGATAATCAGCACGAAACCCATATTTGGTAAACAAGATACACCACTATTGGTAGGTACCTAAGTTAGGAGGAGTAAATCTAACAAGGATAGTATCCCATGACAACCCAGGCCTTCTCGATGCCCTTTTTCCGTGGTTCAATCTGAGTTCGTCTGGGACTGATTGGCTACTGAGATAATTATGGCATTATGGCATTGCCGTCTATGGTCACATCGTCTTTATTCATATTAATCAGAAAAATGGTGTGAACAAATCTGGTTAAATCGAAAAGGACAAGCTGGCTGACATCAAACTTGTCAGGGTTAAGACTCTCTAAGACCGGACCGTGAGGAAGAAAGGGTGAGCCGGGAGAAAACTTTGGGTCGAATTTTGGAGTAACGTTAGCCATCGCCATCGTACCTAGGTTAGGTACCTTTACTGTCCCACCTGCTATAATACGTGCATACCGATAATAGCAATTCTAGCGATTCTTACGAGGCATAGTGTAACTTCCCCCCATCTCCTCCCCTGGTTTGTCCCTTCCAAACTGGACTCCCCACAGATTGCAGTTCTCAGGGTACTCCATTTTTGGCCCATATATCTAGCAGCACTAGAGGTAAGTGGAGACAGGGGCATCGGATTGTCGAATCACCGATAACATCTAAGCTGCAAGGTACCCGTTCAGGTCGTGTCGGGTCGTGCCAGCCCTGTATGTCATAGTGGCGCTATACTAAATCAGCTTAGTGATTGTTAATTGCTTAAAGAAGGTAGATCGTACAGCTTTATTAGTGTTACATAGCTTGTCCACTGGTGCTCCAAGTCGGTTTCCGTGAACTTCCCTAGTGTAGTAATATTCGCGGTACCTATATGGTTGTTTGACAACTTGGTTCGGTATGTCAATTGATCCCTTAATCGGGTCGCCGGAGTTTTCTGGTACCTTTCTTTTATTAAATATATCATTAAATATATCACGTTCGTATTTTCTAGCGCGCGAGGCGGCTGTGATGCTAAGCAAGTAAGTGCACAACCACACATCCAATGTCCGCTGTCGTCAGCACGGACCAATTACGTTCAGTACCGATTCGCATGAGGTAAGGAGGTACTATGTATGGAAGCATCTGTGGAAGTTGAGGAAGTCGAGGACCTAAGGGAATGGAAAGAAAGGGCGACATTGCCTCAATCCTAAAGTTATCCACGAGGTGGAAACTACACGTCTCGGCTGATGGGCGTGCCTTACTTCTATTAGAAGTAGTTACTAAATAAATACAGCGCGGAACACGGCATTTACACAAAATAGAATCCTACAGATTCATATTGATGAATTAGTAGTAGTCAGGTTTAAACAACAAGCGACTGACTGCTAAGTAGGCTGCCGTTTTTGGTCAAACATTTGAAAATCACCAATGTTTGAACTTGAGTTCCTGAATCCTTCCTATTATGCGCCCACATATTTATCATATATAATACGGGCGTCACCCTGCTACCATGGGATCAGTCAGATTTCTTTTTTCTCTGTTTCTGCACTTCCTTGCTAACTAATGTTATGCCCTAAGTTGGAAGCTAGAAAATAGAAAAAATCAACTTTGCGATTGCGAGATATTACCATTCATCCATTTATTTCGACTAATACGACAGTACGGCAAGGAGCTGTACCTAATCGGGCACTCTTTAAGTTATTACTTGCCAAGACCTACAAGACTTACAGGGGAAGAACAGGGAAACAGGGGGTTGACTTTGGTTAGTGGTCTGCTTTGTGCATGGGTACCTAACCTACAGGTAGGTACAATACCCCTACATACCTGTACCTACCTAGGTAGTAGGTAATAGTCCAGCCAGTTCAGTCAGGGGTTGAAGGACAGGGGGGGTCGTTTAAACATCCTCCACCCTTTCGAGACAAGAGGTTGCAACGTCCAAGAGGTCTTTTTTTTCACCGACCTTTACAGGCCCAAAGGTCTCTTGAAACCTTTTCGGATCTTGTTTCTTCTCGACCAATTGTTGTTCGCCTATCCGGCTGAAAAATCGTCGAAGCGAAGGCTCATACAGCGACCACTCATTGCCCGACGAAACTGCATACAACCAACCTATCGCAAGGCTTACCTTCGCGGTCTGGTCGTTTCTAAACACAGGCTTCACCGACGAAACTACCTACAACCCATCCGAAGCTGTGGCACTCGCTGTTCGGAACTGTGGAGTTGGGGTTTCGGGTGTCTGCACAACATCTACGCAGTGCCTAGCACAGGAGCCAGACCCATTTTCTATTCTCCTCTGGATTGGTACTTGTAGAGAGAACCCTACTGTTGACGTGGTTCTCAAATCAACATCGTCAACTTTACTTCTACGAATGTAAATCTCGAGCCAAAAGCGAATCGGGTAAAAAAAAAACTACTCATGTACAAAATCAATTTACTCAACTCTAAATAAGGGAAAGCGAAGGAAACACAAAATAAAGGGATTATCACGCGTTTAAGCCGTGATGGACGACCCACGGCAGTCGGCGTTTATGCCGACGATAAAATGTTCCAATTGCGGGAACCAAGTTGAGATTTCTATGATGGGAGAACATGTTTGCGGCAGCACACCTGCAGCAGCAGAACGTACGCGATTCCTCATATGATTTCATTAAGGAGATGGCTAACCGTCGAAGCAGCACCCCCACCAATGCCAGATGTTCTGGGTGGCGCGTTTTCATCGCTCAAGGCAAATGTCTTTGATAAGTTTTCTCGTGCCGCTCCCCCTTCTGTCGATACATCTGCCGCAAGTATGCTCACCCATTAACTACCTCTTAAATCATTACATCGGCTAACATAATAGTAGATCGCGCGTTCCAGAAGACAGAGCAACTGACCCCGATAAGCTCTTCTACTGGGTCTCAAGCAATCTCACCGAAGACACCAACACATCAACGGCCTGGTGCCGATTTTAACAAAGATGATTACTATGCACCAGCAATCGCAGGCTCACCTAGGCGGCCAAGTGGATATGGAGGATTTGGAGACCCGGGATCTTTGGAAGCCGATTCTACTTACGGCACGAGCCCAAATAAGTCGTCGAATTTCTTAGCAAGAATGAACATGATTGCGCCTGGACCGTTCGAGATGAACCGAAAGCCCGGTCTGAAAAACCCCTTCGCGCGGAATGATAGCCAGGATCACACGGCAGAGTCCAATGATGATTCATTGCGAGTTAGATATTCCATGGAGCGGCCAGGGACCTCGGGCTCAACGTCCTCCAAGAATAGCAACGGCCTCGCACCCCCTAGGGCGCCTCGAGCTAATGGATATAGTGGATTTGGCGCGCCGAAGAGGGGTAGTAATGACTTAGAGCCGGCGCCACTTGGCCTAGGCAGACGCTCCGAGACGTTTCCAGATAGACTCCAAGCAAACGACGAAGTTCTTGACGTACCGGAGCGTGTACCCTCAGCGCCTGGTATGAGGTCCGATCGAATGCGGAGTTCATCGAATAGTGCTATGGATAGGGTGGCTATGGCTAATGAAGGACCGCAACAGCCATCATTTGGAGCGCAGGATGCGTTGCGGCCGCCACCTTTACAAGGAACAGGTTCACGCCCACCAACCCGAGACGGCAGTAGGAAGCCCTCCGTCAACCTAGGCGACGAATTTAATACTAACAATCGGTACCACTCATCTTCAATATCGCAATCTTCCAGCAACTCTGGCTATACTCACTCGTCTCGACCGAGTCAAGCCAGCTCAAACACGAGCCCGGCCCGATCAGTAAATTCCCGTCCAGATGCGCGACGACCATCTGATATGTCAGGTTTCGATGCCCTATTAGACGACCTACAATCTTCGATGGATGCGATGCAAACTAAACCACAATCCCCTTCACCTAGGGAGCGATCAGCATCTGGGAGGGGCTCCGAGCCGCCGAGACTTTCCAGTCGCTTCTCGCCTCCAGAACACACCAGTCTAGACGCTGCCAGCTTCAGGGGACAGGATCCGAGGGTAGATATGCCTGTGATACCGCCAATTCCATTTGAACCTTCCGATCGTAGTTCTGACCGCAGAGATCCCGCAATTCAAGATGGGTTAAGCCAATCCCCGCCAACTCGGCCAACTCACAACCGCCAAGCGTCCAAAAGCCAGAACTCTCGTGGTAACTGCAAAGCCTGCAAGGAACCTATCACGGGCAAATCAATCTCATCCGCAGATGGACGGTTGACTGGGCGTTATCACAAGGCATGTTTCGTATGTACAACATGCAGAGAACCCTTCTCCTCCTCGACATTCTATGTCCTGAACGATCAGCCGTACTGTGAACAGCATTATCACAGACTTAACGGCAGTCTTTGCGGGAGCTGTAATATAGGTATTGAGGGCCAATACCTCGAGGATGAATCCTCAAAGAAATATCACCCAAATTGCTTCCGATGCGGAGACTGCGGTATTGTCCTCCGCGATGGGTACTTCGACGTGGACGGTAGATCGTACTGTGAGCGCGATGCCTGGAAGCGAATCCAGTTTGCCATGCAAGCCCAGAGACAATATCCACCATCACTGAGGCCGGGATACCCACCCCGCCGACCAAGCGGACAAATGCAAGGACCTCCACCACCGAGGCCGCCTCGCCCTGGCCCTGGCTCTGGCTTCGTGGGACCGAGTCCTATGGGCCCAAGCCCCATGGGTCCGGGTCCTAAGGGGCTCAACCGGCCATTTGGCTTACCCACCGGCAGCCGCCTGGCTCCCGGTCAAGCTCTAGGCCGTGGTGGATTAGCTAGCCCGATACCGAGGATGGAGAAGAGAATGACAAGAATGGGCATGCTATAAAAGAATTTACGTCCCGATTTGCATATACAAGGTATCTTCCCTACTTTGTAACGACGACATGCTCTCTTTTGTTGAGATGGACTTTTCATATCGCCGCTTCGGTCTCATTAGCTGTGCGATTTCAATCATGTTTTAGCATTGGCGTTTTTGGGGTTCCCATTTTCGGGAATGCTGTCGGTTTTTTTCTTTTTTGGGGGGGTCGCATATACCCTTTTCAATCTTCCATTCGGAATTGGTAGTTGCTTACCTTTTGGGTCCCTTGACGAGATATCCGCTTTTTTTTTGTTACGGTATTTATAATTAGATAATGCGCACCATATCATTATCATCATAATTTGGTGCCTTGGGAATCTATTTCCCTCTGGCCATGGCTGCATTCAGGCTATCTGCGTTGGGGGTTGGCGGGCCTGATGCGTACTGCCGCTCGCGTCTCCCTTGGATATAGTGGAAGGCGTGTTGAACTGGGGTAGGGGATGGAAGGTCCCACAAGATGGATATAAAGGGTGCCTTGAATGATGGGAGAAAAATGGAAGAAAGGGCAATGGAAGGAAGGTGGAATTGGGGGGAGTGATGTGGTTGAGATCTAGCACAAGCATAAGGCTGTAGATCACCAGGAGTATACTTGCTCTAGCCACACCGTTTGCGCAAACCTATAGTGGTAAAGGTATGCTCTTGTGGGAGCAAACGGAACGAGAATAATAATATCAAATAACAAGTCCATGCGAACATCAAAGATGTCACTTTGCTTACGTATAACCGTAAATCGCAACATGTGATAATCGTATCTATAGAAGTGATGCTATCTCCGATCTGTTTTCCCTGTCTCGCTTACTTGCCTCCTTCGTGCTCCTGGATCGAAATATCGAAATTGGTGGCACTTGTTGAAACGTTCGTGCTAACGGGATACTGCGTGTTTGCTCTACAGGTACTTCGTACATATGGCAGACATGGGCACCTGAAGGTAGATGGGTCGTGCTTGTTGGCAAGCTGATTCCCTGGTGATACTACTTATTACATAGGTGTATATGTGTACCTAAGGTAGGTAGTGTGTACCAGGTAAGGTATTGCAGCGTCTCCGTATCTCATATACATAGGTACCTAATATGCCTACTGTGTAAGGGTAAGCCCCCCAGACTGCACTGCCGATAGGCTGGCTGCCGCTGGCCGCATCCGACGGCAGAATCGCGCGTTTTGCCTGGTTACAGCCGCAAGGTTGCACGACCTTAGGTGCAATACATTCGATCTTCTGTATACCTACATACCAGTATATACGATGTGCCTATCTATCTATCTATCAGGTATCTACCTAGGTCATCTAATCTATAGAGCCTCTCACTGGCCATTATCGAGTTTTCATCTAACTCGCATGTGGGAGGGCGGTCTAGAATAGAGTTCCTGGTAGATAGGGGTGTGGGTTGGTGGAACGGTGAAGTCGGTGAGAGCGCATGATTGATTGAATTGGAATATAGGTACCTCTAAGGTGGTAGGTAATGTATTAGTGATGATAATAGATATCCCAGATACGTACGCAGGACCAATTGATTGCACTGAATGCTGCTGTGTATATTTTCTAATTGTTAGGTAAACAGCCCAAGCGCTTCTAGTTCGATCCATCCAAGTTGTATACGGGCAATGTCACGGTCGTCAATATCACGACATTACGAAGATCCCAACCGTTGGTCTCGGGTGCTCACGTACGTACGTTGGCTCCGTCGTTGGATCAAATAATAGGCATTCCGGAAATATTGGAGGGAATATTTCTAGGTGCGGCTGTAATCCGTATTTTGTAGAGAGACTGCCCAGGTGGCAGTCTGTTGGTCAATATTAGAGCTTGGCGCTTATTGTAAACGCGTAATTGGGCTCTTGAAAGAGGCGTATGTTGGCTATGTAAAGTCCTATGATCTTGACAAATTATTTAGTTTCTTAATACGTTAGGTACCTGATACGTATATGAGTAAAGACTCGGCCGATAAAATCTAATACGTGAGATACATCCGGCATGCTATATTACAAAATGAATTGGTCTAGGTCTCTTCCCGAAACAGGCAAGCAACCCCAGCTGGAACGAATGGGGGACCAGCTTAGCGAATGTGACATTGAGATTTCGAAGCAAGAGATAAAAGCTGCGGGCGGAGACTCCTTGATTGGACCGCTGCACGATGACGATCTATACGTGCGCTTCGTGCGTCCCTTGCCCCATGGCGTGACAACTAATAAGCTGTACTACTATGTATGTAGACTGAGTGGCTGCAAGGTGCCGTAGCATTTTGTACCTGAGACTTTGGGGAACTGTGTCACCAAACCCGGAGGTACCTAGCATCTAGCATCTGCGTAGTCCCAAATGAGTAAAAGTCTCGATGTGTTCTACCCAGGTGAGGATTGCATATTTGCTGTGCCTTGTACAATACTATTAATGTAGCTTAGCAAGTAAGTAAAAATGTTCTTAAAAATAACTTGCGGTCCTAAGCCATCCAACGCCTCAACGGTGGGAGCAGGAGGCTCAGATAGTTTTGCGCATTTTTCACAGGTAGGCACCTAGTTAGTTGCAAAGGGGGATTGGCCAAGATTATTAAGCTATACTCATGACCCTTATAACCCTTGAGTCGAGGGAATAGCTGCATGTACACTAATGCAGGGACGGTACACTATTTGTATTAGTTGTTGTTGTCAGTGCAGGTGCAGAATATAAAAAAGAAAAAAGGAAACGAAAGGAAACGAAAGACTAGAACCTAATCGGGATCATCATTTCCGCTAGGCAAAGAAGGTACCTAGGTAGGAAGGGCATTTCCTTATCTCATTAAACCAGGTACGTTGCAGATGGTTAAGGTCCAATCGGCACTTCCCAAATTGCTTTCTACGAATTTAACCTTCAACATCTTATCACCTCAATTTAACTACGGCGCCACTACGGCATATGCAGGGGAGCATGGAAGTTCTTTCCCCTTAGCGGATTCTAGGGTAAAACTATCGAATAGTTACCTAAAACAAACGTTAGGGAGCAAATGCCTAATGATCGAAGAAATGTTTACAAGTATATAAGTAGTCTGCTATGTAAATGTTTAATAATATTGTAAAAATTCAATAATATGTTTGGTCTGTCTGCATGCGACGCTGCGTAATGCCTATGTATTATGTAAATACATATCAGCAGCCACCCGTCCACCCGTCCACGCTAATCCCACCATGTATATGTTAGATGCAAATACTTGTGGACATGAATCTGAACCCCTTCCTTGTATCTGAGTTGCACAGCAGAATTTCAAAGATTAGCCATTGTCAAACTCGTCTTATCTCGATTTGTCTACTGCATACTACCTCTTAGATACTATATTCACATTTCCTAAAGAATACCTATGATGGTATGATGGCTACAACATGGCCAGAATATGAGCAGAGCGTCTTACATGGAGATTCTGGGGCCTGCTAACGTTAACGATATCACAAGAGGAACCCACAAGTTACAACCAGTAGAATCTAATGTGTTGTACTTTGTTAGGTTAGGTACTTATAGCTTTCGCTTGGCCTTGTATGATAAACCTCTTAGCCTAATTTAGTCATCATGTCCCCCCACTTCCTAAGTACCTTAAAGGCCACTTTAAGGCTAAGAAATACATACATTAGACAGATATAACACCCATGTACATGTATGCAGTACCCATCTTCCCCTAGTGACACATGTAAGTCCCCTATAGCGCTTGGTTCTAACTACCAAGTATCCATAATCGTCGCCCTGTCGCGCATCGTTTTTTCCAATCTTTGAACCTTCAACTTTGTCCAAAAAAGGGGAGAGTGAAGGGGGCACCCAATTTTGAGCATCCCACTTGATCTGCTTTGGTGTTGATCACCACAGCCAAGACATCGCGAGATTTGCGCTTCCCCAGTCACTTCTTTTTCCTAGTTACTTGTGTCCTTCTATTCTCTCAAATCCCTCGAGTCCGTTTCTTTTCCTAGGCGATTCATGCTCCGGTGTTTTTTCTACCACTACTACTTGTCACCACTTTTTTCCCTCTCCCTCTTAATACTTCGCCTTGGCTTTTCTAAGTGGTTGTCGCAATCTTCTTTATCCGACCGGTTATCCTCTATTACGTTAACCCCCTACGCTCATTTTATTCTTATTCTTCTTATTTTTTCGTAGTCGCGTTTTCGAACCTACTACGTATAGTAGAACTTTAGACGACATATTTTATTCAGACGACTACGTATTACAGCGCGGAAATTTGATACTCTTCGAACCGCAGATCAAATTCCTAAGTCAGGAATCTAACCTGTAAACTTGTGTATAACAAACTTCAAGCCAACCAAACGATTATCACCCTTGACTTTTCACCTCAATTTTAGCCAAAGACGAGTATTTGGCCTCGAAAACATACCTGTTGAACGAATCTCGCCATGTTCTTACCTCTCGATCTTGCATAAATATTGCGATATCGACTTATCGCTTCCCCTGATTCATAAGCCGCGCCTAACCCTCCAATTAAACGTAGAAAACATGTTAGCGGTACAACCTCGTCGGTTGTTGTCGCGACCGAGAGGTTTCCTACTTATCGCCGTTTTTGCAGCCACTCTGTACTGGACCCTGCTGCATAGCTATACCGCTCCTCATACGGCGAGGTGGTTTGCCGAAAACTCCGCGCCGGCACAAGCTCAGGTTCAAACTCAAGGTCAAAGTCAAAGTCAGGCACAAGCACAGGATCAGGTTCAGGCTCCTCTAAAAGCTAATGCTGAATCCAAACCTGTCCAAGCTCCCTTACCACCAACCGAGCCTAGTAACAACGAGAAAAATCAGCATGCCCAAATCGAAGTAAACGACCCGAAGAAAGAGGAGGAGTTGGAGGAAAAGAAGCATAAGGAAGAAGAGCAAAGAGAAGAATACGTACGAGAACAATTTGATAGGGAATATGATGCGCTTGCTAAGTAGGTTCAACCGTTTGTTGCTTTGCCGCGCGCCCTAACGATATTATTACAGAGAACCCGGTGCCGATGCTTTGTTTGGGCAGACTCTTAATACTCTAGATCCCGAAAAGGAACGATCCCTCACTATCGACGATCACTTAGCGCTTACCCAGAACAAACCAAGGTTCGCCGAGCATAACACCTACGTTTACAACCCATATCCCAAGTACAACGAAAAGGCGTGGCTTGCTGAGAGAGCCGAGCATGTATCTTGCGAAGGTCCAGGTGGCGCACCTGTAGGGGATGTATTGGTTTTCAAAGGCCAGCCCAAGAAGTTCCCTGAACCCGGATTTGGGAGCTACAGTGTCCTTGGCATGGATGGCAATTTGTGTTATGAGCGTGAGACACGGTTAGGTATCTATGGCTATAAGTCGGATAATGACCACTCAGCTTCGATGGTCGATTGGGATAGCGTTCGATGGGGCCAATTACAAGAGAAGTGTGCCTGGAAAAACAAGGCTCGCTACGATATGAAGGGGCAGTCTAATCCGTACCTGAGCACCGTGTACACGCGTCAAAACTCGAGCGCCTCGAGTGTAGATGGTGGCAACGAACGCGATCCTGGTGCTTCGGAGCTCCCTAGAGAAGACTTGAAGAAAAAGGGAACCTCGTCGATACGGCGAAGAAGGAGTCTTCTCGAAAGACGCACATCTGGCACGTCTAAACCCAGTACCGTCCGCGAAGAGAGAACCGCACTTCTATTACGAACTTACACTGGCAAGCAATATACCGAAAATGACAAGCAGGTGATCCGATCTTTGATCTCCGAGCTTTCCTTGCGCACCGGAGGTCTATATCAGGTGTTCCTCTTCGTCCACGTCAAAGAAAGCAACTATGCGATTTGGGAGGACGAGGAAGCTTACCAATATGTTCTGAAACGAAATGTGCCTCCGGAATTTAGGGACATTGCTATCCTTTGGAATGACGAGGCCACACAGAGCATGTACCCTAAGATCGACCCTAAGAAGGCGACTGTACATGTCTCGCAGTGGCTATCGGTTCAGAAGTTTGCCCAAGAGTTTCCCGAATTCGATTACATCTGGAACTGGGAGATAGACGCGAGACTCACCGGCCATAATTATGATTTTGTTGAAAAGTTGGTCACATTTGCCAAGCGTCAACCGCGACGAGGATTATGGGAACGCAACGAGCGCTACTACATACCATCCGTTCACGGTGATTACGACACGAAGTTCCGGAAAGAGGTTGAGCGCGTATCAGGGAAGGAAACCGTCTGGGGCCCGCCAAAACTGCCTTTTGTTAACCCTGTAGGACCGAAACCACCTGTTGCAAAGCCTGAAGACGACGACTATGTGTGGGGCGTTGGTGAAGAAGCAGATCTGATTACCGTGGCCCCAATTTTCAACCCCGTTAACAGCTCTTGGATCATTGGTAACGAATTATGGGGATTCAACGATTCCACGCACGCAACTACAGACCTACCGAGGAGGGCTACTATTGTAACACACTCAAGAGTGTCCAAGAGGCTTCTCGACATCATGCACGTTGAGAACCTTCGCGGAAACCACATTGCATCCGAAATGGTTACGCAAACTATCGCGCTGCTTCACGGTCTTAAGGCAGTTTACGCTCCGATGCCGGTCTTCTTCGATAGACCTTGGAAAGGCAAGGACCTTGCCAGGTGGTTCAATGGCGGACCGAAAGGTGAAAGCGGAGGTGTCGGCTGCGCCATGGGCTGGGGACGAGAAGCTAGATACCGCGGAAGCACGTGGTATTACAGAGCAAATCCTCCCCAGCGACTGTACCTGAACTTCATGGGTTGGGAAGATACAAACGTAGGTGGCAAAGAGTGGGAAGAACTCTATGGGCGGCCCTGCTTACCACCGATGTTACTTCACCCCATAAAAGATGTCGAGCCAACGGAACCTGGGTTTAAGAGCGAATCGAATCTCCCTTATTCTTAAACCAACAGGTGTTGGGATGAAAGAAAGTTAAGGAATTTCTTCAATTCCTCCCGCCGTGCCAAAGGTTCAATTTTGGTGTAGCTTTTTAGACAAGCTAATATTTGGAAGCGTCCATTATTGCTTGGTCTCCCCCAAACTCTCGAGTCCTGTCTGCCCACATAACTGGGTTACTATGGGCTTCATCATCCTTCATCGGATGTGAACGACGCGAACGCTTCCGAGGACGCGAGAGCTTCGTGTTAAGTCAGCAGGTTCTTCGGTAACTAACCGAAAACATTGTTATCCTCGAGTTGAAAGTTTTTTTTTTTTTTTCCAAGATTCGTTATCGAGAAGTGAGTACGTTCAATACGACTCAGGCAGGGCAAGGACAGTGTAGGACAAACACGGCGAGGGATTTCAATAATCATCATCGCATCATCCGGCGTTTTCGCATTCCCAACCAGTCACAGGTCTGACATTTTACGGATAGCTTTGTCTCAGCTATGAGAGAAATTATTGCATGGTATACCCAAGGGTGTGGAGTCGGTTATGAGCAAACACCTGGTCCAAGGCGGATTAAAGCTCGTGGGAAGTTTTTGTTAACAGTAGATACGCTATATCATGTAAATACCCGCTTACGAATGAGCATATATATAAGTTGCACGATTATTTGCTAGCATTTGGGGCTTCAGCTGTGATGTATCTTACGTAGTGAAACTACCAGCTTGATATGTATGATGAACTACAGGTAGGTAGCTTTATTGGCAAATGAATAGAATATGTTTCCGGTTACTTTATATGTTCTTACCAGCTAACATTTGAGAATTACATTGTAAGTAAATATAGAGCCCCCCGCCCCTATTCTCCCCTTTAATGTTTTTTTAAATAACTTTTTCACTTAGGTATCTGGTAAGCCAGGCTTTAGCTCCGTTGAAAGTCCGAGTTGGAAAAAGCCAATAATAACCTCAAATCTTTCCTATTTGTTCTACTTAATGCCTTCACGAATATAGCTCGACTTGAGTCTTTCACTCAAAAATACCCAAGGTAAAGGATACCTGGACAATATGCTTTACATATTTAACTTAAATAACGCTCTATGATAAGAACTACATGTGAGGTACCTAACCTAAAGGGAACTGATATTTTGGTAGATTTATCAATCTACTAGATATTTATGAATAGAATATTAATTAATGTCTCTACCAACTGTAATTATGTTATATGTTTTTGCAAACGAAAGGAATGTTTTCTGCTTGTGTGTTCTAATATATAGTCGCTCGAAAAGAAAAGGGGAGAAATTAATACTCGGAGTATTTACTGGTAGGAGGTACCTAATATATGCTGCCACTTTAGGGAATAACTGGTCTCTCGTCGTCGCTGTTGACCGCGTCTTTTCCCTTCTCCGAGGGGGAGCCGGAACTTGCTACCGCTGTTGCTACTTCTTGGTCTCCGGGCATGTGTCCGATGATTTCCTCGAATGTCTGTCGGGGTTATAGTGTTAGCCCATGCAAGTTACCCTTCTTTGGAGAGATAAAACGGGGGGAGGCGGGGGTGAGTTGGAAGAAGGGAAAGAGAGAATTACCGGCCCCTCGAATGTTTTGCCGTATGCAATCCAGTACGCGCCTACTACGACCAGGAAGATACCAATTACGACAACGACGTAGTCTGTTTGGAATTGGTTAGCGAGGATTGGTTATTGACGCCTAGATATGGATCGCGGGATTCACATACTCATCTGGTCTGCCGAGACGGGAAGTTCAGTCGGGAAGCAGAAGAACTAGGTAGCACCCTGTTAGCAACTTTGTTCAATCAAATGCGTTTGTCCCCCACCCCTCTCCACACACACACACACACACACACACACCCGTCCTCCCCGAAATAATAATACATACCACAGAAGTAACGATAACAAAGACAGCGGCCACGGCGTTGAGCGCCCAGCCAAACCTCCCCAGCGCGAAGTAGGCGTTCTCGGCCTGGTACTGGCGCAGGACGGCGCGGCCGCGGACCAGCAGGACGACGACTGGGATCACGTACGACACGTTGAGGAATATGGTCGTGCTGGCCGCGTACGCGCTGAAGGCGACCGAGGGCCCGAGGTACAGCAGTCCGAAGAGGACGTTGAATGCGAAGGTGAGCACGATGGTGCGCACGGGGACGTCGAGTTTGGGCGTGATGTGCGCGAAGCTAGGGGGAGAGAGAGGGGAGGCGTTAGTTTGAAGGGGGGAAGAAGGGGAAGGGGAAGGGAAAAGAAAAGGGGGGGAGTTGGAAAAAAGAGAATGGGCTGCTACTGCTGCTACGCACTAGTTATGATACATGATACCCTTGTCCCGCGCCATCGCATACAGCAATCTACTCGAGCTGGTCACGCAGCCGTTCGTGCCGTTGATAAAGCACACGGCCAGCATGAGTGTCAGCACGGTAGCCGCGGCTCTGTTCCCGGTGCCCTGGAGGATCAGCTCGGCGATGGGCATGTTAGTCGGGGTGTTCAAGACGGTCTCCGGATCGGTAATGCAGAACAGGATAACGAGGATAAACGCGACGCCCGTCACCCCCCCGACCACGACGGCGTAGATGATGGCGCGCGGCGCGTCGACCGCGGGCCGCGGCATCTCCTCGGTCATGTGCAGGGCGGCGTCGAAGCCGATGAGCGACAGCGCGCTCTGCAGCAGCCCCAGGATCCAGGCCATGCCGTCGGACCAGCCGGTTTCGTTCTGGAACTCGGCGAACACGAAGTCCGCGCCGTTCTTGTCGGACGTCGTCAGCAGCACGATGCTGATGACGACCACGCCCAGCAGCGACCAGTACAGCGCCGCGTCGTTCCACCGCCCCAGGATCCGGTTCCCCCAGATGTTGGCGCCCGTCGTGAAGGTTACGATCGCGAGGAAGATTAGGTACGTTCGCCATTGCTCGATTGCGTACGCGCCGTTCGAGGCGATGACCGCGGCCGCGGAGATAAATTGCGCTGTGGTGCGGAGATATCGCGTTAATATTCCCGGCTTACTGGTTTCCAAGTTCCCAAGAGTGACGGGAAAACTCACCAGCAAAGAAACCCTCAGTCGTTACAAGCGTGAGCCAACCCGCGATATTCGTCCAGCCAACCCAAAAGCTCTAGATATATGGAACACGCACAAGTCAGCTTCGTCTTCGTTCTTCCTCTTCCCTACCAACTAGTCTTTTTTCCCTCTCCCCTTCGTTTTCTTTTCCCTTTCCTCTTATATTAAGTAAGTAAGTATCGTCTACATCACGTACCATAGCCCTTTTCCACCGATCCGTGCACAGCGCGTACACGAAATGGTACTGTCCGCCCGCCGTGGGCCATATCGCTGCCATCTCGCCGAGACTAGCGGCGAGGGCCAGGTTGCATAGGACGCAGAATACGAAGCCGTACAGGAACGAGACGGAGCCCCCTGAAGGTAGCACGAGGCCGATCGAGCCAGCCAGCGCGATCCATGTGCTGGCGTGCGGTTAGCACTACTACTGCTGCTGCTGCTACTACTGTCAGGGCAGGACTCACTTAAGAATAGCGAACGTCAAAGCGACCATTGTCAGCCTCGACAGTCGCGGCTGCAGGCGCCCTTCGCCAGGTGGCTGGGACTCGGTATGCAAAGACATCTTCGCGTCGAAGTGTTGAATCTGTCGTCCGGATGCTACTCTCCAGCGATGCGTTGAGAGAGAAACTACTGACTACCTTGCATGAGATATATATGAATACCACACAGTCGGGACAGGCGTAAGGGCGAGAAGGAATAAGCAGCATACGCCCTTTTAAATACATTACAGATCTTATTATCTACAGCTTTTGACTTAGATTACATACGCCCATCCGACAGCTAGCTTGCTAGTCTAATATCCAGAGACGTGCATACATCGTACAGAGCAGCCCGGAGGCGCATTGGATAAACCAACCAAAGCCGATATCATGACAATATGATACGCACGTGTTAGCTTAGCTTAGCTAGCTTAGACCAGATCCCAGATATTGAACACCCTAGATTACCTACCTAGGTAGGCAAGGGGAATAAGTCATCTCACCTAGCCCAGCTAGCTCAAGCCTTGCCGTTATTACCTCTGGTGATAATTTATACACCATACCTACTTCGTCCCCTTTCGCTTTTCCCTTCCCCTTCCCTTTCCCGTTTAGAAACAAACGGTATAAACAGAAGCAGGAGCAAATAAACAACTCCTACCTCACACTCACACTCACGCTCACGCTCACAGAGCAGAATAAGAACAAGAAGAATAAAGAAGCTCACGTAATTCGAAACTCGGTCAATCTCGACCGCCCCTCTCCGACTCTCTCTCTCTGTCTCTTCCCACCCAATCCCTCCCCCCAGCAGCGAAAAGATAAGATGACGTTTCTCCTCCTGCTGCTGCTGCACCCCCCGGACCCCCTAATCCGGCAAGCCACGAATTTCTGCAGCAAACACTCACGGGCCTTCGCATTGGCCCCTCCCCAGCTTATCATTGGGTCCGCGCCATGGCCTGGCCTGGTCTGACCTACATTACCACCACCAACTTGCATAGGTACATACATTAGCATTAGGTAGGTACCTACCTACAGTACCTTTTGAGGAGGAGAGAGGGGTGGTTTCACGGGAACAGGAATGTTGTGTGCCCATTCTTCTCTTCTGGGTATATTTCCATTCCGCTTATGATCATGATAATCAGATCAGACGCTTAGGTACCTAACCTACCTACCTTAGGTAAGTATTCACCGCTTCTTTTTTAGCTCGATTTCCCTCTGCCGCCGCACGGAAAACGCGTTCGTGCGACGCGGAGTCTGGCGGCGGCGGTACCATACAGGAGGCTTATCCGTTCTGCGTACGCACGCAATATTTCCCAATCCTTTTAATTATTTATTATTGTTATAATCTTCCCCTCACTCCTACATCTCCGATGTTACCGCCGCTTGTATATACCTACCTACCTACCCGGGTAAGGGAGGCCAATGTTTATCTAAGCTACATCCATGATAAGTAGATCCCTAGAAGTTGGGTTATTCCCACGTTATTATCATCAATCTTTACTAGGTACTGATCCGAAATCCTGTCTCAAAAACCAGGAATTGCACCCAGGGGTGTCAGAACCTTGTTAGATCCCGATCGTGAGTTCATTACTATCTGACCTGTTCTCTGTCTCTTTCTCTCTCTGTCTGTCTCTCCCGGTTGCAAGCGAAGCGGGAATATCTGTTCGTTCCGGTTCGTTAGAACGGCGATAAACTAGTAGTAAAGTAGGCCCCGGATATGCACTTTATGTTCGGCTACATTCTTCCATATTACATGCCAACCCGCGTGTGCCTCGGGTTGCACACGCGTATTCCAGAGCCATGGGTACGCCGTTCGGAGCAAATCCGAGAGACGAGAGCCCCCAAATCTAGGATATCGTACGTGATTTCAGGTCTTAGATGAGCGCTCCTTGCTGCTGTTGCCGCTTTGCTTAAGGTAGGGAGGTATATATTTGTGTGATGGGGATAAGGGGACGACAAAAAGTAATTATTCAACCAGAGATGAAATTATTATTCATAAGTTCAGCGGCTATCACGAGTAAACTACTACCTGGTAGTTGTTAACTAGTTAAAATGCGCGTTTAAACCAATAACACAGTCGCGGGTTATTGCCGGCCTGATGCAGCAGCGGCGGCAGTAGGAACGTTGTTATTGCTTAAAATAAAAACTCCCCATGAAGATCGTTCCCGTTCGTAGACTAAGCTGGGTGTCGTTGGATAGGTTGATGAGCGACAAACAGCAAAATGCTGGTCGAGGGCTCGAGCGCCGTGCTTCCCATTTTCGTGCCGCATTGGCATCGTCGAGGCTTTCCCGATTCTGGACGTAAGGGACCCACGCGGAAGCTAGGTTCGCAGAGCCGCTAAGCTTGGATGGATCGTAGAAAAGAAAGCTTGGAAGGACTCTGCGATCGCTGGACACATATAGGCTTAGGTAGGCTAGGAGGGATGAGCTCTCTCACGGCCGTGTATCGACGAAGGATTCAGTAAACTATTGCAAAATAGGACTTCTTATAAGGGCCGAATTAGGAGTAGATGTGTGTATGAACCAGGTGTTTGCCTATGACCGCACCCGTGTAACGGACAACGGCCCCCATATACAGCTCTCTATTGGGAAAACAAAATGCTACGGCACTGAGGGGTTACGCCCGCGGGATGCAAGCTGGAGATGCAGTGTAAGGCAATAAGATCGTGGACCTGCTGCACCAGTGGAGGGCTGCATATTGAGTATCAGGGATTCCGCCAAGCCACCAACCGCTGAAATATTCCAACATAGCCAATGATCGGACCCAGCTCGTTACGTTGACGCGGCCGACGGGGTCCAGAATAGGACCACGAGGTAGCAGTAGCAGTAGCAGCTGTTGAAATTTCGGGATTCTGGCACGAACTGAGCTGTTGCTGGGGTTTGGTTACTGACCTGCAGAAACCGTATCTCTCCCCGCACTGCAGTGAGACGTTTCTGCGAATAAAGTAGACGACAGTGTAGACCCTAGGCATATAAAGTCCAAGCATATGGTCGTTAATAGCTTGGATGCTGTCTTCATCCCCATCGTCTCTTAAAACTCTTATTCAAGTTATAGCCACCTAGTTCGAGAATGTCTACTACCGTTCGCGTCGGTGCCGTCCAGGCTGAGCCAGTATGGCTCGACCTTAATGGGGCCGTCGACAAGACTATCTCCCTCATCGAGGAGGCTGCAGCAGACGGTATCCAGGTGCTTGGGTTTCCAGAGGTATGGATTCCTGGATATCCGTGGTAAGTTCAGCCGGTAGTTACAAAGGGATCGCGACACTAACGTCAACTTGTTTGCTCCAACATAGGTCCATGTGGCTTAAAAGCGTCATCGAGAACACTCACATCATCCACGAATACATGGCAAATTCGATGCCTCGGGACTCCGAACATATGAAACGTATCCTCGCCGCTGTCAAGAAAGCCGGTATGTTCGTGGTCCTCGGGTATAGTGAGAGAGATGGTGGTAGTCTCTACATGGCCCAATCTTTCATCTCGCCCGAAGGTGAAATAGTCCATCACCGACGGAAGATAAAGCCCACACACGTGGAACGCACCGTCTGGGGTGAAGGTCAAGCCGAATCCCTCAAGTGTGTTGTGCCCTCAAAATTCGGTAATATTGGCGGTTTAAATTGCTGGGAGCACTTACAACCTTTGCTTCGCTACTACGAATACTCACAAGGAGTTCAAATACATATTGCGAGGTCAGTCTTAAACTTTGTTTACCTACTCTCCTTCCCCGATATCCCTTGCTGATCTGAATGTAAAGTTGGCCTGCAGCGTTTGAAATGCCGGATCCCTCTAAGGTCGCGTGGTTATATCACGAGACAGGGGAAGCAAGCAACCGAGCTAGTCAATTCATGGCCATAGAAGGGCAGTGCTTCGTCCTCGTCGCATCACAAATCCTCACCGAGAAGAACTTGGAAAAAACTAACCTTTCCGGCAACCCAGTAACCAAGACGGTAAGACCCTCCCATTTTCCCCGCTACTCCGTAACAATACTAAACACAACTGCTTTCCAGCCCGGTGGTGGCTTCTCCATGATTTTTGGACCCGACGGCAAACCGCTTTGCGAACCTATTGACGCTGGCGAAGAAGGTATCCTCAAGGCGGATATTAATCTGCGGGATATCGATTATCCCAAGGCATTCATTGATGTCGTCGGTCATTACGCTAGACCGGATCTGCTAAGTTTGCTGGTGAATCCCACCCAAGATTTGCATGTAACAAAAATGTCTAAATAGATGCGGCTATAACTAGCTCGCCAAGATGGCTTATAAGAGATTATAGGAGGCTATGGCAGTAGTCGCGATAATGATAATAATGATCATGACGACGGCGACGATGATGGTGTGACAACTATATGGTAGACCGTGACTGATGACGATGTCCTTTTTCAGATACACCAAGGCGCGGCGATATCTAATTTAACAACGTTCCACCACTTAGTATTAGAGGTTCGGCCGCTATCGGCCTGAAGATCCTGTTGTTTCCAGTATGACTCAATTATATCACGGAGAACGAACACATTCCCGATGTGTCTTTCGTTATCCATTTTATCGAGCGTCTGGAGGATCATTATCCTCTGCTGGTCGTCTTCGGTTTCGCAAGCAATGACAAAAAGCGGCCACGGACTCGTGCAGACGTCAAGCCGTTTCAAGGAATCAAATGCTAACTCTAGATACATTGATCTGAGCTCTTGGTTGTGTGTGCAGTCACCTGTTCTTTGTAAGTAGAGAAAGGCCGCGATTCTATAAAGCTCGGCAGTCGTTTTGATCCGACTCCTTTCTATCGGTGGTATGTGACTCGCGTGGATGGGGTCAAGATCCTGCGTTAGGTTCGCTATTCGACTCTCAATCTTGCGCCATTCGTCCGCCTTTCGAGCACGTTCTTCCGGGTCATACTCTAGAGACCCTCCCCAAAGCTCGACGGCACGAAGATTATTCACGTAGCTAATAATTTCCATAACCTCAACAGAGCATCCGAGCGATCCTATGATCTATTGGCTGTCAGCGGCGATTATCCTTTGTTGCCAAGTTAGCAGGGAAGAATACCAATGATTTATCAAAGTTCGTGTCATGTAAGAGTTCCAGAGACGCCGGGCATCTCCCGTACTGGAGTGGCTGGCTGAAACCACCCAGAATCTCGTGGTAAAGAAACCAGGTATATAAGAAACCGTACTGTAGCCGCCCGCCGTGAATACTGGCGAGCTTTTGTAGTATGGTTTGGGCACCGCGGAGGTGCAGGTTCCAATTGCCTTCTGTCTCGTCGAAGACCTTTACTTTCGGTTAGCATGTACGTATAAAGAAAGCGAGAGATAAAGTTCCCACATTGTAAACACAGAGCATCATCGACGTAGCCAGCTGCGTCTCAGTTATGCCAATAGACTCGCTCGACAGGGAAGAAGATAAGGATCGAAGGGCATCAGCTTTGTAGGAGAGCGCTTCTTCCGAACCCCAGAGGTGAAAAGCGGATACAGCAAGCATGGCATTCCGAAGGCCGTTGGAGGCATTGCCGATGTTTGAGAGCGCCATTGGCAACAGATCGTCGCGGAATCCATTGTTGATGTCAATTGTGGATATCATTTGAGATAACTTATTCTGGTCTGATATAATAAGCGTCAGCAAGGGTTTTTTTTCGAGATGGAACTCGACAAGGATGTTACGGGCCTCGTTCTTACAGTAGCTAATAAGGTGAGACTCCCGCTCGTGAAGATTTGGGAATAAAGGTAGGCTTCGTCCCGGTCGCGGCTGAGCGCGGATGATCGATAGGCAAATAGGCGATATGCCTTTCCTGGAAAGAGCTAAATCCGAGTAAGTCACGTTCAGGAACTGTTTTCCGTAATAGTCGGGATCAATTTTGTGGTGGTAGATCGTGTGATCCGGAAGTCGAGTCAGTCTGCGTCTACCGTCAGGCTGATCTGGCCACGCGAGCCGGATGCCGTAGCCTAGACATTCTCTCCCGGTGCGAAGGCAGTTGTTACAGGCTGGATAGCCGCGGTCACATCCGATCTTACGTCCTTTCCGAAGCGTTTAGTAAGTGTCGCGATTGCTGATGTTATACTCGAGAACTTACGTTTGCAGGTCCAACACCCCTGCGCTCGTCTAACAGTCTCCATTCCTTCGGCGTGCTGAGTGGTAGGTTTTTGTACGCCTAAGTCTTTAGCTTCAGACCTTGCCCGCGGGTTCTGAGCCTTGCATATTCAAAAACGGGTTTTGGACTTCTTTACAGTGGCGAGGCTGGGAAAGGCAGCCCGGCGGCGCAGATGCGAAGGCGGCAGAAGGGGGTATATTATCCACTCTGGCCCGATAACAGAAGAGATAGTCTACGCAGGTTATCTAATTCTCGAATCTGCCATCATACGACGCATTGTAACGATTCGAATGTACGGTTTAGCCAAGCTGGGCGACGCTGTCGATAGTATAGTCCCCGGGTGCTGGGTACATGGGGAATGTATGCCAGGTATGCTGGCTGTCCAAGTTTGTCCCCAGCGATATCGTACCGTCAGAATCTCCGCAATTGCACTTCTAACCAATTGGGACACTTCTTGCTGTGGGGGGTTGCTGCCACTCAAATCCCGAGTGACCGGATGAAGACCCCGAGCATATGGTAACTCAAATGTTTGATCGAGACGTCAAGACAAATACCACTTTACAACGCAAAACTTTTTAAAAAGAAAAGAAAAAAAGAAAAAAAGAAAAATTTAGCATAATTACCTTAGCTGCTTAGGTAGGCTAGGTAGGTACCTAACTAAGTAATAGGGGTAGAAGTAATATTGACAGCTAGGTAGTCGGCGAGGAGACCAGCCATCGGTAGTTCGGCGACCCAGGAACGGTACGATTTCTTAATGCTAAAGTCTTCGTTAAGCAGTCATGCTGACGAAATATCTGCGATACCATGGTCTTTGGTTATACGTCATGCTATGGCACCGTAACACTGTCATAAAGACAGGTTCAAACCCCATGAATCCCTTGTTCCCGAGTTCGTTATAAGCAACGGTGCCTTTGTACGACTCGAGATTTTCATATCAAGACAAGGAGGACAAGGAAACTCGGGCGGAATATTCCCGTCCATTAGTCGTCTAGACTGTCTAGACTGTCTGGGCCTTCTTGACAGCACACATCTTCTTGGCAATGCTTGATGTGTACTTTGATCAATCTTAGTACATCAATGGATTGGTGCCTATTATATGTACGAACACCAAACCGGCGAGACGACGGGTGATGCCGGAAATAAGCATTGCACGAAATAGAACGAGGATAAGAAGAGATCAGATGATGGAGATTGTCGCCATGCCAGGGGTTCCCCGCGGGAGCATCGCTCGGTACGACAACCAGGTCTCTTCATTGGATTAACAGCACCTAAAGTGCAGATGGCTGATAGAATGAGGTCTCGATATGGCAACCCCGTAAGCCCGCGGAACGTCCCGTCATGCAACATGTGAATTTAGGTTGACCCTGTGCCAGAATGTTGGGATTTGGGCGCTCAAAAGAGTAATTGTATCGGCCATCGTAGGAAGAATTGACTTTTTTACATCTTTGACTTACATGTGGCAGATTTGTGGGATGTGAACTCGGATTTACATTTTTTTTTTTTAACTTGCCGACGAACGACGTGGCTTAGGTAGGTACCGGCTGGTGGATTCAATGGGACAGCCTTGTGGCTTGCCTTATGTTACATATGACGTATGTACGTACACATAGTGCTATTATCCCCGTAGTTGGAGACTTTTACACTGTCACGTTGACTCTAACCATTTCGCTGAGTCGTAGTTACCCGGTCTTGCTTACCTAAATTGAGTCACTTCTCCCTGTCCGTTGGAACTTGGCAGCACATGAATACATAGTACCTGATTAGGAAACGACCGAGGTTCAATTGACACGTGCAACAACCGAGAAGGGCAGCTTCGTCACCCTTACATAGTGTTAGGTACTTACCTGTAGTTGTTCTTATCTAACTTCGCTGAAGCTTCTTCAATTTCCAAAGACACTTGACTTTGTTTACAACTTTCATCTTTTTAGTACTGCTTCATTCCGCGTCATCACCTACCACGAATCTTCTATCATTACGACTACATTTCCCAATCGCGCCAGCTTTTTAGCTTTACCAGTGTCGCAAAGATGGGATTGAAGAACGGTACGAGGACTTCCCCAAACCACACCACCGCGTACAAGACTAATAGTTACCGTTCTCACAGACAAGTTTCCTTCCTCGGCAGCCTTCGACGCTATCAACGAGGCGTTACAAAACGAAGACGAACGCAAAGATGCTATCAAGCAAGGCAACGCGGTCTTCGCCTTTACCATCAAAAACAATGACGGCGAGACCGAGAGCTGGCACATCGACCTTAAAGAGAAGGGTATCGCCGGCCCTGGTCTGGGCGAGAAGCCCACAGGTAATACCGCATTGCAGTTTAATCACGGAGTTAATTTATATAGAGCTAGATACTGATCCGCTGCGACCTACAGTTACCCTATTGCTTTCGGATGAGGACTTTGGCAAGCTTGTAGCTGGCCAGGCCAACGCGCAACGATTATTCATGTCCGGACAGCTCAAGATTAAGGGGGACATGATGAAGTCGACTAAGCTACAGCCTATCCTGGCTAAAGCGCAAACTAAGGCGAAGCTATGAGAGATGCTTATATGTTGCTAATAAGTCGTTTTGTTTAATATTATTAAGAATTAAATAAAAACTTTGTGACAATATAAGCAGCTACTTGAGGCGTCATATCATCAACTTTACGTAGTCCGTCAACTTAGTTTGTTTCGGCCGGGACATTCACCTGAATCTATTTTTACAGTGTATAAAGGACACAACAGTATACCCCGGGGCATCACGGTGATACTTACAGAATATCCATTTCAGTACTTTTTCTAAGTTATTAAATACCCCTAGGTACTTACACAGCTGGACTGGTTGTCTCACAGTGATAACTAAACCTTGGCCCTTGGGTACTCAGACGAAGACGTATGTACATATGCATACAGATTGCGTACAGATCTACCTAATATAGATATTACTCATTTATGTAATACCATCGATTCGGACGTACTGACAAATATATATCAGATAAACATGTGATGTCGCGTTTAGACTTATTTTAGGTCGTTATTGGATAGGAGGTCGGTAAGCTTGTAAGCCAGTCTGCCAATATATCTTACATATTAAAGCAAGCTGCAGATTTCCTTAATCCGGCCAAAATATTTGATCGTTAATAAAGGAATTTTTATCAAAAGTCGTACAACCTTATCATGTTTTCATTGTCTAGAACTCAGGTACTATCTAATAACAATGAAATGGCACGTTGAAATTCGCGTATACCTACCTATCTTTTTGTTATGATAAAGTACCTAAAAGCTCAAAGCGCGCTAAAGGTGCGGGACCTGAATGGGTTATGGATGTACACAGGTACGGATCCAAATTTGAAAGGTGGCCTGTGCTCCTTTAGCTGCTGGGTACCTACTACCTAATGTAAATGGAAGCTACCAAAGCACGAGTACTGATGTACTGATACTTGAACTCAATTTTGTTGCAGAGCGCGTCTAAGGTTTCCTCCAATGATATAACGCCGTTACAAAAAATTCCAAGCTTTCCGTAAGGTGGATGTTAGGTAATGACTGTTTTCCGGCGGCAATAATACATTACACTCATTGGAAGTCATAGGTTTAGGTACGTACCTAGCCTACCCTTATTTTTTATTTTTTATTTTCCTTGGTGGTCACAGACCCATCACCCTAAATAATAACAATAATAACATCACTCCCAGTTATTTTTCCTTAAAGCAAATTCTTTTCCTAGCCTTGTTGTCGTCAAGGTGTTTAGGATCGCCAGGGCCATCCATCAAACAAAACTCACTTATCATTCAGATTTGTTTCAATTATTGCATGCCAGCATATTTTGAACTCTTCTGAGACCTGCCGCTAAGGCTTTTTTTTTTCTTTTCTAATTCTACATTTACCTTAGTCTCCATTCCACCTCATCATTCGTCAAAAACCCGTCTCCGGCTTTGGTCGCAGCTGGTCGCCTAGGCAATCTCAACATCGACCTCTTAACTACACCCCGACGCGTCGTCTATCATCCATCCCACACGCTACCCTTTCTTTTCCAACAACTCTAACTATCACGCGTTATCTATAGGAACTACGCATCCTTCGATAACCATTAATATACACACACACACAATGAATACCACTACACCTCTCAAACCTCGCCCCGCGCCGGGTCAACAAGGCTCGACGCCTTTTCGGTCTGCTTCAGCAAGCAGATTCCGATCCTCCCTCGTCCCCATGAATAGACCATCACCCGCGCGCGCTTCGCATGCCACAAGCAAAGTAGCTACGAGCACATCATACGGTCGCGATCTATTCCGTACCACTACTCCGCAAGCCTCTCGGAGTATCAAGTTTGCGCCTAACCTACCTGCGGAGGTGACAAAGACAACTCCAGGCGGCCGCAAATTTTCTCACAAGACCGCGCAAGGCGGCATGTATGGTATACCCTCTACTGAACCTTTCAAGATGAGGATACCGTCTCCCGATCCCGAACTCTCCGGCGAGGCTCTGTCCAAAGAGGTTCCTGATGATCCAAACCGCACAGGTACGATCTACGCAGATCAGTTCCTGGCCCATAAATGCCCCCCAGACTTCGATGACCTTCAGCGACGACAGTTTTTTTGCGTCCTTGATTTGCGAAGATTGAAATACGCTGCTGATGAGATCTTCGCGAAGAAGGATTGGAAACTGAATATAATGAACTTCGCGAAGGAATATGAGAAGAGCAGGGGGTTAATCATGCTACGATACGGATTATATGAGTTTAAGAATGTGAAGCCGTCGGAAGAAGTGCTCAGGAGGTGGAGAAAAGCCCACAACTTACCGGAGCCGGAATCGCAAGCGGAGAATGCGGCACCGGCGACTCCCATCCAGAGTAACCGTCGCCCTATGGCTTCGGCCGCTCCGTCGGTGAAGCGCAAGGCCGAGGAAGATCTGGCACCAAAGGATAACGCCCTAATGGCGTCGTCCACTGCCAGCCAGAATAAGCGTCGCAATGTTGCTCAGGAACAGGCCGATACCGCTCTTACAGGCCCTGCCCCCTTCAAAAAGAGTAAGCGTAAGGCTGATGAGACTGATGAACCAGATGAGAACCAGCCCAATAAAGTACAAAAGGCCACCCCAACTGCAGCCAAATCTAAATTTGAGAGTATCCTCAACAATGCTCAGAGTGGCAGCACCTCGCCTGTGAAGAGGGCACCCCTAACCCCCTTTGGGCCTCAGAAATCGAATGAATCCCCGAACACCAATCTCAATAGCAAATCGAATCCCTTCGCAGCTTCTACAAACGGGTTCAAACCTGCGACAGTCGAGGTTGTTCAGGAGGATAATAGCACTAGATCGGTGCTTAGCTCGCACAAGGTCGGATCAGCAGCACCGGCTAATAGCTACAGCAATATCTTCAGTTACCTTTCTGAGAGTTCTACCAGCAGTAGCGGTAACGAGAATGGCAACGCTGATGATGGCGACACTGAGTCCGAGTCTGAAGGTGAAGGAGCAGACGCCCAAGAGGCGTCAGAGAGTGCTCAACCTAGTGTTGCTAGTAGTGCCGGCACAAATACCCCTTCTACACAGAGCGGATCAGCTCTATTTTCCACAAATACTACCACTGCCGCTTCCAATATCTTCGGTAGCCTGGCAAAGCCTAGCGATCTCAGCTCGAAAGGAGGTCTCTTCGGGCGAGTTCAAATGGGGTCTAACGGACAGCCACTTCGAGCTACAGGCGATGTAGAAGTGCAAGTCGACGTTGTTTCAACAAAAGAAGCTGTTGTTGAAAAGAAACCAACTCAGACTCCTGCTAAGCAACCAGGTGACTTTACATTCGACGCGACGACAACACCAATATCCTTCGGTCCGCCGTCTAGTACTGTCAAACCACCCGCGACGATTTCCAAGCCAGATTCCACAAATGAATCTAGCAAGCCAGACGCCCCAACCGAGACAAAAACTACAGCATCCCTCTTTGGAGCCAGTGCTCCCACCAATCCGGCCTTCCAGCCAAGCGCTGCATCTCTGTTCGGTGCATCTACCTCCTCGTCTATTTCTACACCGTCAAAATCAAACGCCGCCGCCACAGCTCTCTTCTCAGCACAAAAGCCTGCTTCATCTTCTAGTTTATTCAGCCCTGCCCCCACTACACCTACTGCTAAATCATTATTTGGTGATGCCACGAAGGCAAATGGGACTGACTCTGCAACTACTAAAGAGCAGCAAAAGGCCGGTTCGGAATCGAAGGCTAGCGAGACACCTTCAGCTCCCAAAGAGGTCAAATCTCTGTTCGGCGCTTCAACTAGCACAGCTACTCAGTCTCAAGCCACATCGTTGTTTAGCAATAGTGTAAAGGTGACCGAGAGCCAAACAAACGGAACCTCTAGCAGCCAATCGTTATTTGGAAATACTCCGAAGGCCCCTGCGTCAAACTTGTTCGGCGGCTCTTCAAGCACGTCATCGTTCACTGCGGGTAACAGCAAAGTTAACGGCTCTGATACCCCTAAATCGTTATTTCATACTTCGAGCAAGTCAGCATCAGCCAGTTTTACATTCGGTGCCTCGCAGCCGGAAGCTACGCCTGCTACGCCTGCTACGCCTGCTACGCCTGCCACACCCGCAACGCCTGTACCTAAGTCATTATTCGGCTTCGATACATCCAAGCCAACTACTACAATGGGATCCTCGCTGTTCGGAGGCACTCCAGCCCCTGCGTCGAACATCTTCAGCTCTAAGAACGGCGAAGTAACGCCCGCAGAAAATAAACCGGCTACAACAACGGCACTATCGTTGTTCGGTAACAACTCAACCGCGAGCAACCTATTTGGTTCTAAGAGTGACAACGCAGGTGCCGTTGAGAAGAAAGTAGAGCCTCCGGCCTCGAACCCACCAAGCCTTTTCAGCAGCGCTCCCTCTACAGGGCCTTCTTTTACTTTCGGAGCCGCCAACACAACACCGGCGCCTGCGTCGACACCTGCAGCAGCGTCGGCAATGATATTTGGCGCGGGTACTAATGGCACCCAGGCCAATAATAACGAGCTGAAGAAGCCCGATTTCCAGTTTGGAGCACCTACAACCGGTTCAGCGTCGTTTACATTTGGTCAAGACACATCGGGCTCTGCTGGCTCTAGTTTCACCTTCTCGGCGGGCGGGAACGGGCAAGCGTTCAATAACCCCTTCGCCTCGAACTCGCCGTCGCCAGCCCCTATATTTGGTGGCCAGTCATCAGCACCAAATCCAATGTCTTCAAGTTTTACTTTTGGACAGCAAGCACCATCTACGCCTAATCCAGCCCCTGCTAATATGGGAGCCTCTCTCTTCGGAGCATCCTCCAACGCAAACAATGGGGCCCCCAGCTTCAGCTTTACTCAAGCAACACCAAACCAGAACATTTCGAATCCATTCGCTCCTAAACTCGCTTCGTCCTTTTCGGGTGTTGGGAATTTCCTGCAGGCGGGCGGTGATTCAACGGGAGCTAGTAAGTGGTCGAGTTTCTAGTAAACTATATCAGATATACTAACGCCTCCAGACTCGCCGTTCCCTGCACCCTCTAGCATGGGCACAACCCCAGTAAATGGTACACCAGAGCCACAGGCTCAACATGATGACGAAGAGGCCCCATTAGAGCAGATATCATTGATCAATGGAGGTCCGGGCGAGGAGGACGAGGTGGTTTTACACGAAGTGCGGGCCAAGGCTATCAAATTTATACCGATAGTCAAGGGCAGTGAGGATGAAGAGGAGCGGAAGTCACCATGGTCAACTCAGGGAGTGGGACCGCTACGGGTGCTGAAGAACAAGACGAGCGGAAGCGTGCGTGTGCTACTCCGTGGGGAGCCGAGAGGCCATATCGCGATGAACAAGGCTATCCTCCCAGATGTGGAATACAAAGCCAAGGAGAAGACAGTCAACTTTGTGGCAGCAAGCGACGACGGATCGGGTCTTGAGACGTGGGTTCTTCAGGTCAAAAAGCCGGAGTTTGCGCAACAGCTGGCTGGAGTACTGCAAGCAAACAAGAGCGCGAACAAGAAGTAGAGGAGATCGCTACTTAGTGAAACGGGATTTGGTAATGAATTTGTTATCCTGATTCGGAATGGCTTAATAACCGGGCGTTAATGGCGAAAAAAGGGGGGGATATAGTAGAGTATAGCATCTATATTGGCATTGTTTCTAACGTTTGTTGACGGGGACCGAAAAAAGGCATTCTGGACGGGACGCCTTGCCATTTGGGTGTAGGAGGTCACCGCGTCGTACAAAAATTTGGGCGTGTGTATTAACTATGCAAAAAAAAAAAAAAAAAAAAAAAAAAAAAAAAAATTTGATTGCATTCATGTAAACGCATCAATCTTGCGAATGCAAACTTTTGGTGGGTTTGGCGTGTGATAATCGTATTTTTCTAATGTATACTTTTTGGTTTTACTTATATAGCTGTCCAAGTAAACAGCTAGGTTAGTACTTACCTATCATTATGATGATGGGATGGCTTCCTTTAAGTGAGTTGTAAGCTCTGGGGAATTTATAACAGGTAGCACATTTATATATTAAGCTAAAAGTATCATTAGGTACCTTTGGTGAGTTGTACATAGCATGAGAGCTGCTGCCCAACGAAGGTTTCAGAGCTGCGGAGGGGGGAGTTAGGTACGGAACGTTTTAAATATTAGTGGGCACATATGCATTTCGTGCAGCGTAACGGAACAGGTTATGTGCATGTAACGACGTGCTAGTCGAAGCAATTGCCCTATCACATTCGGTATGTTGTATGTACATTCCCATTAGCTTAGCCAGTAACAATTCGTCTCTTTTTTTTTTTTTTTTCTCGCAACAGAAAATTTTTATTGAATGCCAGTCTGGAAAAGGCAAATATTTTGGCCGCGCAAGCTTCGGTTTCAACAATTACATAAAAAGCAGAAGACGACAGGTCGAGCTTTTGATTACTTATATTTAAATACCTACCAAGCTCGTCATCGTTGCTGCTTCGATAATAATACATCATCATTTTCTTCTGCCCCGTCCCGCCAACGGTATTATTATTCCACATCTACGCATTTCAAAATGTCGGAGGAGATTGTACACCCGACCATCAAGGGTAAGTTGAAAGAGCGAGCAACCATGATCAATGATGGATGATGCATCATCATTGTGTGTATCACTCACTAATCAGATCTCCTTATTTCTACATTTTTATATCTTTATATTTCCATATTTCTACTGCCCATGCCTATGCTCATGCCCATGCAACAATATCCCGTGCTTGCCAATGAGGCTTTACCAGCTTTACCAGCTTTACCAGCTTGGTTCTCATTTGCTCGACACAGTTTTGACGTTATTCGCATGCCAATCATGAACCAGAACTCCCAACGGGAACTCCTGAACTCCTTTGCCCCTCTGCCCCTCATCCACCCCTCACCCCTCCTTTTTTTTTTTTTTTTTTTTTTTTTATCTTCTTATCGTGTTGATCACGATTGTCCAACAACGTATTTGGAAGGTTCATGATACCTATACAAATATTTACATATACTCACATTTACATGTGGATGTCATTCAATATCTCATATCTCATATATTATGTATATTATCTTATATATTATAGACTGTGATATACACAACTTGATCTTGTCATGACCCTCATAATGCACTCACTTACAATTCATATTCACAATCACTCCAAATACAAGCTTTTTCCTCTTGCTAACAATGTCTCGCAGATGGCTGGTTCAGAGAAATCTCTGACATGTGGCCGGGTGAGTGAAGGCGGATTCCCCTTCTTTCCCTTCTGGCTAATAAGCCCCCAACATTACTCGTTCTAATGAAAAACCCCCTGGGTTTGTCATCGCAGGTCAGGCTATGACCTTGAAGGTTAAGAAGGTGCTACACCACGAGAAGAGCCAGTACCAGGATGTACTTATCTTCGAGTCCACCAACTATGGCACCGTCCTAGTCCTGGACAACGTCATTCAGTGCACCGAGCGAGACGAGTTCTCCTACCAGGAGATGATCACTCACCTGGCTATGAACTCTCACCCCGACCCCAAGAAGGTGCTGGTCATCGGTGGCGGTGACGGAGGTGTCCTGCGTGAGGTTGTCAAGCACGAGTGTCTCGAGGAGGCTGTCCTCTGCGACATCGACGAGGTATTATATTACTCTACTACACCTACCAAACTCATAACGGGGATATATATATAAATATATAACTAACTAATCTTGCGTAAAATCAAGGCTGTCATCCGCCTCTCCAAGCAATACCTTCCTGGCATGGCCGAAGGCTTCAAGCACCCCAAGGTGAAGGTGCACGTCGGAGACGGCTTCAAGTTCTTGAACGACTACAAGAACGCCTTCGACGTCATCATCACCGACTCATCGGATCCGGAGGGCCCCGCTGAGAGTCTCTTCCAGAAGTCATACTTCGAGCTGCTACACGGCGCTCTCCGCCCGGGCGGCGTTATCACCACCCAAGGTTGTACGTCTCCTTTATATCAGGCAAAGCAAACAAAAGTTCGGGAGTGTGGCGATTGGGTCAAACGGCACTGAGCTTTTTTTTAAAGTTGCCTGGTTGTTCTTAAACAACTCTAATTTTTCCTATGAAAAAAGGGGCCTACCTTGGTTGGGCTCCGCTGCTGCTGCTACTACTTCTGAGCTTTTCTCCTTCGATATCTCCTCTTCTTCGCCCGAAATATACCATCTTATTTTCTAGCTCGGGTCTTCAATCTAGGCTAAGATCTCCTATGTTCCCCTCACATATATACTCCCTCCTCCGATTTGATTTGATGATTTTTTCCTTTTTTTGGAATTAGTCCGCCCCCCAGTTTTTCAGAAGAGCCGTTTAGCTAACTCTTTTTTTCTACAATATAGCTGAGAACCAATGGCTCCACCTTCCCCTCATCACCAAGTTGAAGAAGGAATGTAACGAGGTGTTCCCCGTGGCCGAGTACGCGTACACGACGATCCCGACGTACCCGTCGGGCCAGATCGGCTTCATGGTTTGCTGCAAGGAGGCCGGCCGCGACGTCAAGAAGCCCCTGCGTTCCTGGTCCCCCGAGGAAGAGGCCCGTCTGTGCAAATACTACAACGCCGAGATCCACAAGGCTAGCTTCGTCCTGCCTACTTTCGCCGCCAAGGCTCTCCAATAGACGCCCGCTAATGAGATACGGTGAAAGAGTGAAAGGGAGGGTAGAGGGGTAAGGGGTAAAGAAAAGTAAAATGCGGTTGGTTAAGGTACCTAACCTAGTGGGTGTTATGAGATGACATGATGCCTCATGATTTACACGGGCCTCGAAAAGAGAGAAAGCCCATATATAGCCGTTGATAACTAATAAACTGGCTTATAACCAAAAAGGAATGACCGCGAATAGACATTTGTCGAATGTAAACTCTCGACACGACTGTGCATAGATACCTCTTGCATGTGTCACTTCTGTGTGTCCTTAATAAGTGTGCCTGATTAAAATTACTCGCAATTCCCGTAGCGTCGCTGTAAATGGTTGTTCAGCTGATGAATTCAAGATGAGCGGTCATGAGACAGGTTAGGTAAGGTAGGTAAGGTACCTTCGAACGAAAGTTGTCGAAGAGGTAATTTAGTTAGCTACCTAGGCCAGCTACTAACTAACCTGTCCAAGTTGCACGTATGGAGTATAGCTTGGAGATTATCCTTATTTCCTTTTTTTCTTTTAGCTAAGGTTAGGTTAGGTTAGGTTAAGTAGATGTTTCAAGTCATCGGGGGGCTAAAGAAATTCTCTAATTGTTATTAACTATGATTTTAGAGAAGAGGCTCCATACGCTACTATTTACTACAATCCTAGCGCGTCCCTTTCTCATCTGAAGCTTTTGTCGTAGGTATCTTTTATCCTATGGCGGGATTACATACCACATGCCTGGTATACTAGGCTGAGTACACACTTGCGTGGACGTACGGAAGTGATATATGATTAAAGATCTATCTATATACTTGTATACTAACATTCAGTACGACGGTCTATACTAGATAGGTTCGGTCAGGTTACGTTAGGTTATATCCTCCTATACAGGTTAGAGTAGACCAAGACCCTTATCCTTATACACATGTACCTAAGGTAGGTAGGTAGGTAGCAAACACCTCCCGCTGCAAGGGCAAGTTTAAGTTCAAGTTTAAGTTTAAGTCCAAGGCGAGGCTACGCTACGCTTTGACATATCCATATACCATACCATCCCCTATTCCAGATCCCTAGGTACCTACGTATCTATCTATCTAACCTTGGGTAATACATACATACCGAAGTCTAGAACGCCCTATAGATGTCGTTTGAATAAGATGCTATGCCACCTATATACCATGTATCTCCCCAAGGCGAGGTATTGTATTATACAAGGTAGGTACACAGACAAGCCGCCTAGGAGGCAGGTAAAGTCCCTAGGTTAGGGTTTTTCAGCTGAGAAGCAGGCTGGAGGCCCATGCACGCCACGCCACGCCACGCACGTACGCAACGCAACCGCCGCTACCACCTCCTCCTCTAAACGTGATGTGTGTGATACAGCAGCAGCAGGTCATTAGATACCACGGAACGGGATAGAAACATACCACATCACCACATCACGGAAGAACGGAACATACCACACCACATTACTACTACAGCAGGGCAGGGCAGGGCAGGGCAGAATTAGAGCAGAGCAGAATAGGGTTAAGATCAACTAACTTAGATTGGATTAGGTTAGGTTAGGCTAGGCTAGGTATTGCGTTGTACGTCCACAAGGTAAGGTAAGGCTTAAAAAAAAAAAGCAAGAGAAGACGCCAGTCATTTTAGTATTCCCCAGCCACCACGACCACGCGGTATCCCAAGATATCCATGTTGTGTGTTACATCTAACTAACTACAGGTACCTAATCTATCTATTTACCTAAGGTACTTATCTATATCCTACATAGCAAGACTCACCTGTCAACTACCTACCAGGTAGGTAAGTGACCCTTAACCCCCCTGCCCTTTCTTTCCCCCGTGTTTAATAAAATCCGCCTAGTAATAATACCCAAACCCTATGATCGTTAACCTAACCTAACCTAACCTACCCACGGATCAATCTATCATAAGGTACGACAAGATCGCGCAACGCGCCTGGGGTCTATTTCGACTTGGGTTAGGTACTTAGGTTGGCAGTGTACCTTGTATTGTACACCAAGCCGACAAGAGACAGACAAGCCCGGGATGTCGGTAGGTAAGTATGTATGCAGGGCAAGGCAGCTAGGGAGCTTAGCTTAGCTACTTAACTAGAAAGAAAAAGAAAAAAAAAAGATTTAAGCTATCTGAGCCGTTAGCTACCTATGTAGCTATGTTATCTTAGGCAGCTGGACGAGCTGGTAAGTTGTATCGTCGTCGATCCTACTACCGTGCCGCACGGCAGACGGGCGCTTAGCCGCCTATACGTGACGACAGGGCACCTATCTACATATATACATCGTTACCATTATATATATAGTCACGATATGTCCGGCACCTAGATATATCTAGCTGGCCGTCCTGCTTTTGCTTTGACTAATGTAGGTAGTAGCTTGTGCCTTACGTTGTCCTGGGGCAAAGCATCTTGCAAGAATATCCCGTTGTCAGCGTCATCCGGGCTCGCTCGTGGCGTGTGGGTCGGGAGACGAAAAATAAGGCCACTGATTTCTCTATACGTACCTAAGGTAAAAAAGTAGTGCACCGATGTGTCAAAGGTATGCAAATATGTAGGTACATAGTGTATATGGGTGTGATGAGACTATGTACCTAGGTGCTTACCTAGTAGTCTTTTTCTTTCTTTCTCAGCACCAGTGCCAATGCCGTGCCGTTCCGTAATACTAGCGTTCTCTGGGGGAGCATCCTCTCCTACACAACAAGGTAGTCTTGGCTATCGCGTGGGAGGGGTTCTGTAAGCTTACAACATCTTACTTACCTAGGTAGTCCAGGTAATATGACTCAAGTATCGAATACAACGGGCAGATTAAACTGCCTTAAAGATGAGACAAACGCTGCCAATTAGTGGAATACCGTTAGGGCTAGGTTAGGATGCTTTATCAATGCCATTTCGCTACCTTTTTGTCCCTCGTACAATACCTACTATATGGGAAGGTAGTGAAAGTAAGCGATCGACTAGGTACCTATACCGTTATGCCGTTGGGGTCCGTTGAAAAGACTTAGCCCCGCCATGTAACTCCCGAGCTGGCTTTTTGGATCCGCTTGCTCGCAGCCTGCTCAAGATCCCACGGAGATTTCACGCACAGACGTGCGGGAGACGGCGCAACTCTATTTCGTCGAGTTGCGTCCCCTCCAAGATGCATACCTAGGTATGTAAAGCTAACGCCATCATATGTATATCTAGTACTTTCTGGCCCAAACGCCCTGAAGGAGATCTTTACGGGCCGAAAAAGAACCGTTAGACAACCATGGGCTGTTCTGACCCGTGTAACCTTATCTATAAGGATGGTTGTATTTGGAGACATTGGTTGGGTATGTGGGAGTGTGGCACTGCTCAATAGCCTGGGGGCTACAACGGTAACTTTACCAAGTCCTTGACCAATGATGGTCACGATAGGCATTCCTGGTATACATACGGTGGAGGAGCGCAAGGCTCAAATCCTTCATGAGTAGGTTATTGTCGTACTGGCGGTGGGTTGTCGGGGTGAGATAGCAGTGCCTCCTCATTCGTCGATTTGGGGCGGTGGCTTGGAGATCTCTTTGGTTTTATCATCTTCGATGAGATGATGGTACAGCGGGAGACGGCCGTGAGACCACTGTAGCCAATACGTCGTAGATGGTATAGGGAACCACCAAGTCATGTAAGACAATTGTGAAACCTTGCGGCTTACAAGAAGCCCGTGGAAAATGTTCACCGTTGATTCTAGGTGGCGGCTCGCAACCAGTTGTGCTGGGTTGCAAGGCGTCAATTGTGTCAAGTTGTATATGAAGTATCTTTTGATGCTTCCTAATTAGGATGCATATGACTTGGCTTAAAGACGCGGGGTGGCATTGCAAAAAAAATGCGGATTTGACTTGGTTCATGTTCTTTTCGGTCATGCTCCCGACAGAGTATGTCAAAATATACACCCCACGACAGAGGAGCTTAATGTCGGGCCCAGGGTTTTCGTTCATATGGTTGTGCTAAAAGTGACAGTAACCGGAAGATCCACCAGCCTCGCTGTTGCATGCATATATGAACCCAATGTGTTAGGTTAGATCCTTCCGATATAAGCCCTTTAGGCGAGTTCTTGGGTGTTTATTATGTTAGAGGTATGTATAGCTTATAGCCTGTAGTTTCATAGGTCTGGCTGACAGGACGTAACATGATGACTGGAAAGGCGGACTGCCGATTTATGATGTTATTTACTAGAAGTCGTGCCGATGTCTATTATATGCATTATCGCCGCACGGAAGAAGCTAGGCTTACGGTCGGGATGGATTTCGACATGTCGATCACTCGAAAATTTCCACCCGCATCGCGCGGAAGGAAGACTTGTGGGTTTTTAAAGACATCGGTTCCATGTCTGCATGTCTAACACCGTCCTAGATTAAGGGTAACGCAAGTTTTTGGAGCCATTCCTCATCGGTATATTGGAATGGACGCCGCCTTGTAGATGCGTATGGTGCGTGTGGATGCTCCACTTCTCGCCACGTTTTTTTTATCTCGTTTCTCTTCAGATGACATGCGGGTATTGACATACTAGTGCATGTATGTAACTTAAATGCTCTTGGGTTGCCAGACCAAACCCCAGTCCGAATCAAGAGCTAACCGTTGAGAAGGGGAGGGGTTGGTGCCGATTGGTGAGCATAAGTGCTGCAGATAAATGGTAAGCGTGGGAAAAGCATGAGAGCGTGGGAGATACTGAGCGCCACCACTTGTTAGGCCATCGGTACATACGGGATGTGCTAGGTATATCGCCAGTGCGGCGAACGTAACAAGCACCATACAGCCATACAGCCTGGACAGCTGGATAGCATACTTATTAAGGTTGCAAAGGTTGCAAGGGCTGCCTGGTGGACGAACCGGCTATTAGGCGAGTAACCTTGAGAGGCTGACGGCACATGGCAGTGAGAGTGGCACTCGCACCAATCGAGATTGACGACACCCCCGGGCCTATCGCAAGGCGTCGCAGGCATCGAAGACAGGCATCGAAGGCGAGCATCGAAGATAGACCATCTGGCCCATGGTATGTAATACCTAATATACATAACCACTGGCTGATATCCGATTTTAGCGTGTGCGTAATTGACGAGAGTGGTAATGATGCTACCATAATCCGTAGTCTGTGCTAATATAAGTACTCGCACGCGTTGCATACATCTGGATGAACCAACCAGGAGGATGTCATCGTGCTTGGCTGCCTTGGTACGTGCTCTCTGGCTGTCTGGTACCGCTGTAGTAGAAAAACTGGGCGCCTCGGGTTGCGAACCCTACGTGCGGCGCCTGTTCTCTCCTTATTCCTTAATCCTTGCATCCGAATTATGGCGATGATGCAGTAGATGTTGGTTCAGGCCGCCCGTCTAAAGGACGCTATAGCAGTGCATATGGATGGATGGATGTACGAATGTACGAATGTGTGATAGTCTTGCTGTACGATTATACTACCTATGTATACTGTGGTCATTCCACTGTCTTACCTTAGGTACCTCTTAGGGTATGTGTATGTGTTAGCCTCAAAATGCTTTTTTTAAATGCTGAACGTGTTGCATGTCTTTCTTGCAGCGATGGAGAAGATTAGAATTGTAGTTGACTTATTACATACCTAGTAGATTAGGTACCTAACCTAGGTAGTTTAGACAGCTCGGTTCTAAGGCGGAAGCTAAACTACAATAACTACAATGTACCTACCTAAAGAGTCCTAACCTTACCTAATGTGATTAGAATCATTAGATGTCGTGTTTGCTAGCTCTAAATCAGCCCTTTTAATATCCGCATGTCTCCATCGCCATGCGTACTATGTAAATTTTACACTTGTAAACTTGCCTGATAGTAAAGAGAAGGTCGCAGTTTTTCAGCTGTATGTACATATATTGACGTATATACATTAGGTTGGGTAGCACGATGTATTTATTTATGCCCATGGTGTATGTATGTACCTAGTGTATGTAAGTCATTAAAAAGCAGGTGCTCTGGGGAGTACATAGTCGCGTGGTCGTGTAAGGGTATATCCGTTGTACAATACAAAGAGCGAGCCTAGAGGTTAGAGGTGCTTACATAGTACCTATCTTTTGTACGCTAGAGGTAACAAAACAAATAAGCGGGGCTTGAGCTCCATTATTCACTACAAATTTAATGAACCTACCCCTTGAAAGAGGACCTTGAAAGGCCCAATTTGCGTTTCGAGGACTTTGAACTCCACTCTGCGAAGTACACTCCTGTTCAAAATTGCCCAGCAAACCAGTAAAAAGGTACTTTCAAGTATCCAGCTGCTAGGTACTTCCAAGTTCCAAGTTCCAAGTTCCAACTGAGTGGCAGATCTACCTAATCATTTTACTTTAGAACAATTCGAATTCGGACGTTCTAACCACCATCAATGTTAGTACCTACCTGTAGCAAATTACTTGGAGTCCCCATCTTCGCCTACATCAGCCGTCGTCTCAGTATCCAATTGAATGAATAGGTGAGCATTGCCTTTTTTCTTTTTTCGCATTTCATATCCGTAAACCTAGGACGTTTGATTAAAGTAGGTAAAGTTCAAAGCCCGATGATTACCTAGGTACTAGGTATACTATGTAATAAAATATCTACCCATATCCAATTTTGATAACTACCTAAACTACCTAAGCTAACCTTTTATTATATTAGTTACCTAAGGTTAGGTTAGGTAGTTTACCTAGATCTACCTGAACATTTATGCGATTTTACTGAAACCTTCATGTACCTTTAGGTTGTTGTCTTTTCGAAATGGGATCTTGAGAGGCTTTGTAATAGGTACTGTACCGCTTTACGTATCCGACTCCTATCTTTTCTCCATTTCTGGTTTCTTACCCCCCTCCTTTTCCTCTCATTGGTCTCTGTCAACAGGTACACCCTCCATACAACCTCCATACAAACATACATGTAGCCCGCTCGAACTGAGAACAAGGGCCCCTCCCCCCAAAATGCTGTAGTAAGATACAAAAAAAAAAAAAAAGAATACTGACATATGTTGCTGACAAGGGCTGGTCTTATTTATCACTCAGGTCCTACCCATAAGATAATTTTATTATTGGAAGCTCTTTTCCCGCCTCTTTCTTCCCTTCTTGAGTCGCTCGAGCCTCCTTCTATACCCTGGTTAGTTCGACAGGGTTCCCTATTCTTGGTCTGATCGTCCCCCCGGAGAACTCGAAAGCAACAAAACTACCGACATAGCCAGTCCAACTTGCTATCCAATTTTTTTTATTAGTTGTTTTTTTTCTTTGTCCCCTTCTTTTCCATTGAGCTATATAGGAAAGAGCCTAAAAGGGCGCAAAAAAGCTCCTAGAGTTGTAATAACACCTCGATATTTCCGTTGGATTGCTTCTAGATTGTAACCGATTGCGAGCTGGAATTGCGCCGACAGCTTAAGCTCCCCCCCACAGGCTATCACCGAGCCGTTTCATTCAAGCCCCGAACTACTATATCCTTACCACGCCATCACGAACCCGTGTCTCCGTAGTCGTCATCCATTTTATTCTATTCTTTTTTTTCCCTCCTTTTCCTTTCTCTTCTTCTCACAGGGCTGTGTGTTATTCATGGTCGCTGTGAGGCTCTCTTGTATTTTACGCAAGAATTAGTTATTCATTTCGCATTTCCGCATTGCCTACCACGTATTTCTAAGAGCAGAATAATACTCGACACCACGCGTAAGCTCAGTTCTTCATCATGTGTTTCGGCAGTCGCAAAAATAATGAGGAGGGCAATACTCGGTCGAAGGAGCTCGACAAGATCATTCGACAAGATGAGAAGCGCATGGCACGGGAAGTCAAATTGCTCCTTTTAGGTACGTACTCGGTGTCTCTCCTTAAAAATCGACAGTATTCGTGTCTCGGCTAGCGGGACACCGCAGCTAACTTCGGGACTTTTTAATAGGTGCCGGAGAGTCGGGAAAGTCAACAGTTCTCAAGCAGATGAAGTTGATTTACGCGCAAGGTTTTAGCAAAACGGAAAAGTTAGAATGGAAGCCCGTTGTGTTCAGCAATGTCATCCAATCGATGCGCATAATCTTCGATGCCATGGCCGATTATAAAATCGATTTCGAAAATAAAGACAACGAGGTATGTGATACATGTAGTCGCTCCGAATGCGCAATAAGTTTCTACCCGGTCGTTCCGAGAAAAAGATCATCATAGTAAGATTTGGTTGGTAATGTTGATTGCTAACCCTGTGTTTTTTGTTATTAGAAAAATCAAGCCTTGCTCCTTGCAGACCTCGAAATTTCGCCTCACGACCCTCTTCCCCAGGAATATCTTGTACCTGTCAAAGCCCTTTGGGCCGACGACGGAGTACAGAAGGCTATTCAAAAGGGCAACGAATATGCTCTCCACGACAACTTAGCATAGTGCGTTTATTGACACCCCTGGCATTACCTTACTAACCTATCTTTAAAGTTTCTGCGAAGATGCGGATCGTCTCTGGGCTCCCGAATATGTCCCTACTGACCAGGATCTTCTGCGATCGCGTCTGAGGACAACCGGCATTACGGAGACCATTTTCGACCTAGGCCAGCTGACATACCGAATGTTCGACGTGGGTGGTCAAAGATCGGAACGGAAGAAATGGATTCACTGTTTCGAGAACGTAACTTGTCTACTGTTTCTGGTCGCGATCAGCGGTTACGACCAATGCCTGGTTGAAGATAAGGACGGTGTGAGTACAACTGGCCCTTCGCATTCCGCACGTGGATTGTAATTTTTTTTTTTTTTTATAAGTAAGGTTACTGACGGATGTGATATTTAGAACCAAATGAACGAAGCCCTTATGCTCTGGGAATCTATTGCAAATTCGCACTGGTTCACCAAGTCGGCCCTTATCCTCTTCCTTAACAAGATGGATCTCTTTAGGGAGAAGATCGCATCGAGTCCGATAACTTCGCATGGCTTTGTCGACTACCAAGGCCCGCCTGACGATTACAAGCAAGCAAGCAAGTACTTTATGGACAAATTCAGGGCTCTCAACCGAAACCCGGAAAAGGAAATTTATGGTCACTTCACTAACGCGACGGATACGAACTTGCTTAAAATTACAATGGGTTCGGTGCAGGACATGATCATTCAGCGCAATCTGAAGCAGTTGATACTGTGAGTCGCCTGCTTCCGCATTTTCGAATCCTCCCTCGCGAAACCGAAACTGGCCATACCTGAAGTCCCCAGTGGTTGCTGGGTTGGCTAGCGATTTCGCCGTCTTGTGTTGCGATGCGTGGGATAGCAGTCCGGCTGAACTTTCCGAAGTATATAGCATGTTTTCCGCGCTTCTCTATATAGCCGTACGATTACTATTACTTACGATATTACGATGCTGCCCCGGTCACCGCAGTGTAAAAGTCCTCGCGAGAGCGCTACGGTCCACGGTCCGCTGCCATAAGCTGGGGTCTAGCTGAATTACTGGCGGGCCAATAAAAAAAGACATTTCCGTATTATGATGGGGCGGGTTCTATATTCATCGAGAATGTAGTTTGCGACGTCGCGAACAGGCATAGCCTAGGGCACCGGCGGGTGGAGTCGAAGCGAATAAGTTGAGCCCACTGGGCGTTCTCTTGGGTTGGCGTTATTATATCTGCATTGGATGATTACAAACTCTCTCCCTGATTGATACGATTCATTTAGTTATGACAACTGGATACCACGATGTTATTATTATTACTACTACTACTATTATTATTATTTTCGAGTTGGGGTTACTTTGCAGACTTTGTTAGCGAACGAGAAGAAGTTGGGCATGATAGCCATTTACTCGTATATATAAATTTAGATTTTAGGCAGATCAGACAGTTGGTCAACAAAAAAAAAAAAAACATTACCTAAAGCATTAGGCGAAGCTAGAGCGAAAACGTGTATGTCAACGTTCTTTAGCAGCATATTAGTCAGTCTGTTAGTCTGTTCCACGATCACGGTTCGCAGCGACGGGACCTTATTTTAGAGGTTTAGTCAACGGCGTACATTGGTGTGTTAGGTCCTGAGAGCTCATTTGCGATGCGCGAACTACCTAAGGTTAGCTTGGCTAAAGTTATAACACGTGGGGAAGCGCGAACTCTCAGTGCCGAAACGAGTTAGTCAGGGTCAAGCCGAGGAGGTCTTTGGGTTACCTATACCATAGTAGCTGCCCGACCAGAAGAACGTTACAAAAAATGGCCCATTCTCGTCTAAGCAACTTTGGAAGCAGCAACTACCTAAGGTTAGGTACCCACGTAAACTTCTCTAAATCCAATTTCTCAACAAAAACAAACAAAAACAATCTAATAAAAATTGCATTACGGAGAGAATTAACTAAATGCAATACGCTCCTATAATTATTTCAGCAGATGCCGACAAAACCCGCCAAATCGTACATATATGTCTTAGGGGAGTAATTAATTAGGTTAGGTACGATTGGCCAATCAAAAAGAACCCAGACATATCCAGAATAGCGATCAACCCGGCAACAAGGGAGCAACAAGGCAAACCTGCTGGCAACAAGACAACGCGGTGGTATATTGACATCAGCCTGTTTTGATCAACGAAGATCGTCGGAGGAGAGAGCGTTCGCGTGGAATCTCAACCCGTTTAATAAACCTACCTCTCAGGCTCCCAACTATAATACCAACTATTCGCTAAATACGAAAATCATAATATTTAATAAATAACGTATTGCTGTCATATATCGACTGTGGTGTTCGCCTTGTTCGTTAGAGTTCATCGTATCGGTATTTTGTTTTCCCCATCCTTCGTTTCGAGCTCGAATCACGAAATAGAAGGCGTGCGGTATTAGAGTTGAAAGGCCTCCGACGTAAGGTCACCCGTTTCTTATCTAAGTTTTTATATACTTTATATATATACCCAATTCCTGCCCAAATTGTCCTTGAAAAAAGAAAGGTTGCAAATGCTAAACTATACCCTTGTAGGGCTCTAGAATTAGTTAATTTTCCAAGCACCCTCACCTGATGAAACGATGGGAGAAAGAAAGCAGGACAGTCAACTGTTGGCGCACGGCCAGGTGGTCCCACGAGACCGGACCTCGTGGTGGACTAGGATGCAGCACCGGTTCCCTATATTGCAGAGAAAGCGCGGTGTCGCCTTTGTTGTTGGTCTTATGATAGTGCCCTTATTTGGTCTCCTAGGTCTTCTCGCCCTGCGAAATCGAAATGGCAGTAACGGGGACGAGGCTGCTGATGGGTCTACCAGCCAAGCGCTCATCACTGATGATACTTATTTTTACGGCCAGTCAGAGCCGGTTTACCCTTCTCGTGAGTATCCTATCGATAAGATCTGGCTCTTGTGCAGCATGGAGTATCTGATACTTATGACTACTAGCCGCGATGACGGGAGTTGGAGCGTGGGCCGACGCGTATAGAAAAGCTCGCGATTTTGTCGGGCAGCTCACGATCGAGGAGAAGGTACTTCATCACCTCTTTAGACCTAACTAGCATATGGAGCTAATTCGATGCTAGGTAATCCTCGCATCAGGTCTCTCCTCCTCTACGGGCAGCTCGGGAACGTTAAACGGATGTTCTGGCAATATTGACGCCATTCCCCGTATGAACTTCTCGGGCTTCTGTCTGAACGATGCTGGTCAGGGTGTCAGAGCTACAGACTTTGTCAGTGGGTTCCCAAGCGGTATCCATGTTGCTGCTAGTTGGAACAGAGTCCTAGCTCGAGACCGTGCGGAGAGCATGGGCCTCGAATTCAGAGTTAAAGGGGTCAATATCCACCTCGGACCCGTCGTTGGTCCTGTCGGCCGAGTAGTACGGGGCGGTCGTAATTGGGAGGGCTTTTCGCCTGACCCCTATCTATCAGGCAGCCTCGTAACGGAAACGGTGACCGGAATCCAATCGCAAGGAGTCATCACAAGCACCAAAGTATGTTTGACTACGACCTATGATTACCAAAAGACGAATGCTTATCCAATGTGTAGCATTTTATTGGTAACGAACAAGAAACGAGCCGGCAGCCTACTGGCGACACCGACGCCGTCTCATCTAACATAGATGATAAGACCATGCACGAGCTTTACTTATGGTATTTGAATGGACTCAAATATACCTCTATACTGCGATAGTTAATTTAGTTACAGGCCGTTCCAAGATGCTGTTAAGGCTGGGACCGCGAACGTCATGTGTTCGTACAACAGGGTGAACAACTCCTACGCTTGCGCGAACAGCAAGACTCAGAATGGCCTCCTCAAAACGGAGTTGGGATTCCAGGGGGCCATCACTTCGGATTGGGATGCTTTGCACGCTGGTGTCGCATCAGCTAATGCCGGCATGGACATGGTCATGCCAAATTCTGAGCGCTGGGGAGATAAACTGACAGAGTCGGTTAGGAACGGATCGGTATCAGAGGATCGCTTGACTGATATGGCAACGCGAATCATGGCTGGGTATTATCAGGTAGGACAGGACAAAGATTTCCCAGAGCCGGGAATTGGTATGCCCGCGGATTTAACCCAGCCGCACGACATCATTGACGCGAGAAACACCTCATCTCAGAAGGTTCTATTGGACGGCGCCATTGAGGGCCACGTTTTATTGAAGAATATCAAGAATGCGCTTCCGTTAAAGAAGCCGAGAATGCTCTCGGTATACGGCTACTCGGCCAGGAGTCCTGATCAGTGGAACTACAAATCTCACGGTGGTGTTGCGGCGTGGACCTTCGGAGGTGAATCATCTTACCTTGGGCGCGACACGCAGGCCGGCTTCTCGGGCCACTACTTTGAAGACTTTTCAGACATAGCTCTTAATGGGACGCTGTTCTGTGGTGGTGGTTCTGGCGCCGTGACGCCTGCTTTCGTTAGCTCGCCGTATGATGCCCTGAATGCTCGCGCGTTGGAGGACAGAACAGCCATGTTTTGGGATTTCTTCAGCCCCGATCCAGATGTTGCTAGCATGTCGGACGCTTGTCTCGTCATTGTGAACGCGTACGCGAGTGAAGGGTATGATCGCCCAAACCTGCGGGACGCCTTCACCGACGGCTTGATCAGCCATGTGGCGGATCGATGTAATAATACGATTGTCATCTTCCATAATGCCGGCGTGCGGCTGGTGGATCAATGGATCGACCATCCGAATGTGACGGCCCTAATATTCGCGCACTTACCTGGCGAAGCATCTGGTCGTGCCCTCGTTTCCTTGCTATACGGGGAATCGAACCCCTCAGGCAAGCTACCGTACACGGTGGCCAGGAATGAGTCTGACTATGAGCATGTTGCCAAACCAGACATACCAATGGGCCAGTTCGAGCGGTTTCCTCAATCGAATTTCACCGAAGGGGTGTATATCGATTACCGACACTTCGATCAGAAGAATATCACACCGCGATACGAGTTTGGGTTCGGACTGAGCTACACGACGTTCAACTACTCGAATTTGAAAATCGAAAAGCGCAGCGATGCTAACACGAACGAGTACCCGACGGGAGAAATCCGCGAGGGTGGGCAGGTAGATCTTTGGGACGTGGTAGCATCGGTCAGCGCGGACGTGAAGAACGTAGGTGATGTGTACGGCGGCGAGATTTCTCAGCTGTACGTCGGGATCCCGAAGGCGCCCGTGCGGCAGCTACGCGGCTTCGAGAAGTCGTTCCTCAACGCGACGGAGCAAGCTACGGCCACGTTCCTGCTTACCAGGCGCGACCTCAGCGTATGGGACGTGGTCGCGCAGAAGTGGCGTCTACAGCCGGGGGAGTACAGGATATGGGTCGGTAGAAGCAGTAGAGATCTGCCGCTGAATGGTACGTTGACGATCTAACGAAGTGAAGAGGGAAGGGTAAAAGGGGTGAATAGGTTAGGTTAGGTAGGTACCTAAGGTAGGTTTTGGTTTTGGTATGGCATATGATATGAGGTGGCTATGAGGGATTTGTAGATGAACGGATGTTTTATGGCGTATTATGGTGATTACGACTACTACATAACATACTCCCTATCAGCTTATGAGAGAGAGGGAAAGCTGGGACCGGATTGAGCCCGGTTGGTCGGATGGATGGATGGATGGATTAATTGAACTTATTATACTGGAATGGGTTGACTTGATTTGGTTGGTGAGTCTTTGTAGGTCTAGGTAGCTTAGCTTAAGTTGTGGGCAAGCTCATGTAATGATTACGGCGGGAGAAGGTAAACGGGTAACGATTACGACGACGACGACGACCTGTGTTTACATTCTAGAACACGTGGGAATCCGAAGAGTTAGTTATTGAGTTGTAGCTATAGTATTTGTAACCTACTTGTGGGATGAAGTGGTGAATGGAAACTTGCTCACCTTGCTACCTTAGGTACCTAGATAGGTATGTAGTATGCCAAGTCATGTTGTTCTAGTGCAATGTAGTGATGGATTCTAGCGCGAATAGCGAAGTTCGAATGGTTCGAATGTTAACCCGTTCGAGTACAAGTGCAATCTTATACATCGTTAGCCTCAGCTTGACATTGGCTTAACGCCGATGAGACTAAGGCTAAGCGACGCTCACCCGTTTTGATTCTCTACTAGCACATGGAAGGGGACTCGGGAGAAAAAGGACGCGATAGTTATCCATATAAAACTCCTGTTTCTCCATTTGGTATAATATACACACCCGTTCTTCGCACACTATCATCTCACCCATGATTCATCCGACGTTGCGAGAAATAAGACAAGACAAAACAAGCAGATAGACAGACAGACAAGGTATCATTCTTCGACCGCCTCTTTTTTTGGCGAACAAATCGGAACAAAAGGTAATTAGTGAGTAAGATCGATCTGTACGTTCCGTCTAGGAGAACGGCGGAAAAGGGTATATTTGGCGCAAACGGCCAATGGCAAAATTCTGATCGCGCGGATGACAGCTTCTAGCTTGTATCGGACCTTTTTTTTAAAAAAAAATCATAATAATAAAAATGTTGTATTGTATGTATGGAACGGGTGGCGCCCCTTTGTAACGCCGCCACATGGTGGTAGAGCCGGGGTAATTACTTGATATTCTTTTATTTTATTTCATTTGATAACTAGGTACCTAATCTTTTTTTTTCAGCCTCGCATTACCGTCGTCGCCACCCGTTTTCCTTCTTATTCTTATTGGTAGGGCAGTGTATTTATCAGCTTTGTTGATTGGAGCTGAACTCACGCTGTAAGATATCTGAAAGTAAGCGGATGATTTTTTTACATCGTACATAACACCGTCGCGGTGGCCAAGATTTTTGATATACGTAATCGTCTTATACTAAGTACCTAACTTACAACACTAGCTAGTTACATCTTATAGGGCAGTTAGATTAGTTATTCGTTAATTATTGCTCAAGGCCCTAGGTTAAAGCCATTCATTAGGTTAGGTAGTTTAGTCTCAAGTAACAAGGCCATGTTACACCTTCTGTGACTTGCTTACAAAAATGCATAAAATTCCATGCGTCCATAGAGGAAAACTGTGGGGAAGAGGAGCTGTAAGCCTCGGTGCTATGTATTCAAGCCCTTGTATTTCAAGCCCTTCGAAGCTGGAGAAAGGTGGGCGGGCTATTATGAAGACGCTACGAGATGAATTTCGCCGCACAAGACTGAATCCTCAACCCTTGGGACTAACCCAATAAGTACCTACTTTCTATTAGTTGTTGTTGTTGTTGAATGAGTCTTCGGATTTAAGGTTCGGAAGGTGGGAAATGTTTAATAAGGGAAAGAAACAAAAACAGAACAGAAATAGGAACAGAGAGTAGGTAAGTAGGTAACAGGTAGTATATACATACTCTACCGGGAAGTCTTCCCGAATCCCCCCCGCCTCCTCCTTGTTCTGTACATATTGTACAATACATAACATAGTACGTATTTTGTGTTACGGAACCCTTCAATTTGATCCAATCCCTGTCCGTTTCTTTCATTCTTCTCAGCTGGACCTCCCGGTTAGCCCCCAAGAGGCGAGTCCCAGTCAGAGATCGATACAGAACAATTGGCGAAGACGGCGACGAGCTACTGGATTATATAATATCATCCCCTCGGACGATCACATCACCACGGGGTAGAAGGCAAATTTAGACTTCTTTTTTTTTTTTCCAATTTCTTTTCTTCTTTTTTGAAGGTTTGGAAATCTCGATTCTTCTCCGCGGAAGACCAACTCGGCGCAGTAACCGTGAAAAGCTAGGTCGGGACCATCTAGATTACATCATTGGTTTGTGAGGCTGCCACTGTCCGAGACACACGCGCGCACGCCTTATACCGCCTTATACATCCCTATTCCACAACCGATGCATACGCCTTCAAGCAGTCCGACGTAACCCATTAGTCGAGCAGCAGCCGGCAGCCTAGCAGCGCATCCGAGGGAGGGTGAAATGCACACATTCGGCCTTTGGGCATCAGTGTAGCAGCAGCAACAGCATTAGCATTAGCAGTTAGAGAGCTAGAGAGACTCTTTTTTCTTTTCACTTATTACTCATACACGTACACGTACACACTCACACGTACACACACACTCACTCACTTATAACTCTCTCATCCGGACCGCCGAAACTAGGCCCGGCTAGGGTATTTCCCCAGAATAATACATACCAAATGCACAAGGCGCCCGAACGCCTCCTGCGCACTACACGTCCGCCGACATGCAGACGACACAAGTTTCGAACGGGCTCTCGCCCGTGTCCGAGATGACGCCGGAATCGTCTCCCGGACCCTCCCCCAAGAGACAATGCTTCCAAAACTCGCCCGCATATAGCACGATAGAAGCAGCCGCCTTAGGGGGCCTGGCTGCGCGCGCGTGTGAGAAGTGCCGTGCGTCTAAACGCAAATGCGATAAGAAACTGCCCTTCTGCGACAGGTGTAAGAGGTAAGGCAAAAAACAATATACCACTATTATATTCTTTGATTCTTGTTCACCGATTACTGAAATTGGTCTGGGTTTAACTTGATATGGTCTCGCTCAACTTGACCAAATAAATGTCTCGTCACTAAACGACGGCGCCCGGCCATAAAGACGGCATTTTGAGCTGAGCTGAAGCCGACACAGATCTGATATAAATATACCTACCTCATACCTACTTAACCTACATACCTAACCTTATATATATATCAAGCTTAGCAGCACTTACATACATCAACCAACCAACCAACACAGAAAGAAAAGAAAAAAAAAAAAAGGCTGACCCGCGCTTTCGCAGACTCAACGCAAAATGCCACTACATCCACGATATATCGAACAACCTGGTCTCGCAGGGCGCCCAGCTCGTCATCTACCAGCCGCACTCGCTGGTCCACGACGTCCTGCTGCGCGGCCCCGAGCCCCTGGAGGGCATCACCCCGCCACAGATCCTGTCGCTCATATCCCCCCCTTCCTCCTCCTCCGCCCCGGCCCCCGTGGACTGGCGCGCCGTCGCCGCCGCGTATTTTCAGTGCATACACTCGTGGTACGCGGTCGTCCACCCCACCCTCTTCGAGCAGCGGGCCGCGAGCCTGGCGGGCTTGATAGATGGCGGCGGCGGGGCGTCGACGGACTCGCCGGAACACGCGGGGAATCCGGATGTTAACATCCCCCCCTTTTCCAATTCCAACTCTAACTCTTCTAATCCTAGCTCGTCCCTGGTATCTAATTCCCATTGCCATTCCAACTCTAGCGCCACGACAACGACAACGACGACAACAACAGACCGCCACGCCAAGACGACGGCCCTGCTCATCGTCGCCATGTACCTGCTAACGCGGATGCGGGTGACGGACGCGGGCGAGCAGCCCCTCTTCGACGCGACGTACCGCGCGGCGAAGCGGCTGCTGTCATCGCAGCTGCTGGCGTGCGCGGGGGACCCGGCGCCGGAGATCGAGCTGGTGCAGTGTGGGGCGCTGGTCGCGCTGTACGAGTACGGGCACGGGGACGCGGTCACGGCGTACAGGACGCTGAGCCAGGCGGTCGTCACGGCGAGGGTGTTGGGGATCAAGCCTGGGCAGTTGGCGGAGGGAGGGGGAGGGGAGGATGTGGTTATGACGAGCGTGGAGGAGGAGCAGAGCGGGTGTCTTTGGTGGGGGATGTTTATACTGGAGCAGTAAGTTGTTGTTTTGTTGGGTATTTCTTTTTTTTTTCGACGGAAGGAAGGGAAACGAAGGGGACGGGAAGGGAACAGAAGGGAGTCATGGTGTGTTGTGCTTGAGAATCAGTGGCTTACATATGAACTTAGATTCATCCACCAGGACGAAGAAGCCCGGGATTTCCCCTTCCTCCTCGAGAGCCCCACGCGGAATACCCTCCTCCCGGAAACGCCTCCGACGACGCCCCCGCCTAGTTCGACGGGAGGAGGTCTGAACGGGACTACAACCGGAGCCGGAGCCGGGGCTGGAGCTGGGTTTCCCCTGTCGCCGGCGTCGACGCGGCATCTGAGCACGAATATCATCATCGGCACCGAGAAGTTCGGTGGTTTCCAGCTATCCGCCAAGACGGCGTGTCTGTTCCACCGCGCCCTGCACATAGATAAGGAGCGCGACGGGCGGCCCGGGAAGATGCCGCTGGTGTCGACGTATGCGGACCTCGACCGCGAGATCAGGGACAGCACGTTGACGTTGCTGAACGATACGCTGGATTGGGAGGCTATGCTTGATTGTTTTGCCATGCTTGTTAGGTATGCCCCTTTTTCTATATCCACCTAAATACCTAATCTATATCTACCTATATATCTACTTAACCTATCTGTCCACCTTTTTGTCCTTGCTTGTTTGCATAACCCCCTTCCCACCTTTCTCCTCCCCTATTTCTCTCTACTAACCCGCCACGCCCCCCCTCCACCAGCGCGCTCTTCACCCTGTACATGCCGTACCTCGCGATCCTCGAGAACAGTCGGCACCTGGGCGCCTCGTCCCCGGCGTCCCTGCTCGCGTCGAGCCAGGAGGTGTCGACGGCGCTCGCGGCCCTGCGCTTCGCCTGCAAGATGTCCACCGACATCTCGTGCAAGCTGAACGCCAACTTCGGCTCCGCGCCCCGCTCCCCCGTCTACCTGTGCGCGCCCGCCGGCGCCACGTGCTATCTGGTCATTCAGGCGTACGCGGCCATCCGCCGGATATTCCCCGAGGAGATGGCCGAGTGCGAGAAGGATATCGAGGAGAAGTTTGAGAGCTTGCGGTTGTTTAGTTTTCGGTGGGGAATCGCTGGTTAGTTTGAGCATATTTGCTTTCTTCCCTCCCCAACCCCCTCTCCCCCCTTTTTTCTTTTTTTTTTTTCTGTCTTCAGATGCATCCCAGACAGACATCAACAACAATGCTACCTTAGGGTACCTACCTAGCTAACGCCGTCGCCCTTTACTTGCCTAGAGAAAATGATGAGCCGGCTCGAGGAGAAGCTCAACATCGACAGGAACGTCTACCTCCAGAACTCGCAGCTCATGCCCCCGCCGCAAGCGATCTGTTTCGACTTCACGCGGAGGTGACCTTTTTTTAACACCTGAGGTTAGGTACTTACCTAGCTACCGCTTGCAGGGAGTACCGTTCGCTCTTTGTCTAATTACTGTTACTTATCTATTATTATATTACACGCGTTGCCATATATCCTACGTGTCCTATACTCCCGTTCACTCGTGGGGAGAGATATCTATCTATCTATCTATCTATCTATATGAATAGGGGACTCGGAAAGCTTCGGTTTTTTTTTTTTTTTTTTTTTTTTTACCTGTTTCGATATATTATCCATCCCGTTCTCGTGCCCGAATTAGATTCGTACCTAAGACTACCTAGGTACATACAAGGTTGTAGTTCGGTGTTTGGGAGAGGAAGAGAAAGGAGTACGATTTACGGTAACTACTATAACAGCGACATACATGATGAATAACCTATTTCCATTGGGTTAGGTAGCTTTTCTTCTGGCTTCTCCATGTCTGACTGGGTTGTAATATCGCGTATGGGGTCTGAGATGTATGGGAGATATATGCGTTACAGAAAGAAGACGAGGCTAATGATCAGCGCGAGGAGAAAAGGGGAGGCGGGAAGGGGGTGAAGAGCATGTATTCTAATTGATACTGTCCGAAGGAACGGTAGCTTGGTCTACGTTTCGCTCCAAATTGAATACATAAGTTTATACATATCTCTGTGTAGTTATACGATAGTTATAAACAAAAGCGACGCAGTAAGTCATATCGTAATGATATATATATTGATGCACTACCTAGCCTGCCTCTCACGTACAAATACAAATCGCACAAGCGGCAGCGAGCCGCGATATATACGCCGCTCTGAATGTATCCCTAACAATTGCTCGCAACCCATAAACTCGAAAATCTATGCATGGTATCGTGCCGTTTCGAAACAATGCCTATTATAAAGCAACGTAAGGTGTACATAGGAAAAAGAGGCGGACTCGCCCCAGAAGCAGGACTTCACATCCCATATAAGCCGAGTTTCTTGGATAACAATCTCTACACTCCCCCGAGATCCTCTTGGCTACCTATGTGAGGCCCAGAAAACGTATGCTGCATGATGGCATATAACCTCGTATATGCGAAATATGCCCCGTTCCTCTCTAATAAGAACACCCCCTCCTTCCCCCCAAAAAACGCCATAAACACCCAACGTAAAACTAGGTTCAAGTCAATTATTAAGGTTGGCGATCATAACCCGTTACTCCCCACTACGAGTACAAGCAACATGCCGTTTAGGGCACATATAGTCATAAACACAGCCCAAACGGTGAGGCTGTATAGAATACCGGCGGGGTATTGGCGGTATATCATGGCGCCCAAGCCCATGCAGGCGCAGAATAAGCTCGCCACGGATCCGACTGTGACACCAGCGTCGACTTCGAGTCGGAGTTTATGTCGACCAGTTGCTACCAGCACCCCAGATACTAGTAGAAGAATAAAGGCAACGACGAAAGAGAGTATAACAGTCCGACTTAGCACCTTGTCGCGGTACAGGATTACGTGGTAGTCGGGATCTTCCGTCGTCGGCAACACTGCATAACGTGCTCCTTTTCGACGGCCAATGCTGGAATTCAGCGATGATGCGTACTCTTCCTCGGTCGCCTCGTTATCGGTTACCTGTGCAGTTGAATGTCGGGTACTGAAGTAATCGTTAGGCGAATTGCTGCCAAGAAGTGACTGCGTCTCGGACGGGTTCTGAGATGATGCGCGCGTCTTCAGCCAATGTCGAACCTTATCGACCGGGACGGTGAATATGTTTTTAATATAGATATAGCCTGGAAAGTCGACGCTCGCATTTGGGTCGATATAGAGTGCGTATGCTCGTTCATCGTCGTTATCACCCGCTTCGCTTCCATGATCGTACTCGTTCCAATACGTCATCGACGAACCGCCCGGTGTACTAATAGATGCGGCTCTCGGGGTGGGCGTCTGCGAGGATCGGCGACTATCGGCGCGTTGTTCGGATTGCATATTTACCCGTTGTCGTTCCATCTGGAGAGCGTTTAGATCGGGAGTGGCGGCTTCTAAGGTCGCGAGAACTTCTCGATGATGTAGTCGCAAAGCGTGAAAGTCGCACCTTGTGAAACTCTTGGGCGAGGCGAGTATATTCTGCTTAAAACGACTACTTAACGTTGTCGAACCAGTCCATTTCTGTATAATTGAGGCCGCCAACCGTTAGTAACTATGTCATAACTAGCTGTAGGTTTTCCTCCCGCAGCACTACAGAAAGTTACTTGTGGGTGACATACCCTGTATTTCTTGAGTAGCTTGTGAAATGCGATAACCTGGGCATTAACAAACCGGCTCAATGCCTTGATGTCGTCGTCGCACTCGTCGATTTGCAATGCATATTTGGCGAACCGTCTTTGCCGCTTGGGCGACATTCCACCGGCCTTGTTACATCGTGCTATGAGTTGGTGTATCGAATTAGAGAGGTGACCTAGAAAATAAATCAATTGTTAGTTCAATGCGGTCGCTCAATTGAGGTTGTGGTGGCGAGAGCGTACATAGTCGCCTCGTGATTTCGTCAGCTTTGCTCGTAACAAAGAGACCGACCCGATTATGTTGATTGCAAAGTTCGATGTAGAAGGCGTCCTCGAATTTCTTTAAAGCATGATCTTGCTGACCAGGAATAGCTATGGCGGTGGCTTGGTCTTTGGTGGTATGTACCTTAATCTGGTGCTTCAGCGAATTATAGTCGATATTATGCAGACTCCAACTCGGAACCGACTCTTCTTCAAAATGATCTCCGTATTTCATCGTTACTCTACTAGATTGGGAGCGCCACGGCACGGCGGATTAAAAAAAAGAAGCTGTTGCGTTTTCTTTCAATAACGAGGGTAAATTCCGAATACCACACACCTTCTTCCCCTATATAATTGGAATTTGGAAGTATTCAGTATTCGCAAGAAAATAGTTATAGGAAAGGATTGGAAGTTAGAAGTTAGGCCGGTTATCGTTGGATGAGTGTTTGTTTGGTTCGGAATGATAATTGTTCTAGGCGTTCTGGGCAATAATAGATAAGGAATATTATGTTAGACACGGTGGGGCGTCGGAGCTTTGAATGTGTTTGGGTTGGACCGTCTCAAATTATTCCATGTGCAATAATATGACGTTATAGGTATGTCTTTTTTCTCGGGTAGATACAGTAGTAGTATTTTGTGGTGTTACCTGCTTTACTGCCTTTAAGGTAATTTGCCTTGCTGCTGCTCTCTGGCTGTCTGGTGGGTACCTTAGGTATACGTACCTAAAGGGACCTCTGTATCACCTAGGTACCTGCTGTACACGAGATTAGTTGTTCTTGAGATGCAGAATGCCGAGACGAACGCCGAGAAAGTTAGCCAGACGCTTGGGTCTCTTGGGTCTCTTGGGTCTCTTGGGTCTCTTGGAATTCTTGGAATTGATGGCTTGTCAATTGTCTTAGATCAGGTAGCGTTTTAGCTTCCAGTCTCAGCCTCCAGTTTTGCACGGGTATGATTATGATTAGTTAAATATTGATCATCTCGCTCATCTGTTTACCGGAAAGACGAAAACTGGGCAAAAAAAAAGGTTATCTTTATTGGGCGATTATAGACGATAGATGATAGACGTGGTGGATAGAGATAGTGGATAAAAGACGAGAAGCCCCTTTAATGTTAATTAAAATGGTAGAAGTGCTGTCATATTTACAGTAGTGCGCGGGACGGCTTTGTTTCTTATTTCTACTCCTCGGACGGGAACTAGGAATGATGAGCCGAAACAGAGTACCTAATGACAGAACAAGCTAGGCACACTGCATATTATATACCTCTACCAGGTAGGTGTGTAATCCGGGTGGTTGCCTATACGTATCGTGAGTATCTCGCGGTCGTGGTTCCCAATTCTTCGAGAATCTCCCAATATACATACTAACTAAATCCATTATCAAACCAAGATGCACCCTTTGCCTTATTTCTAGCGCTAATGCTGTTAGGACCTAGCGGTGGTAAGGAAAGCGGGTACTTGTAGCGGTCTCGGCCCCTTGCGCTAATCCTTAGGTTAGCCGTACTAGTCATATCCTTGTCGCAAGACCCACTAGATATTTTCTCCACCCCGTACAATACATAGTACAGAGCGGATTAATAAATGAATATCTGATCCACTATCGACATCATCGCATTGTACTATGTGGAGAGCCAATTGCTATTGTATGATCTGCTTTGCTGTCAACTAATAAATAATAATACAAAAGAAGAGAAAATTCCGATTGCTGTTCGATCAGATGGTATGCATTGGTATGCGTAGTAGTTGTTGAGATGCTCACGATGCCCGCGATCTGAGGGTTATTTTGGAGGGGCTACCTAGGTATTAAAGGAGCAAATATGATACTGGCTCTGGTAGCACCCTCGGCTTACGTCGTGACAAACAGAACGAAAGTTGAAAAATGTATGTAAGTTGATTGGTCAATTAGATACCTGACACTGATTTCTGATTTTGCTCAAGCGGGGCAACGTATATAATAGTACACCACTACTTACTATGTAGAGGTATGCATTCCTATTGGGTGGTGACACTAAAAAGCTACTTAGAATATACTTGACGTAACGCTGAATGCAGTATCATTACCTAACAGCCGGATCCGCCAACCTTGGGGAATTTGGGGAAACATACTATAGTACCCGAAGTCTTTCCCTCGTACATGCGCATACCTCATAAGGCCGATCCATTTATGGGCCCCGTTTTATTGAGATAGAACTTGCAGCAAAAGAAAAAAAAAACAGATTCGGCCGAATTAGAACTCTTCCAACATTTAGCGTCTTTGCCAATCATATCCCTTATATCAAACACGTGTGCCCTCACCGCTCTCTAACAGGTCTGAGACCGTTGCGACGCTCACCCTCGATGCCTTCATTTGCCTTCATTTTGCCCCAATACGATGTACACCTTGGATAATGGATTGCCTCCGCTTCAAATGCCTTGAGTACCTCTAATGCTAATCATTCCACATCTGTCTTCTTACTACCTAAGGTAAACAGTCAGGCGACCTGTTACCTCTTTTCGGCCTATGTCGCATCGACCTCGGTTCCAGCTAATTCGAGCAAGTGGAAAAAGCTCCATATTGACTGCGCTGTAACCATATGAACTGCAAAACTCTGTCACCCGGGAGCACATTACGAATTTTCGTGCAAGGGAATGACGGCGTCTAGAATGTCTACAAACAAGAGATTACTCTGATCTCGTGCCCACTTGCCAAATCCGTCATTGAACCTGGACATACCGTTGATGATGAGGATGAGGATGTAGGCAAGCGGGTCGCGAGGTGTACCGAAAAGATTTTTCCTTTGTCATGTTTTTGAAACATGTCTTAAGAGAATTGAAGGAATTGGGAAGTTTGTGAGGTGTTTCGAAGAAGGATCGCCACAATTTGCGCTACGACGTCGCCTATCAGGTATACGGAAAGAGTGCAGGCTATCTGTCATATCATCTGCCAAATCATACCCCAAAGTTCAACATGGGATATACTATGTATCCTGCCCCGGGCCGATGCGATTACGAAAGGGATATTCCGTATTGTGCCTTGAAGTTGCTACTGCATACTAACGTCCGGAGCTGAGCGCCCTTACCGAACTAACCCGGCTGGAACTACTGCTAAGAGTGCATCTGGGTTCTGGACGCGGAGGTATCCCGGTTAACCAGGGGTTCTCATAAGCAGAAGAAATTGCAATGGTTGCGACATGCGCCAAAATGTCCCAAATCGACTGCTACCCATCACCGACGTTACCAGCCATCCATCCATCTACTTGCTTGTCTCGAATAAAGTCGACTCGCAACATCACGACATCGCAGTTGAATCATAGAGTTTTAAACACCGATGCTCCGATTTCGACATGTAGCCGGTCATCCTCGTGATCTGCACGATGTACAACAGCTACATTGAGCCGCACCCCGCATCCGAACATCCTAGCGATAGCGTCGGGAATGGAATTCTCCAAGCTTCATACCTATTATTTCCATCATCAACAAGTAACTACTAACATGTGACGAGCTACTAGTAACAGGTACCTAGGTGGTAATTGAATCTGCACTAACAGAGAGAGTCTAGATGTCTACTAAAAATACTAGTTTGTAACTAGCAGCCCACCGGCCCCGTCGTCAGGGCCGATTAGGGCTACAGGGCTACCTGGAATAGAGAAGAAGTTCAAATGAGACGCGGACGCGGGAAACATTGGTTTCTTCTTTTTCCCCGAGTGGGGGTCCGATAGCAAGAGGAAAGCGTTCAAAAGAGACCCTGGAAATTTTTAACCTGTCAGACCAGTAACACCCGTTCGTTTTGTTTCACAATGGGGGAAGATCATGGGCGGGTGGACGATTAAGATGGCGGCACGACTTGGATCAGAGATTCTCAAGATTCTACTATGTAGATGAGATGCCGAGCGGTATCGGAAAGCGACGCTGACATGCAGAGTTGTAACGACTCGGAGCAGACCCTGCGGGATACGACCTGTCATTTTTTTCATTCTTCTCCCTTACATTTTTTTCTACGACCCTTTTCGCGCGGCTGGCCGTACATTAGGTATTCAGCAGCCGCGCAGAGACCCAAAAGATTTTTAGGCTACTCGTTATCTTACAACACCTACCGTTCATGGATGTTTAATCCTACTCGTGAGCTTCATCCTATGCTACGCAAAATGGCAACACCTATATAATGTCGTACAATCCCACTGCAACTAGCCGCCATCGAGGTTATCGCCCTTTAAACGCTCGGAAGTCTCTCGGAGTCTGTCCGTAATACTTCGATCGATTGATACAGAAAGAGGGGTTGGTGGTGCGGTGAGACAGGTTTATAAAACACGCATGTTCGCTCAGGTAAGGGATACAGACTCTGGGAGATCAGCTGTCACCAGCTTAGTATCCGTTAAAGAAATTGCTCGCGTGCCCCTTTTTCGTGTGGGTGGCAATATCAGGGTCCAACCTTAAAGGTTCATACACCACGTGCCCGTGGTATATATCCATATGATATTCATATGCGTTACAACTGTTTTCAACACTAGGTGCAACTGCCGTCGTCTCTTCGTAGCTTCATAGCGTGAGCCGATGACGCCGCGGCACCGTTTGTCGGTCGAACGCTAGATGGTGGTAAGGGAGGCGTACTATGTTGTGTTCATACGACACTGGAAAGCCGCTTATGGATTGGCGGCAAAGATAAATCCACAAACATGCGAGAATTAAAAAGAGTATCGGCTACTCGCATAACATTTCGCGCTCGTTTCTAATAAAGTAGGTAGGTTGACATTAATACATTTAATTACGAATTGTTCATTACTGTACGAAAATACGTGACGAGTTTCGGATGAGTCACTTCGCGTTGATGTAAATTGCTACGCGAGCAATTACGGGCTAATAGACTTAAGTTAAACCGAAATACCATCTCGTTACAAGATGAGAAAATAACACATTGGGCACTAATAGGTTAGGTTCATGAGACGGGGCAATTGGCCATCTGGGATATATACAAGACCTCCTTTTTTTTCAGAAGGCCATATAAATCTTCCAACAACATAGCTTCGGATTTTATCGTAAATCATACGTGCTTCGTAAAGGGCTCCCTTTCTAGATTACTTTTCCACCTAGTAAAAAACCGTCTACTAGAGTTCACAGAGCGCTATTATCTCGCTCATACTTTTCAAAGAGTAAGGCGTAGGTCGCATGGCCTCCTTGGAAATAAATCCTTGATCCTCTGTCCGGGCTATCTCTTCTCACGCGCAGCGCTTAGGCCGTACAACACACTCTGCCTGCCTCTACTTGTTGTAACATATATGAATCCACAACAGCGGGCGTTACCGGAAAGGAATAACTAACCTCGCCACTCAGCACACACGATCCTCACTTCGGCGGATCCGGCTCCTCGAAGCTGATCTTGCCCTCGCTGATATCCGGGTAGACGTCGAACCGCCGCTGCGCCGCGAGCGGGATATTCCGCCTGGTCTCGCGGATCTTGTCGCCGTCGAGGTCGGCGTACACGATGGTCTCCCGCTCGTCGGCCTCGGCGAGCACCTGCGCCATGGGGTCGACGACCAGGCTGTGCCCGTAGGCGCGGTACGACGCGGCCGGGTCCCGCGCGGGGCTGCACAGCGCGACGTACGTCTGGTTGTCCAGGGCGCGCGCCTGCCCCAGCAGCCGCCAGTGCAGCGGGCCCGTCGTCGGGTTGAACGCGCCCGGGTACACGAGGGCGAAGGCGCCGCGGCGCGCGGCGGCCGTCGCGAGCTCCGGGAAGCGGATGTCGTAGCATATGGCGACGGCGATCCGGCCGTACCCCGCGAGGTCGACGAGGGTGACCTTGTTGCCCGGGAACAGCACCTCGCTCTCGCGGAAGGTGATCTTGCCGGGGATGTCGATGTCGAAGAGGTGCACCTTGCGGTGGCTCGCGAGCAAGCTGCCGTCGGGGTCGAAGACCAGGGACGTGTTGTAGTACTTGTTCGTGGCGGGGTCCGGGTCGGCCTCGGGGATGGAGCCACCGACGATGAAAGTGCGGGTCTCGGCGGCCATGGCGGAGAGGGCGTGGTAAGAAGGGGATTGGGCGGGGGAAGGGGGGCCGGGGAGGAGGGTCTCGGCGTACTGGGGGAAGTAGTCGGTGCCGTAGGGGGAGTTGAAGCACTCCGGCAGCACGATGAGCTTGGCGCCGGCGTGCGCGGCTTCGAGGACCTTGTCCCGCGCGTGCGCGAGGTTCGCGGCCTTGTCCGGCCCGCTGGCGAGCTGGATGCAGGCCAGCTTGATGGGCTGCTTGAGGACGGGCGCGGCGGATGTGGCCATTGCGCGGGCGGCGAAGGAGAGAGAGCTGTAATATGTGTAGGATGTAGTAGGTGTTAGGATTTGCGATCTTCGTCGTTGAAAGGTACCTGATGCGGATTTGGAGAAGGCTCTTAGGGTCGTGAGGAAGCTTCTCATGATTTTATTATCGCATTGTTATTAGGTTAATAGTTGATCGCCAGAGAGAGATAGGTTAGGTAGGTAGGAACGAGGTGGGATAAGGAGGTACCTAAGGTAAAGTTCGGAGGCTGCGAGATCGGGATCTCGGAATTGGAGTCGAGGCTCGGTTTGGAGCGGGTCTTTGGGGTACGGTGCGGGGCTAAGGCGGTACCTAGGGCGGTACCTAGTGTGCTTGGTTTGTGCATATAGAGGATGGATATCGATATATCCGGTACTCAGTGTTGGTGATGACTCTAATTGACTGTCAGCCCCTTATTATATGATGTATGAGGTGACTCTCTCTATAACACAATTACTGCTTTTTCTTTATACAGGAAGCGATTCTCCCATTTACTAGTTGGTAATACAAGAACCTTAGATACCTAGAGTAATCGGTGTAGGGGATTCCTTTCTCGCGTACCGTGATCCAGATCTGCTATGTATAACGGCAACTTCTCAAGGCGGAGACACCCGCCGTCGAACCCAGCATCGACAGCTCGATCGGTGCATGTAGGTAGCTACAGCGATGATGACGCTCGATATAGCGAGCATATAAGATCCCATTCCAACCCCCCCTGACACGTCGCCGCTACTAATCGACCACCCGATTGATAACCCGATGCTGGCGAACAGTAGTGCTAGAGCAGATCCCAATAGGTAGAAGCATGTATAAGTTCGTTTATCTACCTCGGAGACGTCTTGATCATCTGCAAAGTCTACCCATGATATCGACGGTGAGTTGTACCGTTCCGTAACAAATGTCGCTTGCACCTGAGATGGCTGCACCCACCATGGTTTCACCCACAATGGCTCATTCAGGAACTTGGAATATACCGATTGTAGATGCAAATCATCTAAGGGTATAGATCGATATTCAGCATTCAATATGTCTTGGTCCGAATCAAACTGTGCGCCGTCACTTTTTAGGGGGATATGTCTATGGGTACCCCACGCTGTGGTGTATTCATTAGGAGGCATTTTGAGAGGATGTGATGTTAGTGCTTTCATCGCCGCTACCTTAGGTAATCTTTATAGGCTCGCCGAGTCAACTCGTTATACCTTGTTCGACTACAACCAGACGGGCCTGGGCAGCTTTCCAAGCCGGCGGGCTGAATGAGGATAGGGAGCCGCCGTTCGGGGGTAAAGTAGCGGCACTCTTAATCCCAACGATGAAAGGCTTTTGGCTTTTGTACCTAATGTATGTATGTATGTATGTATGGATGGATGGATGGATGGATGAGGTGAAATGGTATTGATTGGAGTTCTAATAGATCAAAAGAGTACCCTGTTAGATTTGTCCAAGGCAATCGTAGATAGCTGTAGCCAGTGTTTAGCTGTATGAACTTCAAAATAAACAAAAGTTACCGTGAGCCGTGGACGGTGAATCAATTATTTATAATTAACCCCACGCATAGAATGTGCCTTGATACGTGGCAAGGCATATATTTTCACCATAGCCTGCATATGGCATGAAGGTGATCTGACTTGCAATTGGTCGGATACCGGTTGGGATAGGTCATAGCTCTTCTACAAGCTACTTTCACATCTTACACTTTACCAATCCGAACTTTTTCCCAATAGTTCTGCCAACTGCTCCAAGTACTTCTTATCCACGTCGTCGAACCCGTTGAGATCCGCGCAGTCGATGTCTATAATAGCCACCAGCTTCTTCTCTCCCCCTTCGCCCTCGACGACGATGGGGACCACGATCTCGCTCTTGCTATCTCCGTCGCAGGCGATGTGTCCCGGGAATTTCTCCACGTCGGGAACCAACTGCGTCGTCTGGGTCTCTGCTGCCGCGCCACATACCCCTTTTCCGAAGGCGATGGTTTGGCATGCGACTTTGCCCTGGAACGGCCCCAGAACGAGCTGCCTCTTCGACGATGTGGACTGACGGTCAAGGGTGTAGAAACCTGCAACAAAGCATATATGAACTCAAGCACTTATACCACTTGAAATAGGCTCTCAAAATCGAGATGATTCCCTTACCTGCCCAGTTCACCTGGTTGCTTGGATGAGGCAACGACTTATAGGCGTGCCATAAGAGAGACGCCGTGTTGGCAAGGTTGCTTTAAGAAGCCATCAGTCAAGTTGACTCTAAGCTCAAAAGAAGACATCAAGCTAATGATGGTTTTGATAGAATGCTCAAAAAGACATACCATACCTAAGGAGGCGGAAGTATAAGCGTGAGTTTGCTTGCTCAAATTTTAAGGGCATAGACGCACCCAGTTTCTTTGGCCGTCGAAGAGACCTTCCGCCTGCAAGAGGACTTGCGTATAAGCCTCGTCCTTGGTTACGCCCTCGGCAAAATTCGAGGCATCGGCATGGACCTACGGGTATAAGTCAGTGGCGAGACTTTCTATATATTTCAGTGTATATGAAGTGGGAGGGCCTTTTGAGCTTTCGAACCATTTTGTTTGTTAGGTAGCTACCTGTGACGAATTCTGATAAGTCGCAAAGTCTTGGGTATCTCTCAAAGTATATCCCTGTTCCCGAAAGTATAGTTCAACTAATGCAGATGATTCCTCATGCTAATACCCGTAGTCGCTTTATAGCCAACCCAACGCGCAACAATAGAGACGATGACTCGTGAGGGAAATAAGAAAAAAAAGGGTGTTTTTTCACGATGTCAGGCGAGCACGCGATCGTTAGCGGGAAGGACCCACTTCAAGCCCGTTACTACTACCGGAATTAGCCCTATCGGTATCCGAAATTACCGCTAACCTAAGCGCTTCGGTGTAACTGCAACTCGGAGGTGATACCAACGTACCTTCCCCGGGTTATATCGGTGAAGGGGTTCTTATATAAGACGTATATAATTTGAAGAGTAGAACATATTTCTCTTTTCCTTTTGTTCTCTTTTCCTTTCTTTTTTTCTTCAGCATATTTTAGGTATTTTATGTATATACAATATTTACAGCAATTCATGTCCTTAACTCATACTCGCTATTTGCACTCACCCCAACATCTCTCTACATTAACGCCGCTAATTCGGCCGTCCACTCTCTAAAATCAATACCTACCGTATCATTCTTAGACGTCTTCTCAAATTCGCTTTTCCAGCCATTCCACCTCTCCCACATCAGCGGCCCCTCGTACCGCGTCGAGTAAAAGTTGCGCAACTCGCCGCCGGCAAACCGCATCCACACGGCCGCGGAGGGGATATGTAATTCGATGGGCTCGTAATCCGTTTTCGTCGCCTTACTGATAACGTAGCAGCCCCAGTTTCCCAAAACCGGCATGCCTGCAAACGGGCCGCCCACGAAGATTATCGCTGCGAACGAGTTGATGTTCGTCCATGCCAGATTAGCCGCCTTTTCCGCCTTGGTTTCTGGCCGGCTGTACGGCCAACCAGCTAACGCTATAGACACCAACCTCTTAGCATGGATTGTTTGTGCTTGCTTGCTTACATCCGTATAGGTAACAGGAGAGATAAATATGTTTTAAAACGACTTACAATGCCAGTAATCGCTAAAGAAGTTCCAGAACCTAGGGAGATCCTGCCACAGCTCCATTTCTCGGATCGTGCCGGTCCCGTCCATGGAAACCTCGAGGCTGTCTCTCCCGGTGCGGTCAATGTGCGGGAGCTGGCTGATGCTGTCGAGGAGGTTGGCGACGTGCAAGTGTACCGACGGCCAAGACAAGATGATGTCGATGAGAAACTTCCAGAGCTTGCGTAGCTCGCAGTTTGTCTCCTTCGCCTCGGTCGTGTCTGCGAGGGTTGCTTTGTGCACATCTGCGGTGAGAAGCGTAGCCGCCTCCTCGGCTTCTATCTCGTCGTTGAGATAGGCCTTGAACGCGGTGGTCTGCTCTTCGGTCGCCACTTCATTTTGGACCTTCTCTTCAAACCAGGTGTCTGGGATGGCAATCATGTCGAAAATGAATGCTCTCCCATAGAGCCTAGAGGTATAGTTGGAGGTCCTAAATATGTCGTGATGGACTCGATGTCAATCAACATGTAAAAGATACCCTAGTTCCCTAGTTTAATATTTAAAGTCCGAATATAAAGTCGACCACATACGTCAAGCTTGTGGATTAAAATACCACCCCGCCAATCGATATATCAATCGACAAGCTGCTTACTCAAGATCTACACGTATATGTATGTCATACGCTAAATAACATCGAGGCACCCTGTTCCATCCTAACTTGCTAGTTAATGAGGGTCGCTGGGAAAGTTAGCCGCGCTGGTGCTGGCTGGGCTTTATTATAAAATTTCTTATCTCCGCTGCATATAGTATATCACCGATCGGCCGCAGACGTCGAGGGATGTGTTTGTCACGGTATTGTCTGTGTGGGGGCCGTTATAGGCGGAGATAGCAAAATCAACCCTTCGAGTTGATGTCGTTCTACGTTTTAGTGATGTAGTGGCTTGATAAGGTAACTTAGGAGGTAGCTACTTTCCCGGACACAAAGAATGTTTCATGTAACTAACTCATTAATACAAAGGTATAAGACTATCGGCATGATTGCTCAACTATCCTGATTGCGATTACCCATATAATGGTGTCAATTGTTATCACTTCCCAAGGCTGCACTCATATATCCATATCTTCTTGGAAGGCTAACACATGGTTAGATACCTCATGGCAGTTAGTATATACTTTGTCTCTCAAAGTATGGTTCGTAGTTGGAAACCTCATATTTTACGTTTATACCTACAGTTGTATAAAGATAATTCAAATTTGCAGCAATAGTATCGAGAAGTCGTTTACTCCGGGAGTCATGAATGCTTGCTAGACGAATAAAGAAAACTGGTTTTACGAAGCTTGAAAACGACGAAGGGAAAAAAAGTTAAAAGATACCTCTGGGATAAGATAAAAAGTCTATAAAGTACAAAAAAATAACATCGGAATGTCAGATATTTGACGATTTTTTGAAAGGAGCCTGCCGGGATCGAACCGGCGACCTAAGGATCTGCAATCCTTCGCTCGTACCACTGAGCTAAGACTCCACGTGACGTGTAAGTCGGCTTTTTGCACGCCTTTATATGTAAACCTATTGTTGCTCCAAGCTAGGTTAGGAGGTAATCTAGCACTCAGGCTAAAAAAGAAAGCCACCATCGTGCACCTAGCCGGACTAGGACAAGAACGGAAATTTACCTGCTACAAACGAAGACAAGGGGTGTGAACTAGTCTAGGCTAAGTACTCACATACTATGTACATAACATGTGCGATGTTATTCCCGTTGGTTTAGGTATATTTGGTTATGGTGTAGTCGTTGCTTAACGCGATTAAGATATTAGTGCTATTCTACGCCAGTTCAGAGAAACTCAATGCTTCTTGCTATTACTTTTTTACTATGTACCTAACCTGCCTACCTACTTAAGGTAGGCACTCCGAGGAAGACAAGGTTCCAACCCGGGGAGTTCATGCACAAGTTAATTGGGCGGCGCGTCATGGCGGTCCGCATGAACGGCCCCCCTTTCCCCGGGATCCCACGTCGTAGGTACTATGTAGTTGCGATGGACCCTCAGTTGGAGATACCTTGATACTCTCGGAGGCACATCTCCCGGAGGAAATGCTATTCTGAACAGATGTGCAGATTGTGTCAGGCGTGGTGGTATCTCAGTGTTTCTTTTGAATGTGTATTTACAGCTACCTAGGTAGTTTCTCAATTGCCAATCTGACTGCTAGATAGTTGGGGCTTGAGTGTTATACGTCTATACTCGTGGCCTTGCCTTATGAAAATTAAGAACAATTCTATTGCTCTATACTACCTAAGGTCCACCAAGAGAGAACCCTGAGATGGGCCACCCGCCGCAAGGCAGCAATGGGCGCGATAACGATGCGAACAAGCCGGCGAGCTCTCGTCTCCCCTTCTCGCCTGCAACAAATCGTCCTCCTTTCCGTGCTCTTCCTGGCGCTCTACTGCTTCCTCCTAGTCCCGGACCATAGCCTCGACTCCTCGCGCCCGGCTATGGCAGATACTTATTATACCTTTCCTAACCCACACTCGAGCTCGTCGTCGTTGTCTTCCTCCTCGAACTTGAAAGATGGACTACTACCCCCATCCCTCCTCAACAACCTCCACCTCACAACCTCCCAATGCGAATTTTCTTTCCCCGGGCTTACCCGCGAAATCGCCGCCGCCGTCTCCAAAGGCCCCTTCACCCTCCGGCGCAACCCGCACGGCCTCGGCCCCACCATCCTGCGCATCCGCGACGGGCACTTGTACATCCTGTCCCGCGCGCGCACGGTCGACCTCTCCGAAGCCATGCTGCAGCACCGCTCCGCGACCCTGCACCAGATCGCCAACGCGCTTCTCACCGCCCCCCGCCTCTCCTCTCCCGAGCAAGTCCCGGACACCATCCTAGCCTTCAACCACGAAGACGACCCGGCCTCCCCTTCCCTCTCGTACTCCCGCCCCGCGGACCCCTCCTTCGACGGCCCGGACAAGCACTTCTTCCCCGTCCCGCACTTCAGCTTCTTCGCGTGGCCGGTGCCGCAGGTGCGCTCGTTCGCGCGCGCCGCGGCCGCCGCGTCGGCCGTGGAATCGCGGTTCCCCGCGTGGAGCGACAAGGACCCGCGTGCGGTGTGGCGCGGCACGACGTGGTTCAACAGCGCGCGGGGCGGGGGCCGGCTGCGGCACGACCTGGTGCGGGCCGCGCGGGGCCGGCCGTGGGCGGACGTCCAGCCGCTGGCGGCGAACGGGAGCAACGCGCTGATGATCGAGGACTTCTGCCGGTACCGGTACGTGATTCACACCGAGGGCGTCACGTACAGCGGCCGCTTCCAGTTCCACCAGCTGTGCGCGAGCGTCGTCGTGGCCCCGCCCCTCGCTTGGATCCAGCATCTCACGCACCTCGTGCGTCCCGTGTTTAGTTACCAACTCGAGGGCGTGGAGCGCGTTGACCCTAATAACGATGACCGTGGTGGTGGTGGTGGTGGTGGTGATAGTGGTAGTGGAAAATTGCTGCCGTACCCCGCGGCTTGGATCAAGGCTGCTTGGCCCAAGGAGTACGATCCGAGCGAGGCTAATATCGTATTTGTGGCGCCGGACTGGAGCGATCTGGAATCGACGATTGCGTGGCTCGAGCGACATCCTAAGATTGCCGAGGGCATTGCGCAGAGACAGCGCGAACTGTTCCATGGCGGGGGATACTTCAGCCCCGCGGCGGAGATGTGTTATTGGCGTGCTCTGCTTCGGGGCTGGAGTAAGGTAGTCAGAACGGAAGGACAGGGCTTCGAAGATCTAGAAGAGATACCGTGGGAGGAGTTTAGCTTAAAGGAAATTCATAAGTAACTATCTTGACGGATAATAAAAGAAAGCTCTCGAGAAAAGAAATAGGGGCACAGTGGTTGGGATATATACTCTCTAAATTCTCATCATTAATATAATACACCTTGTGATTATTACTTTTTATATACACTTATGTGCACCCCATCTAAACTAACCGCTCCGCGCGCTTAGGCTAGCGAATGCGTCTGGGCTATGTCGACCATTATTCCAAGCCATTTCCATTCCAAGCGTCATGCTCTCCCGGCTCCTTGCACCAGAAGAAGCTGAATTAGGATTGCTGGGTACCGCGAACGGGGACGGAGCTCCATTTGTATTTGGGACAGGGGTTGCTGCCGCACTGTGCATAAAAGGGTTCTTACTTCCTGACTGAGGTGCTGTGTTCTGTTGTGTCTGTGCCTGATGTGGCTGTTGTGGTTGTGTTGGTGTAGGGGCTGTTTGGTTTACCTGCGTGCCAGGCGTGCTTTGATCTTGAGCTTGCGGACGAGCCGGGGCTAACTGAGGGTAGTTATATAGAGCTAGAATTGAAGCAGTGTTAGGCCTTGGGGGCAATTGCTGCTGCTGCTGTTGGTACACCGGCTGGCTTGCCACTTGTGCAAGGGGTTGCGGCTCGTACCACGCTTGTTGGGCTGGCTGAGACATCATGACTGGTGCGGGGGCTTGTGTAGGCTGGCTTACAGGCCGGCTCGTCGTAAAGAAGGGGTTGCTGGCGTTATTGGCGTTACTTGCATACGCAGAGTGGGATGCATTGTAGAAATTCTGCTGCGACTGCTCAGGTATTTGATTCAGAGTTGGTGACGCGATCTTAGTAGGCGATCTAGTGAAAGGGTTATTCGTAAGAGATCCTTGGTTTTGGAACGGAGAAGTAGTATTTAAGGAAAGGGAAGGCTGCAGATTTGCGGGAGCTTGTAGGAACGGGTTGTAGCTTTGCGTTTGCTGCGAAGGCAGTTGAGGAAACGTCTGGCTACTGGTGAAAGAGGGCTGCATAAAACCTGGTGTTTGCTGGATTGGAGCTGTCATCGGTTGCGAATAGAAAGGCTGAGACAGGGGCTGATGAGTCGGCAATCCCCCCGTATGGTGCGGGAAGAGTGCTTGCTGAGGAGCCGGTGCTATAGATAAGTTCTGCATGCTCTGATTCAAGTTAAAATCGGGCTGCTGACTTGGCATATCAAATGGATTCGAGGAATAAAAAGGGTTCCTATTCTGTAGAGTTCCTGTCGACTGCGACGACTGAGGTTGAGCTGGCTGTATGTCCCAAGGGTTGTTTGACGCGGGGCTTGCTGGACTCGGCGCAGTCTGCGGACTAGACCTCGATAATCCAATCGTGGGCGCAGTTCTCGGCGTCAATGGTTGAGGTGTTAGCGATCTCGAGGTCGGAGGAGGTCGAGAACTGTCACGACTTGGCAGAGATAAAGGAGGACCTCCTCCACCCTCTCCTAACCGCACTAATGCCTCTATAGTCTTCTCGATGTTACCATTAACACCCTTTAAAACCATAGCGTTGCGTTTGTCGTCCATGAACCCCATATCCCTGAGCTGTGTTAACTTCTGCGCCGTATCTTCCACCGTATCTTGATGCACGCTGGCCCCAAATGTGTTAGGTGTCTTATTGCGCGACTGGTCAGGACTCCGTGGAGGATCGTGGACGCCAAAAACACTCTCTCGTGGACGCGTTTCCTTCTTAGATCGAAAGGAGAAGAAACGGCTGCCGGTCTTGGGTGGTAGCGGCGGCGGAGTACCTTCATCTGAACTTCCCGTATTATGCTTTTTCGTACCGTTTACGGCCTTCTGCACGTACTTAGCCCTAATGAATCGTTCCATGGCGGAATCAGCTTCGTCGGCGTCGATCGGTACCGGAGGTTTCTTATTCTGAGGATTGTAAATCTTATTCGACGCGTCGTTTCCCATTCGCTTCATAGTCTACTAATGTAGTTAGTAAAGACCAGACTAACGCTATTTTCTTGCGAACTTGATGGTGATTCGTACTTCGACTTGGTCGTTTGACCAGCTATCCATGCTGAGCGATTTAACCTTGGAGATATGCGTGCCCAACTTGCGATGAATGGCGGCGCATCGCATGCAGAGAAAAACACCTAACTACAATCCGTATTAGCGTCGAGTTCGTATCGATGTTGTTGAACGTTGAAGGTTGATGATTTAGGTAACGGCTAAGGGAATCCGTGGTGATGATGACGGAGATAACCTCGAATACATACATTCCATGATGCCCAAGCTAGAAGAAAGACGCAAGTTAGCTTTATGAATTCGATAACGTCGATGGTAAAAACGAAACCGAAATAACTTTTACGAGAGGCACGTACATGGATTTCTTGCTTGACAATCGGCGCAAAAATTATTTCCTGGAACATTATGTACAAGATCTTGCAAGGCCTTCTCATTTCGTGCCTGCTGGCGCTTACTCATGAGTGCAGACATATTTGCGCTCGTTGTATTTGAATGAGAAATCAATGCTCACGAGAGCATCGACCGAGCTATAGATTCGGTTACAACGGTGGCGCGGCTAAGAAGATTAAAAAAAATGGTTGGATTTCTGAACGAAGATAACAAACTAGGAAACTCGCGTGGAGGCTGGGAGACGACTGAAGCCGAAGGAGGGTATGTCGCTGTTGGGATATAGGTCAGGGGGGTTTTTTATTTCTTGCTTGATTCGGATTGGGCCTTCATCAGCTGGAACTGGGCATTGTGATTTGAGAGGTTGTCAGATATAGAGGAACATGAAAAAGGAGGCCCTAGAGTAAATCCAGTAAATCAATGTACATAGGCTCTGCCGACAACAAGTATAATTATCTCCAAGCTTTAAATTTTGGAATTGTCGGCGGGCAAATGCAAATAGAAGAAGAGAAAGAAAAAAAGAAAGAGAGAAAAAATGAGCTGACGAGGTCAAAAAGAAACAGGAAGAAAGAGTGCGTTCCTAAGTCATGCTCAAACTCCAAAACGAAGTGTACGTTATTAACCAGGTAGGTAAGTAAGAGGTAGGTAGTGTACTATGTATGTATGAGGTATGAAGAGTTGAAGAAAGGATCAACGGGACGGGGCCTCAGACGGGCCTGGATCGCAATGACTTTCATTAGAAGGTACCTAGGTACCTAAGGTACGAACTGCAAAAGAGACCCACACAAAAAATAAAGGAGGCATGCGCAGCTGCAGTCTACCGACCTGGAAAGAACCGTGCACTCCTAGCCGACATACAATATGGGCAGACCACTACAGGCAATACCCCGTTGTGCTGTACGGCCTAATGTGCTGTAACCGTTGAACCCCTTCAGACGTTTTAACGCCTACCTAGCCAAGCTGAACCTAGCTTAGTTCAACGCCCACTTATATACCTGGGTACATCCACACACACAAATCCATACAACAAGCCCAATCCGGTTCTCTCTTTCTTCTAATTGGTTCCTCATTCAATGTTAGCGGCCCGCGAACAGACGCCAGACAAGCCTGACAGCTGCATAATGAGACCATCCACGTTGTCGACTAGCATTCCCCTTATTTTTAAGCGTATTTCGTGCTTACACCTTTTTTTGCTTCTCTCTTTTATGTGCGTCAGGTCTTAGATATAATTCTTATCTCGTAAATATGGGGAATTAGACCTCTAGGGCTTATCGTAGATACGAAGCGTAAAGGTGCCCCCCCTCGGCATAGCATGGGTTTTCATGGTTGATTTTCAGGGGTATACGTGTGTAGTTGATCCATCCGGGGTTGAATACCATAAGGTATATATAGGTAGGTATGTATATTACAGCTTGACACGCACGCTCGAGTTGCTGGTGTGTCATCGTGTGCTCCTTATATCATAATATAATATATCATACTTTATAATCTACTCCGAGACTTCTCAGAAGTAAATCATGTCGAGCATAGAATTGCAACGGTCCTTTCCGGCGGGCCTTCCCTCGGCCGAAATTGAGCCTCTATCTACTAAAGCCATCATAAAAGCACTATCGTTAGAACCTCATATCGAAGGTGGATATTTTGTCGAAACAGATGTAGGTCCTTCGAAATAAGAAAAATATCTCTCAGATGTCTCCAGAGGTGATGGATATCTGCTGGAGTTCTCTCAACTTATCCCATCTCTCGTTCCCTTAACAATAATCCCCTCTCCCCCCCTTCTCGTTACTCCATAATGCACAGTATTCAAGAAGCAAGCAACTAACAGGAACACCCCCCACCCCCCTTGGCTTAGCGTGATCCTCTTCTCATACCTTCCCCATTCCCCCCAACCCCAGCATCGTCTCTCGTGCCGCAGAGGCCCGGCTTCGACCCGGCCCACCGCAACGCCTCGACCACCATATTCTACTACCTGACCCCCCAGTCGCCCCAGGGCAACTTCCACCGCAACCGCGGCAGGACTGTACACACCCTCCACCGCGGCCGCGGCGTCTACGTGCTCATACACGCCGACGAGCCCGACCTGCCCGGCGGCGGCGGCGGGAAGCGCATCGAGACGTTCATCGTCGGGCCGGACGTCGCCAACGGCGAGAAGCTGCAGTGGATCGTCGAGGGGGGCAAGTACAAAGCTAGCTTCTTGCTTCCGGACGACGCTAGCGCTAGCGCTGGTGGTGATGGTGATGGTGAGGATAAGGAAAAGGAGAAGACGAGTGGCGGGCTTTTGATCTCCGAGACGGTTGTTCCCGGTTTCGAGTTCTGCGATCACGACTTCTTGCGCGCGGAGGAGTTTCGAAGGCTGGTTACTCCCGAGAAGGCGGAAGAATTGGCTTGGCTGGTGAGGAAGGCTTAAGCGACGGTGTAGAGAGACAATCTGGGCTGAAAGACCTAGATTATGATGTGGAAATGAATTAACGAGAAATCGGATATTACGAGTATAACTTATTATCATAACTTATTCGAATGGCCAGTTGAGTATTGTGTTCAAGGCTTGGCTCTCCTATTCCCATTTTCTGCTACTCTATGCTTCCTTTCCTCTTAATTCTTGCATCCGCTTATACGTACCTAAACACACTATGATCACTACCTTATGCTACAGAAATTGCAAGCTAACATTTCCGTATAAGATATATTACAAGATTTGGGCATCACTTCTAATATATTAATAGATTAAGAATATTAGCGAAAGAACCAACAATATAGCAGTACAGATGTGACGCGACGTGACATTGCACCCCGCACCCGTCCAATAGCATCACAACTCCATTCTACTATACAAAGTAAGAAGCAACCCGAGATCCTTCCTTCCATGCGCTTATAGCCATAAGCACTACGTTATAAACGAAAACCACAAACGCGAGCTTTTGGACCGGTGAGCCTATCTTAGCGTCTCCAGATCCGTCAGCGTCAGAGGAAATACTTTGCGATCGATAGAACAGCGTCCATCGCGTGCATATTTTCTGAGTCACCGTATAGCATTTTTACTAACCCTTGCTTGTCACGCCCTGAGCTGATCCCAGCCTGCCTCAAGGTATTCTTCTTGGCCGTGACTCGATTCTGGATTCAATTAGTACTCTCGTTCTGCTAGGCAAATATATCAACAACCTGTAATACAACGCCGAGTCACCTTCGTCCAAGCGCCAGTTCCTGCGCCGTGAAATAGTATAACACATTCCCAATACAAACACCACCACCCCATTCCCAATGCCTCCACCAATGGACACAGAAACCTTCCTCAGCGCCTCCTACGCGCGCATCCGCGCCGCCGCCTCCGTCCCCCCGGGTTCTTCTCCCGCACGCACCCTCCCCACACCCTCCGCCCTTTCCCAAGCCCGTTCCAGCCTCCCGTCCCCCTCCGATCCCACTACCACCGCAGCCTTCCTCTCCGGCCGCGGCCCCGAAGCTACCATCACGCACCTGACCGCCGACATCGCGCCCGCGCTCGCCGGCCACAACCGCAGCGGCCGGTACTACGGGTTCGTCACGGGGTCCTCGCTGCCCGTCGCCGAGGCCGCGGACAACCTGGTCTCAGCCCTGGACAACAGCCTGCAGGTGCACCTGCCGGCGCAGAGCGTGGCGACGGAGGTCGAGGACGCCACGCTGAGGCTGCTGCTGCGGGTGTTGGGTCTGGGGGAGGAGGAGGAGGAGGGGGGGGGGAGGAGTAGTAGCTGGGGCGGGCGGACGTTTACGACTGGCGCTACGGCGAGCAATGTCCTGGGGCTGGCTTGCGGGCGCGAAGCTGTGATTGCCGCACGCCTGGGCCCGGGAAGTGCGGACGGAGAAGGAGGGGGAGAGGGAGGGGTAGGCGAATTAGGTCTCCTCGGCGCGTGTGCGGCCGCGGGCGTGAGGGAGATCCAGGTCCTGACGAGCATGGGCCACAGCTCGCTGGCGAAAGCGGCGTCGATCGTGGGTTTAGGACGGCGCGCGGTCAAGGAGCTGCGGCACAACGAGGCGGAGCCCTGGAGGTTGGACCTGGATGCTGTGGAGCGGGAGCTGCGGCGCGAAGGGGTGGCTAGTATTATTGCTGTTAGCGCTGGGGAGGTTAATACGGGGAGGTTCGCGACGACTGGGTTGGAGGAGATGCGGAGGTTGCGAGAATTGGCTGATAAGTATAAGGTTTGGATACATGTTGATGGCGGTACGTTTATGCCTGCCCCTATTTACGCGCGTGGATATATACGTATATCTATTTAGATGTACGGTGTTAATGTCTGTCTAGCATTCGGCATATTCGCCCGCTCTCTCCCGGCGACAAGCGAGTTTGCGCGGCTCCGGGAGTTTACGGCTGGTCTCGAGCTCGCGGATAGCATCACCGTGGACGGGCACAAGCTTCTGAACGTGGTATGTTTGTTATTATTTTATTTCTCCTTCTCCTTCTTCCTCCCTTCCCCCTATCCTATTTAACACCCCCAACCTCGCTAACAAAATCAAGCCCTACGATACCGGCATATTCTTCACCCGAACCTCCACCATCCCACAAGCCGTCTTCCAGAACCCCAACGCGGTATACCTCTCCACCCCGTCCACCCCTTCTTCCGGCCCCGCCATCCCCAGCCCGCTAAACATCGGGCTCGAGAACTCGCGGCGCTTCCGCGCGCTCCCAGTGTACGCGGTCCTGCTGAGCGAGGGCGCAGCCGGGATCGCGGAGATGCTGGCGCGCATGGTGCGGCTGGCTCGCGGGATCGCGGGGGCTATAGCGCGGGACGAGGAGCTGAGACACGATTACGAATTACTGCCTAAGCAGACGCAGGCGGGAGAGGAAGAAGAGAGCAATACGCATATCATTGTGTTGTTCCGCGCGCGGGACGAGGGGCTCAACGAGAAGCTGGTCGAGAAGATACAGGCGTCGGGGGAGTGGTACGTCAGCGGCACGAAATGGGAGGGACGGACGGCGTGTCGGATCGCGGTGTCGAGTTGGCGGGTTAATGTCGACGAGGACTTGGCGTTTGTGAAGGGGAGACTGGCTGCGATAGCTAAGGAGTGGAAGGAAGGGGGGTGGTAACATGATAGGTATTTCCCTGAAATGAATAGTACTGGTTGAGTTGAGTTATATGGGCTTGGGCACTAAAAAATAAATAAAAGATGCCGTTGGTAACGATAGAATACCTGGTATGCTTATATCTCTTCTCATTGTCTCTGCTTGTTGATGCGTCTCTTGGATAATCTACCTTAGGTACCTACACTACCTCATAGTTGTTGTAGTTGGAGGATATTATACTTAAATCCTAATCTAGGTCCCTGTCTGAAGCGCATTTCCCCTCGCAGAAGATAGTAGTTGACGCCATCTCGTCGTGGAGCCATGGACCGCCGGAAAGCCCTAGGATAACCCCAGGATAACCCCTGCTAAGAGTGTATACCTTGAAGGATACGTAAACGAAGTTGATATCGTATCTAGCCTTTGACTCCGACAGACCAGTGCGTATCCTTAGAAATGACATGCTCGCGGCTCGCGTATGAGCAGTTTAGTTCGCCGCAGTGTTTTGAGTGAATCCTACATCCAGTAGATCGTACCTAGATGTAAACCCAACCGCAATATTACCTCCTAGGCGACAGCAGCATTTCAATAATATATCCTTCTCTTCTTTTCTTAAACCATATTATTCGTTTCAGCCAAACTTCCTACTCCCCCCCTTCACCTTATTCTCCTCTTTCCCTTTCCCATCTTTATCCTTCACCCTCCCCTTCCCAATCAACTCCAGGTGTCCCGCTCGCTCCCCCAACAGCTTCTCCGTCTTGGCGACCAGCCCCCCGGCCAGCTTCTTTTGCAGCTTGTCCGCGGCCGACGCGCTCTTCGACTTCGTCACGCGCGCGCCTTTTTTCGTCTTCGGCGGCTGAGGCTTCGCTTTCCTGCCCGCTGATACCGCAGAGGGTTTCTTGGGTTTTACGGCGCCTTGGGCCATTTTTTCTTTTCTTTCTATTTTTTTGTCGGTCTGCTTTTTCTTGTTTAGAGGCGCGGTTGGCGCGGGGAAGGAATATGCGAACGGTAGATAGATGGATGACTGGCTGCCTGGCTGCCTGGATGGATGGATTGGGGTGGTGGAGTGAAGTAGGCTATCGGGATCTGGATCTGATATTTTCTCGCCTGATCTGATCTGAAATAGCCTATGCAAGGTGTATGTCCAAGTGCCGTAGTTCAACTCGGTGGTGGCAGTGGTGCGGCGGGATCCCGATTTCGTTCCCCGACTCTCGTTTCGTCTTATTCGTCTTATTCGTGGAAGTAGTTGAGTTGTGAGAAAATCAAGTCGCACAGCAGAAACTAGAATAACTTTTTTTTTATGGGGCATGCTCTATTGTGACAGGTAGACCCCCCCCCCCCCCCCAATCCCCCGAGAGCTAAGCCCCACTTCCCCGGAGCGGCCCGGGGTATGGCTTGGATCCCGAAATGCCCGATGCTATTCCGGGATCTGTCAAGTTAAATAAAAGGTAATAACTCCTGCAGGCAAAAGGAGGGCTATGCAAATGCCGAGGTATTTTACTCACGAGACGTTGATATGAGAAGTTTATGCATGAGTGCGTGCGTCCAAGGGGTGACCTTACGTGACACTCAGTCGCTTGGTGGTGTTAAGGGTTATTGCAGCTATGTTCACAAGGAAATACCATCATCTAGTCACTTCGCTGTATGCTAATCAACCCATGCTTTTGTAAAATTTTTATTTTATCTTCTCGAGTCTATTGACTCCAAGTGCTATGCTAAGCTAGGTTCATTTTTGGGCGGTTCAGGCCGGATATGATACATACAAAACAGCTATGATTGAATGATGATGCAATGAAGGTGTCCCTTATGCTGGGTATAATCTGGATATCGCTCCCCGGTTCTCCCTTCTAGTTCCATATTTTGTAGCCTGAACTCCGGGTTGAAGAAAGATATCTCCATGCTAAACAATAAAGATGAAGATCAAGTCCAAAAAAATAAAATAAAATAACGCCACGAAGTAAATGCATGTACGAGTGCCCCGGGGCATAAAAGGAATATGTGATAATAATAGTACACGGGCCATCCACGTAGTAGTGGCAATCGAAGAGAAGGAAATTAGTTCGGCAGACGTTGCCCCAGGGTATATATATACAATGCGATAAATGTACAGTACCCTCTAATGCAATGAGATGTAGGAGACATAGGAGACGAGAAAGGAACACGTCAACTAAATGAAGCGTTGAGAAGATTCTGCTTCTTGATTGAGTAGGAGGTATCGTCTCTACTGCACGCTCAGGTACAGGTCCTCGCCATGTCTCGTCGGAGTCAGCTTCGGCTGCCACGTTGGCGTAGCAGGAAGGGAACCCTTAGGGGAGGGCGGGCTTAGCTTCTTCTTGGGACAGAGCGCAAGTACGGCAGCTTTACCAGTCCCAAGTCGCTTTTCCAATAGCGAGCTAGCGGCCTCCTTGGCGGCCTCCTCGTTCTCATGTGTTTGTGCTCGGCTTAAAGGCGAGACGGCGCGTGCTATGTGTTGACGCGGTTGATCCCCTGAGCCTGATCGCGATGACATGGGGGACGGCGTTTGCCTTCCAACTATGAAAGGATTAGGCGAGGGTTCGCTCCCAGCGATTTGCGTCGGTGGCGTTTGAAACCTATCTGGAAACCAAGCCTCGTCACTCGGTAAGCGCGGGGAGAACCGTGATAGCGGACTCTGGACTGATGGCCGACCGTCATCGAGACGAGGCGGTCTCGTCAATTCCGTCTCGCTAATCAAACTGGTATTTGACGTCTGAGCGCTGTCCTGACGCTTAGGTTTTAAGGGCTTGGGATAAGGCGAGTCGCCATTTTTCAACAAAAGGGCGTCACCTTTCAATGTCGGGCTAGGCTGACCAGGGGGCGAGTTAAAAAAGGACGTCCTGATTGTAGGGTCTATATGAAGTAGCGCTCGGTTATGTTTTCCTGAGATATTGACGTATTTGGCTTGTTCTAGTTCAGGGGTAGGAGTACGCATCGTATCTTTAGGAGTGGGAGGGTGTGACAAATGAGTGCCATCAAGCTCGCGGGCATCTTCGTCTAATGAAGCTGTCGAGTAAGAGTTTATTGTTGTAAAGGAGTCGTCAGATAAAACCGTATCAGATCGGTTGCGTTCAGCTCCACGCCCGCCATAAGCGGACATTAGCCGAGTGCGGCGTGCTTCACTGTCTTGCGAATATACGCTAGAAGACCGTTGGTGCCTTCTGGTAGCACGCTCTTCAGATAAGAAAGCTGGTTGCGGCTTATTAGGCAACCCATAAGCTGCTGAGACTGCTGCTGAAATGGACTCGGTCTCTTCCTTCTTTTCTATCGGTGCCATAGTCAGAGGGGTATATGTGTCGAGCTCTGCAACCATGGCGACCTGGCACTGCTCAGATTGGCGATTTTTGTTATTTCGCACCCAATTTCCAAATTTATCAGTTATATATGCAGGTGTTACCCCTGTCACATTTGTAAGGAGGCTAGTCTTGTTGGTCTGCTGTGTACGCCTAGACGACTCGCGAGACAACGCTCTACTTGGCTTGAATAGATCTTTCGGTGGAAGGGGAGGCCGAGGAGGAGGAGGAGCCGTTAAGTCCATATCAGGCTTAGCGGGAAGGAGTTTCGATGTTGGCCTATGAAGCGGAACATGTGACATTGAAGCAGGTGTTGAAGTTAAAGATCGTGAGATGCCCAGTCCAAAGGTATCTTGGCTAAGAGCTGGTGAGTGGAAAGGACCGGGCGAAGGAAGTCTGGGCGGAGTACGAGGTGGCATGGGGGAAGCAGGGAATAACGGCGATGCTATGCGTTGTTGTGGTAGGTGAGGCGGCATTTCGAGATCGGCATTACTGCGGTACGGCGCCGACATATAGTTCCCAAACCCGGGCGTCTCAGCTCCGCCTCTCTCCTTCATTATATTAGGAGATCCACTCCCAAGCCCACGGTAATTTTGCCTGCTCCGACGCCTGAAAAATATTATAGCAGCAATTATGATTGTGATAGCGACAAGAACGCCAATAACGATTCCAGCGATTGCACCGCCCGATAGTGAATTCGATGAGCCAGACGATGGTGAAGAAGCAGCCTCAATTCTCGATCCAGTTTGAGTTGGCGATGGTATGACTATTGAAGCCGGCACTCCAGTTGGGGAGTTTGCGATTGTTGCTGTCAAGACAGCATGTGTGTTCGGCAGAGCTTTGGCTACCTTAGAGCACATAAGATAGGCATCGCGCTTGACGGTACCTAGTATCAGGGTTAGCGTCTGTAATAGTTATATCATATAACATAGAAGGAATTTAGTATACTCACCAGCGATGTCATCCTTACTGCAGATTCCACGTTGTGCTTCGGTACTAATACATTGTAACGCTCCCTCCCCAATTGTATATCCTGAAAGCGACTGCTCTAAGCACATGCATTGTAATGTCGGATTCTGCGTGCAGTCTGTCGACGGGTAGTTGGCTACTACGAACGACTCCAGGCAGGGCTGAGCACATGTCGGTACCAAGCCGAGGATATCGTTACCGAGCTTCGCACCGGCGGCAACGCTGGCTGAGAGTGCAGTCCATATCAAGAGGCGACGAGCCAGAGACTCAAAAGCCATTCTACTCGAAATTATCTTCGGGGGCTGTCAGTATACGATCTTGTCATATAACCGGCCTCCGTTCTGATGTTTGTTTTGTGAGCGAGGTACATTGCATCCTTTGATCGTCAGAGACTGCTCTGGGGATCTACAGGCCTCCTCGATTATGTTTGATGAAGAGCAAAAGGTGAGAAGGGGTCTCAAAAATTGGTCCTCGTGGCAATGAGCTGGGATATATGGTTTTAAGAAACAGATCAAACTCACCTATGACAAGGGGGAGTAACTTAAGAATGGGGAAGTGAACATCCCAGCTCGTTGGTTCTGCACAGCCAACGATGAAGTGAGTTGAAGGAATCCTACGAAAAGATTAATATGAAATATGGAATTGGTGTAAAATCATAAACGGAGAGGGCTCGAAGGATGGTGGAGCCTAAAAAAAGAAGGAAGAGCTTGTTATAGAAGGTCAGTAAGAGACTCAGCAGTTATGGGGGGTCGGAATGGGGTCTCATGAATGAAACATCCTTGGGCCTCTCTATGTACCTAATGTATATGACATACGATTTCAATAATGGTGTTATTCATATTAACTACCTAGGTACCTACCCAGGTACCTAGTGTGTTAGTGATGATGCTTCGAGGTGCTTAAGCCACATCTTAAACGATAGACTTTGACACCAATCGGAAAGGCTGTATTGTCGACGGGTGGTAGCATTCAGTATTTTAGCATCTTGAATAATATCTAAAGCTGGCGTACTGGCTCAGGTGTACTACCACCGGCGGATATCGTAGATGCGGCCAGCCGTGGCATTGTTTATTTGCAGACAGCAACCCCAACAGCAACCCGATGCGAGGTAGGTAAGGGTAGCTTGAGCTGTCATCTCTACTACAATACGTAGGAATAGGTGTGCACAGGTGAATCAATATAGGTTCAATACATGCGAGCAGGGTCAGCCGTATCGAGAAAAGGATCAGCAGAAATAGTCATAATTTGGCAATTGATTCTCTCTGGATGGGAAATCTGCGAGGTGAATGTTGTACATAGTAAGAGCCCCCGAGAGCCCTGAATATGGAGACACGCCTAGTAAGGGCCTGATCTCGATAAGCAGAACGACAGGGGTAGTTAGTCATCAAGTTTAAATATAGATCTCATCTGCAAAATAAGCTCTGGAGAAAGGAAGGTGTGCCGGGAGGGGCAGGGGAGGGGAGGGGCAGACTAGGCGGTGTAATGCATATATTAGGAGGGGTGTATATACATACCATGTACCTACCTTAGATAATGTATGAGCCTTAGGTAGGCTTGCGCGCGTCTAACTTTTAAATATGGCTGTTAAACATTTGCCGCAAGCCGCCCGTTGTCTGGCACCTACTACATACCTATGTAGTGCTTACTGGCCAAATAGCCATAGCCAATGTTATTCCATTGACGCATAGACACCTCTATGTGCATATACCTGCGTCCGGTTGCATCCGCCTGCACACGGCAATATGCGTGCAACGTCACCGTCTTCCTGCCAGGGGTTTTAAACTAAGATGGACCAATCAGGTCTTCGCTGTGCCTCTACCGTCTAACTTTAAAACAATCAAAGCTCTTCAACGTGCGACTAAAAGGATATGCTAGCTAGTTTCACAATTACTATCTGACTTCTTTATCTCCTGCTGAATTAAGTATGCGATTTACTGTATGAGACTCATGCCGCAATATTTTTTGCTAAGAGAAACGTCAGCAATGACGAGATAAAATATTTTGGTAACCCATGTAAAGTCGGCTTGCCCGGCTCATTTAATTTTATTTATTTATTTTGTTTTTTTGTGTAAGAGAGAGAGATCAGTTGTAAGAGGAGGATAAAGGCAATTGCAATCTAGAATATCTGTTTGAATATAGATGCATTATTATCAATATTATCGCTACTATGCGTATAAGTACAAGCACTAAAAGCACGTACCCACCTGGATCGATATTCTAGAAGCTTTACAAGTTTCGATATACTAATAATATAATTATGGCTGATCAAGTAAACTCCTTGCGGTCATGACTAGGATATCGACAAGTTTTTACACTCTTGGCAGCTCCCAATCAATCTATTTAGAAACTTATTTTCCTGTTCGTTCTTAATTTTAAACCACGTGAAGAGAAGCTCTAAGAATATTTCTATGGAGAATGCATCCTCCCTTGTTTCGTTGATAGTGCTATTCTCCTATAGACGTGTTTCGAAACAACTCGCCGATCAACGCAAGCCAAACGAATAGAGAAGGTCACATAGCATAGGAGAAGGATTCCTCCATCAGAATTCTAGCGTAGGAAAATTAAATGACTTTTTTTTTATTGAGAATAGGTATCTGATCATCTCTCATCAACTACAATCCTCTCGTGTAGGATTATTATTTATTGAGCATCTCCAGAGAATGGAAAAACATCACCAACACCAACACCAACAACTTCGTGAAATGCCCGCGTAGTTTGCGCCGAAGTCGTCTTGTTATCGATGTGGTCGCATCCATAACTCAACACGCGAAAATGGAGGGGAAATGGCCCGTTCCATACTTGGTAGGTCAATTCCGATTTAATCCTGGGACCCCTAAGCAGCTCCTCCGCTCGGAACGTAATCTGCCTGAGCTCGGCTCGACTTGATTACTCGCTGAACCTGCGCTTCTGTTTCATCCCAGTCGTCGGGCTTCAACGCGACCAAGTCGATCTCGAGATCGTGCGCGATAGCATTGAGAGCATCAAAGCTCTTCTTGTCCGAGATAAAAGTAATACTGACACCAACGCGGCCAAAACGACCAGTCCTACCAATACGGTGGAGGTAGGTCTCCGTGTCATGCATGCTATCTCCTACCCCTTTCATCGGAATGTCGTAATTAATGACCATGGAGACTGTGGATACATCTATTCCACGGGCAAGCACGTTGGTAGTAATGAGGACCTTGGACTTTCCAGTTCGGAACTCCTCTAATAATGCGTCTCTCGCACTTCCTTCGTAGGCACCGTGAAGGACTGATACCTTATGGCCATCGTTTGTCATTTTTTGCTGGATCTGGGTGGCGCTTTCTCTTGTCTAGTTCTGTTAGCAGATATCACACTTATAGGGTACCGAACACCCAAATCGTTACCTTAACAAAAATAATAGAGGAACCAATGTTCATCAAACCGTATAACTTGCAGAGAATGTCGTATTTATCCGATTCCGAAGGACAATCCATGTACATCTGTGAAATTCCCTTGACCGTGAGCTCCTGCACCTTCAGCTTGATCATGTTTGCGTTAGGTGCAAAAGACATGGCGTATTTCATAACCTTTTCAGGGAAGGTGGCAGAAAATAAGAGGATCTGGATGTTCTGAGGTAGCATCCTGCAAGAAATTATCAGTGATACGCTTGGTAAACTGTATGACTTAGAGGACAGGTGCCGTACTTCTTAACTCGGCTACATTGGTCGCCTAGACCTTGCTGATCCAGCATGTTGTCGGCCTCGTCAATAACGAGGACTCGCAACTGGGATACATCAAATTGACGTCTTCGAATTAGATCCATGACGGTCCCTGGTGTACCAACAACAATGCTCTTGTCGACGCGTCCGTCGCGGGGAATGGAGCTGGGAATAGCAGCTGCCACAGCCAAGTTGGGCAGGAATTGGCCGATATGGCCAATAACCGACTCAATCTGACGAGCAAGCTCACGGCTGGGAGCAAGGAGTAGAGCCTGAGGCTGAGATGGCTTAGTGTGGTCGACGCGGGATAGTACGGTGGTGACAAAGGCTGCCGTTTTGCCGGTTCCAGACTGAGACTGAGCAATCATATTCCGAGGAGGATCGGCGAGCATAAGGGGCAGGGCCTTTTCTTGAACCTTGGATGGTTTCTGGAAGCGCATCGCCGAAAGACCCTTAAGAACTTCTGCGGGACTATCAAATAGATATGGTATTAGCACCTGCTATTGCCTACTTCCACCTCAACGCAATACTCACAGCCCAAGCTCCTCAAAAGTATGAGCAGATCCTAGGGGATTATCTGTGTCTCCCTGAAGGTCACTGAGCTGGACCTCAACATCGTAACTGTTTTCTTGGAGCCTAGAATCATCGGTCTGCTGGGCCTGTCCCTCAGCCGGAGCAGGCTGGCTAATGCGACTAGCTAGATCGGCCATGGCGAAGGGTCACGATATGCGACGCGCGTGGCGAGGTATCGATATAGGCGATGCGCGTAGTTACGATGTTTATGCTCGGAGAGTGTCGAGATCAAGAGATCAAATGCGGAGTTGGGATATCTGGTCGTTCGGTAGCGTCGACGTTGCCGGTTTAGGAAAGAGGACGGAAATGGAGGGGTGATTCTGTGCCTAAGGTAAGGACGACAAAGACGAAGCCTTAGAATATACGAGAATTCTAAGGTTTAGCAAATATGCCCACTCAAGATCTTTGTACCATAAAATGATGGGAAAACGGCGGCAAAGCTACCTAGGTACGTAGATTGCGACGTGCAGTCTACAAGGCACCAACGATGTCTTATAAAAACCGGGATGTAAATCAGATAGAGCTTTTTCCATTGAAGCTGTTAATACAGGTAGGTACTTGTACATAGTAACGTTGGTGGGGCAAATGTGGCTACTTAATACATGTTTAGTGGGGTTATGGAGGAGGGGCACCCCTGAAAAGGTAAGGTAGTTGCCAGCTGGAAGCTTGGATTTTACAGGTGCTATTGACGCGATGTTAATTGTAATTCATAGTACCTAGGTATACCGAATAACCGTGCGTCTACTTTTTAGGCGGTTAGGTACCTACAACCACTAGTTCGTACCTAAAGTGGGCTGTGCTGATACAAGACCCACGAAACGCCAATTAGTACTCGCGCCCTGACCTCTTGGGCCCTGCAACGTCCGTACCCTTTTCGTCATTCTTCAGCCCCCCCAAGGACTAAATAACACATAACGACCTTGCAACAAAATTACGGCTTAAGTTCCGTATTCATGCTATGGCCCTGTTAGATGAGACCTACACAACTACTTCAACCTGCATATTCAATCTTTATCGCCGACCTGTCGATTTTGTGTCTGTATGCCTAGCGGTATCTTCAGTCTGCAATGGCTGAGGTGGAAGCGGTACCAACCTTCGGTACCGAGTTAAAGGTACGATTAATTGCGCGTCACGATATGTTCCCTGTCCCATCTCTATCCATTTCCTTTTCTTTGTGGTGTCGCTAAATTTTTAATATTCGCGATTTGTAGGATGGCTTCAAACCCGCTAATGCTTGGGTAGCCAACGGTATCACATGGCTCGACGACATACAGAGTTTCTACCGAGAACGAAGCGCAATCGAGAAGGAACACAGCGCGAAGCTCAACACCTTAGCGAAGAAGTATTTCGAAAAGAAGAACAAGAAGTCCGCTAGTCTAAGTGTTGGCGACACGCCTGCTATGACACCCGGTTCCCTCGAGAACGCATCTCTGACTATATGGACAACCCACCTTACAACCTTAGAATCACTAGCCGACGAGCATGAGAAATACGGAAACGAACTTATCCAAAAGGTCGCCGATCCCCTAAAACAGTATGCAGGCAGATTTGAAGAGCTGCGTAAGCGTCATCTCGAATATGCTACGAAACTCGAGGCGGAGAGAGAGTCCTCTTATGCCGACCTCCGCAAGACCAAAACAAAGTACGATGCAGCATGTCAAGAGGTGGAGAGCAAGCGGAAGAAGACCGAGTCTGCCTTTGATAAGGCGAAGGCACAAAGCCATTATCAGCAGCAGTTGCATGAGATGAACAACGTCAAGAACACGTATTTGATAGCTATTAACGTGACAAATAAGCAGAAGGAGAAGTACTACCACGAATATGTTCCCGAACTGCTGGACAGCTTACAAGACCTGTCTGAATTCCGTACTATGAAATTAAATATGCTATGGACTACGGCTGCCAATCTAGAGACGGCTATGCTCCGACGGAGTACCAGCCTCGTCGAGAACGTAGCACAAGAAATCACGAGAAATCAACCGCACTTGGACTCTATGATGTATATCCAACACAATATGGGTGCGTGGCAAGAACCGCCCGACAAGGTTTTTGAGCCCAGCCCTGTATGGCACGATGACGATCTCATGGTGACCGATGAACCCGCCAAAATATTTTTACGCAATGTTCTAAACAAATCGAAAGGCCAACTAGGGGATCTCCGACGAGAAGTGGATAAAAAGAGGAGAGAAATTGATAGCGTAAAGCGCATCAAGCAAAGGATACGAGAGGGGACAGAGAACAAGGATGAGGTGCTTGTCGTATCCCAAATTTTTGCCATGCAAGAGGACTTGCATGAAGTCGATCGAAAAAGGCTCACAGCCGAAGTTGAGACCTCAACCATTACATCCGCAGTTGGCGACGTCACTCTAGGCGCCAAAAACCACAATTTCAAATCGCAAACATTTAAAATACCAACGAATTGCGATTTATGTGGTGAGCGGATATGGGGTCTATCCGCAAAGGGGTTTGATTGTAGAGATTGCGGCTATACATGTCACAACAAATGTGAAATGAAGGTACCTGCAGAGTGCCCTGGAGAGCTATCCAAAGAAGAGCGCAAGAAGTATAAGTCGGAACGACAGTCGGCGGCGGGAGCCCTACTAAAACCTCCTACCAACCCGCCAGAACACATTGCCGAACTTCCAGATTTGACTCGATCTAATACTATGAACTCTTTAAGCTCCGGATACGCAGCCAGTGCAAATCGATCAATAAGCGGTGCAACTGTAAGTCCACGTGCCACCGCCACCACCCCCGCCGAAGAAGCGCAATCACCACCTGAGCCTTCGGGTCCTCGGCCCCCTGTGAAGAAAAGTCGCCTCGTCGCTCCGCCACCTGCTGCCTATATTAGCGAGCTACCTGGCAGCTCCGTCAGTAGCGCAGTTGCGAAAAAGGCTCCCGAACAAAAGGGAAAGTTGCTCTATAGTTTCGAGGCGAGCGGGGACGGCGAGGTTACCGTTCCTGAGGGCCGGGAGGTCGTAATTCTTGAACCTGATGGTGAGTCTCACTCTTGAATTTTATCTAAACTTTTACTAACATTGTCACAGACGGATCAGGATGGGTAAAAGTTCGTGCTGGTTATAAGGAAGGGTTAGTCCCTGCCACCTACTTAGAAATCTACCCCCAACCAATTGTGCCCCAAGATACGGGCTCCTCTTCCATAAATAATAGGCCTTCGTCGGTCTATTCAAACTCGGGATCATCCGTAAACACCACAGGTCCAGCAGTCAAGAAGAAAGGTCCGGCGGTCGCGCCACGTCGCGGTGCTAAGAAGTTGAAGTACGTTGTCGCATTATACGACTACACGGCGCAAAGCGATGCCGAGCATAGTATGACGGAGGGCGAAAGATTTGTGCTGATCAAAGATGACCCTGGAGACGGTTGGGCTGAAGTAGAAAAGGGGGGCGCAACCAAGAGCGTACCGGCAAGTTACGTACAAGTAGCAACAGATTAGTAAGGGCTACCTTATACAAAAGGCTTACGTTACGACTGTTATGTTTCATAATAGCTGATAGAAACCAACTGAAGGGTTATAGAGTTTCGACTGCCGATTAGCATTGGATAGATGTGGAGATGTACATATATATGTCGGAAGCAAAGTCGATATCCTGGCGAGAACAGAGCATATTCATTACGGCTTGTACTCGTCGTTTCTGCTGTACCTACCTACCTATTTCCGTGCTAGGGTAATTAGATAGATTGCCCTATGAGAATCACGGTTAGCTTTCGAGAATGGCTTGGATAGAAAACAATCAGAGTAAATAAAGTAATATCAACAAAGCTAGTAGTCCGACTAAAACTGGGAGGCGACACCGTTGCAAGATTTAGGTATTTTAACCTCGGCCATATGATTTAAACTTCTAATGGTCATTCGGTTTCTGGAGCAACGCTGGATTAACAACCGTGATGTGAGGTAACTAAACGACCGATTTGTACTTGTCAGTACCTACCTCTACTCATGCGTACATCTTTTCACCAACGAGGGAGGAACAGTTTAATTCACGCTTGGCATATGATAAAGTTGAGCCGGACAATACAATCTTCACAGCGTGATCATGAGATGGTTTCATACGCGTTGTATACTTGCCACAATGGGCCATAGCTTTATATTTACATAGACATTCGCGGATATCAACAAGAGGATGTCCGGGCCATATACGCGTAATAAACTCAAATATAAGAATTAGTATGTAAACAAGACCTTCGACCCAAGAATTCCCCCCAAAAGTTCAGTCATACAACATCTTCTCAACCTCAGGAGCAACTGCAAGTTCATCATCACATCAACTTACTTACATCTATCCATCGCCAGAGGTTGTTTACAACAATACAATACCTTCTAGACCATATAATTGATTCCAAATTCATCATCACATTAAATCACCTACATCCTTCCATTACCAGAGGTTGTTGACCATAAAACGACATCTTCTCAACCTTAGGATCACTTACAAGTTCATCGTCACGTCAAATCACTTGTATCTCTCCATTACCAGAGGTTGTTCGTATCATAAGAATACAACATCTTCTCGCCCTAAGGATCAAACTACAATTTTATCGTCATATCAAATCACCTACATCAACAATGGAGGATTCTACCGCGCCTCAACAAAAATTCACATGCTTCAAAAACCTACCTCCCGAACTCCGGCTACAGATCTGGGAAGAATGTCTCCCGAGTCGAAGCGTCCCAATGCACGACTCGACACATAGAGACGTCGAAGCGGATCTAGAACATACGGCGCCTCCTGCGGGACCTCTCCCGCCGTTGATCGGGCGCGTCTGCCGAGAATCCCGCGACGTTGCTCTGAAGCACGGTAGTGTACAAAAGACGGCGTTCTGGGACACGCCCGTGTGGTTCAACCGAAAAACCGACCACATCTATATCGGAGCGGACGAGGAGGAACGATGGATGCCGAGCCGCAACGAAGAATCTGCCAACGAGGGGATGGAGCTGCTCGTCCACGACCGAAACATCCCGCTCAGCATAGACAGGGGCATCGTGTTCGTCTCTGATCAAGGGTACCCGAACGGCTACGAATTCGCTCGCTGGACCCTCGAACGCGCCGCCGAGCGCATGGAGTGCAACGTGGTCCTGTCTCATGTCACGATGCACGCCACGCACGAGCAGGCCGTCGCGTCAGGGCTCTTCGGGCACTTCGCCGAAGAGACCCCCGCCTACATCGACATCGAAGACGATAGCAAAATCCAAACTCTAGTCGCTGCCTGCAGCATGCTGTGGGACCAAGAGCTGCCGGCGAGATACAGCGAGCTGGGGCTGGGGCTACCGCGGTTCTCGACGCCACCGTTGCCGCGGCCGCAGACGAACGCCGAGCTGCTCTGGCTCAAGGACAACCTGGTCAAGGCCGGGCCGCGCTTCGACTTGCACACCAGCAGCTTCCAGGTGTGCGCGTGGACCCTCTGGCTCAAGATGCACGGCGAGCTCCCCCCCGATTTCCGCCCGGGGTACTTCGCCGACGGCATGGAGGAACAAGAGCCGTACCGGGCGGTGCTATCGCGGCTCCCGAAGTTCAATTTCGTCGTCGCGGTGCACCTCAAGAAGACGCAAGCGAGGGGCGCGTAGGAGGAACAGCGCCGCCATTTACGCTGGCTGGGAGCATGAGCGAGGAAAGGAAAGGAAAGGGGGAAGTTGGAGAGGATATGGAGTGGCAGGAGTTTAACGGCATCTTTTTGTTTGGTTCATGGTGGAGTAATTTGGGAGGAATATCAGCGTGCTTTGGAAGAATACCAACGTGTTTTGGACGGATATCAGCGTGGCCAGGTTGGATATCAAAGTGTTTAGGTTCGCATATCGATGCATTTGGGGGAATCAATACGGAGAGCTAGACACAGTCTCTAGCAAGGTGCATTGCAGGTCATCGTTATACAAGTTCTCGGGCTATGGAAGCATATCAGTATCATATGGGACGGGTGGTTTGGGGGGGATTCATATATCCTCTACCATCACGGACAAGCGATGTTTTTTTTTTTTTGGAGAGAAAATGAAATACAAGATTCGTTCTTCCTTATTTGTCCTTCTTTTCTCTTAAACTTCGAGCGAGGCAGTCCTGAGTAACCCAATTCAGTTGCCTCGTGTGAATAATGAAAATAGTAGATTTGTAATACTGCAAATGCTAACTCTGATATCGAGTGTAAGAAACGGAGTTCTGAAAACGGCAAAGCTTTGCGGATCTTGTATGTGTTGGTTTAAGCTATTGAGGCTCAATAATTGATTCCCAGTGTGGAATCAGCTATTAAATATGCATTGCAGAGCTAGGTATGGATCATATCATATGCCAGATAAAATAGGCTTTGGACGTTGTGATATCAGACCCACAACTTACAAAAGAGGTATCTAAAGTTTAAGGGGATCTAAAAATACCCGGATATTCCTCGGAGATCCCACTCCACAAATGTCACACCATTTATAAGCTAAAATTACAATCTTGTTTTTCACAAGCAAGATCCGGGACGGGATTCCTCCCACATCTTGCAACTCACATCCATCCTCCGTGGCGCAATTGGCTAGCGCGTCTGACTGTTACTATTCCATAATAACTGTTATCAGGAGGTTGAAAGTTCGAGCCTTTCCGGGGGAGTTGGGTTTCATTTTTTGCATTTTCTTGTCATGTATGTCATAACATACTGACGACGTCAAAACTTCAGGCCTCGACAATAAAAATGGCTAAGCATATCCTTCGGCGCATAAAGCCCATATTGTTTACCGAAGTGGTCAACTGCAATTTTTAATGGCTCTCAGTCAAAATCGCAACCACCCAATTATACCTCAAACCTGAGGTCATGTGTGCGTTCTCACCAACAAACTACGGCGTTTAATATACCTACTTCCTAATCTAACCTAACGAACGTATGCGTTGGGTATGAGCCTTGTTGGTTAGTGTTATGAATCCGTGATAACGAGATTTTACAGATAACTTCTTCCCATGCGGGGCCTTAGGGGGCCTTACAGGGGTCAGAAAATTGTCTATACTAACGTTCAATAATAGGTACGCAGTAGATGCCTACTTTGGCGCTTCATATGTCTGCCGATCCCAAATAAGATCAGGTTGTCTGTCTCGAATTTTGTGTCTACATAGCCGCCGAGGTCTGGTATAATACAACCTAACCTGTAGCCTGCTTCTCTGGTCAATCTGGGCCAATGGACTCTCAAGTTACCCATGCAAAGCGCCTGCGCCACGAACCCCAGCTATGCAGTTAGAACAGCGAATAATTTCGTCCTAATCGTTAACCGTGGGGTGAACTCAATATAAGTAGTTGCCTAATATCCATGAGTTTTGAAATGGTTCTTTTTGTGTTGAACTGCAGACCTTAAACCTTAGACATAACTATTCCAATATGGAGTGGCTTCCAGATTCTGATCCTTTTATAGCCCCTAACCGTCTCCACCAGTTTGACTACGAATTTGAAGTCCGCACTAAGGGGCAGCATTGCAAAGTTATCCAGAACTGGGGATCGGATGCAGTAGGTGAACCAGACTCGGAGGCTACACTTAAAACAGTTCTAACACGCATGATAGACTCAGAAGTCTCAAGTAATTGACTTACCAGACCATGAAAGTTGGGAGAATTGGATACGGGTAAGACTACATTGACTCTGGCATTGACATCGTTGTCACTCTTCTCATCTAAATTGATGGTTAGCTTACCTTTGATTATTCAGACTTTGCCTTTCATTCGGGATGGCTTCTCCGTTGACCGATTACCTGAGAATGGGTTTATAATCATGTGCGTTCCTATTACTTCCGCCTCTAAATAAAATACTATCTCTTAGGTACCTCCTACTTACAAACGTTAAAATCATGCAGCTGCGTTCCCCGTGCGGAAGATGTTCAACTCACGAATTGTGCTGTGCCTGCGGCATACACAGACATCCCCATAGACAAGGACTGTTCGGAGAGTTTTGAGAAGATACTCAGGGCCTTTCACTTACCTGGCCACTTCCCAATGCTCGCGGTAAGACGGCAAACCTCAATGACCTCGGTAGCTCGCACACACAAGTTTCCCGAAGGCCCAGAGGGAATTTGGATGCACACTGCATCCGTAAACTCGGATTCCAACGAACACTCATTTGCCATGGAGGCAACTTATTTCGAGAAGAAGAAATTGACACTGGCTATCATGTTCTGCTGTTCAGACGATCAGGTTAGACATGTTCGCGCGCTCGTAGACCTTAATCACGACGCCATAGGATACCCATTTCTCATGTTGAGCATCTATATCGAGTTGCAGCACGAACGTCTTGCCCAAATGATCCGTACAAGGCATACTCAATTCGACAATCTCATGGGAGAACGAGCGTTCCAGGAAGCGAAGGAAATGAAGGATCGTTTCAGTTGGGAAACTATCCATAAGGTTAGGTCGACCCGAGAAGCCATCCGGAAGGTCGAGGTAGAAGTTGAAGCCACGAAACTCCATGCGCATAAAGTTCTCTTGGATTTACAAATGCTTGAGAATTCTAAAGACGAGCGTTTGACGAGAGTGACAAAGACGATCACGGAGCGGTTTAACGATATAATTATGACGCTCAATGGCCAAAGCTCTAAGTGCCGAATACTTGTTGAGGATATCTCATTCGCTACCGACATAGTAGGTCATCCCCCCCTATCTTCTTGAATTCCAAGCACAGGTAATATGTGTTTATAAGTTCCCTTTACTTACATACCTCCTATCTTCAGATGAGGAGTGAGTTATCAAGGCAAGAAGCCCAGACCAGTGCCGAAAATGCAAGATTTGCCACCGGTATCGCTTTCATCGCTATGATCTATCTTCCCCTATCAACTACAGCGGTATGTTCTCAGATAATAGGGGTACTAGGCACCGTAAAGTTTCTAACTGACAGAACAGACCATATTCTCTATGCCCATTTTTCAGTGGTCTAATGACTGGAGAGATTCACTATATCGCCCAGTGGATAGTGGAGACACGTCAAATACAGGAGGCTCTGGCGGTACGCCGGGGTCACCGGTAGTATCGGGTTATATCTGGCTCTACATTTCGATCACCATTTGCCTAACCGTCGTCACTTACGCTGCGCTCAAGGTATACATGAAAATATGGTTCAGCGGGCAGCGCACATCTATACTTCCGTCGGTGCCTGGTTTTTCATTTTCACTATTTACAAGGTACTGAAGCCCAAATTCCCCATCGACAAATAACTATCCAAAATAGCTTTATTAATGATTTTCAATTACTTTATATTCTATTAGGCTGTTTCAAGAAAAGCTCACTCCTATCATAGCCAAAACTCGCACAAACAGCAATTATCGGACTACAAATCCTCTTCCTAGGTGAATGGGCAGGGCCTTTTCGATAATACACCTTTGGGAAATCTACATGTCCCTATAGGTAGGACACAATCTACCTGATCTGGAGCCCTTAGTACCAAACTGATACGGGGAGTTGCCGTTCTCGAAAGGGGGTTGTTGACTGGCGAGCTTGTGAACTTGAAGCCAAATTATTCAGCCTTAACCTGTATAACGATGGATATTTGACTAGGTGTTGGGGATATGTAGGATAGGTGGGTAGAACAGGGGCTTACTGGTCAAGTATATAGGGGGTAGCTGGCTCCCTTTCTAAGGATAGCAGGCTAGGCGCTATTAGTTCAAACCGATATATTATATGTACGACTTTGGCATTCAATTTGTATGACATTTATGGGGCGTACACATCCTGATATCGATCTTGTTAACCTTATACTAACATCTCTTGGTTAAGCGAAGGGTAACAACTTAGATGAACAGTAGGCGCGATAAGATGTGAATGCTGTGACCCTACTTATATCGTTACTAATTAGACACTAGAAAAGAGCGTTGCTCAGAAAGTGCTTGGAATAGACTATAAGGGGCAACGAGAAGTCGACTCTAAGGATTTCTTTCACTCATTTACTATAATAGACAGGGCCTCTTCGATCTCCTAGATACTCTGCTGAATCAAATTGATTCTAATCTTAAATAAAAGTCTACTAATCGACAAAAGCTGCCCACTTTCTGGATGTGTTACTTTCAAGCCCTAAAGAGCACTACAGAAGCGTCTGTCAGTAAGCCAAAAGACTGCGTGAGCAAATACTTCCCACTCTTCGAGTTGTTTTAAACTTGAAGAAGTCGTCTTTAAGTATTATGTTTGTCTTAGGTTGTTGCATATCCGCTAAAGACATATAAGACGAGGAGCCGGAAGATGCAATGCAGCCCATAACATCCCACCTAATAGTGCCAACTTACAGAGTGTCGTTGGTGAAATCGTTTACGCACTCGCTTAAGACATGCATACATGTGAATCCCCACAGTTTGTGTGAGCTCTATACATAAAACCTTATAAGTATAAGTCCGAGACAATGGGCACCTGCTTAGCTTGCTTAACAGGTACTGTATCTTCCCGTGCCAAGAAGAGGGGTAAATAGCTTATACTCGACACTACTATACTTGGTTATGTTAGATGTTTATAATACGCTCTATAGTGGCGGGCTAACAGCTATGGACTTAACTTCTTAGCACTACTGCCATGAACATATCCCGAAGACTACAGAGTTATATAAATCAAGACTCATGTATCTATCCCTCAATGTACTTTGGACTAAATTAGTGGTTGCTGGGTTGTTATTCAAGTAGATACATGATACAAGTTCAAGACGTGCTTTGTGGTGATGGTCTATATTATAGAAGATGCAGGGTAGTCCCACACACCCTTTATGAAGAGACTTTAAGTACCAGATACTTCAAAAATGTGTATACTACGTCCTATCAAGCTATCATAGACTCAACAACTGCCCCTTAAGACCATCTACCGAACATAGATGTACCTCTCATGCACTCAAATTCCCTGGAACTAATCCATATGGCTTTCTTCGGGACCAGAAACTTAACGTACTAGAATAATAGACTAGAAGTGGTGGAGATGAGCGTCATCGCGATACCCCGGCTCGTGAGTTTATCAGAACCTATCGACCTAGTTTTTCGGAACATTGATCCAACGCTGCTCTGCGCAACGTTATCAAGCTTTACGACGAGCTTATCTAGTAATGAAGAGCATTTCCTGAAATGAAGCTGTTGCGACTCTAGGTATTCAGCATCGGCTTTCGGGACCGACGATTACTTGAGTCTTGGAGTTGGGGAGAAGATTTGGCATTTTATTTCCGCCGGGCTAAAGATGACTACTCCATCTATCATCATTCACCCATAGCCTCGATCGATATCAATAGCTACAGTATTCCAATTACCCAAATCATCGCGTAGTTAACATAGCACATGAATTATCATGTCCATGGGGATAAAATGCCAACGGCAACGCTCAACGTGTCCTTGGCCCGTGGCCACACAAAAGGGGGTCTGACGCGTCCTTCTGACGAGCGCTGTGCGTAATAATCTGTCGCACAAGATTCGACTACCCATAACCTGATATGCCAGATTTTCTTTTTCTGTTACCCAACTAAAAGTCCTACGAAATTTTAGCTCAGTCCAGATAAGCGTTGCGTAAGTCAGGGTTGGGTTTTAGTTATCAGATCATGGAATTAACACAAAATGTGGCTTGCCAAGAGATTCAGAAACCGTAGAACCTTTGACGATGGACGAATCAACGTCGCCGCGACCCTTCTAACTAGGGATGAGGGATGAATGGCTTTAAAAAAAAACGTCCTAAAAAGCAAGCCGTGGCTAATGCGCGCTCACGCACATACGCACACAAGACATATAGGTATCCCTGGTCCTGGGTTCTGCCCAGTGGCAGATACTTCCGCGGTGTCATAGCAAATGCGTTATTAAGCTAGTTGCTAGGCATGTATAACGGTCACCATAACGCACACGGCTTTGTGAATCGAGGCATGTGCTGTCGTCATCAGAGACTAGATACGCATGGGAGGAGAAGTGAGGCCTCCCAGGTGAGAGGAGTCAGACGGAGAATTCCATGGGTTTTTTAACAAACAAGTCAGAGGTAGTTTACGGGATTGTTAGGCATGATTATACGGAGAGTAAGGAGGCAGTTGAAATAACCTATTACCTACCTGGTACGTAACGTAGACCAATATAGACATTAGGTAACTAGAAACATATCTACGCAACTTCATGTAAACAACTAGGTAACTAGATATTGCCATTAATAGCGAATGGCTCACGCCATCGCAGAAGCCCCGAGACATTCGGACAAACAAAAACTACGGAACTCGACGACGCCGCCGCTTGTTTCTGCCAACGGCGCCTGGGGCCTTGGCCATCTTGGGCCCCGTAGGGTAAGCAGGAGAAGGTAGGTATTCGGGGCACACAGGCCCCGGGGGTCCGATTCCCCAGATCGTTTGCTGTAGGGTGCAGGTGTGATATCCCCTCGTCACACGCCGCGTCTGCGCAAGCTAGGTCATCTGAAGGAGAGGCTGATGGGGTCCGCGCCGATAGGTGCGTTGCGTTGCGCTGCGTTGCGGGCAAACGTTTCGTGGGGATATAAGATTCTCATGTAAGCCCAAACCCGCGTCATCAGCTAGGTAGTTAGTGGTCCCTGATAGGATCACCGAACGCCGTCTTGTCCTTTTTTTTTTCTCGCGCTTGTTTGCCATTGCTCCGGCTCCTGTTATACATACATACCAAAATTTTAGCGCACACACAAAGCCCGGATAGCTCCGCGTTGGGATCGTAATCCTGTCAGCCGCCTAAAGCGAGATGGATTCGCCGGTCAGTCAATGACAGGCCGGGGCCAAGACCGGATTGGGTATGACAGAAGAGCAGCCCCGGGGCAAAACTAGAAGAAACAGTCCGTTTTCGACCTTGTCGATGAAGAAAAACTTGCGCAATCCTCCCTCTTTTGAAAATGTTGCGACGCGACAAGGACGTAAGGGGGTTCAACATCGCCTTCTCCAGTTCGATACCGAAGGATTGGGTAGAGTCAAGGCTTCGTCATGGCATCGAGGCTTATTTTACTAGAATTGGCCGTCTTTCGCTTGGCTCGCTGCAAAGAATGGATATACACTCCTTGGATGCGGATACGGCGTGCAGTGCGGATCAGGCAAGTACCGGCGTTGGGACTGTCTCGTCTTGTCTTAACTGTCTGCGCCGTAAAGTACTCATGCAGCCAGCCACTGACATGTGAGCATCCCCCCACGCTCATGCTCGTCATTTACGGTCGCCCTTCACAATTAGATGATGTGTGTGTCTCGAACATAGCCGTTTACGACTGTGATTGGATAAGATGATAAGATGATAATTATGCTTGTTTTAAGTGTAGTGAGTCTACCCTGCGGCTCCTTGACTGGGTTAGGTACCTAGATAGGTAGGTCTGGTATGCAGTCTTAATAGACTTGGCCAAGTCGGCCTTAAGATAAGGTAGCTTTCTGTCACCCTTGGGAAAAGATCTACGATTCGATTCGATACGACACGATCTGATATTACGACTGCGCCTAACGGCTCTTATTGTCGAAAAGGCCAGGGGTCAAGGTTTGGTTTCCTAATGAAATGCAACCTATGTAATGCATTGGTAATAGGGAGCGGCCCCACTGGTTGTCTAGATGTTACGCCGTGGTCGTAAGAGAGTTTTACCAATAAGGCATGTACAGAATGCGCGATGATGGATACTTGGTCGCAGATCGCTGACGTGCTAATGTGTGCTCCACAGGTTGTGGGATGGCTATTTCCTATCCCCCGTGTTGATCAGGTCTGGATTTACAAGTGCCTCGGTCCTTTGGAAACTATGTCGGACTTCTTGTGCGTCGTGATAAGTCATAGTTCAGAACTTGTTAGACTGTACTAGTCAACGTTTCGTACCGGGGCATTAATAAGTTCGAGTAAATTCGATATATTTGTATCCTAAATAAGAGACACGTGACGTGTCAATGTCTACGTAGATCGATAATCGTAGTACGAATTCTACCAAACGCCCTCAGTTCCAGGTAGCTAATAGCTGGTGTAAGATGGTATATCCAATAGCGCCGTCTACGCCAAGTAAAATCATAGGTGATAATAGATCATCTCAAGTCTCTCATAGATACGTAATGGAAAAGAAACCCGAAATCACCAACCGAATTGTTCGCAGTGAACCTCAACTGCAGGTCCGTCAACCTTGATGTAGCTAGCCCCAATGTCGCGGACTATCTTAGTCAAGCTACTAGGTCCACAAGCAGCGATGAGGACTCGTTGATCATTACTCAGAGACTCAACTGCAGCTCTGATTTCGGCCTCTGTGTCGGGCCGACCATGAACAATGGGTAACATTGTAGTGCTTGTTGCCGCTGAGGGGATCTCCTGATGGCGCATCGCTTCCATATCCTTTTCATCTTTGTCGGATTCATACCGAGTAACAGCCGAAGAGCCAGGGCCGCTGATGGCGAAATTATCATTGCCCCTTTCCAGGTTTGAAGGTTTCATATCTGCAGAGGCAACTGACGTTGACCGTCGTTCTATAGAGTCGTCTCGGTTAATGGACGACGAGGGCGCGAATCTTGTAAGATGAAGCTTAAGGGCGATTTTGGGGGCATGGACATGATTGCTAAGGTTTTGAAGGTGTTGCGTAAACCACGATAGATTTTCTGTGTGCGAATTAGTATGCTGATAAACTTGTTAATAAGGGTGTTGGCCTACCGTGACCCTTGACAGCCCAGATAAAGTCAATTCGTTGTTTAGAGTTTTCAGACATTCGTGCCAGCATATCAGCTGCCATTCCGAACGTGAACGTTGCGCCAGAGCCACCTGCAACCAGAACGACTCTGTCGAAGTCCATAGGATCGGGTAATGTGCCGTAAGGACCTTCTACCGAGACCTTAAGACTGGCTCCGGGGTTTTTTAGTGCGTATTTATGAAGAGCCTTAGTAAAGCCACTGTATGTGTTGATGACGAGTTCCATAGGTTCATTCGCGACAATGGTGAAAGGATGAGTTTCAAAGGCGCGAATTCGTGGTAGCCAAACATAGCAGTGCTTTCCGGGTCGCGCGCGTAGTAAGGGCTTCTTGAGAACTATTCTCGTACCGCCGTTCGGGAGAGCGTAAACATTGGCTTCGTTGTTGATGCTGTTATACACAAGTCGACAGAACCGAATAAGGCGATCGGCAAACCATAACGCACCAATAATTACGGTCGCGTATAATGTCCTGTCAGGATTGAAATTGGGACGATGCAGACCCAGGGTAACGACAATAACGACAAAAAGGGCCACATGTATGACGTAGAAGAGTTCATACTTAATATGCCTCAGAGTCATACCGGCGAGGACAGAGAACAGCAGGGCAAACCCAAGGATGATGCCGGCAGTGACAATATCCAATCGGAGGATGTATACCATTCCTTCTTTGAAAAAGTAGGCCGTGTAGATAGCGGCATGTAAAATGGTGTATAGCAATGTGGTATATCCGGCAGTTTGATGTAAGACATTAAGTCGTTCATAAGAGTAAGCCGTAAAAATCGCTAAAGGTGTATTCTTCAGTGCGAGGAAGACTACCAAGACCATATTACCTGTTGCCATCCTAACATATCACGTATTAGCGGTGAAAATGGAAGCAGTGATATAAGAGCTTACCAGCCGAACCGGGCACATAGGTCCGTAGCCTTGCTATAATCGACATTGTAGAAGCTAAACAGGACATTAAGAGCCACATAGGCGGTCACCAGGACGGCATGCCCGACAGAGGTAAAGCCAGGTAGACTTTGTATAAATGTTCTCCTGGAAACTCTAAGGAAGTTATTAGTTCATAAAAGCCTGCATTTCGTATGACAGGTGTGCTTACCTTGCAATGGCAACGAAAGGTAGAAAGATTGGCTTACGAGACCAGCCAAGTCTGATAGCTAATAAATGAAGCCAATGAGAAATGATGAAGACGCCGATGAGGGCACTCAGTCCTGCTGCGTAGTGCACCAACACTTTCGCGTTCCTAATTTGCCGCTGCTCTAAATATACGTGGAATGCAGCTTCTGCGACGGCTTCTGCCGACGCCGACCCGGTTGTTGGTGAACTCATAGTTTCAAAGGTGGTGATGACCTCGGGGTTGTTTGTCGGTTCGTTGAACCTACAGTGAGAACCCCTTAAGAAACGAAGGAGGGGAATACGTCTTATAAAATAACAATAGTATAGTGTGTTATCAGTAGTATACGCAAGTACGCGTCTGAGTTGAGGTACACCTTTATTGTACGTATGTAGATCGGGACCGAGTGGAGAGCCGTTGACCTGATGTCAGAGTCTTCAAAGGATGAGGCGGATCAGCTAATAGGCCACCTTGGAAGCGGACGTAATCTATCAACTTTTCTGAACGCAAACATTCTTGGCTCGGAGGAGAAAGTGAATGGGCGCAGCCCGAATTATATCATGGCCAACTCTCTTGCTAGTCCCGCCGGAGTCGAAAAAGTTGGCGAAGCACATGTCTGTGGCCATGGTCTCGCACAAGTTATCAGAGACTACGTTTTACTGGATCTTTATTCCCAAAGGGGAAGTACCTTTTTCTGATACTCGGAAAACACCATGATCAATGATTCTACATGCATGCAAACAAACAAGTATCGGACAGGGGCTTGATGGCTCACTGGTAATGGTGAGGCGGTCCCGTTCTTGTAACGAGGAAGTTGCATTTTGGAGTGAAGATGATACAGTACTACGTTCGGAGGTATAACAGTAAGCCTCTTACGAAATGTGATTCGCACGGGTGACTAAGGTATGTAGACGTATGTGGATAGAAGTATGTAGATGGAGCAAGATTGCGATTATGAAGCCGAAGTGACATGGCTACTTGCAGCTCGAGGTCCAGGTTGGCGGAGCTATAGACTAGACGGGATTAATAAGACAGTATACTACTAGTCAGGGAAGGAGAAGGAAGAATATGTGGGCTGATGTTCTAGACCCTGAAGATTAGGTAGCTGTGCTTGATTTGACAGGTAGATGTCAAGTTAGGTTAGGTAGTGAAGAGTGAAGAGGGTGAAAAAATAGGTTGAAGATGATGAGAGTGAGAACAAGGTTACATGGTAGTAGAATATTGTGGATTAGGTACCGGCTTATCTACCCGCAAGTACTGTATACATGCATATGTATGTACCTAACCGTAAGATAGGGTTAGGTAGGCTAGCAGGGGTCTTAATTGGAAGGCTACTGGGTGTCTGGGGGTTTTAGTTTAGTGCCCGAGTTGGTGGATCACAACAACCAATTCCCCCCGTTCCGTACCCCCAATAGAGGAAGTTAGGTTAGGCTAGGTCAGGTACGTAGCAGTTGCTCTACTTTCATGCTTTGCAGCCCTAGTGGGCTTTGCTGCGATTCGTCCCATTCCTTGATTTCTTTCCCTTTTCAAACACTCTCCTTCGATTTTCCCTTGGTAACTCAACTCTACGAAATCTGACGAAATCTTACGATAACTTTGGTAGTCAATCCCAAACCAGCTATGCTACTGTCGGAAGTCAAGGGTACATAATTTGGCTAAATCCATCGCCTCTATCAACCTTGTCGAAATTCCGGACGATCCACAGCCGTAGAAAGCCTTTCTCTACAGCTCGTACCTAAGAAGTCTTTTTACCTACCTTTCGGTGGGGATTTCCCGTACAAGGATCGATGCCTCTTACCATGTACCTGTGAGTGTTCCTAGAAATCGACGCCGCAAACGTTTTTTTAATCCTACCGTTGAACTGTGTATATGGAATCCCTACGAACTCTAGCTGGGCAACAGCTTATTACCGATCTAGATATTCCGGTGTCCGTAGCGTAGATTCTTACCGCGATACCACTACGGTGCCTGGTTCCTCGGACAACCACATCACGTCTCTATCATATGGCGTAAAATAGCAAAACCTTCCGCTATTCATCCTCGTTGAGTTAACTCTCAAGATACATGTGTCACTGCTACCTAAAATCCGTCTCTCAAGTTGCAAAACCAGGGGTCGGATTGCGCTGTTTCCCGGGCCGATGCACCTTCATAGGACGTCCATCGAATAGGATAGACTTGTTGAGAGGTCAAACGCCATCTCTGGATCAATCAACATTTGTGGCCGTGGATCCTCATTCTCCACGTAACATCCTGATTACTAGGTCTCTGGGGCCTTTGCGAATTTTGATGCGTGTCCCCTAGGTCAGCATGAAGCATGAGGCATGCCTTTCGGCCGGAAAATGTTTCGTTTAGGCCGTGTAATCTATTTCCCTTATGTCTTTGGCAATTTGCTAGGCGGGCCGAGATCGTGTCAGCTACTTGTCAGCATGTGGTTTTTCATGTGAAAAAAACAACACGTCTCGCATTCGCTAGTCATTATATGCCTCTTGATATGTTCCACTTACACTGCGACAAGTCTAACGATAAGGCATCGAGAAGCGCTCATAGTCTCCACCGCGGCTAACATATCCCGACTAATCAACAAGGAGTACTCCCGCTCTAGTTGGGAGGAGCGTTCTTACTGGCTCAAGAAGCGATGTCTAATCGTTCACCCCCTGACAACTATATACTATACGGCAGTCGAAGAGAATCATTGTAACAGTGGCGGTTCAACTCCCAACCTTATCGCGGGCCAGGCTTCGATCCTCTAACGGACAAGGCTAGCTAACACAATAAACCCTGGTTATGACATGCTCGCCTGTCTCTGCTACATTTTACGAATTATTTCACCGACAAGCCGGATTAGGCAGTCAGTATCAAGAAAGAAAGAAACCGATAATCTTATTTAGAACCAGTCCGAAAGGAACGTAGCCTTGTCTCTTGGCCGATTATGTATGTCTAGTCCAAGAGGATTGATCTTACTTTAAAAACTACCCCCGACCTAACCTACACCTAAACAATATATTGTATAATACCAGGTAGGTTACCTAGGTAGGTGTGAGGTACATAAAGCTATGAGGCTCTTTGTGCTTCCAACACAATCTCTCCGATGATCTAGATCAGGACAGAGATTGGAGGTTGGACACTCTGTCAAAAAAGACATATGATTCAATCTGTCATCGGGTTACGCGGTTGATTCAACAATAACCTCAACGCCTTCATCTAGACAGTAACATCATATGCGCAGTTCAGTCTTGCCAACTCGATATTTCTATTTATCTACCTACCTCTAACCTAGATAACTACCTAGGTACCTACTCATTCGCCCTTATACTAGTCATCAGCTTCAATAGCGTAGATACGTTCGTTATTGGCGTGATACCAAGTTTCTTCGAGATACACCAACGTTTATTTATCATTTCTCCAATATTCTTCACTGTATGAGAGTTAACAGGTACCTAGGTTACGTATGCATTGAATTAATTTGAAATGATATCACGCAAGCTGCATTGAAACCTTACAAGGGAAAACTGTCGTAGGGAAGCGTCCTATCGAATTTTACCGGACGATAATCTGGGGAAACCATGAAGCCTAAGTATTGCCCCGGATTAATAAATCTTGTAGCTGCATGACAGTTCCCGGACGCTTTATATATATATTGTTGTTGACGTCGTGGGATTAGCAGTCGTTGGAGCGGAAACCGGCATGCCTGCAATGCAAGCTTAACTGCACTTCTCACGACAATTAATTGCGTTCCATGCTCCCGGTCGAAAATGCGCTCCTACTATCGGGATCTCTTGGCTATGCGACATTTACATAAGCGATTGAGCTTGTTTAGACAAAGGCTTTGAACACCTGAATACCTACATTGACAATACGAGCGAAAGGTGGATGGTACCACTTCCACCTAGTTCCCTCATGTATGCTCGGGTGCATAACATGGTAATGCCGCTGTCCATTCCGGTCCTTCAACCGCGGAGAGATGCTCCGCTATCGAAAACACCATGCTCTCTTCATCCGTGCATAACCAACTTTGAGTTGGCTCCCGAGCCAATTATTTTTGGATATACAGTTACATAAAGGGGTGAAAATCCAATGTGTGAACCAAAAGACACATGAATTTTGAGGGGTTGGAGATGTACCTCCGCAACCATATGGCCACCCTTTGTCAAGGATTTGCGATCCTTGTTCTGTCAGAAGGTCCTTTTTCTAGGCTCTCTTTCAGAACAAGCTCGAGTTACATGGCGGCGTGTGAGATATTTCCTTAGCGAGTTTTCCCCGCATCATGACAACGGCCGCTGCAAATCGATCTTGCAGGACTCCAGAAAACTCCGACAAGATTAGCCCTACATCTATGCAAGAGTAATGAGAATGTCCGAAATAAGTAACACATAATGGCCGGGGACGGCCCGAAGTGGAACATTCACGCGTGAATGACCAAGAAGCACGGCATCACGACGGCGTCCGATTTTTATTTTTCAACCCAAGACACATACATGTTAGGCAAGTATGTAAGTATCAAACTGCAAACTATACATGAAATATTTCATTAATGCATTACCTAGATAACCATCTACTAATCAAACCGAAACTTACGAGTAAACCGATAAAAGAAACACTATGAAGACTGAAGATCACCACACCCAAACGCCTAGCTATGTGGACTACAAAGTACCCTCTTTTCCCCGACCCTACCTACCTAACTATAGGTGTCACTCGGCCGCTTTGTGATGTATCAGCTATTGACCGCTCCGCATTAAGACCGCGTAGCGAGGACTACCATCTCTCACGACATCAACAGAAACCTTTCAGACGCTACTCCCGTACCAATTAGCGCGCCTCTTGGAACGTCGGCCTGGGCAAGTTAAGAGGAGACAAGTACTCGTCAGACGCAGCCCTGATAGCCTCTTGGGTTGGTTGGTGAGGGCATTGAAGAGCGATCACGTCAAACCTGTTAGCGCAGTCAAATATCCTACTCAACAATTCACGACGATGCACCCGGAAGCTCTGGGTCTCTGAGTCGACCCGTTTGCTGATCTCGGCTTCGTTGTAGATACCGTAATCCTTGCGCACCTCCATGTCGATCTGTTCGTCGGATTTCGCCATTTCCAGCTTCACGTTCAGGGTGTCATTCCTGACAACCTGCGTCATCAGCTGGGTCTCGAGCATTTGCTTCTCGGCCACAAGCTTGAGGCCCCACAGACGGGCGCCGAGCGCTTCTCCGGGTTGATCCCCGATCTGCTTCTCCAGATTGGCAAGCGCGTCTTCCGCCCTTATGGCCGTGTCGTCGTTCCCGAGGCTGTTGTAGAAGGCGACCACCCGCCTCCTTAACTTGCCCATATCTCGTCGCACGTCGGCCACGGCCGCGTAGAACTCCAGGAGGTTATGTTCGTCGGCAACTCTAGCCATCCAGTGGGCCAGGAGTTCTTCGCTCTCTTCGCTTAACTCCCCGTTGGTCGCCTTGGCCTCCTTAAGCTCTCGAAGTAGCTTGACAGTGTCGAACTGGTAGTTCCCGTTACCTGAGCCGTCACTAGTACCGTCAGATTCTTCATTGCCTGATCCGCTGCCCGGCCCGCTGCCTGAACCATTATCAGAGCCGCTACCAGGACCGTTACCTAATTCACTACCTGGTCCATTGGTTGATCCGCTACCTGGGCTGTTTGCTGGACCATTACCTTTGGTTGCCATTTCATCGAGCTGCCTCTTGAGGTCGGCAACCTCATCTTCAAGGCGTCTGTTCTCGTCCTTCAGAGGCTTTTCTCTGGCCCGAGCCTCGTTCAATTGGTCTCTAAGATCCTGGATCTTCTCATCCTGCACGTTGCGGCCCCTATGACAACCTTGCAACTCAGTTTCTTGCTTGTGGTTTTCCTCTTGCAGCCGTTCCTCGCGGTCCCGAGCTTCTTTGAGTTGAGTCTGCAGTAGGTCTCTGTCTCCTTCTAGCTTTTCCAAGTTCTTTTGTGCCTGGGCTTTGTCCTCTCCGAGTTTTTTATTGGTCTCTTCTAATTTAAGGAGCTCGTCCTGGGCTGTTGAATAGTCTTTTTCAAGCTCTTCGATCCGGGCCTTGAGCTCCTTATCTCTAGTCGAAGACACGACCGAATTTTGCTGCTCAAGTTCATCAATACGGGCCTTGAGTTTATCCTGAGCTTTCGAATGCACTTCCTTTAATTCCGCAATTTTGGCCGCCAGTTGATCTTTTTCGGCAGAATGGGCTTTCTTTAGCTCTTCAATATCTTGATTGAGCTTCTTTTTTTCGGTTATATGCACCGAAATTTCTTTCTCGAGCTCTTTAATGCGGGCCTCAAGATCCTCCTGAGCTTTTGGGTGTGCTTCCTCTAGCTTTGCAAGCCGGGTCGCAAGTTGTTCCTTTTCGGCCGCATGGTCTCTCTCTAGTTCTTCGATCTGCGCCCTAAGTTCGTTTTGCATCGTTAAATACTCCGTTTCGAGTTGTTTGATCCGAGCATTGAGTTCATTTCTTTCTATCGTTTGATCTTCCTTGAGTGTTTGGAGCTCTTCATTCAGTCGGGCAATTTCCATATCTCTCTCACGTCTGTCTACGACCCTTTCAAGGGACTTCTTAGCAACATGCCGTACCAATTCCTCGTTCTCTGATACGACGTGGTTGAAGTGGGCGATTGAAACTTGGGTCTCCCCGTTGAGTTGCGTTTTCAGACCTTGGAGCCATTCGCCGTTACGTATCCTTCGGATACGCGCCATCATATGTTCGTATTCCTCGTCCGTGGCTTTTCGGCCGGTCTCAGACTCCCAGCTTGCGACTCGCCGTTCGGCTTCTTTCTCAATGTCAGCTTCAATGGAATCCTCGTCGGGAAGGACACCTTTCTCTTTAGCCTGGGAATAAGCCGTGATAACGTGATTGTCAAAGGGGTTAAAGCTAGGGTCAGGCAGAGAAAACCCACTGAGGATATTGTTGGATGGGGTGTGTCCAGCATTTTCCGTATTTCCTGATGGCCCTGCATGGCTGGAAGGGCCTGCAGGGCTTGAAGGCCGGCCCGAAGACATGGTTCTAAAAGTTTGGATAGCAGCGTATGAATTTCCTTTTGAATTACCAATCAAATATTGAATGTTAAACGTAGCCAGACTTATTGGGCCAATATTTCTTTCTTGTTGAGCCAAGGGCTGATCGCGTGAAATCCGTGGGGGATGATGGATATGAGACGAAAGACATAATGCTACTTAACTACTATATACTTTTCCCCCCTTAGAAAAGGCTTCTATGGATATTCCTACCAACCCGTCTACACAATGAGCCTTTCCAAAGACGACGAACGTGTTGTGGAACAGGGTCCTTGCTGCCGTCTTCAAGATTCATACAATGCGACATGGTAGTATATGAGATTCAATTGTGTTTAATATAGCTTTGTATAGGGCTAAACAAGAGCATAAAGAATCAAGAGCATTGTATCGGACATTGAAGCTTCCTGAAGCGAAACGAGCGCAAGACAAAGGATTGTTATTGTTAGAGCAGCATAAGGAATAATAGGTTAGAATCTGGCAAAGCTTCTAGGTTAGCCATTCTAAGGTTATGCTTATATGGGGATAAGAAGATGCAAAGTGCGGATAGAATCGTCGCGCCTCGAAAATTCCAAACCCTTCGTAGAGACGGTATATTAAATATTCGGGTTTAATCCGTAGCTCATGGCTTCGTTTCGGAGCCCCTAGATTACATAGGTACATATGTCCTTTCTACAGAGGAAAGTGATAATGCTTTTATTTTAAAACCCACACAGGCAAAACCTCAAAACTATCTGGCCTACTATAGCTGGAGGGGAAAAAGTCTTTATTATTCTAGAGTTGATAAACGTAACATCAGACGCCTAAAACGCCAAGGTAAACTGGCTCAAAAGAAAAATATCTCCGGAATCTATCCTATGTGCTTTCAAGGTACCTACCTGTCCTACAGACATGAGATAAGGAGGAAACCTCGATATAAATGACAGGTATCTAAGGTCAACACCATGCGGCCTATACTATATTTCATTTTCTTGAGATGGATAGGATATAATTCTACCTATGTACCTTAATCTTAGGCTTTGAATACTCTACCTATGTTCATTAGGTATCGCAACAAGAACTAGGCGGAAAAGGGGTAGGTAGGCATTTTAAAGTATTAACCAAGCCGCTTAATCAACCAATGTGCTGTTCAGGTACTAAGTCTACGCCTTATGCCCATAGTAGGGAATATCTAGGAGTTTCTATCCCGACCAATCTGGGACGGTATTGACTGAGTGAGAGTGAGCCGCGGTGGCGGGATAGGTATACATATCCACACGTTCTCATCATGTTTTAAGCGCTGTCGTTTCCAGGCCTAAAAAGATATAGGTGCCTATATCATGATACGCGCACCTTACTAGACATATTGTCCCCAGTCTCCAGCACACTGTGTCCTGGTGCTCGTTGAAGATAATTGGCGCGTCGTTCCACGTAAGGGATGAGCTTCGACCCCTACCTAATCCAGAGCATTTTTTGAACACTAGCGATCATCACCTCTAGTTCGATAGTTACCCGCCGGCCATAATGACTCACTTCGCAAGGTATACCCAGTAACCGGGATTTATGTCCTATTCACGCTAGGTAGGGTAGGGTAGATGGCTTCCAACCCCCTTTTCTAGTTCCCTCCTTCTCCATTGGCGGGACAAGGCCATATACAAACCCCGACCAGCGTTCTGTGTCTCCATACCACTGGCATGGTTGTCTAGCGCCAAAAAAATCAAGAACTATAATCTATTGGCATTGATGTGCGAAATTTGATGTCGGCTCCGATCGCAACTCGTCAACTTACGCACATAGCACCTAGGTAGTAGGTAGTGTTGACAATTCTTTGTCCGGCAAGCGCCGTGGGTAGGCAGGGAGGCCCAATAGCAGCAGAATCTATGCAAGGAACGGGCTTCGGCTGAACCGAACCGCCGTGGTTGACTAGCCCCGGCGCCGACAGTATGGTGCGGGACTGATGGTTGGGACAAAGAGGCTTGTTTCTGCGGTAGGTTAGGTAGTTTATCGAGGGCAAGGGCGCTGATGTGGGAATTTCTTTCTTTCTTTTATTGGGAGTGATCGCTTAATTTCGCTGGACGGTACATAACTAAGGTACCTAAGTTAGGTGCTTATGTTCTTTGTAGTGTTGTTTACATTATGATTGTACAATACCTATGAACCTTGGTCACTTATTCATGGTAAGTAGGCTTGGTTATAGGCTTGAGCTGGACTCTATGTACCTCATAAAGAAGTCTTTATACGCGTCATCTAAGGTACCGTGACTGTAATTCTAGCCTTGACATTCGAAATTCCCAGTGGTATTAGATATTAGATTAGACTTTAAACTATGACTTTAGCGAAAGGTGTAAAGCTATCAGGTAGAATATGCCAGGGAACGAGGTAAATATTCTTATAGCATAGAGAAGAGAAGTAGGCAGTTAATCTCGGCTATATCGAGCAAGAATTTACTTAGAATACTAGCATAGCTTTGTGAAGAGAGAAAGTAGTTAAATCCACAACGCGCACCTATCGTAGAGTTGCCCATGTATTTACGCTCCGTGAAAAAGAGACAACCTCAACGCCGAAGCCCACGCCTAACGTAGAAATGAGCATATTCAAATGAGTGACACCCCCAAACCCTCCAAAACCGATCCATTGCGATGACCAAATGAAGGGTATATGAAAATGACAGCAAATATCTGTCCAGAAGCAACCGTGATTGGCCTAATCGGCAGCGATTAGAAATACTGCATGCCTCTTGAACCCCCCTCTCCCCCTTCTCCCCCCCAATATTGATAAATCTTCCCAATAGTCTTGCAGCGAACATGTATGATCTCTACCTGGCCCCTATAATACCGCCCCACGCTCACCACAAACTGTCACTATCCACCATATTACGGTGAGGAAGCGGTTCCGACTTCCTTGGGGAATGTCCCAGAATAGGGGACTTAATCCCGGTTTGATTGTAAGTCGGACTACCTTGGGTCGATGGCGGCAAACTGTAGGGAGCCACCCGTATCGGTTGAAGCGGCGTTCTGGGTGATCTATTAGGTAGCATCTCGCTTACAGAGTCTCGTAGAATTCGTCCCGGAAAGAATACTAGCAAGGCCAAAATAGCAAGTAGTACCATTAATCCATCCAGTACCAGTAATAGCGTTTCCGATTGCGCGATCGAACTGTCGTAGCCTTCGGCAGCCATAATCGTTCGGTAGGCTGTTCGAAGGATGAGTAAGGCAATCGCAAATGCGAAAGCTGTGTGTTGAATACGAGTTAACTTCTTAGGATTTCATAGAAATCTAGGCACATATATCGCTTTTTCTTACCAAACAAAAAGGCTTTGAAAGATCCGCTATTATATATACCGGCAAACTTGATGTCCAGCATATGGTGTCTCGTATGTATGGCGATCGCACATAGAATAGCATGTCCGAGGACGATAACTAGTGTAACAAGTTGGATAGCCAGCCCGGCGGCGAGAACGTGGGCCCCTATGTCAACCTAGAGAGACGTTAGACTCCTAGACTCTCTTCAATACAACATGAGACGCATACTCTTCCTTGATCATCTTGGATTGTCGAGACGAGCCCCCCTGCCAACTCTAAGACGAAAGATAGAGTTGCCAGCCCTTGGAGGAGAAAAGAATACCAAATCGGCCTCCATGAGCGAAGCTCCTCTCCATAGACGGTGATAATCCGCGGTATTATGAAAAATATGCTGCCGCAGATGAATGTCGGGCCTACGGTAGTTCCAATCAAGAATAGAATGAAGCCACTCCTATCGGCCGGCGTATTATGCAACAAGATTCTACCGATATAGCCCACCACCTCCAATGCAAGTCCCGTCATCAGTGCCGTAGAAAAAACCGTGCTCTTGTACTTAATCCCCAAGGCAAAAGCGACCGGAAGTAGAATAGCAAATAAGGCTAAGAATACCGCATTTCCAGCAAGGGAAGGTTCGTAAGTGAGAAAGACTCGCGAGCAGCGGCTCGAGACGCAATCCGTAGAATTAGCCATAACACACGTCTCGTGTCGTATCGGGCAAACGACGATCTGGAAGACAAGAAAAAGCCGTAGATGGGGGGGAGCCAGTTTATAAGTCGCCTAGACTTCTTAATATTGGGCGTATAAGGTACCGTGCAAGGGTAGGCGGACTTTGAACCACAAGCCTAAGTGGGCGTTGATTCTTAATACCCGGAAAGGAAATCACAGTGATATATCTAAGCAGCGTGAGAAATCGGATGAGCCTTCACCATGCACCGGCCCGAGCTGGATTTCTCCATGGCAAGCCGATATGGCATATGGGGTTTGCCCCTACGAACTTGTGCATCCCATATCAATCGCGTGGTGGTTACCCCCTCCATAGCCTGCTCCAGGATTGGAGAAGCGATTACCACAAGGAGGGTGCACAAGATGCTGGTATGCGCGATGATACCTGTTTACACTAGGGAACACCGCAGGTTCAATCAACCAATCCTTGGCCGTCATATCGCGTCTACGTTCCTACCTAACCCATCTCTTCGCCCTGAGGCTAGCACATATAGTGGACAAACGAGAATATCGGTTCAAATGGAGCCTAGGTAGTCTTCCCACGGGCCGCGAAACGTTGATTTCCCATTTCTTTTGGGCCGGGGTAAAGTTACGGGGACATAGCAGAATAAAGCAAAAGTTTAGGCCGATCTACTAGCAACATCAGTACTGTAGCAACATGTGTCTGCGGAAAGATGCGGCCTCTGCAAGCAAGGCTGCTCGATGTGCTGCTAATGTGCTCCTCGCATGGGAACAGGCGTGAGATGCCAGATTAGGGTTCGATGAAGGCGAAGGCTGACCCGACAGTACGGTTCAAGTAGATGCTCCATGTCGATAGGGGCCAATCACACGCGAATCGGCAAGCCAGCGCGGCTAATGCCAACACGCCTATGGCCGTTTGTTGGCCCATGTATTTCGATCTCTCAACTGCATGACACTGTACGAGAAGTATTCGATATCGGACTGTACGACTTCGCTTTTTTGAGGTTAAGCGATAGGGCAGACCGTATATTAGATAGTCTGATCTAGGATGACTTCCCTTTGTGTGAGATGTGAAAGATTCTATGAACATTGTGAGTTGAGGATTATCATAAAGTGATCGTATATTATATCTTATATACCTATATATCAGAGGATGAGGTCTGACAAGGAGCAAAGCAAGCATAATTTGACTGCCGGACGTAATTGACGCCTGGACGTATTTGATTGGAGAATACAGAGGTCGTGTTTGCTTGAGTTGTTAGCGATAAATGCAATATGGTGGCGCAAAACCGGCAGCTTCACAAGCGCGAACCCGGTAACGCAATCTATGAGGTACGCTTCTTACATGGGTTCGCGAGATTCCCCCTTGTTTTGTTCAGGCAGTAAAAAACTAATAAGAACAAATTAAGTAACACAAAAAAATACGATATATAAACATTAATAAGCCATACTCCGCGGAAATTCAGCAAGAGAAAAAAAAACAAGAAGAAAAAAAGATATGCATGTTGGTTGGAGTCTAGGTAGGTAGCGGAGAAAAGTGAAAATGTTGGCTGAGGTTTAACATTCCCTGCTGTGACCGTTATGCAGCCGTAGAAGAGGATCTTCCCCAAGTTGAGTTCTAGTGGATAAAGCCGTCGGCTTTAGCTGACGCTACCCTAAGGTACCTTAGGTACCTAGGTACATAGTAGGTAGTTTCGTGCTTAAGAGATGGTGCCAAAACCCCGCCCATCGGGCCTCTGTGGAGAAAACTAGGTTACCATAATGTTACGCCTTACGGATGCCTCCCGACTCCAAAGAGGAGGGCCTAAAGGGAAGGCCTAAAGAAGTTTAGAACGGGTCTAGATTTAAAGTTCTTACTGTACCTAGGTACTTGTGGTGTGTTACATTAGGTAAGCATGCCTATTACCTCTTGGGATCTCAGTGCTTGGCCCCACATTTAGAAACGTTACCAATACAACATCGTTTACTACCATCAAATATCTACAGTACCTGTATTTGTATCACGACGTGTCATTGATTTCGCATAGTGCAAAACATTCAACTAGACCATACATACCTTAAATAGGTTAAGTATATATATAAGAGGTTGATGTTATAGCGATGAGTCTATCTAGATGTACCATAAGCCATTGTCGCAGATATCCTGTTTCTCTTCACTCACTCCATGGCGCATTCAACCTCTCAGCCCGGCGTACTCGGCTCTTACCACCGGGAAGCACGAGGGCCTATTCTTCCCAACACGGTGACGATCCTAGGTTGAAGGACCTTGGGAAACAGATATATGATGATTATGCTGCTATAAGAGAGCATTACGGTACGGGGCCAATGTACCTTCTTTTATATTTCTTAATCGTAGACTATATAACTGACGTAGTCCTCAGCTACTCCTAAATACCCGGTTGTCCTCGCCCATGGCTTATTGGGATTCGCAGAACTCCGTCTGGCTGGGGGATGGCTACCCGCCATTCATTATTGGCGCGGGATAACTGATGCATTGAAAGCCAACGGCGTTGACGTTATAACCGCATCAGTGCCCCCATCTGGGAGCATCGAGCAGAGAGCTGAGAAGTTGGCCCGTGGCATTGCAGAGGTTGCGCGGGATAAGAGCGTGAACATCATAGCTCACTCTATGGGCGGTTTAGACTCTAGGTACATGATATCTAACCTTCAACCTAAAAATGTGGACGTGAAATCTCTAGTCACCGTTGCTTCTCCGCACCGCGGTAGCGCCTTTGCGGATTACGTGTTCAACGAGATCGGCCCAGAAAGACTTCCGAGTATATATCAGTTCGTTCAAGGCGTGGGTATGGACACGGGCGCTTTCGAGCAGCTCACCCCAGCGTATATGACAGAAAGTTTCAACCCGCGAACTCCAGATGATCCGAGCGTTCGCTACTTCTCATACGGGGCTATGATGGATCAACCTCCTTTGCTTTCGCCTTTCCGGCATTCCCATAAGATTATCAACGACGTAGAAGGTCCTAATGACGGTTTGGTCGGTGTGTCAAGTTCTAAATGGGGCTCATATAAGGGGACTTTAGTAGATGTCAGCCATCTGGATTTGATCAACTGGACGAATCACCTGAGATGGACTTTGTTGAAGTGGATGGGTCAAGGCCCAAAGTAAGTTTAAACCTCTTCTCGTGCTTCTTTACACATACGCTAATCCGTAAAAAAGGTTCAACGCTATAGCATTCTACCTCGATGTAGTTGATATGCTAGCAAAGGAGGGTTTATAGTTTCCAAAGAAGTCCATGCTCGAGAGTTTATTCATACGCGGACGCGTCCCAGAGACCAGAGGTCCGGGCTCAATTGTTTACCTACATTGCTCTTATGTCAATTGATGAAGGCCCCGAATCATTCTTCATCAGAGAACACTACACGCAATCCATCACCACAAGAACACAAGAACTTCCCCCAAAAGAAAACAATAACAGATCCAAGATATGGCAGACCTTCAACTCCCAACCAACCGACTTATCGGTCAACAGCCTCAGCAGCCACGAGGCGGATTCCCTCTGTTCAATGCTCTTCCAACAGAACTTCAATGGGATATATGGGAGTTAACGCTACCGCCCACTGCGGTCCGGTTATCACGAAAAGGCAGTCCGACCTTAATAGAATTACCGCAGCCGCCCTCGGGACATCATCACGATAACATTCCCGATATCGAGGACACCCCAAAACCTTCCCAAGATATAGTGGCTCTCCGAGTCTGTCAGCAAAGCAGAATGATAGCTTTGAGACACTTAATCAAATCGCCATTATCGAAGCGTCCATCTGATGTCAGCCGTATGCCTCGAAGCTGTATCTCCACCTACGACATAGTCGACATCGAGATTCTCAACCGTTTAGGAGAAGACGTTATCAGAAGGAAAGATCCGCAAGGCCTGATGGACCGGCTCATGCGGCAACAGATTTCTTGGGAAACCGTGACGAAAGTGACGAGCATCATCCCCTTCATCCAGCCAAAAAGACTTCTATTCGACATGTTCTCTCGTCGTATATCCGCAACAATTTGCTTGGATCACCGCTCTGTGCAGCCGTGTTTAAGCAACAATCCGGACTTGAAGAAAGAAACCTGCGCTATCCGCTCCTCGGCCATCGAAGAATGGGTCTTCGGGTCCAGCATTGGGTTTGGCCGTGTTCCCGCGTGCCTGCGCTACTTCTTCGAGCACCACCTGGAAGGATGGAAGGCGTACAACGATCGCACCACGATAGGAGGACCCCAGTTCAATCAAAAGTTCAACCACCAGGGGCTTTGCTCCCGCCCAAGCGAAATCCTTTGGGCGTGGGTATGGCTTATGCATGGTCTAGGCCCTGGCTCGTGCCTCCCGTCGCCCCTTTCCGGCATGTGCGCCCCGGATGCAGTATCGATTTTACGGATGTTCGTCACGATCATGAGCGGCGACCCGTGCCCCTCGTGTCAAAACAACATCGTCAAAAGCGTCGCCAAGCGGTATCCTGGAGTTCCACTAGAAAGATTTGATCTATTATTCGTGATCAGTAGATCTCTCATTCCAGACGAGTACTACGCTGTATTAGAATTGTTCAGCGCGTAGACGTCGTTCTTGACATCGCGACTTGGTTTCCCAAAAGGGGTTCAGAGCTCTTCAGAGGCTCAAAGCGTTGTTAGTGTGTTTGCATCTTGACATTAGGATGTCATGTGATTCCAGGTTTCTCAAATCCAACTCCCGTAACGAGAAGACCTAGAGCTATATGACATCCCACCGCTCTGAGAAGAAAATCTCATTCCTCAGGTCAGCGGTGGACCCCCCCCCCCCCCCCCCCCCCAAATTGGAGCAAAGTAGGAATTAGGAAGGAAGGAAGGAAGGGAGGGAGGGAGGGAGGAAGGGAAGGAAATGAAACATGTTTTTTTTTGGTTGTTTAGAAGGATATTGGGTTAGAAAAAAAAAGAATCATATCTTTGAAGGAACGATAAGGGCAGCGGTATTTTTTCTTGGTGGTGGCATTGTCACGGTCACATAACAGAACATATACTTATACTTCTCCCATCGTAATGGTGGTTCTTGTAAAGGTTACTTCACACCATTGACATCATTTTATAAGTTGGGATGATAGGCAGGGATATAGCGTATGGACATTGAATACATGTATACTCGCACATAGTTTAAAATAAGTCATTTTTACTTTTTATGCCTCCTTTTTCATGTCGTCGTGATAACCAAAACGTCCCAACTGATTGGATACGACCCACTGAACATATTAGGTGCCTCCAACATCTTCTCCTGTTATACTCTAACGCACCTATCCCAGTCCTTGTAGAGAGAATGCAAAAAAGCCACTTGCCTCTCGTGGCACACAGGTGGTAGAACGGTAACTCAAAGACACACACAACGGGCGTCCGAGACGCGTATCTCAAGCAGGTATGCTTCTGTCCAAGCAGTGGCTCAAGAAGCTTGTACAGCTCATTATACTTTCACTGCATACCTATCTTGACAACTCATAACATTCGTGACCAAGCCTTCTAGAACCAACCACTAACCGGTCGTGGATGTATATGTATATTAGGTACCTACTATTACATACCTGCCTACTTTATATACATTATGTGTGTGTGTGTGTGTGTATGTGCGTGCAGCAAATACGAGCCACGTGTCGAGTCCTAACCTACCTACCTACCTACCTTACCTATAGATACACAGGAAGGGACGTTGCTTCCTCGTAAGACGCTGGTGGATTTTACGAGGTCATATTTAGCGAAGCGAGGTGAGTTAGCTGCTTGTTGCTTCGCCTCATCTGGTCTGGCCTACACACACAGGCGCGAAAATGGGCAGAGAGAGAAAGAGAGAGAGAGAGAGAGAGAGAGCCTGCATGTTTTAGGGCACCGAAAATAGGAGGTGGAGCCCCCTTTATTTAACTTATTCGAAATAATAACGCACGTTGAACGGGCCTGCATGGACACACAGAAAGGGCTTCTTATGCAAGCAAAAGATACCTGCCTTAAAGTTCGTTCGAGGATGATGTGTCTTGTTCGAGAATGGCAAACAATGGGGGCAGAATATGACTTATCCATCCAGACTGGATGGACTGTTTCATGGCCCTGGTGGTCCTGGCGTAGACGGGCGCGGCCTGAGGTCTTTCCCGGATTTGAAGTATAGTGAGTGTGAGTTGGTAAGTATCCGCTTCTTTGAATGGTTTTTTTACTGTGTAATATTCACTTTATACTATAATAGGAGGGTAGACGAACACTACTCCAGATATGTGAAAACCTGTGTAGGTACCTAACGTATCCCTAGATATTCGAATACCTTGTTTGACTTGAGTCTGAGGATACGATATCTTAGGATTATTATATTTTCGACGTGGAATACCTGTTGCGATACAAATCGCTAGGCTGTAATAAGTTGCTGTCGGAAATAGAGTGAGGTGGAGTTCGTATGTTGCACGACCTCGTCAATTCAGCAGGGAAAGACCCGAAAGGGTAGCCTACCTAGATAGATATCCAAGTATAATGAATCGAATCTCCTCTTAGATCTTGTGGTCCTAGAGATCTTTGTCTTGATAAGTAAGATCCAAACCACATACCCACCAGAAACGCATGTGTTTACACAACACAACACAACACCCTCGGGTAAAAAGACTTTCAGTATTTCGGACCATTGGATTAGGCTCTGCAATTGTCAGGGTATTTGTGCAACTAAAATTGCATGTGCTGTTCTCTAGTAACCTGCCTCCTTACGTATACGCATACTGACCTACTGGCTTACCTACCTACCTAACGCAGCTAGGTAGAGTTTCCACACCTCACCTACACAGGCGTGGTGGGATTAAACATGTAACGCACCCGATGGTATGGTAAGTACATGCTGTCAAATCAGTACATGGGGCGTGGAAGACGACATATGAATAGCCTCAACCCCAATCTAGTCCAGCAAATTTCCACAATGGTAGGGGGATTGGGACGGCTTCGGCATTTCAGGTCCGTTGGTATAGTTCTGGGACTTTCTGGCGGGTTGACAGACGAATTCGCATTGTCAGTGCGAAAGCAGCGAGAAACTTCACATGGCTCCGGGGGTTCCGCTGATAGGTAGGGTGATTCTGGAACTATCCATCCAGCCGTCGAAGAAGAGTGTGGGTAAAGTATACCTAAGCTATCCTCCGTGAACCCTAGGCAGCTGAATTTCATTGGATAGCGGCGGTGAGAGCGGAAGTGACATCGTTAGTACTTCCTCTATTTGGCTCGGTATATAGGTCCAGTGTGTCCTGGCATCGTTTAATACGTGTCGCTGGAATGTGATCAGTCACTGATACAATAGTGTTGAACCACCTCCAGTCTTGTACAGCCAAATGTATAGTCATAAATTTCTGACATTTCTATGCATGACACGTGGATACCATTTTTTAAATTTTTTTTTAATCCCAGCTTATGATTCATAGGGATATGCGTTGAGTTCAGCTTGCGAGAATTCTCTACGAACCTTGTCAAATGCGAGGTAGGAGGATCCCTTCAATATCACCTGATACATGTATGTCTAGGCCAGTCGGGCCGCATTAGGATCGTAAGGAGGCTGCTTTTAAAGTGTATGATGTTTTGCGACCAAGAAGGCCTACGCACATCTAAGGGTACAGATCTCCCCTTAACGCGGATGTCCTGAGAAGGGACCTGAGAGGAATACGGCTTTTCGTTGTTAAGTCATCTCGAAATTTGGTATTTGGTACTTCTTGAAAAATGTTATTCTGCCACCATGAAATTCTCCAAGTATTCAGCAATGGTAGGAAGCACTTACAGTATGGATATTAAGTCTATGTGCATTCTGAGATATGACATGGACACTAAGTTGCCCCTCAGGGCAGGACCTCAGCTTGCGTACCTAATATCTCTGCAAAATACCAAACATGCCAGGGGGCTCTTCAATTAAAGCAGGCCGTGAAAGTAATGCGATACGATTGTCTATCCAATGAATCTTTATTCCCTACCAAATCGCAATCTCAAAAACTGGAGAGACCTATCTTGGTCTTTAACGTTGGCGTGACTCGTCGGAGGGATGTACCCGGGAAAGACAGTATACAATACCGTGCTTAGGGTCCGAGTCTGGCAAATTGGAACTCCAACCGTACTATAGCATATGCTAGCACATGTTATAGCACTGGCTGTCGTGGTCTTGAGAATGGCGCCTGGCTATGATGCAGCCCATCATAACCCACTTGCTGAGCTCTGAGTGCTTAAGACGAGATAGGTGCGCTTCTAGTAGACGTATTCAGCACATGTCGAGCTTAGTTTTCCCTTGGGACCTGGTTAGTCACTCGCCTAAGTCGCACCACGATAGCGCGCCGTGTCTTTAAAATCAGCCATGGGGGTCATGTGCTCGAGTACCCCAATCCCAAGTGCGGTTCAAGAGGCTCTTTAAGGTGAGCAGACACGAGTATGGTAGGAGTAGCCCGTTACGAGATTCGTTGCTTATTTATACTAGCAGCTACAGCCGACAGGCGCTGTACCTAGCTTCCTAGTTGTTAAAGTAGTTAAAGTATCCCTGGCCTCTCTAGGACGTACACGCGGAGAGATCGCCGATATGTACGGATTCGCCCAATTCTAGTGAACCAACGCATTAGTCCTCGTGCATAATAGTCTATCACAGGAGTCACATAGTAGCTTTCCATGGGAGAAGATAGTACATTGCATTTCCTGTTGCTAATGAAGGGTGGCGCCTGAGATTTTGACTGCCCTAATAGGCACGCGAGATTGGGCGGTCGTCCTCGGCCTTATTTATTTGACAGTTTATGCTAGTAACGGTGGCGACGAGCATAAAACTTCCCCCCAAAATACCTGATTCAGGGATTATAATAATTCTCTCTTGATAATCTCTTTAGAAAGCCGGACAATAAATACGGTAGTCGGACTAACAGTACTCAACCGGACAGCTGCAGGAATGTGAGATCAAATCGTATGAGTGATCGACAGCTGACATCCATCTTTACTGCTAGGCACATAGTTGGCATACAAAAGTATAATCCTAAGGGAGGAAATGATATGCGCGTACGCCTCTGTGACCTTTTCCTTACGCCTCGAACGTCGTGTTCCCCTCTCTCATCTGCTTTTTAAAAAAAAATTTAACTTTTTTTTTCGCGCCAAATTAAACTAAAACGGAGACAATTCTAATTTTTTTTTTCTTCTCTAGACTGTCAGCTGTAAACCCGTAGGTACGGGACTGTATCGGAAGAAGCGTAAAATCGTATAGCGCTGGGGGTCTTACAATCCTTTCCCGTTTGTCACCTTATTCACCCGAAACGTTCCCTAGGTCTAGAACGCTCGATGGGGCCGGGCTGCATAATCCATGCAAGCCATTCTAGCCATACCTGCCTGCAATCTTTGTCTCTTCTAGACAACGGGGTTACAAATTACTTTGATGTACGTCTGGGCGGGAGACTCCACAGTTTCTTTGATGTTGCTCGTCGGTAGACTTCTGTACCAGGTAAACTTCGGTGTCTCCAAGTGTACCAATTTGTGGGTTTGAGAGGGGCCTAATTTTGCCAAGTCACGGTGATCGTATGCATATATCGTTTTGATCTGTGTAATTAGATGGTTTCCTGTACATCGGAGAATAACCTCTGTGCGGTGTGATTGTCATCGCTTTACCGGGGTTCTCTGCAAGCTCGGGATGCATGAGTACCTAGATGTAAGATGGTCTACTGGCTGCTCTTGTCCTTTGTACCTAGGCGGAGAGTGGGTGTGCCTGTAAAGGCTACTACCACCACCCGCACACATCCTTTTGGGCGTGGGCCAGATTTCTGCTGTTCCTGAAAGCCTCCCCTCGATAACGACAAGACAAAGACAAAATACCCGTTCGCATTGCAACAATTAGAACTCGTCACGACAAAGGCCGGTAGTTCATCGCCGTATTTGATCTAGGACATGATCTACACGATCTGACCCTTAAAGAAACAAGTAAAACACTCATCGAAGCTTTCTCCAAGGACCACCGGACGCCAGGCCTTATCCAGGTGGTTCCAGATTTCCCTAATGCTCAGGGCTCCAATGGGCATCGTCTCAAGCACGGCTGGACGCCGGGACGGGAACAACGGCAAGGACAGACACCAGCAGGTTCAACTGGATGATGACCAGGGGACTCCAAATGCCGTCGGCCACTCGCAAACACTCTGGATCTTAATATTCCGCGGCTACCCTCGCGATATTCAATCCACCCGAGTTACCGAGCTGTGTATCGTCTTTGATGATAACGAAAATAAAAACCTCACCATCCGAATTCAGGGCAGCCACCCACACTATAGCGTGGAGGAAGTATGGAACCAAACTCATCCGCGAACGAGACCGCACTTTTATCGACGACTTGCAGTTGCGACAGTTGAGACCAGCGCGGAGCCCGATACGCGGCTACGCGACGCTATTCTTGGGACTCATGTGAACAATACTGAGCTGGATTGGAACTGTCAAAGTTGGGTTGGAGACGTGTTGACGACGCTTCAAGACGCAAGACTTATTACCGACGAAGAAGGAGATAATGCGTTGAACGGGATGGTCAACTACATCGCCCGGGCGCCGTGGGAATAGTGAAGGCTGCAGAAGAAGGCTGATTAATCTGTATTCCTCGGCGAGTATACAGAATTCCTATCATGCTGAGAAAAAGGCCGAGAGAACTAGGGGTTAGTTAATCTACCTCGGCCATCCGGCTGATAGCCTACCTGCCTTGATAGACTTCTTCAGGCAGCGACGCTATCCTGCTACCTGCAACCTAGTCCGATATAAGCTGACTTACTCAAAGCATGCGTTTCGAGAGCGGTCCTCGACGGCCCATACCACTCTAATTTCGAGAGTGAGGGCCAGGAACGCCTCGTTCACCTGGTTTACCTGGTACACTTGATGAGACATGGTTCCGCTCACAGGCACGCGAGATTATGTCTAGTCGGAATGGGTATCCCCGTCGCTGTAGGATACCGCGGTTTTCTTTAGTCTTACCCTTTAGGCAAACGAAACAAGCAGCCTCTAGTAGAAGGCTGTCGTAATAGTGTAATGAACCGCATGAATTTATCATAAAGGTTCAGAGTTGGGAAGCAAAGACGGATAGGGTGCATGAGTCGGTTTCACATCATTTCGGATTTGGGTCTTGATGGAGGCTTTGGGAGTGTAAGGGATACATAGGAATATACCCCGACCTCATTCCGTACAACAATGGCGAAGGCGTTTAAGGAAAGCATACAATGATAACTTGCGACTCTCGGCATCTTTGTTTCCGGTACAACATACGGTTTAACGTACGGCTGAGAATCTGCTTGGTTAATAATGTATTCGATACCGGATCATATCTCGCTTACACGATAGGCGAGGGGGACCAACTCTCAAACAATAGTACAATACCTGAGGTAGAAATTATACGACTTTGAGGCATGATATTTCCGAGCTTGATATTGTTGTCGTCATACTATATACTATAAAGCGGTCAAGTGGTGATGTCGCCCGATTTAGATAAAAGATAATCCAATCGAGAAAAAAAAAAAACGGAAGTTCCGCGTGTTGAGCAACGATGGTCATGTTCGGAAAAGAGACATAGGGGAATACATGATGTAGTGATGTAAATGAGAAGGAACAATATAAGTCTTCTTCAGATCTGCAACTCCGCTTGTAATAAGACTGCTGCTATACTGTATTTTTTTTTTTTTTTAATAAAAAAAAAAAGGTGAAGATTTACGGAGTTCGGCGCCAACGCGGGTTTAGTCAATCTTTTCTCACCTTGCATTTGCCTGGCCCGTTCACCTTATGATATCAATATTGTTATGATGTGAGACAACTAGGAATGAGCTCGCATGCTCAAAATTTAATGCATATGCCATGTGGTACCAAAATATCTTTATAAATATCTTATACAAACACAACAGGTACCTATTACTATGTAGATACCTATGTACCTAGCCTAAAGGTAGGTAGACTTATTATACTACATAAATTCTTTTATCGACTTATCGAGGTGATTTTTTGTAAAATTTAACATTTAAAATTGATTGGCTGGCTACATGTATCAGGAGATCCAAGACTACCGTAAGCTTGCCCCTGCCTGCCCTACTTCAATGTCTGCATCCACATCTGAGCCGCAAGTTGCAACTGCCACTGCCACTTGCCACTGCCGTTGCCGCTGCCGCATTGATCCCGTTACACTTAGCGGACCTTATTAGCCGTTGTCGTAAGAAGACAGGTACCTAGGTACATGCCTAGCTAACCTAAAATAACGTTAGCCTGTCCTGCCTGTCGTAACAGAGGCCACCTTCGCCTTCCTTACATATCCCAAATTCTGATATCTGCAATTTGATTTGAAGTACGTCGCATTTTGCACTTTAATCATTATATGCACCTATTATATTCTTTCTTTCTTTTTTCTTTTTTTCTTTTCTCTCCTTTTTTTTTAAAAAAAAAATACACTACAGAGACCTGTTATCTTTTGTATAAATTCAATCCGATCCCAGAATAATCGGTTTAACAGCTTGATGGATGCGTAGATAACGGATGTTAGCGTCATAGTGAAAACCCGGGGATCCTTTTCGGCGTTTGCAATCATGCCTCCTCCAGCTACGCTTTGGAGCTCGGTGCGAGTAGCCGCCGGCGCACTCCTCGGCCTGGCTTGCTGGACATCAATAACCGGTGCTGAAAAGACTGCTGGTGACTATTTTGTCCACTCGCTGCCCGGCGCACCAAAAGGCGACATGGTTAAGATGCATGCTGGGTGAGCCAAATACCCCTGACACCAATTAATATACCAGATCATATATCGTGAACCATGAAGTTGCTTTATTAACCGTCTTTTCGCGCATAGACACGTCGAGATCACACCGGAGCACAACGGAAACATTTTCTTCTGGCATTTCCAGAACCAGCACATCGCAAACCGACAGCGTACCGTCATCTGGTTAAACGGCGGGCCCGGTTGCAGTTCCGAAGATGGCGCATTGATGGAGATCGGCCCCTATCGTTTAAAAGACAATGATAATCTAGTGTATAACAATGGTAGCTGGAACGAGTTTGCGAACCTACTTTTTGTCGACAACCCCGTGGGAACCGGATACAGCTATGTCGATACTAACAGTTTCGTCACTACCCTCGATGATATGGCGAGCCAATTCGTTACCTTCCTCGAAAAATGGTACCATCTCTTCCCAGAATATGAGCAAGACGATGTAAGAGTCATCAATCCTTCTCTGCTGCAATATGCTAACAGATCTCCCTAGCTTTACATTGCGGGCGAATCGTTCGCCGGACAGCACATCCCCTATATCGCTAAAGCAATCCTCGAACGAAATAAGCAACCTCAGACCCGAAATAAGTGGAACCTCAAAGGCCTATTAATCGGAAATGGCTGGATCTCCCCTCCGGAGCAGTACGAAGCATACTTGTCTTTCGCATACGAGAAGAAGATTGTTACAAAGGGTTCTGACTTAGCCAGTAACCTCGAGGCCCAGTATCGCGAGTGCAAAAAGGATTTGGCTACAACGAGTGCGCATCACGTGGATGTTGAAACTTGCGAAAAGGTGCTCCAGGAAATGCTTCGCTTAACGCAGAAAAAAAGTTCGGCGCGTTATGAATGCATCAATATGTATGATGTTCGACTCACGGATACATATCCGAGCTGTGGCATGAACTGGCCCCCAGATTTAGAATTTGTTACACCCTACCTTCGAAAGCCAGAGGTAGTTGCCGCATTACACATTGACCAAAATAAAGCTACGGGATGGTCCGAGTGCAATAGTCGCGTCGGCGATGCGCTCAGGGGAAATGCGGGAAAGCCATCTATTGAGTTCTTGCCAGATATCATAAAGGAAGTCAATGTGCTCCTATTTTCGGGCGCTGAGGACTTAATATGCAATCACCTGGGCACGGAGGCCTTGATAAGCAACATGCAATGGAACGGCGGAAAGGGCTTCGAATTATCCCCCGGAAACTGGGCGCCGCGACGCGACTGGACTTTCGAGGGTGAGGCAGCCGGTTTCTGGCAGGAAGCTCGTAATTTGACATATGTACTGTTCTACAACTCGTCGCATATGGTACCTTTCGACTACCCTCGCCGAACCCGCGATATGCTTGACCGGTTCATGGGAGTCGACATCAGCAAAATCGGGGGCGTGCCGTCGAAGAGTTTCCTCGACGGCGAAAAACTGCCTGATACCACCGTGGGCGGCGCCACCAATCACACCGAGTCCGACCAGGCAGCCAAAGACAAGGAGGTCAGCGACGCCAAGTGGGCTGCTTATCAGAGGTCCGGTGAGGTCGTCTTGGTCATCGTAGTCGTCGGTGCTGCTGTTTGGGGTTACATGATCTGGCGCGGTCGCCGCCGAACCGCAGGGTACTCGGGCCTTCCCATAATATCCGACCTCCCGCGCGCCACCGGGCTTGAGAGTTTCCGTACGCGGAGGGCAGCAAATAATCGCGACTTGGAGACTGGCGATTTTGATGAAGGCGAACTAGATGACTTACATATCACAACACCGAGAAAAGCGAGCGCAGGCAAGGAAAAACACTACAGTGTAGGCGACGCAAGCGATAGCGATGGAGATGAGGATGACGACTCGGGACCGGAAGAAAAGAATTCCCGGAAACCGGGCCCTAGCGCCGGACAGTCGTCAAGTAGGAGTTAGAGCAATCCTCGGAGCTCGACCGGTATGAGGCATAGGCAGGCATTTTCCTTGGCACACTTGTAGAGCCTTTGCGGAGTCTGGGTACTTTTTGTCTTTGGTAAGGTGCAAAAGGGTGGTTTGAAATAGGAAAATAGATATGCTCGCTTGCCTGCTGTTGTCTTGTCTTTTTTTTTCTCTTTCTATATCCGCTTAACTACCAATGTATTTACTTTCATAGCGGGTCTTTTGGCTTCTTCGGTTATTTGGGCGTATGGTTGGGGAAAGAATAAAGAAAAACCGTCAATGAAAATTTGGGCTTATAGATTTTAGTGTTACTTGGATCTAGACTGGGTATTGTGGTAGAGTCACTGTATCCAACCCATTTCACTTTACTAGGTATATTGTAGTCCAAATTACAACAAGGAGAGGGAAGGGGAGAAAAAGACACTATTACGAATTGTTTAAATTACTCGTATTCAATAACGAGGGCCATCGTCGTAAGGTATGACGCGTTTAGATTTGTTTGGCGCTAGTCGTAACACGAAAACCAGCTCATCGTGGGTTTATTTAGAGTGGTTTAGTCGTGGTGAGTGTACTTTGAGGATAGGCAGGAAATTCAATATCTTCATAAGAAATAATTGCCTATTATAACTACGTCAACTACTTGGCACCTGTAATTCGATTAGTTATTGAAATTGAAAGCTGGAATCTATTGAATAGGTAGGTAAGTACCTTGGGTATATAAAATATAAATAATTGCTATACCTACCTCCTAGTAGACTTCAATATGTATTATTGTATTATCACTAAACTTGAACCTAAGCTACTTTATGTTAGCAATGTAGTGTTTAAAAAATATCAACTCCCTGACTTTAATAAAATCCCTGCTAGCCTCAGGTACTTTTAGCACATTGATGCCCTTAAGAAAAAGCTCACCCGATTAAGTTTCCCAGTCGGAACAAACACTGCATGATCTTCTCACATTAAGAATTACCTAGTACAATCAGGCATGTCACATCGAACTCATACGGATACCGGCGCAAGCAAATACCCTTTGCCATCACAGTCTTGCTTATTACATAAAGCTAATGTCTGTCTGAAACGCACTGACGACTTCCTAATGTAAAACAATCCAACGCGTTGACTTGAAGTGTTTAGAGTATACGTAGGTAAGTTTAATAACCCTTATACCTCAATGTGCGTTGTCTCGACCGCGTAATCCATAAGCCGTTATATGGATAGAGACGAAACGTTGCCGGCGTAGATGCTCGGCGCCTCTAACAGTGAAGACTATGGGTCCTCCCCCTCCCCTCTTTTCTTCCCCCCTCTTCCAGTTATGACGTTGTGACAGAGATAAGGCCGACCTGTTGTTCATAAGTGGTGCCATTTAGGACGTATTGTGTATAGCTGAGTAGAAGCTTTTATCTCTCAGCCACACTCCTGACTTGGTTGATATCTCTCAAAACGCGACGCTCTCGAAACGTATCTAATGGATTGCAAATCCAGCGCAAGTAATCCGTAGACGAACTTGCAAAAATACAGATGCGTGCGCCATTTCCTTCCCCTAACCGTTCCGTTCCATTCCTTCCTTTCCGATGCCGGTACCCGAACACCTCATCCTGTCCCCTTGCCGAAAAAGCGTCTTTGGGTAGTGGTAGTCGACGTGATGTAGACACATAGACGGAAAACAGCTTTCGTAGAAAAGCTTGCCGTTAAAAGACCAAAAAAAAAGAGAAATGAAAATGCAACAGCGTATGCAGAGGGGTATCAGTTCGAACGAACGATTGCTGTGGTAAGTCCATACCCGAGTAAGGGAAATAATCGGAAGAGAAGAAAGAAGAATCGAAATGATATACATCGTGATTCCACAATATTGGTCATGATTGCTTTATCGCTTGAGCTGACCCTCATTGTCGATGATCTATTGCTAGGGCACTGCCTCTTTTCAACCTCTCTTAATTTTCACCACATAGTACTGAAATCAATCAATTTCAATTACCTCAATCTCGGGTTCCTTCCGCTGATTGGTCTTGGGGAATTTCCTATCTGCTTCGTTAATCTCGTCCTCGCTGTCAAGGTTGTCGTCATCGTCTGCTGGTTCTGTCTTCGGTTTCCACGTTCCATCCGGGGAAACAAGGATGGACTTGGTCTTTAGCAGATTCTGACGCTCTAATTGGGAGCGTACTTCGACAAGGAACCCATCGATGATTAAATTATAGGGCCGGGCGTCACGGAAGCAAAGTGGACACTTCCATTTGTCCACGAAGGAGGGTTCGTTGGGACATTTGTGACAACCTCCGCTGACATTGTTGCACGAGTTGCATGATTTCTTACCAAGCCGAGAGTTCAACCAGGTTTCGAGGTCAAAACACTCGAGGTGGGTGCATGACCTTCCACGAACGGGAACTTTGAACATGGTTCTGGAGAAGGGATCTATGAGATCAATAGATAATTCGTCAACCATTACGAGTTCGTCTTCGTCCTCGTTTTGGGGGGATATTTCCTTCGCCCGGAGAAGGCGTTTCTTAATCGCCTCACGCGTTGATTCCGCCGGTACTCTTCCACGCATTTGAACCATCTGAAGTACATCACGGTGGCTCAGAATTTCAATAAGTTCGACTGCAATATAAAATTCCCAACCTGGTCTTGGTTTGGGCTCTTTATTTCCACTCATCTTTGGAACGGATACCTTGAGGACATTCTTATCTGCCACTGCGGCCGAGGCAGCTTCGATCGGTATATCCTTAGAATGATGTGATTTCCGCGGAATACTTAGTGTATGATTATTGAGTTCTAGGAAGATGTGCGGCGGCCAAGTTGTTTCGGTAGTGACCCAAGCGTCGGTAGCAGGGGTGTGCGTTTTCTTCATGTAACAACATCGAAGACGAAGACGAAGAGATCTGCTTGAGAATAAACTTACAGGCAAATGTTCGCCTGGTTTAGTTTCTTCCTTTACCATCCGAAGAAACTGATGATTCGGGACGTCGAAATCGAACTGGTGTAGATGCAATTGCGGTGGTATTGCGACTGGGAGAAGGGCGAACTCTTTGACCGCTTGATAGTATCTTCCCAATTTTTCCGGATCTTCTTCCCGCGGCATCCGTTTCGGGCTTCTTAGCCGGACTTGATGAAGAGACATCATCATAGAATTCCTGTCATATTGGGTGTAAGGATAGTCTCGCCGATCGATGGCCATGCCCGGCGCCGGAATTAGACGCTCAAGGCCGGCGAGCTGTGTTTTGTTTTGCACCATGGGCCCCGGAAGCGAGTGCGTATGGGTAGGATTCCGGAGCTGATCTGCAGAGAACCTTGCCTGCGAAGTCATTGGCGCACTTGATGTACGATTGAAATTACCATAGCTTGGAATTAGGTTCCCGGGACTTGGGCAACTAGGGTAACGTAACGCGGACTGACTCCCAAATCTATGTAAACTTTGTGGCCGTTGCCCAATTATATGAGCCTCATGAGATTGACCACCGGGCGTATTCGTCGAAGCAGGAATAGGCCGCGGAGATTCTGGCATCATATAATAATCCTGTTGGGGAAGTCTCCCTGCTGCCTGATGTTGCATTACCCTTTGGAAATTGGGATTCGGCTGCAACGGTGCTGTTGCTGTTGCGTCATTGGCTGTAATAGACGTTGAAGATAATATGTATGAAGGCGGTACCGTAGTCGGCATCGCATTTTGTACGAAAGAATTGGTAGCTTGAGGCAGGTATTGGGGGGCTTGGTGGAAATTATGTCGCATTTGGGGATGTATGAGATAGCCCGTCGGGGAGCCTACATGCTGGCCAGACACCTGGCGGTTCAGTTGTCTGTTTATCTGAATACTCATCTGGGGGTTTACTGGAAGATTCCCCTGAGGGATAGCTGGAGGAGTTATCTGACCATCCATTTGAGTATTCGCGTAGGGCACAAAATGAGAATTAGTATACGGGCCCATATGGGGATTTGGATGAGAATACTGATTTGGTTGCTGGATATTAGGAGGACCAGCCAATTGGGGTAGTTGGGATTGTTGAGATTGTTGGCCCGCTAGGGAGTTTTGCCAATTGTGCTCTGAACCAAGAATGGACCTATACGTGGAAATGAGGTATTCGATGTGCGCTGAATACCGTATAGGTCGGGGTTTTGTAAAAAAGTCGTGGGGATTATTTCGATGATAGTCTTGATCCGACTTGAATAGTATTTCCATACGTTTTGCAGCAGGTCCATCTCCACCCCCCATGCTTCTCCTAGAAGCGCGAAACATGATTCCTTGAAGTATCGGGGAATGCAGTGAAAATTCATCAAGTAGCTCACCTAGAAGGAAAGGGTAGCCTTTCATTCGGTGATCAGTGAGTACTCTGTGCCAATTGAGAGCCATACGGCGGAGAAACTCGAGTACCTCCCCGAGTGCAGTTTGATACTGGGCATTTCCTAGCAATTTGTTTAGTGCCACCGGAAATTCGGATAAAAAAATGATGTGGTCTGGATTTAGCTTGATGTTGCTCTTAAGAACCGTTTCCAAGTTGCCAAACCCCTTATCCATTTCTTCCGGGTTACGCCCCTTGTTCTTGCATAGCTCGTGCGCCTGCATCCGGTTTCGAGACCAAATACAAAAGATTTGGTGCAATACAACGAAGAAGAGGTCTCCTGATTCAAAGGACTCGAGTAGGAGTTGATATCGGGGCCGCTCAACTATCGGGTCTAGATTTTGCATTCCCCCTATGTATTGAATACGGTGTTGGAGCACTGTAGTTGCCCTACACTCGATGAGGAACTGAAGCCCGGGGAAACTGTAATTTACAGAAACACCATTAGTTATCGAGTTCTATCATATGGCCAACCGCAATCACTTTCAAAAGCTAGCTTAGGTAGGCTTAATACGTACCTAAGGCGTTGCCTCTTAGCAGGTGGGATTTCTGGGTGCTCTAAAGGTGTTAAGTTTGAGGGCAAGCTAGGCGTAGGAGGTGTATTGATGGACATGTTAGCAGGTGTGGATGCTCTTGGTGATAACGAGATCTCTCTGCTTTGTTGCAATATTGTCTGCAGGCGGGGCGTAGGGACGCGGCTTTGAACCATCGGATCATCTAAAGCACTATCGAGGGTAAGGCGAGGTCCTATCACAGCCGGCATACTTTGGGGTTTAGTGGCGCCGGGACTCGGCTCATCACTGGGCGCGGGCGACGGAAGTACAGTACGTGCGGCCGAAATTCTATCGCGTCACAGGATGCAATTGTTAGTAAATATGAAACTGGTGGTGGGGTGAAGGTGGGTGGCAAAGTGAAAGTTTAGAGGTAATTTAGATACGCGTCTGGAAGGAGACCCGACGTATGGGCTGTGATAGTATTAAGAAATAACGGCTTACGATGTCTGCGGTTGTTGAATTCTCGTTTGTGTTGTTTGGAACGGTAGAGGATCAGGCGAGTGCTGAGGACGACGAGGTTGGCGAGGTGGGGCGGAAGTTGCCTCCGGGGTATTAGATATTGGCACTGAGACTGAGACGGGCTGAATTGTCTCGACAATGGGGCGCACAGTCTCTGTGGTGATAGGTTGTTTAGGTGTAGGTGGTTGTGGAAGACGGGGAGAAGGCTTCACGGGCTTTGCATTGGTTAGCCATGACGGTTGACGACGGCCAACCCAGGCGTTCAGAGTAGAATTTGACGCCGCAACTTGTCGGTCTGATGATATACTCGAGTCTACGTTGGACCCCGTTCTGTTCTCGGTCCCTGATCGCTGTCCCCCGGTAGGCGCCATCAGTCATTCGTGATATTTACTATTTTCTTCACAACTTGGCCTTCATGCCCCCCTCGATATGGGAATCGTCTAAGTATGGAATACTATGGTTAGGAGATTGTAAGCTAAATGACATTTACACATAATGATAATAACAATAATGATAACTATAGACGGGTCTAAGCTAGCGCTATAAAGGACAAGAGGCAAGCGGAAAGGTATTGTTTAAACTAGAGGAACAAACGCACCATAAGTGATAACTAGTTGCCTAGGTATAGAAGACAGAAGGAATATAGGGAAAGCGACAGAGCGGAAAGGAAACTACGTGTCTGGCTATTGAAGATGTCCATATACGAACGGCTGAGTTGTCAAATGTCACTATGGCATTGGTTGGATATATGTAGACGGAGGTGGACGTGGACGTGGACGTGGGAGTAGGCGTGAACGTGGATGTTTATGTTCAAGTTCCAGGTTCGAGTTGAAGGCCGTGGAAGTTCACGGGCGGTTGCAACCTTGAACTTTGAAGCGGCTACCAGCAATTTGGCGGTCCTGGCGGTCCTGGCAGCCCTGACTTTTTCTGCCGTGCAAGGGTGTGGGCAGCTGAGTCCAGACCTAGGTAGTATACCTAGATCTACATATGTACGTTTAGATCTTTACTATGGTATCAGGCTAAAGTAAAACGACACTTTCAAGTACCGCACAAAAAAGCTGCGAAAGCCACCATACTAAATTGAGACTAGTATGACCAGGGGGTTAAAAAAATACATTCAACATTTGAAAAAAAGGAAGAATTCTTACTTGAACTTTTGATAAATGAAATATATATTAAAATAATCCTTAAACAATTAGGAATCTAGCGTTTTAATTAGATTTTACATAGTATGTTTAGATATTAAGATATTTATATCTTAATATCAATACGTTGAAAGTTATTGCATATGCCACATTATAGCGTGCTACTTTTGACAGGGGTTTTACTTACCCATAACACCATAGTAGTGCGAGGTCGTGAGGGAAACAACCGAGTCCCATGTGTGGATTTGAAGTCACCCCCAGTACATATTCTAGTATGTTAGGTACATCCATAGTACACCAGTGCCACCTGCCTACAGTATGTAGGGCATGTGGGCTTGTGGGCATGTACTATGTATTACGTGCTGTCTATCGCAACTTGCAAGGGTATCCTATGTAAAGCACTTCTGCGTCTGCGGAGTACTTTCCCTGTTAAGCCTGACATTGGTCATCGAAAGGTGCATACCATAAGAGCCTAACCGGCTTGCGGCATAAGTAGTATCTACATTACCTAATCTACATCAACTTATTAGCGCATTTACTTTGATCGCTGTCGTTAGGTACTCATAGGTACTGGATATATAGGAGGTATGTACATGTCTTCGTCTTTCCTTTCAAAAGACAATCCTATGCAGAAGTAACAACCTAAAACAATCGGCTAGACTACCTCTAACTTTCAAATGCCGAGACTATACCATTAGCCTTTAGGTACCTTACCTCTTTTTATTAGGTAGCTTCGGAACAGCCTCAGAAACCAGATTACAAGATCAGCCCTTGGCAGGTTGGTTCGTTTACATACATATGTTAGGTATATAGTAAGCCAAGAACCAAAGAGTAGACAAACACTGTGTCGTATTTACGAACATATAAAGCTGCTCAACTAAGTAAATATCTCATACTAGACTTGAAACCAGAGGGAGAAATGAATGACTGAGTACCTATTTGATAAATAAGTACCCTTAAAAGAGGAGGTGATATATACTTAATGGAGTTAGTTATACTTCTTAATACTTACTTTATACACTTTTTAAGCTTAGGACACTTGCACCATGCACTAGGTACATACCTACATACATGCATGTACAGGTAGGTATGTGCAATACCATACCTAATACATGGCCCAGTTTCGATCAGGGAGCTTACATCAATTAACGGATAACTGCATAGTTTATGTGGATCTATAGCACCCTAGCTGCTTAGAAGAAAAATACCCCTCACAGCTCACTCCGTGATCCGTTCATTCAAACGGATCCCATACCTTAACGGGTTGGTTTCTCTCATCCCATCCATCCCATCCCTCCTGCGCTCAATCCTACAATAGGTTCCTCGTCAAATCTATACCCTCCATATCCTTCAATTCGATCCCTGAAGAATTAAAAAAGGCACCACAACACTACTTCTTCGTCTACGGTTTTTTTTCTCCGCTTCGAGATATTGTATATTACTCCTCCCCTTTACTCCTATGTTCATTTACCGAGCGACGTAGGCCTGTGCCTCGTCCATTCATTTCCCCTAGTCTGGGGTTTTCTTGTGTTCGCCAGTTTGGTGCGACTAGGACGGTTAAAAAAAAAAAGGAGGGAACACCCAATTGGACAAACGGTCCTTAGGTTCTAGCCAAAACTCGAAATTCCAAATCCGAAGGCTGAAGGCGACGGTAGAGGCGACATAGATCCACAGCCAAAATAACGCGAGACGATTGTACTCCCACCCGATCCTTTCTCGTATATATTATTTTGTAGTAGTCTTTTTTCTCCCCATATACCAAAAAGAGCCGTTTTTATCGATGCATTCCGTCACCTTTCAAGCATTGCTCGAGTCAGGTCTTCGATAGACTTCGCAATCCGTTCGGAATCAGGAGCCAGATCAAGATCGCCACCTTTTTAGCCCCTCGGCGTTTACACGGCCATTATTCAATGCCACTCCCCTGAGGTCCGACGTGTAATCTTCGAGTTTTCACCAAGTGCAATCCCGTCGTAGACATCATGGCGAGACCAGAGTCTGGTGATATTTTGCTGGTCGTCCGTAAGTTCGATCTCTCTCTCTCTCTCTCTCTCTTATCATTATATGAGGCTTTCGCATTCCTGTCTGCAATTCTGGCTACCAAAGACACGTGAAAACCCGAATCCTGCTTTTTTTGCGCAAATGAATGAATTCCAATTAACAAGGTGAATTTTTAGATGACTTCCAAGCTAGGAGCTCCGACGAATTAAGTTTAGCGAAGGGCGACCGTGTCGAATTAATCGAGCGCGATGATGAATTCGGCGATGGGTGGTTTTTGGGTCGCCATATGGTGAATGGAAATAGTGGCTTGTTCCCAGAAGGTAAGTAGAATTGCCGTGGGGAGAGCGGCGTACAATTTGCGATTGAATCGCAACTGATCGATTATTTGTAGTATATACGCGACCGTTAGCGGACGGTGTCGCGGCTTCATCTAATGCTTCCAGGCCGATCGCGAGTTCGTTCTCATCCATCAATGGGACATCATCCAAAGCCAGCCAACCGGCATTGATCGCTACGCCAACTCAGGACCGCAACTCCACCCCGCAAGCCGCTCCATCTGTTCCGCCTGAGATCACTCCCGTAACTCTGCCGCTGAATTCCACGAAATCCGATGGGAAAACAACCCCCCTTGTAAGCAAAAGTTTTGCCTACGGTAGTAGTAACGAAGGGCTAGGCCGTCTTCATGCGCAAGGTCAGGAGAATCCAGTGCTGCACGAGACTCTAACCGTTATCGACGAGCATATCACCGACTTGCATTCGACCCCGCAGAATGGCGCACTCCACCACACGACGGATTCCGGGAGCGAGTATAGTTCTCACCTACCGGATCGGCTTTCCTATATCCAGGGCGAAGAGACCGACGAGGAGGAGGAAGTGCTACACACTCGCGACGAAGTCGAATCTTGGACTGCGGATGATGTGGCGGAATATTTGTTTACCACCGGCGTAGAAAAGAAGCACTGTGAAGTATTTCGGGATCAAGAAATATCAGGCGAAGTACTTTTAGGCATGGATCAATCATCGTTATTTCTTAAAGCGTTCGACCTTGGCTCCGTTGGACGACGACTGAAGACGTGGCAAAAGATCAAGAACTTACAGGATGAAGTAAATGGACTTGGCCCCCTTACGAGGCGAACCACGCAGACTTATGGTAGTGAAGCGGGGTCGGAGGAGTTCAAGGTGGGTAGCGGAAGAGTGAGAAGCAGATCTAATACTTTAACAAACTCGCAAAGAGTTGTTTCATCCGAGAGTCGACCAGGTTCGGTGCATACAAAACGTCTCTCTCAAACACCAAAAATGGAGCCAATGGCACCTTTATCTCCCAAATCTCCTAAAGGCGTTCAAGACAGCCCGACAAGACAGTCCCACCACAATAGACCTTCGGCAGCCTCCGTCAGAGAGTTGCATCATTCGCGACGGCATTCGTCTACCGATTTTAGACTCGCCCCGCCGGTCAATGCTGGAACACCTAAACTTACGTCTTCAGGAACATTTCCACAGCCCGAACCTTCACATAAGAAACAACCATCTTTTGACCGTAATTGGACTATGGGCGCAGCTTCTTCTCCTTACCCTGCACGGCCTTTGTCGTCAACTGAATTTGGCGACCCCATAAATATATCCGATACAGATGTTATCCATAACCCGGCTCTTGATCTCGATCGGGGTTATTTCTCTGGCACCGAGGTTGACGGCCGAAAGCGCAACGTGCTTAAGAAGCGCGAAAGCACTACCGCACACGCTCACAAGTCAAGTTATACAGAACAGCAACGCGTTAGAAGCGCAACAGCTATTGCAAGGCGTTCTCGGTTTGGAAGTATTGATTCAACTAGGGATTCGACACCACCAAACGCCGCGCAAATGTATTACGGTTTATCTGGAGATCACAGGCGGACGGCCTCTACTAACACTACAGAGTCCATGCGACCTATTCCCCCTGCCAAGGATGGTCCCACTCCAACTGTCACCAAACTTGATGCCGGGTCGCCTACCTCGCCCTCAACCCGAAACGCTGCTCCTGGCGATTGGATATCAAATGCTAGCAGCAAGTTTGGAGGCCTAAGGGCAATTTCTGATGCTATGGTTGGTAACTCGAAAGTCGGCTCGCCAACTGATTCCTCTACTCAGGCTTCACCTTTGAGATCACCGTCCAGGGCTGGTTCGAGTACGCCTTCGGGAGGCCCGAGTTTCGAGATTGATTCACCCGATACAGGGAAAAGCCCGTACTCAGCGACTACTACCGGCAGTCGTAAGAGCGGGAAAAAGACGAAGCAGGAAACGAGTGCTTACCTACGCGGCCTACAAAAGGTTAGCCCACGTGAAGCAATAAAAGATGCAGACTATAGTGGATGGATGAAGAAGAAGAGTTCACATTTAATGACGACATGGAAGCCACGACTCTTTGTGCTCAAAGGAAGACGTCTGGCCTACTATTACTCAGAAGACGATACCGAGGAAAAGGGGCTAATTGATATTTCGTTCCATCGCGTATTGCCTGCCGACAACGAACGGCTTACCGGGTTGCATGCTACTTTGACGGGTGCTAGCAACACTCCAATTATGCCGGCTGATAGTAACCTCCCAACTCTTGCCGATAATACTGCCGTTTCACCTGCTGAGAAAGGTGCGGATACGATGTTCATATTCAAGCTCATGCCCCCTCGGGCTGGACTCTCCAAAGCGGTCAATTTTACCAAGCCAACCATACACTACTTCGCTGTTCCGAATCTGCAGCAAGGGCGAATGTGGATGGCAGCCTTAGTAAAAGCCACTATTGACCGTGATGATACTCAACCGATGACAACAACATACCAGCAAAAGACCATCTCACTTACTAAAGCACGTGCAATGCGGCACCGTCCCCCGGCCCTTATGAATCTCGATGAGAAGGTCGAAGAAGGCGCAAAGAATGGAGACGATGAGAAAAAGAATGGCCTAGGAATCTCGTTTGGAGAGGTTGATAGTGCAGTCTCCGGTCTCGAGAAGCTAGGTCTTTCCAAAGTCGAGAGCAAGAAATCGGGATTAGAGAGTGAGATGAACAATGGTATAGGAATTCTGACCTCATCTCCTCAGAGCACCTAACGATTCACCTCTCCATCCCCAGCGTTGATTATCATCTGGCTCGCCTTTATCGCAAGCAGCCGAATTATCTAATTGTGTCGAATCCCGTCATTCTATTATTTCTGCGGAGTGATAAGAATACTCGTCATTTTTGTCACCCAGTGAGTTTTCTTCGTAAGGACCAGCAGAGCCGGTGCCTACAATCACATATAACATTTTCTTCCCTTTAGCGCGTCGTCTATCCCCCCCCCTAATTATTCCCCGATATCCCCTTCATCGATACCTCAGTTATACGAACGAAAGCAAGATAGTGATACGGATACATGACCAGGTAATAAAGTTAGTTACCCCGACCGACAATCCACACGTCGGCAGGTTGAAGTAAGAAGAGGAGGAAGCAGAGCATAGTCTCGAGGAAAGGTTATCATATCAAGGAGTGCGCGGACGAAAGAGGAATCGCGTCTATTGTCTCGAGGTAAAGACAGAGACCGAGATAAGACCTGGCGTGGATCGGACCAGATCGGATGGTATAGCATTACCCACGGAAGCAGCTATAGATAAGCCTTAATACAATATACTATGAAAGGAAGAAATAGTTGTCAAGGAGGGACGTGTGTGTCTTGCGTGAACATGCTTGCTGCTACTATTGCCGCTTATATACCGCTTTTCTTTAAAAAAAAGAAAAAAAAATCGTGCGAGGTCGATATTGTATGCTTATCCTAGCGTCCGTAGATGTGTAGTACATTACCCTAGACATTTAGCGAGTGCGTGAATGCTTTAGGTTAGGTGTTACGAGTATGTGAGGCCGACAAACAAGGCACGAGGCCCATAGCGTACGGAGACAAACGCATATTTCATTTCCGCGATTCCAACGAAATAGTTCTCTGCCCTGTCCGGACGTACCTAATATAAGAAAGGGGGGTATCATAACCATACACGCCACTCATAGTCCTCCTTCTCCTCCCTGCCTCCATCCATCGTAATTGACTCCCGCCCGCACCCCGAATACTATTGAAATCCGCCTACCGCACACATTATCCAGGGCACTTGACGACCCATTTTCTCCTTACTCAAGTGTGTCTTTAATAACCTCGATCCACGCCCCCAGATCCTCCAATGTCTCCAGGGCATTCTCCCAATCGCTCTTAACTCTCTTTCTATTGAGAGGATCGCCTCCTATATGGCCCATATCCCCATCAAAGATATTATCCGACACGATCCGGACGCGGCCCCCGTGCTGGATCTCGATGTTCACGTGAGCCGTGTGGTCTTTGAATGGAAATACGAGCGCGAGGCGGGGGATGGGATGAGCCGTTAAGGTAATATCTACTTTCAGGACCTTGTCCGAAGTAGTATCCTCGTTGGGCTGAGCCATGAAGTCACTGAATTCGTCTTGTCTGGTGCGTGGCAGACGGGCGTCGTTGTCTTCATCTGCTTCTTTTGCTGTGGGCTTGCCGTTCCTAAGTTTAAGACTATTGGTAAGGAGCAGGGAAAGGAAAGCGTATTGGCGAAGCACGGGGAGCATCACTACTAGGTCCTTCGGGTGCGAGAAGGGAATTTGGCTTAAAACCTGCCCATACACAGGCTTGTATATGAATAGAGTGTTACGATGGGCCTTGAGCACGGGCTCTGATTGGGACTTGTTGTGTATGTTGCCGATGAAGGTAGGGACCGTCTGTGTGAATACTACCTCCCGAGGTTCGCTAGGATCGTAGGAGCTTCCGTCGACGATGGGAAATAGTAATGCGTCGAATGTAATATGCGATAGAGGTGCGTTAGTTGCCGATATCTTATAAATATCTATTGCAACAGCATGCGAGACCACTACGGGCGGATCGAATGTTGCCATAAATACCACATCAGGTGGTTTAGGGCCCGATAAGTTCACACCAGCCTCAAGCCCATGTTCTTTCGTCTCCTCGGATGAGGGTAGAAGAGTGTTAGGTGGCTCTAACCAATCCAAGACCGGCCCAGTAGATGATATCATTTCCTCGTCTGTGAGGTTGGATTTCTCGATACCATCTCCAATCCATTTATCAGACACTCGTATTGGGTTGTGGTACACCATGCCGCCAGCAGCCGCGCACTCGATCAGGATACCCCATGTTTTGGCGTCTTCGGTATCCACCGTTGTAGACTTAAGCTTTCTTCTTTCTTTCCAATAGTCGAAGCTCAGGCCGACCCGGCCCCGAGTATGCATAAGAGGACATCCGTGGCGGAGGCAAAGAGCATAGACTCTGAGGTTTTCGTCGGATATATCACTCAATGACGAATCCTCTCGGAGCTTCTGTACGTCCCACTGATGTAGTCTGTCCAAGCTTTCCCAGATGCCCGCTATGGCTTCGTGGCAGTTAAGACCTGGCGAAACGCTTAATTTATCTAAGTTGGCCAGACGTTCGAGGTTTGCTCGAAATTGTGTTAGCCTCTTTGTTAGCGGACTCTGTCCAGGAGCTAGGGAGAGGTCTTTGAGAAGGATAGCCGACGCCTTATCAACATGCTTGTCGACACTGGGTATAGAATCCGTGTATGCCAATGCGGCCTGGTGTACGATGTGATTCGTTATGCCAACTTCAACAGCCACTGTCTGTCCTGCTATGATCAGAGTCTTGGCATTCTCGCCGGCACCTTTGATATCTTCCCACAGACACTCGAGGTTGAGATGAATGGCCAATCTCTCGAGTCCCTGATTACTCACTCTACTGCTATTCTGAGCCTATATGGAGTAGGTTAGTCGCCAATTCCGGCCCTGATAGAATTAGCTATCACCTACCCAGAGAGCAGCGATGACAGCCTCCATTCTTTTCTTCCGATCCTCCTCGTCCGTCCGCCCCGCTGCGGCAACCAGTCCTCCAACACTGATGTTGTCCAAATTGAGGTCGTTTATAGTCATTCCTAGAGTGTTATAAGCAGCAGCAGCAGAAGGGCTATCGAAGTTTGCTGTCGAGCTAGTAGTACCGATCATAGTACCCGAGGTGCCAGTTGCCGGTGATTTCTTGAACTGCTGTGGTGACGACTTAGGTCCGCGAGGGGAAAAGACTGCGGCGGTTTGAGGGTTCGAAAAGGGCGTTGAGGCTTGGGGAGTAGGGGCTGCGGCGGGATGTTGCGAAGGCGTACGGCCCTGCTGAGAAGGGCCATGGCGCATTGGAGTCGACATTACGATAACGGTAGTTGGGAGTACAACTGCGATGATTATAGTATTTTCAAACGGTCGGCTCAAATATCTCGCAGATACGAGAGAAGCGAGAGAAGCGAGAGAAGAAAGACGGATTATATCACATAAATATAATCGTAATTAATCGAGAAGGGAGACGGCGAGAAGGATAAGATTCATTATGACCAACTGGTCGGTTCTCTTTTTCTCTTTCTCTTTTTTTTGTAATTATAATCTCAGATGTTATTCTAAAAGTAGAGTAAGTAGAGTTGAGGAAGATAGCTGACAGAGTATGAGTTGAGAAAGAAAGTTGAGATTTATTTACTTTCTTAGCCATTAAAGACGAAGGTGATGTATTCTGTAAGTTCGCAAGCTTTAGTCAATTTGATGTGGGGGCCTGCTTTAAGCTTGACGCGCAAGGGTTATTTATCAGACGCGCTAGTTAGATGTACTGTGTACTTTATATAATACATACAAGTACCTTAGGTACCTAGTACAGCACATCTCCCTTTGATCATTCATGCCATGCATTGTACGTACACAAAGGTACCCAAGTACGATTACATGTAGAACAAGTCTTGCTCGCGCAATACTTCTCATGAATTTCATAGCGAAAGGATAGATAAAAAAAAAAAAAAAAAAAAAAAAAAAAAAGAGAGAACATAAAAAAACTGAAAGCAAATGAAATATGAGACGACAAAATTACACAGAATTTATCACGGTATGCCCTACATCAAGAGCCTCTATCAAGAGCATTGTTGACGTCTTTCTATCCAGCTTCATAGCTGCCTATTGCTGACTTCCTAGGAAGTTGTCGTTTAATCTAAGTAGGTCACGTGCGTTATCCTTCCACAAAAAGGGGTAATTAGAACAATGCATACATGCAGCAGTGAATGTAAAACTATCTGCGTTAAACAGCTTTTTACAATTAGCAGTTTATTGCCTTCGTTGATTTTGTCTTGGGTAAATACATAAATCCTCATACTTCAACAGCACTGTGTCCTCACTTTGTACTCGCATTCTTACGGCCATTATAACCCTTTCACGCCTGGTTGAAGACTTTACAGCTATCCCATAAGAATGAATCGTTTTTGTTAAATGCCCTCATAGCTAGATAGCTAAGTGTGATCCGTATAGGTAATCTAACGTAAGATTTTCGCATGTTTTGTTTCTTCTAACTAGGAATCTTTTGTATAGCAGGTAAGTCGAAAAAGAAAAATAGAAAAATACGGGTCAAGTCGACTCATAGCTTTGAAGAGCTTTTTTATTCTATGACCCCAAGCCACCGGGTTATGACACAAGCATTAGGCGCATATCCTTCACGTACCCCTGAGAATGCCATTTACAACCCATGGTTAAAGGCGTATTCTGAGGACTAGATAGAGGCGTCACATCCCCGAGGTTTACCCCTACTTGAGTGACCTTGTTAAACAACATGGAAATTGAGCCCACGACAGTGGTATGGATTAAAGGCAAAGTTGGGGGTGAAAACATAAGCACTATTACCTATGAACTGCATGGATTGAACTAAGGTAAGAATTAGAAACTTGCTAGGTGCTTCATGCATAGGATCTGTGGCTTCAGATACCACAAGTCCATACTCGTACTCACATGAAAAAAATATCCAGCCAACATGTCTAACCTAAAATACATATCACCATATCATATTTATCCTTCTGCCTAAAATTGTACTTATCTATTGATTATTTGGGTATGAAGGACATCGACATCGTATTTAAATAAAAAGACTTATGCTATATCAACAGGAAGTAGATGCTGCTTACATGTTGCAGCACTATAAGTTCTGCCATCTCTAACTACGTACACGCAGGCAAATGTATTAATAGAAGGAATCATACACCAACCCTGATATTGATAAGACCTACATAAGGTAGGCATGCATCTAAGTTTGCAGCTTGGACTATGGTAGCTGCCTTGACGTTTGCTTATCTTAGGTACACAAGTCAAAGGTAGGAAACCACATGTGTCATGAGAACCTTACATACGAGGAAAATTTTAGGTGGCAGCCACTTTGGTCGAAGTCATTACAGTGAGATTCTTACTTCCTCAATACCTTATTGGGTAGATTTCCACACTACCTCTCAAGTTCATCATATTTGTTGTCTTTCACGCTATTCACAGCCGTCGAGATATCTGGCATCCAGCGTTCTTCGGTGGAAGGCAACGACCCTTTTTTTTGGTGATTGATTTCCTCTTTTTGGACTGTATTGGTTGATTAGCCCAGATCATACATGACATTGTGGCTGGTTCTCGAGCGAAACGTTTATCTGTAGCCGACAGGTGCTCGAGTTTTTTTTCTTCTTCAAGTCGACTACTCTCTTATCTCTACTACCGTTTTTTTCTCACTTGACTCACGAGGTTTCAAAATTTACCTACCGCCTTGCAGAAAAGCAATATTGGTTGTAACTGGGCCGTGTCGTCGCCTATATCGTCGCCAACCCTTTCAGCTTCTATAAATTCGGCATTCTGCGTTTCGTTTCCTCGAGTGTTCATCCATCAACCGACGAAAACGGGTAACCATTACACTCCGAAATCGATCGTCAAAAAATCCTCCAAGCAACGAGAAGTATTCTCTCCAATAGCAACAAACTTCCATACTGGTACGTTATCTCCCACAGTTTACATCCTTGCACTCAGTCTTCGAAATCATTTTTCCAAGAATGACAACATCCCTCCATCCAAAAACCTTTCAATTTTCTCGTGACTTATTTCAACTACCCTATATTCCCCCCTTTTCAACCCGCTTCCTGTATTTTAGTCTACCCTTACTCTTTCCCTCGATATCCTCAACAACTCGAAATATTTCAACTTAACCGCAGCCTTAATCAACACAAGTGTGGATACTGCTTCTTTTCATAACAGACTATTTCTTTCGCTTCCACAATAAACAGTTCCTATAATATTTTCCTAACAATCTGAAGAGCCTCCCCTGAGCTTGCGCCCTGATCCCGCGACATATCAAGACAGACTTACGGCCAGCTAGGAGAATCAACAAGGTATGGGCACTTGACTGACCCTTATCATCAACATTCATTTTGCATCGGGCCCTACACCTTTTCCATCCTATCCGCGGAGCTTTAATTCCATCGCATTTCCAACTTCGCACCTGGAAGATCAACTGTACTGATGCGTTGATAATAGGAGCGAATGCACAGCAGAGCTTTCCGCACTCTCCCTACCCATACTCACGTAATTAACAACAACAGCGCAACTTTATATAAGTCTATCAGCTTTTACCCAATGTGAGAGGCATTAATTAAAGTATTGTGCGGTAATATGCTAATTATAAGATTTCGTCAGTCTATCCGGTAACCATGCGCGCCGCACAAGCTCTCAAGGCCAAAAGCAAGGCCAAGGAAAGGGCCGGTGCTCTAAATCTCAGCATCCAAACCGATTTTCGCATCGAAGACGCCGCGTCATCAATCTCGGGCGGAATGGACTTCACCCAGGTAGCTTCTGCTCCACCTCGGAAAGTACAATTTGATATCACGAGCGAAAGGCCTCCCGCTCCAAAAGCAAGCGAGGCTATGATGAACTCTGACTGGCGAAATAATCGTCGCAACGGAAATGGTGTTCCTCTTGCGGCCCCAGTTACCGCAGGCCTGGAGAAGACCGAATTCCAAATGACCGGAAGGAAGAATTTAAAAAAGCTCACTATTGACACCTCCCTTTCTAATGGGACGGGTGTTCGCCGGTACCGGGATACTCCTATTGACCCGGATTTCATACATTCTGCTCCAATAACCAAGAAAGACTATGAGACGGTGAATGACGAGACTGAACCCGATAGCTCGGATAACGCCCAATATTCCAGCACCGACACAACTCTTCCTCTCGATTCACCTGATACCAAAATGTCCATAGTTCGGCTTGAATCTCCAATGCCATTCATGAGCGAAGGCTTCCGACAGTTCACTGAGATGCGTGACTATTTTCTAGAAGAAGATAGAAAATTCGAAAGCGGTGATGAAGCATATGATGACAAGTGCGGTCCAAAAGACATGACACTAAGAGCAGTCCCTATCGTTTCCCCATACCAGAAAAATAAGGACGAACCTATCTTCCCAGTGGCCACCGTAAAGGCTATTAAACATTCCAAGAGATTTACCAATGTTGGATGGGCCAGCATTGATAAAGACCTCGAGAATGGATGGGCTAAGATTCAAGGCCCACGTACGGCTGGCCTCCCAATAAAGCAGCTTAGAGAAGACTACGAATCCAAGTTCCCATCTCAGGCTGAGGTTGAGAAGGACCAGGCCCGTTTCGACGCTCTCATTAGCAAGCTCCAGAAAGCCTCTGCAGGCCGCCTCAATGGGCAATCAGGAATTGATGTCAGATCTTCGAATTCTTCTCAGGAGCTGGAAAGTGCGCATCGAAGCGAATCGGGCTCACACGATTCTGGAATTAGCGGTGTTGATGTGAAGACCTCACAGAGACGAGGTACTACATTGAACCCGAAAGCGTCTGAATTCCAGATTTCCTCTGGTATCAGCACCATATGCCTGCCAGATATGCGCAACTACTCGCTAGATTATAATCACCAGCCCCCTTTGAAAAAGAATGGCTATAGAATCACATCCTCAATGGAAAATGGCTCAAGTAAGACTCGCTCTGTGACTGCAGAAGACATAGAAAGGATTTACGCATGCATGAATGATCTGAAAGCGCAAATGACACGCATTGAAGCTGGCACTCGGCAACGGTCGAGTATGATAGAAGCGAGCCCTATGGTTCAATTCAACCAGATTCAAAACTTGGCCAGTCAACTTGGCTTGAACCCCGTCTCACAAGGGTCGTGTCAAGAACTTCAGAACTTCCTTGGCCCTAGACCCGGGCCTGGTACGTGGACAGGGGTTCAACAGATGCCCAATATTCAGCAATGCAACAATGACAACGCTGCATTCATGCCTCCTTCACGGCTGCAGGGCACACAAGCACCCCGACTCCAGATGGCACCTTCTCCAATGTCATATGGCCCAGGACCCGGTGCGCCTGTCGTGGGAGGGCAGGGTCTCACAGGCCCCGGAAATCCTGGTCATATACCACTTCATGCTCAAGCCCAGATGGTGTATGGCCCTAGACCCGTGAGAAAACCCAAAGGACCTCAGCACCCTGGTGATCCCAGCTTCACCCAGCAACAACAGAGTTATGAAGAATACTTGGAGAATAAACGAGCTACAGATCGTGCGTATGCTCTTCAATGTCGCGACCGCCAGGCGAGACGTTTCCATAGACAGAGAGTTCAGGGGTCAACGGTGTCCCAACTGGCAGTATCGTCCAGCGGGGTCACAGCCCCTCACATGATGCCCATTGCTCGCGCAACTACCAATGGCGCGTCTCAGGTGTTATAAATGAATGGGCTGGTCTCTTTCATGGACTATTAGTCCCTGAAAAACAAGAAGCTACCTCTATGGAGATCCCTAGTAGCCTACATGAAGCTGCAGTCTGCCTGATTCTATCTACTACGAGAACAAGCCGTTTCTCATTATACTGAGGGGGTGTTTCTACTCGCAGCTCCAGACGTTTTTCTTTGACACAGTTGATATTCTTCGGCGGAAAGAAGGTGATCTTGGCTAACCACTACTGTGTCAACTTCAACGACACGATTCTACATATGTATTAGTGGCAATTTCTACATTGCAACAATATCCTTTCATTGGTCGTGGTAGTTTCAGTTCATTCAGCTCATTCAGCCCGGTAGTCGGGCGTTTTGTTTCATGCATTCTACCAATTTTTTTTATCCTCCTTTTCTTTTCTTTCTCTTTCCGGACATTTCATGATTACCTGTGTTTCCCCTGGCAATGCTCGACTATCGCCCGAAGGAATATCTCAGACAACGCTGTCTGCTGCGCGTGCGATATATGTCGTTCATAGCACTAGCATACATCCGCGTGTTTTTCAAGGGGTACTGTGGCCAAGGCTATTAAGAAGGATGCGGTACTTGAATCGGCAGATCGAGGTATGATTGACTTTACAGCAACGCCCCCGTATTTTTCGTCAAGAAAGATTTTTTTAAATAAATCTGAGAGTAAGTCATCAGCGGTGATTACTTATATTACAACTACTTCCGTCAGGCTGACATGTTTTCACAGAGTATTCATTATTACATACTCGATTTTCCAATGCCACAGCATACCGGAAATATGTACATAGGAGGTCTGTTCCATGGGATTCTTTCAAGCTTTCAGTCAATTCCAAGCCTTGCCATTGCAAATCTGCCTTGGAAATAGCGATAAAGATACGTCAAATGAACGAAAAAAAAGGGGTGGGGGGAACGGCCAGCTGGCGTTGAGTTAGGGTTGACATCAGGATTCGGAAGCGTTATATGGTTCGTTGCCAGGATAAATCATGATATTCTCTTAGGAAACACAGACTTACCTAGGTACCTACGTAAGGTAAAGGTTTGCTCTTTGCAGTTCAATTAAATTTGCAACTCATTTTTATCCATTATAAGATGCTTTAGTTGTATGCTGTTTGAAAGGATTGTGATATTTATTGATGCTATGATATGGTCCTCACTTATTGCTCGCAAATAATTTTAGCAGGAATGAATCTAGCTTTATGTCGAGATTACATAGTACGCAGGTAGGTACCTCATAATGATTATGTAGTTGATGCGGCTGAATTGTCAATCTTGAAGTTTGAAATGTTTGACGAATCGGATTCCGAGTTATTAGCAGCAAGTATTGCAGGTACATAGTTGGTTTGTGGATTGAGTAAAAAAGGGGCCTAGTGGAACCACTCACTTGAGGATGGACAACCCGCTACCATAACTTGAAGATACGGGACAAAGTCAGCATGATGAATTGCAAACTCGGACAAGCTTTTCTGCTGGGTTGTTTCGGTTGAAATACAATTAAATCAAGAATAAATTGGCCAGGAATCTTTTCAAACAGGGAAGGGAATCTTGAAGATAAGTTAGTGGTTGGGGAAAGAGTAAACTCAGCGCCTTGCAATAAATAGTACATATTCAATTCATAAATTTTCAAACGCTACATGTAGTTTCCTATGGAAAAGACTAGAGAGACCCTACACCATAGATTCGTTACAAAAACATCAATTTTCATAGTCGTGGCTTCGTGAGACTCTGGCTTTACGGCGGGGCTGCATTGCCCGTCATATAAGCGCTGAACGCTCTCTATACGGCATATCTGTCAGTCGAAGTCGAGAAATATCTAAAATAAAAATAACGAGAACGAGAAAAGAGCAATGACTTACCGGGTTTCTTGTCTGTAGGAACACTGTGCCAGGTCCTGTGAACTTACAGACCAACCCCTCTCCGCTAGCCAGCCCACCCATGATACCGCCACTAGCTACGCGCTCCATGACATACTTGACATTCCAGGCTACCAGATGCCCGTTATCGACGATATATTTCTCGCCGTCAGCGAGGTCTTTACGGATAATCGCGCCGAAACTGGTGATCCAGAGCAGACCAACACCGGTGATCTTATGAACCCACAGACCTTCTCCACTAAACATGGCCTTTCCGAGTCCTTGGCGCTTGTAGTCACGAACAATTCCCTGGGTGCTGGCGACGTAGGCATCTTTACCTACACTCCAAGACTCTTCTCCTGTCAAACGGATAGTGGTCATATCGCCAAGCATTCCGGGTGCGAGTAGCAGCTCTCCAGGACCGATAAAAGTCGAGTGTCCAAACTCGCCGCCGCTAGCCATCAATTTCTTCATGCTGAACTTGTACTCGCCCTTCAGCGTAATGGTGGGGCTCATGGCAATCAACACTCCTGGCTTCGCGCTTATCGGACAGCCCATTGCTAGTTGAATTGTGATGATCGTATTGCAGTCTCTATGACTAATGCGGTATGAACCGCCATTGAACGTTCCCACATCATCCAAAGTCGCAGCAGCGCCTTGGAATTGGGTAGCGGTGGGCGCAGGCGCGGGCGCGGGTGTGAGCGAAGGTGGCGCTGTAGGGTTTGATGTCGTTCGCGCGTGTGTCGGCCCCGTTCCTAGGATACTTTGGGCTTTGTCATTCGGATATCCTTCTGGGGCCTTAGGTACTACGTCACCATACGCAGGTGCTGGTCCGCTAGGTGGTGTCAGAGCGCCTTCGCTTCGAATGGGTAAGGCACCATGTTGCGCCGACTGAGGATGCGGAGGCGGAGGCTGGTAAATAGGAGTTCCAGCGTTGGGTGGTGGTGGAGAAACACCTTGTTGCGGAGGCGGGGGATACTGTTGCTGCACGGGCACTGGATATGCTTGTTGTGGAGGTTTGGGGTAGCTCTGAGCCTGGGGTGGAGTGTAGCTAGGTCCTTCTGGAGGTCGTGGGTAGTATTGTTTGTTCGCGGGAGGGGAGGTTGGCGGTTGTGGATAGTTGTTCTGTGGTGGTATAGCTGTTCCAGTCAATATACTATTGCTGGTGCGAGTTTAGGGTTGAAATATAGGGGTATACCTGTTGAGCCGTTCGCACCGGGAGGCGCTATATTATCATTATTAGCTCTATGATCTGAGGCTGAAGAACATATTCTAGTTAACTGGATGATCACGTACGTGCATAGTATTGAGCAGACATTGTGGCACGGTGATTATTTGGCTTCGAGCGGAAGAGATGTTCAAATAAAGCTATGGTAAGGTGAAGCTTTGAATACTATTATTTGCCGGGTTAGTTTGGAAATCAGTCAGTTTATAACCGGGTAAGTTGAGGCGGCTGTGGTTTGAAGGTTGAAGTTGACCCGCGAAGGATCGTCAACGTGCCGTGGCCCCCGCCTTTATTTCGCACTTACATATAAGGTACCTATATATAATACAATAATAATCCCCGGGTAGGAAATGGATAGATAGTATCACCACAAGGTTAAAGAAAGAATATAGTTATCTAAGTTCTTGACGTAAGCTTTTGATAAATATAATTAAGGGTAGGTGAGCGAAGGTGAAATATTTGTTCAAGACGCGATCGACAGACGGTCGCTTTTTCGGTCGCCATCTTCCCAAGGGACCTTGCTACTATGTATAGGTATACAACATATACAGCTCGCCCGGCTACTCGGCGTCGATGAAGGTTATCCAATCATGAGTGAAGCTGGATAGTCGTACGGACCCCAATGACTTCTGCGAAATGTCGCCGGGATCGCGAGCACCGAGCAGCGCGGCCAAGCGCTACGGTGTTTTGATAGGCGCTAAACTCAGCGCTTAAACGTGGCCCTGGCAAAATAGGACATTGTAATTGGTTGAAAGAGTCTGGTAGTTGATCTGATTGGATGATACATGTGCAAAATTGGAGATTAAAGAGATAGGTATCTAGAGTACATAGTACAGGTACCTCTTACTGCCTAACGCTGTACCATGAGCTATCTGAGATTTCCCTTATAAAAACATTTATCACGATTCATATTTAGATTTATATATTTATTCTCGCAATTATGGATGTCTTAGGTACCTACCTCCTAGGGTATTGGAGCGTTAGCTGTTTCCGCATACTGTCCCCTCGCCCTCATCCGTCGGTAGTCTTCTTGCACAACAGGCGCATATTTGATGGGATGGTCTTCGTCCGTGCAAACGGACAAGCACTCAATAACAGATTTCTCATCTGGTGAAACGAAGTAAGGAATCGAGTATCTTGACTTTGTCACGACTTTCCCGTCCACTCGTATATCGTTCTCAATCGGTGGGAGGGTAACACGGTGAAGGGTCGACTTCAACAAATCTTCAAGTTGTTCATGTTAGTTACTATTTATTACCAAGAGGCACTGACCGCCGGGGAGGATACAAGATACGCACCATTGCTCCATCTCATTAGCAAATCACCCACGTTCATAACTAATGCGTTCTTTATTGGCGTCGCGTCAACAAAATGCCCAGGTTCATTAGGATGTTCGACTTGCAACCCTCCACAGTCATCTTGAAAAAGCATCGTGATCGTCCCCCAGTCGGAATGGGCTGGCATTCGAGCCACAACATTGCTGGAAAGTTTCTCTGCTTCAATCGGTGGATAATGAAGCAGTCGTAGCTGGTTGTTAATGCCACTATGGAAGCGTAGAAAGAAACCTTCGTCTTCTAAACCAACGCCGATTGCTAAAGCGCGCAACAGCTCTTTCGCTACGTCGTGGCATTTCCAGTAGAATTGCGTCGTGAATTCCCGGAAACCAGGGAGGACTTCCTGGCGTAACCATATGTTCGGCTGAGTTTTTGAGTCCTCGCTACCAATTTCATAGCTCTCCTGTTCGAAACTTAATATTCACACTTTTACACTTTTGGAAGTTTGGGTGAGAGTTTTGGGTAATAATATAATGGCGCACGCATTCTGGAAAGACTGACCTTAAAATCGGAGATCTTTCGGTTCTCGGCCTCTTTTTCCTCGTCGCCGTCGGTGATGATATCCTGCGACACTTTCTCTAGACCCGGCCACGAATATCCTCGGTGGACAGTGGGACCTGGATTGAATATTAAGCGATTTGCTCGTCGGCTCTAGGTTTGGGACTCACCTAGAGGATGAGGAGCTAGCATCTTTTCTTCGAGAGAAAGATCAAAGAGTCTCTTCGACCAACCAAACGCTTCCTTGAGGATGTCACTCGGTATGCCATGGTTGATAATATATACGAAGCCAACCCGACGGCACGCGTCCGTTACTTCTCGACCAATGCGTTTCTTATCTTCTATCGAGCCCCTCGACCATGCGCTAAAGTCTATCACTGGTATCGTATCTTGCTCTGGAGTCATATTCAAGGTAGTTTTTAATAGGTGTGGGTTATACGTTACCACGAATTAGCAAAGCGGGGTTCTTGCGTGTGCCATTCTCTATGTTAGGTAGTAACAATACTTGAAATTTATCTCCGAAACCAATTGTACTTAATCTATAGTACTAATTCGATATACGAAGTCATCTTAGCTATACCTTATAAAAGTACAACATAAAAAGAAGTCGAGCTCAACATAGGTAAGATGGATCTATACCATGATAATATCATTAAGTACAGGGATATACAGGAGATCAACCAGATGATCTTTTGTAAGTAGAATTATGAGTCGACTTCACCCCCACCCCCCCCGGAGAACGCACGGGATGAAAGAACGTCCAGAAACAGGCAAACAAACACTTAGCTTCGATCTAGTGATTTCGGTACCTAGAACTTTGGCATGGAGTCGTGTCAGTGTTGATACTTTAGGTACGCTTGCGATAATTAAGAGACTCCATACATCCAACTCCACATAGGTACTTGTCGGCATCTTTGAGCACTGTTGCTTCGAAGACATATAACCACTCGCCTTTCCCAACTCTAATCACGGGTCTATTTAATGAGAATAGGTCCGAAGGACTACATAATTGCGACTGTTGAATGTCGCGACAACCCGCTTTTGCTTGGGCGAGGTTACATGACATTGACACATCTCGGCACGGCACTGCGTATATGAATAGGCGCTCGGCGCTCATGATAACGATAGATGTCCTGAACTTTGGCCTTTTATATGTAAGCACAATAGAAGTTCTTTCATCCTGGGGCCAATCTATAGCTATCTAACCTAACCTAGGTAGGTACTTCATATAAGGGGAGTAGGGACTGTCCGACAGGAAGTACTGAATTCGTACAAGCCCATGCAGTCGGTAAATCTAAATGTGCATAACAGCCCCAAGTCTAATATAGAGATATAGAGCACCGGTTGCACTATCCGCCGAGCCGGGTCCAAAACAGCCCTTGGCCTGATGCCAAGGTGATAGCCGAGCTGTGAGAGGCTGAGAGCTCTGCATGCCAGCCCTGCTCGCGGGGTCACGGAGCTGAAGTGGGCATATATCACGCATAAATATCATTAATATGGACGCAGTCGAATCCGGGCGAGATATTAAAATTTGTTCCACAGCAAGGGATATCGCGGGTATTGTGTGGGATGTTGCGGGGGCCCGTCTTACTGTTCCGGGCACTTTTCTCGAACGACCTCGACCTTGGACCAAATGGAACGTGGCGATGGAACCTAGTGAGCCAATGGGGAAGTTATCTGTCTTACCCCAAGGCATAAAATCCCGGGGGTCTCCATCTACTGTGCCCTTCAATTGGCACTTTACGAGAGGGTTTGAAAACCAGGCTTCGCGGCTAAATAGGAAAATGGGTATAGCTACTGGCGAGCTCTCATGATTTGCGAGCAATCTAGGTGTAAGCTTATGTTTCCTAATTAACCGCCGAATCCTCCTGGAACAATCGGTCCGAGCCGAAGGCTTTAGATATGTATATGAATGAGCGCGTTGCCATGGCTCGACACGGTAGGATAGGATAGGATAGCACTAGAGTTCAGAGACGGGAACTTGTCTCATCGGACTTTATCCCCGCGACAAACAACTCCGGTAAATAATCGTCAGCTCGTGAGAAAATAGTTCGTCAAGATGGTTGGCGGCGGCGTTCAGACGGACAATATCGTCCATCGCATGGCGATGGAAGATACCGTCCCATGGCATAGGAAGAAGAATTTGCGCTACCTGTACTTCATGCTATTTCCGTGTTTGATGGGTATCGAAATGACCTCCGGATTCGATTCTCAAATCATCAACGCTGTCCAACTGGTTCCCGCGTGGAGTAACTGTAAGTTTCAGGAGAGAAGAGCCTGGCAGAGGAAACGGAGGCTAACCGCAGATGTATCATAGATTTCGGACACCCAACAGGTGGTTACAAGGGCATCTTAGCCTCCGCATTGCCGCTCGGTTCCGTTATAGGTCTCCCTCTCATCCCGCTCCTCAACGATAACCTAGGCAGAAGATGGTGCGTGTTGTTCGGTAGTGTAACGATGATCATCGGGTCCTTGATCCAGGGCTTCGCTGTAAATGGTACGTGAAAAAGCCACATAAGACATGAAATGTCCCACGAAACTAATCATAGTTGAAGGCGCAATGTATATTGTCTCTCGGTTGATTATTGGATTCGGGCTTCCCTATGCTATTGTTGCAGGGTCCAGTTTGATCGGAGAGCTTGCCTATCCTAAAGAGCGTGCTATCCTAACGTCACTCTTCAATGCGGCCTACTTTATTGGTGCCATTGTCGCATCTGCAGTGACCTATGGAACTCAGCAAATCCCGTCAGACTGGTAAGTTTGTTGCTTTGAAATTCTAATCGCATGTTTCAAGTCTAACAAGCCTGCTTTTATTAGGTCCTGGAGGTATTTCATGCCTCGATATCGTATTCAGTTGGAGACTATTCTAACGCCGTATATATTAGAGTACCATCTCTCCTTCAGATGTCGCCTTCCTTATTACAGGTTGCTCTAGTCCTGTAAGTGTTACGTGGTTTACTCATTCTAAACCCCCTCGCTGACCCCTCCTTAGTTTCCTGCCTGAAAGCCCTCGATTTCTGGTCAGCAAGGAGCGATATGAAGAAGCCTTCAAAGTCCTAGTTACTTATCACGCAGAGGGTGACGAAAACTCCGAGTTTGCAAAAGCGGAAATGGCTGAGATTAAGACCACTATCGCTATTGAGATGGAACATTCGAAGCGCTCCTGGATGGACATGATCAGCTCAGCAGGGAATCGAAGACGTGTGCTTATAGGCTCACTTGTAGGTGTAATGTCTCAACTCTCCGGCAATGTGGTCATCTCGTACTATTTGGGAGACATCCTCAACCTGATTGGCTTCACCGACACCTCCTTCCAAGCCAAGTATAACATCGGGAACCAAGTCTGGGGTCTAGTCTGCGCTGTGTTCACTGCACTTCTGGTGATGAGGTTCCGCCGTCGGACAATGTACTTGACGTCGATCATTGGAATCTTGGTGATATATGTGGCATGGACCATCTCCGCAGCGGAAGCTATCGTAAAGGGCTCAACAGCTGCAGGGAAGCTCTGCTTGTTCTGGATATATGCGTACCAGCCGGCTTACAACATCGGTTTCAATGCTTTGACATATAGTAAGCAACTGCCGAGATTCTGCGCGAGAAGTATGGGCTAATCATAATCTCCTAGCCTATCTCGTTGAAATTTTCCCTTATGCTATGAGAGCCCGCGGAATCACGATCTTCCAGTTCTTTGGGAAAGCCGCCCAGGTAAGGTCTATAGAAGCCTAATCTTTGTGCCAGCTTTTCTAATGTGAATATAGTTCTTCGGTACCAATGTTAACCCCGTTGGTTTGGATCCGAACACCGGCATCGGCTGGAAGTTCCTAATTGTATACTGCTGCTGGATTGCCGTTGAGGGTATTCTTATCTTCTTCCTTTGGCCCGAGACTTCTGGACGTACTCTGGAAGAGCTGACCTTCTGTATGATTCCCCAAAGGCTTCTTCTCCAAGATCATAGACTAATTCTGAGAATAGTATTCGAAGACGACGAGCGTGCCCACGCCGCGACGGAGGCCATCGAGAAGCAAATTCATCACGAGGAAGTGAATCATCACGAAGAGGCAATCATATCCGAAACAACTAGCAAAGACCAAGTTTAAACCCTTAAGGCAACTATAGTATATATATCGCTTAACAAGTACCTAGTCTCATGCATCGTTCATCAAACTAAATCACAGTGTTGCTTGCTATTTGCTGGGTGTTGAATAGACGACTTGAAACGAAATAGCCTTTGATTTAAATCTATTAAGTCAGTTACTCTAGAATTCAGCGTGAATAGGTATTGAGGTTCAATTAAAAATAGATGCGAAATTGTGATTGTAGCTGTGCTCTTCTCAACGGTATCTGAGTCGTACTAGCGAAAGCATCCAAAAAAAAAAAGGGGGGGGGGGGGGGGGGGGGGGTTAGTATCCGTTAATAAGGGCTAAGGGACTAAAATGGGGTTGTAATGAAGCAGCCGGAAAAAAAAAAATAGGGGGGGGGGGACGGGATACCCGCCCA